TTTCTTATTTTACAATAATGGCTTTATATATACCATTAGTTTTTCTTAAACAACTCACCTGCATATATTGCTGGTTTGTTTTTATTTTTTATGTTTTGTGCTGGTTCAAATATTTTTACTGGTCTCTTTACAATATTGCTAATTATATCTTTACAATATTTTTGGACTAAGTGTCACAGTAAGTTACCCTTGGTTTCTAACAGAGACCCTTGTTTTATTGCAGGGTGTTTTCTCTTTACAATAATTTTAGAGTAAGTATCGCTGTAAGTCGCCCTTAGTTTGTGACATTTTGGTCACCTAATCTAGTTACAAATATAAGAATGATAAAAACAAGTTAAATATTTCGGAAAAACATGAAAAACATGACAAATAATTAAATAGGCAAAGTTTTGAATATGTCCCAGTGGCCGAGTGGTTAAGGCGATGCCCTGCTATTTCATTGAAACAGCAATTAGGCATTGGGTTTTACCTGCGCAGGTTCGAATCCTGTCTGTGACGTTATTTTTTTTGATTATATTTTTAAGCCCAAATTAGCCGCCGATATTTTGACGAAAAATGAACTCTTACTATGACTTGAACAGTTTTTTTTGTTATCTAATATATATTAATATAACTAACTCTATATCATTTTTTATACACTCCAGTATTCGTCAGTATGACGGTAATGCCGTACACTCCAACCACCAAGTTAAAATAACATTTCCAGCAGCCCGACTCCCTCTTGTAACAAACAGTCTATTGACGAATTTTTCATGAATGGTAGGTTTATCACATATCTGCGGTAACGCACTAATGAGCCATTCTTTAGTCTCCATTGGAAATTTCGCTACTAGTCCTCTGATTAAATCTGTGTAAGAGTTTAGGTCAGATCTTTGAGTATGGTATAGACCATACATTGTCTGGTACACCAGCTCCTGGCCTTGTACCATAATAAGCGATTGCATGTTAGCAAGGTCTGCTTGGGAATATTTTCGATTATTAATCAACTTAGTCCAGAATTTAGTTACTGCAACAATGGTAAACTTTTCATTAGATGGTAGTAGTTTTAAACATTGTGGAATGATGAATCCCGGTAAACATTTACTATTGAGAACCAGATGTGGTGCTTTATCAAGAACTGTTATCACAAAATTTATCATCATTTGTAGTAAATCTGGATCTCTTCCGATCAAGGCATTATAATATTTAATGAATAACTCATTAAATAAGTAATCAAATTCCTCTACACTAAATTGTGTTTTAAATTGAATGACAAGTCTTTCTAATAGGTAGATAAAATAAGGAAGGGAGGTTGATAGCTCAATAACTTGAACGTATTTCAACATTACGTTTATTATATCAGACATCGAATATCTCAAGAAATGAGGGTCGTCGTCTGGTAGAGTCAACGCTTTACCTAAGATCAAGCAACAAACCTCTACAAAACTGGAATCTTTATTAAACACAGGGCTACCCAAAATTCTTTCTATCAAATTCAATAGTTTAACACGACACTGGAACGGGTCATTTTGCCAAAATTCATGGTACTGTTGTAACATTTGGATTAACGCTGTAGATTCATAATCCTCATCATGGATCATTGCGGATCCAAATTCAGATATACAATTTAATAAGTTTAGGATGTAATCTTTACGTTCATGTTGAATATTAACTGGAGAATCCAAGCATTGATCTATTAAATCTTCAATCATATCTAGAATCTGAACTATATACTTACCTTGCTCTTCTGGTCCGTTTTGAACGCGACATTCAATAATGTAACCAACAGATTTGGCTAATGTGCTTCTTGTAAATCCAGAAACTGTCGCTGTCGGTTGTAGCAATGAAGAAAATACACCAATGAAATGGTCTAAATACTGTACGGACAGTTGTTGACGACAAGTGTCACATATGATTGATATTGTCTTTATAATCATGATTTCAACTTTATCATATACATCCTTATTAGCCGAAAGTTCTGCAGAACAAGATTCCAACCCTTGGAAGAGAGTTTGGATACATTGACTCAAGTCTGCTTCATTGCTTGTCAAGTATCCAGCTAAAGTACCAATCATTTTGGAGCTAGAACGTACCATATTTATTTTTAATATACTAACAGCTTTACTTGTAACTGCCATTTGAATGCTAATTTGGAACAGGAGTAGTATGTTACGCACAAAATATGGATTCTTACGCAAAATATTCAAAATCCATGGACTCTCTGAAAGGTTCATGTCAGACATTAGCGCGTCTGCTATAAATGACATTGCTTCGATTTGATAATACACAGACATTTTGCCATCTTCAGGTAAAGTTGATGCATCAGATGACCCAATACCACCAACGAGCATATTTGTCAAGTGTTCGTTGCCCAAAATACTCCATAAGTTTTGGCTTAATTCTATTACAGCGCTTCTAAAATCATCAAATTCGTGAATGGCAGATTCATCTTGCGCATCTTCCTCAATGATCTTTTGTTTATTTTGTAACGAAATTTTGGGCAAGTAGATATTAATGACTTGTTGGAAAATATCAATTCCAATTTGAGTCGAGTTAGGCAGCAATGCCTCATTTGGTAGATTCACATAAGAATCTGCCAAATCGGCCCAAAAATCGACCATTCTTACTGAAAAAAATTCTTGTAACACGGGTGTTAAAGGAAAATTTGTCATTTGAAGTAATACTTTGATATATTCTTGGGAGATGTTATAATCATTTGAATGGACGGAGCTGAATAGTTTGTTACAAACATCTAAATTACTGATTTGTAGATAATCGACAATACAGATGGCCAATTCTTTCAACTCTTCAGTCATTTCGTTGGTCACTAGATAATTCATATATTGTAGCATCCATGCATTCTTGGAGGTATCGACGTTGGTATTCGAGGTACGAGAGATTCCTAAGAAAATTACTTCAATCTGCTGTCTTAAATCGAAACTCATCATTGTTGGGTCATTTGCAAAAACATTACCAAATATAGATAATACTTTTTCTGCAATGTAAAAATTGTCTGTTTGATCTGATGATTGACACATTAAGTTCATTAAATTTTGAAAGATTTCTGACAAACTCATAGATGTGACTGAGGACATATGTCTCGTCATTGATATATAGTTGATCCAAGCATAAGTACATTTGAATACACTGTCACTAAGTTGTAATTTTGTAATGTTATGGATGTGGTTCAGTTCCAGTGTAATATTGATATTTAATAAGGCCATGGTCGAAATATATAGACGTTCATGAACCATTTCGTGAACTCTGGTAACATTATGCTTTTTCGATTGGTATTTTGTAAGATCTTCAATAATAATCTCTGTGAAAGTTAATGTTAATTCGTTAAACGTTTGGGATGTTGCAACAAATTTTAAAAGATTATCGTACGAAACATCGCAATTGATAGATTGTTGTAATAACTGAGCCATCATTGGATCATCTACATTAGTCCAATTATTTGCTAACACTTGCTTCGATCCATATTCAGAAAATAAATGGATAAATGTATTGATAGGATTATTCCATTGTTTAATGACTTGTGTATTATTGTCTTCAGTGACATGTTCGGTCTCATTAATCGTAATGAAAATTAATGACAAATTGGACATCAGTTTCTTAATGGCAATCATCAAAGATGCATTGCTACGGGTATCGCTTGCATAGATACCACATAATCTAATTAAATGAACCAAGTTACTGCTAAAGAGTCTCCAGAAAGTCTCGAAGGATTCCACATTTAAATTCAGTTGAACAGTCAGCGTAAGGGCACCAAAATACTTCACGTTATTGCTGTATGATGCACCAGTCAATAGCTGGTTGGCTAAATGGATACCATCATTGGATTTTTGGATGGCTTGTAAGTTTTGCTGAATTTGGTTCACGTCGATGGCCGGGTTCGCTGAGTACAATGTCTCAATGAGATTCACGACTTCTTCGATGCTGCTCATATCGTGGTAATACCTAGTAAAGTGAACCTTTGTCTAGCTTTTGATAACTTTTTTAGTTAAATACGGAAGAGAAAAGCTGAATATTCGAACGACTGTTTCTTTATTAATAATGCAAGATATGTCAAAATCAAGTTGTCTGAATTTTGTCTGAATTTTTCACTTTCAAAAAAATAATTTTTTTTTTCTTCGTCATTTAAGGCCCAATACCATTGGGAACCGACATCCCTCTCTCTCTCTCTCTCTCTGGAGGTATACATATAGGTCACTCTGTGTAATTGTTGTATATATGCATACATGTTATATTCGTTGCAGTTTTTACATATGTATATATATGACGTTACATGTGTCCTAAATAATTACAAGAGCTCTCTTTGATAGACGCATACCAAGGAGTCTTATAACATTACAAACTGTAGTCTTGATCTCTTCTGGTTCATTGTAAAAATCAAAAATAGGTCTTATCTGCTGCAGGTCAGTATCATAAACTAGCAACTTACCATCCAATTCACGCATACGGTCTGTTTCGAGCATAGAAAGTAGTTCTGTCATTGGAATGAGTCCCGGTAAAATATTTGGCAAAGCTGTAAAAGTCTGTGGTGGTCGTTTTGTGGAAGATTCGTTATTATTATCTTTCTCATTATCATGATCGGACTTAGATTCCTTTCTGAATAGAGATTCAATATAATTCTCGTTATGATAGTCAACCCCATATTTTCGTATAGTGGAAATGACTTCAGCTTGTTGAGAATCATTCTGAGTCAAAATTCCATTCATCCCGAATATTTCTTCTGCAACATCATGTAAACCTGTGGAAGAAATATCACATTTAGGGAATCCATTATTAAATTTATCATCAAGTTCCATTTCAGTTTGAATATTTTCATTTTCACTAAATGTGAACAAATGCCCGTGATCAATATGATGTTCTGTTTTCAAATAGTCTAAGGACACATAGTTTGAATTACAGACATCTAATAACTCACCACCATAAGCTGCTTTATAATTCATCTTATGACAGTCCTCCACGTAATAACCTAGATAATAATATGGTTTATCAGTTTTGCTTAATAAAGTTAATTCTCTTAAAACACTTAATTTTCCTAAGGACCATTTTTTGAAATCAGGATCCCAAATGAAGTAAACTGATGACATCCCACTCGGCAGGAAATCCGTCACTGCAATAGCAATTAATTGATTTTTATAATAATAACATTCATGGGCTGGACCTAATCTCTTTAAAGGTTCACCCAACGAGAATGAACTTGGCATTCTACTACCTAGTTCGTTTAATTGTTCCCATTCTTCCTCAGTTCCCATCTTGATATGTTCGGGGAATGGAGAATCGCATAGAAACCGATCAAATGATTTTTTATTATGTTTGAAGTCATTGTGTATACTTTCTTGATATTTTGCAAACAATGCATATTTTGCTTCTGTATAGATAGCAGGTTCATACCTAGTGTAAAAATCACTCTTGTCAGCATCTATGTCAGACAATTCCTGAATATAATCAAATGGCACATTACCTTTCTTCTTTATTTTCCCTTTTTCTGGCTGAACAAAATTCTTAAATTTTTTAACACAACTCTTGTATTCTTTAGTTAATTTAACTTGATCAGGAGTCGTTCTAATCGTAAACAACCTACAACAACTACGTAGCAAATCAGGTTTATAGATAAAATGGCCCGATCGACGATATCCCATATTACATAATGAATCATACATTGAAATTGTCATATTTTCACATTGAAATCCTACTGTACAATTCTCTACTTCACGATGATGACTATCATTGTACAACGACTTGAGTGAGTAATAGTTCTCATGATCCTCTTTTTCACCTTTACAATAGCCACATTTAGAACAGGGTTCTGTGAAGTACATCGGCTGAGTGATGATCAATCTCTCTGCAATATCCATTGTTTTCAAAACCAAAATATCAACACACCAGAAATAAAGAAAGAATCGGTTCAAACCCAATGCTATATCGACTCTTAACCCTCTCCTGGTAGTAGATATATATATATCTATCTACTATAAATACCGTTTTCCTTTCTTCAAATGAATGACGAAGAGATTCTATTGTTTCTTAAATTTTTTGCAGCTTGCCTTCTCTTTTCTCTATTTGAAATAATTTTTCAGATTATTAATTAAGAAAAAATGGTTTGATGAAGAAGAACAAAAGATTCATTGTTTTTGATTGTGTAAAGTAGCTTTTTTCTGGAGATTATTGAATAGAAAGGATCTAGTATTTTGGTCTGGTGAGTTTTCGGTTATGTTGTGTCGTGGTATTATAAAGAATGTGGCGCTACGGTCATCTCCTATGACTAAGTTTAGGAGGTCTCTCTCTTCATATTATGAATTATTCCCTAAAACGTTTCAGAACAAGAAACCTGTCTGGGAGATAGACCAAGCTAAGTTACGTAAGGAGTATAGGTCTCTTCAAGCTCAGTTTCACCCGGATGTCGTAAAGGAAGGATCAGAGGATCAATCATCACTGTTGAATAAAGCTTATCACACATTAAAAGCACCCTTAACAAGGTCACAATATCTAATAAAAATTCTTAATGAGATTGATTTAAGAAATGATGAAGTTAAAAAACAAATTACGAATAGTGATCCTGAATTGTTAATGAAAATTATCGATATTCATGAAGAACTCTCTGAATGTGAAGCTGAAGAAGAGGTTCGTACCATTGAAAAGGAGAATAAGACTCGTATAAGGGAGATTGAAACACAACTGAATAAAGCATTTGCAGAATCAGATTTCAAGACAGCGATTAAATTGACGGTAGAATTGAAGTATTGGACAAACTTAGAATTAGCCATTAAGGAATGGGCTCCTGGGAAACCTATCGAATTGGTTCATTGAAGTAAATAGTAATAACATTAAAAAAAATTACGTATAAACACATATCTAATAATTAAAATATATATATATATTTGTGCTTTAATACGGGTGTGTTTTGGGTGTTGGTAGAATATACGTACTTATGGTATATTATATATAGATGTATATCGTTATTTAATAGGGAAAACTCATTATGGTTGGGGTAGTTCGAATTCACATTTGGCAAATTCATCCCATTCTTCTTCTGTTGAAGGGTATTGTCTTAACCACTTCATTCTTTGACCTGAGATAGCTTGATCTGCAATCTTAAAGCCAAAGACTTTTAATTGGTAAGATTCTTTACCCTTACGTTCAACATAGTCCTCTAATTCCTTGAAATGTTTTAAGAATACACCTGGGAAACTAGTACCCCAATAAGCACCTTCTAAGCATAAGAACCTCGAGGATTGAGGCAAATATAAGTCCTGACAACTTGGACAATATAATCTAACAGTATGTTTACCGATCGTATCGCTAAGGCCACATGGTAACAATTGCATCCCATTACAATAATATCGAGGACATGTTCCGAATTGCTTATGGTCAAACTTCTCTGCCATTGCTTGTAAACCTTGCTTTGTCAAAATAAATCTGGCATGGATTAACCCATACAGTTGTTCAGCTGCATGTTCAATGATACTACGGTTCACGATTTGTGTCTTACCTTTATTATCTTTCTCCTTAGAACTCTCCATGTTGTGGTCCCCGTCTTGGTCGTAACTATTCTGTCCCTGAGATTCGTCATCACTGACATCTTCTAGATCAAGGATTAAATCCAGTGCTTTACGGTAGTGCGGCACCTCTTGGGCTAACGAAGTCATGTTGAAATCATCCTCAATGAAGTCAGTTGGTACTCTACAAAAATATTCGTGACCAAAACGTGAACAGAATGATGGAATCCACTCATCATAAGTCCCACTATCCTCATCCGATGAGCGTGAGTTATTGTCAATATACTCTGTTGACATCTACCCTAGTTTTATGTGTTGTCCTTACTCTCTCTTCTTTGTGTATTCTCTTCTCTTTTCTATCCTGATAAGTAAAGTTGTTCTTGTATATGCATATCTCTGTCTCTCTGTTTCTAAAATTCTAAAATTGTTTTTGCTGTGAGAAACTGAAAAATTATTTCCAAATGGAAGAACGAGACACACACATATACCAAATAGAGCAAACTAGTTAATACATAAACAATTAGTTACAAAATATGACTACGATAAGAAAGGACAATGAAGGTATTATTCAATTCTATCGAAAGTGGTTGAGATTTATTTAATAATACGATATTTAAGGATGAGTGATCTTACTATGGAGAACTGGGTTCTAGCCACGACGTTGGTATTTGTTATTATCACGAAATTTCTACAATATTCTGTAAACTACCATGAATCATGGGTTAGTAAGTTCACTCAAAGTAATACGAGTTCTTACAAGGATTATATGAGTAAATTACATGAACAGAAAATACTTCAAGAAGAGAATCATTCTATTTCGGCCCAGGATAACTATGCCAAATGGACTAAAAACAATAGAAAATTGGATAAATTAGCCATTGAATTAAAGACTTTAAAGACTCAAATCCATGAGCAAGCCTCTAATAGTCAAAAGTTTTTGAAGACTTGTAAATTGATTGGCTTAACATTACCTTTCTTTGCATTAAAGATGTGGAAGGGTAAAGAGATTGTTTATTATTTACCAAGTAATAAGATGTTCCCACATTTATTTAACGGTACTTGGCATCAAGGGTGGTTATTTGTTGCAATGTACCCACTAGATTTTGTATTGAGTAAAATAAACAATGTCTATGACGTTACATTCATTGCTTCCAAGGTTCCAGTGTATAAGGGAACTGCTGTTGGTGTCTCTCTAGGTATCTGGGTTTGGGCATTGACTAACGTCTTGGCTAGCATCGAGTTTGTAATCAATCAATTGTTTCTAGCACCTGTTGTTCCTGAACCAGTCATCACTGAGAAGAAGGCTAACTAAAACGATTCATAATATATGTATCCTCATATTTTTATATAACGACTATAAAACTGAATTTTGTTACTATTATAATTTTTTATTGACTTTTTAATATATATGTAGATATATTCTAATATTTTTTTTTATTTTGTACATAAATTGAGAATAGAGAATTTTATAACCTAAACTCTCAATTCGATTTGTGGTTTCTTGTTCGAACTTCTCTTGGTGTTTTTAGCTCTTTCGAATTCAGCAACATCAGATAGATCTCTACCTTCGACATCTAGATCCTTCAATTTATAGATTCTAACTAACCAATTCTCAGAAGAGAAGACTTCATCGAAATAGTCCAAGTTTTCGACATCATCAGCAGTAATTACTTGTTGACGAACTCTGTCTTGACCTTGACCGTTAGGGAATAAATCTGCGAAACCATTGTATGACATCTTATACATCAAAGATTTCTTCATAGTTTCAGAAGCTTGAGAATCAACTCTGAATTCACCTTGATTAACAAAGAAATCTCTTTCTTTAACTTCTTCTGGCCAGATACCTTCAGCAATTCTAATCATCCATAAGAATTTATTAATATCATCACCACCGAAACCTAGAACACCACCAAAGATGATTAGAACGTAATCAACGTCGTGTTCTTTCAATAGTTCGTAAGATACTTCCTCTGGAGAAGCCATGGCTTTACCAACGATGGCAATGTGTGTGTTATTCCATGTGTTGTTATCAACTAAAGTGGTACGATCAGCCATACCACCAATTTGATAACCATAATCCCACCAGGAAGCAATCTTAGCATCATAGTCGGTGTTCATACGTAACCAGTAATAAGCTTCTCTGTAATCATCAATAATGGCCATGGAACCATCTCTGTTTTGAGATGGTAAGACAACAGATGGAGAAGAGTAAGCAGATTGAGTAACCCAAGTACAATGGTGAACAAATAGATATAAGTAGTAAACGAATGAAGCAGAGACTAAACCACGAGTTAGGACGGTCATAAATGAAGATTTCTTAGTACCTGTAGTCTTTGTTGAGAAAATTGGGGAAAAATCTAAGTAGATATCAAATAATTTAGATAAAGCAACAGCACCTGAGATACAGATAACTGGAGTTAAAGTTAACATTAATCTAACCATAACACCGGCGAAGTAAGAACATAGGACGGAGTAAACAATGATGAAGACATGTTCATTCTTTAGATCCATGAACATTAAGAAGACAGCAGCTGGGAACAACCAGATTAAGAAATGAGTGTCTAAGAAGAATGCTGGCCATGTAATAGGTTGATGTTCAGAGACAGAAGCAATGATTGGAATATGAATTCTAGCGTAGTTAGTGTCCCATAGAGAATAGAATCTACCGGTCCATGGAGCAATTAAACCTAGATAGGTTAAAGCAAATAAACCAGCAACACCGATAACCATAATTAAGATAACAGAGACCCACATAATCAATTTGAATTTCTTTTCAGAAATCTTAGTCTTAACGAAATCACCTAAGGCTACAAGTTGTAATAGACCAAAGACACCTAAAGCGGCCATATGATCATTAGATTTAATTGGTAAGAAACCAACGAATGGAATTTGCATAGAGGCAATAGTACCAATAACAAACCAAGTGTTATAAGCAACGTAAATCTTGGCGGTGTATCTACCCATTAGAATTAAACAGAAAACATGGAATGGAATCAAATTGGTGATGAAAACGTAACCACCCCAAGCAGAAACCATATAGAAATAACAAAGAGCTGCAAAACTACTATTAAGGATGGAACCTTGCTTTAAACCTTTAATCCAGAACATGAAAGTAGCCATTAACAAAGTGATAGCAATAGCTTCGTTATCATAAGAACCAGCAACAGATCTAGAGATATAACCTGGAACGATACCAATAAATGCAGCAGCTAAAAGACCAGCTTTTTGATCTTTTAATTCACAAGTTAATTTGTAAGTGACATAAGCGGTAATAGCAGAGAAAGCAGGGGCGAAAAGAACACAAATATTTCTAATATCGACAGGAAGACCAATCTTTCTCAATGCATGCCAGATGAAAGCAGATGTAGTCATTAAACCAGGATATAGAGTACCACCAGTGACTCTACCTAATGGATACCAAGTTCTTTCATCGAACCAATTTAAGAAATCTTTGAAAGAATTGTTAACAAGGTATTGAGTAGCACGATAATTAAACCATGGATCAAATTCATGAATAATTGATTCAAATCTAACAACTGCAAATAATCTTGATGAGATTGATGCAACAATGATGGCAATGAAAATTAAAGTCTTTAAAGATGATTGAATGAAGGAAACATATTTACCAGAAGTAACTTTTGATTCTTCATTAGCAGTGACAGCATTATCTGGAACCACTATTTTTTCAACAATTTCTGACATAATGTTGTTGTATTATTATTATATGTGTGGAAAAATAAATAAAAAAAAAAGTAGAAGTAAATTACCCAGGAAAGAAGATTATTAAATTAAAAAATAAACTGTATACTTCTTTGTTCTAAACAATGAAAGTTAGTTAATATCTCAATTAATATGAATGGATGTAGAAGAAGTAGTAACTTTCTCTTATCTTTTATTTATAGTTTTTATTTCTATTAACTTAAAGGGTTGTTAAATAATAAAAAAGTCTTCACTCTTGGTTGAATTGTCATAAACTATGAAATAAACTAAACCAAAAATAAATGTAATAATTCAATTACGTAGAATAAAAAGAATATAATATATCTTAAAAACTTCAAAGTTATTATATAATAAAATGGTTTAAAAAAGTATTATATATTAACTATTACAAAGGCCTCCCCTCTAGAAAGAACACGTTATTCACATTGAAAAATTTTGGTGATTAAATGTGACTTTTTCTTTACGTGAATTACATGAAAATAAAAATGTAGAAAAAACACCAACTTGGTAAACTTGACACGTTGCGCAAGTTTACTTCGCAATGTCTGTAAAAGCGTAAGTAATCAAAAAATATTGAAAAGAGAAATTGCGCGCAAACTTGCATGTTACATTTTTAATTAGTATTTAGTTTTTTTTTTGCTTCTATTGCTAAAATGCGATTAACGCGTAAAATTGCGATTTTTTGACAAATTTTGTTAATTTACAATTTTGTTAATTCGCAATTTTGCAATTCGCAATTTTGCACTTCACAAATTTTGTCATAAAAAATCTTTTAAAAATCGCAAAACTAGGGTTTACATGCAAACCCTGACTTCCCTAATGAATTTACTTCGTGCCCTTATCACTGCACACGAACCCTAAAGCCAGTTTCCTTTCACTTTTCAAATGAAATCCGAACCGGAAACGGCAACGGCAACTGAAATACGGTGAGATGGGATGCTCATTATCTTAAATTTGGATGATTAATTTTCTCTCTCTGTGGGAAAAGGGAGATAGAATAATGAAGTGGGAAGGTCAGGATTCTTTTTGAAAATAGAGAGAGAGAGAGAGAGAGAGAAAGGATGAGGAACCTAAAGGGTTTTTCTTTCTTTTGTTATCAACTTTTTTATTTGGGTGGCGATGCCGTATTAGTGTAACTATTTACTATTGTATTCTGTTTTAGTAATCAACATATAGATGCACATATCATTTAATTATATAATATAAATTATACAAACCTTTTTCTTTTAAAATTATTGAATTTTATTTATATTTTTTTTTTTTTTTGCTATAGAGTAATTTAAAAACTATCTCCTCCTTAAGTGAAGTAAAATTACTACAACATTCGTTAGGTGGATCTACTTAAGTAGTTCATTACATATAAATATAAACAAGAAACTAGAGAGATTAGAGAAAGAGAATTCCTAAAAAAACATTCTGTTTGTTTGTTTGCTTTTAATATTCAATGAGTATTAACGTTAATAACAACAATACTGCTTTAGAAAGTAATAATAATAATAATGGTTATAAAAGTCAAGTATCAATGACACCAACTATAAGAGAAGAAATGGATGAAGAAATTGAACATGAAAAGGAAGCAGAAAAGGAAATGTTACGTAAATCAAGAGAAAATATGAGAACATCAAGATATATTTCTTCTTCTTCATCTGCAAGATTAGCTACAGGTAATATTAATAATACGAGTAATACATATATAGATAATCCATTAAGATCAAATTCTACAATAACATTTGAAAAAGTTAAAGTTATACCAAGACCAAGAACACAATCTGAACAAAGTATATTAAGTAGTTTATCACTTAAATCATTATTAGATAATAAAATTAGTGCAAAAGGTGCATTACAAAATAATAGTAATACTAATATTAATAAAGAGACTAATAATAATCTAAGTTCATCGGCAACAACTAATATTCCACAAGAAGCACAGATCGGATTTCAAGAACCATTTACTGATGATAATAGAATCGGAATCGATCAAATGAAAGCAGGAATGCCTCCAATTGTAGCACATAGTCCATTAGATTTACCAGGAAGTCTCTTGAAAGACGTTCCAGCTGAGATAGGATTAACGATTCCATCAATAGCAGAACACAACAATGATGGTAAGCAAATTATCACAGGATGTAATTCTACAGCAACTACTACGAGTATTGGTAAGCAAAATTCATATGTGGCTACTGATGATAATGATGAACAGGAAGATACAGAAGATATTGAGTCCCATAATTTAACAACACAAGCATTAAGAAAATTATCTATGTTGAAAATGGGAGAACAGAATTTATTGAACCTTACTGAGAGGGAAAATGATAATATTGATGAAGCGCATATAAGTCTCCGTACTGAAGAAGAAGAAGAAGATAAAATACCGACGGTTATAGATAATACCATTACCTCACAAAATGAAAATAATAATATTCCAAATGAATTATCATCTCAATCAAATAGACAAGAGATCAAGAATAATGATAATGATAATATTGATGATGACGATGAAACTCTGAAATTAGGAAGATCAGGATCTAATTTTACTGCCACAGTAGATATTAGTTCTGGAGTTGCACCAACGGGGAATATGACAAGTGTAAATATGGTACCAAAAACAATTGTAAATACACTAACACCTTCACCTCCACAACCTCTTCCAAGTATACGGCGGAACCCTACACCACAAGAATCAGATCGATCACTACCTTTTGTCAAGGTTGCACAAACCCAAAATGAAGATAATAATAATAACTTGAATAAAAAAATAAGATCTACACATATTAATAGTAAAGTCAATGCTATGACATTGAAGGGTAATAGTATTCAAAATGCATCTCGACAATATACGAATGTATTACCTTCAAACCAAAATAGTCTCAATAATAATAATATTAATAATAACAGCAACAATTCAATGTCCATGATGAGACAACCACAACAATTACCATTTGGTACAAGTAACAAACCAAATATTTATAACACAGGTGCATTATCATCAACATCTTTAACGGCAACTATGGGTGTGGGCGTCAATGGTAAATCGACTAAATCAATTAAACAAATTAGTAATCCTAAAAAACCATTATACATGCCCGCTGTCTTACGTAATGTCTCTGAAACTAATTTGACTAATGACGATTTTAGAGATCCAGGAAGTATGGACAGTATAACTGAAGAAGATGCTATGACTGAAGAAGAGCAAGATGAAGGTAGGAGTCATAATGACAATGATGATGGTATTTCTGGTATTATTGGAAATGATACCATGAGTTCAAATGGTAGTGCACGAGACTATTTGTCTATGTATTCAAGAGGTGGAAACATCAATAGTCTTGATCGTCATTTAATCAATAACACAGACGGCCAACAACATGGAATAACACTGTATCGTACACATACAAACACTCAATCAAGTATTCATTCCACAGCAAGCTCTATATACAGTGCATATCGTCAACGGTTCCAAGATCTGGTAAATTATTATCATAAGGATACAAATTCTACTACTGGGAGTCGGTCGACGAACAAACATCATATCAACAAACAACCTACAAGGGTACATTGGGTACCTGACTCTGAACGTGATACTTGTCATGCATGTCATACACGATTTAGTATGTTAGAACGTAAACATCATTGCCGTCATTGTGGAGAAATTTTCTGTCAGAAGGATTTGCCTGATATGATCTATTTGAATAGTGATGCTCAATTTTGTCAATTAAGACAATTTGGTGGAGGGGTGTTGGTTAAAGTTTGTCATGGTTGTTATATTGCTAATGATGAATATATGCAAGCGATTAAATTGAAGAAATTGAAAAGAATGGAAGAACAACAATTACAATTACGAAAGGAACAACAAAATGGTAATAGTGGTGCAACAGATGAATATATGCCTATTCGTAGACGTAATGGACAACGTAGTGTTGAAAATAGACGTGAAAGTGTAGCTGGAAGTGTTCCAGTAGATTGGAATTGGAGTAGTTTTTAAATATATAAATATTAATCTATTTAAATAAAAAAAAAAAAAATCGAAGTAAAATAATTTAAAATAAACTAGAATTGGAATAGATAGAAGTACGTAAAAATATAGATATGAAAGAAACAATAGAAAGACGCAAAACGTACATATACAAAACAAAAATAGAAGAAAATTGGAAAACAGTAATATATGTTAATATTTTTCTGTGATACATTTCTTCTGAACTAATATTTTTTCTTAGATATAAGATGAGGTTTTAATAATTCAAAACTACACATTAAACCTGTATTGATTGCCAAAACGGCACCCCAATTTTGAAATTGTCCACAATAATTTGGTGCACTGAAGACAGTGACTAGTTTTTTCTTAGCGAAAAATTCATAACCATCTTCTACAACCATATGACCTCTAATAATCAAATCGAATTTAAATTTTGAACAAAAATCTAATACATTTGATTTAGAGAAAGTGTAAGAAACACCTCTATCATTTGAAGACCAATCTCTAACAGAAGAATCGGGATCAGACCATAGCAAATCAGTAATTAATCCATTATCTGGGATATCAGTTGGTCTGGCAATATTTTTATTAATTTGATTTAAATTTTTCAAATCAGGAGAGATACCACCATGGACACAAAAGATTTTATCATTAATTGTAGCAGCAATTGGTAAACAATTGAACACATCGATGAATGCTTTCCAAACTTTAGTTGATTTTCTACGTTTACATTCATCATAGAAACCATACATCTTTGTAACATTTGCAGATTCATGATTACCTCTTAACATAAAGAAATTATTTGGATATTTCAGTTTATAACAAAGTAAAAGTAAAATGGTTTCAAGAGATTGTTTACCACGATCAATATAATCTCCTAAGAATAAATAGTTGGTCTCAGATGGGATACCACTCATCTTCAAAATTCTTAATAAATCATTAAATTGGCCATGAAGATCACCAACAATTTTAATTGGTGCCTGTAATCTCAATAAAGTTGGTTGATGTAAAAAAATTTCTCTTACAGCTGCACAAATTAATTGAATCTCCCATGCATGAAATGGAAATTTATCCCTCTTAGATTTCGGAACAGAAATATTATTGGGACCATTATTACCAGGGCCATTATTACTACCACCTGTATTCAAAAGAATTAATTTTTTAATCATTGAATCCACATTAACACCTTCATTAGAAGATGGATCATTTGGATGTTTCTTTAAAAAAAGAGGTAATTTTTTCGTATTCTTTGATGAATGAGGAGAACCATTTGAAGATGATGATAATGAATTAGTCTTTGATGAAGATGATAACGATGTAGATAATATACTAGTCAATTTTGATTTAGTGATAAAATTCGATGGTGAACCTCCACTCGTTAAAGATGACGACACGGAGCCGACCGGGTAAGACCCGAAGTCATTTAACAAAATTGGCGAACCATTAGGACTACTATTATCATTATCATCTTCATCAGAACTTGAACTTGAACTTGAACTTGAAGAATAGACTGTATCATCATTCACTGAAACTCTATTTGTTTGAGTAGTTGAGATTGATGGTTTAATAAAATTGGGTAAATTAGTTAGAGTTGTGTAATTGTTGTTATGTAAGTTTGCGTTAACATTGTTGGTATTATTTGTATTATTTGGATAGATGATAGGTTTATACCTATCATCTGGGTCATTAGAAGAGTCATTAGAAGATGCAGATGTAGCCGAGTCGTCACTAGCGGAGCTGGATGTAGAGTTATTACTAGAATTTGAGTTACTCGGTAGTAAGAAATTATTATCTTGGTTTGACGGGCTTCGCATTAAACAGATGAAATATAGATATTACTAAAAATAATAAAAAAATAAAGTTTTGCAAATAAGTAAATGGAATTGAAAAATACTAAATAAAGTACGATGTGTGGGAACTGTTTCTTCTTTTAAAGTATATATAATTTGTGTTCTAATTCTTAAAAGTATCTTTTTATCCAATTCTCTATCTCTTATATATTATTATTACTATATTTTTTATTATGTAATATGTGCGAGGTACGGAATGCAAAAATCGGGCTGAGCGAATCCGTCGCTTTTTCGTTGGGAGAAAATTGCAACGAGGCAAGAAAATTTTTGTCGCTCTTCGTAGCAAGTGATATTGTGTACAAATGTTCAGATTGTGTGCAGTTGGAAAAGGGGGGCGCACCCATTTTGGGGGCAACGTGTAGACGAACCCTAAGTCGGTGGTTGGGTTTCTGGAAGAACAAGAAAATTAGTACTGCCCCCATTGGGCACAGTTAAATAAGATGAGCTGAGTTTTTGGACCATTGGGAAGATGTGATATCCACTCCCAATGTAAACTTTATCAAGCTCAGTTTTCGTAGAAGGAATACAAGCGGGAGAGTTCCCCCTACCCATTTGCCAGCAGATATGCTACTTCTCTTTAAAAGGGCGCCCTATAATTTTTTTCTATTTGTAGTTGTAATTTTTTTTACTATAAACCGCGTAACTATGGTTCCATACCCTAAAGAACAGTTATTTGGGTGCGCCATAGGCCCAGTAATAGTTAAATCATTCCAGGGGGAACGTTCCATTCAAACACCCCATTTAAGGGTGTTTGAATCAATTTAACCAGACGGAAGAGATAATTGATCATGATACGATACTGTTTAAACCATGATTGACTTGAAACTAAATATCTATGTATTGTAAGTAGATACACTCCTTTTAACGTGTGTTGGTTTGGGTTTTAACAGTGACATAACGTTTCCCCCAGAGCACGTGACATTTTGAAGGTTATGACGTGTTACAATCCTGTATTGAGTGAGGAAGAACGGATATCTTAAGAAGTCAGGAACTCAGTTTGACATTAACGAGAATGGTTTAACGTGTACTTTTTAATGAAATAAGATTTTTGACTCGAACTGCCACGTGTACCAACAAACATCTTCTTATAAAAGAATCATCAACCCATTTTTTTTTTTTGAGTTTGTAAGTACTTTCCTGATCTGTTTGCTAATCTTCTTCGGCGGTACTATAACTGGGTTTCGAGTTGCTTGTTGTTTTCAAATCTCGAAAACTTAGAAGTCAAATATATCATTTTAAAGAGATAAAAAAAAGTTAAATGGTTAAAATTTCAGATTAATATATATATATATATATATTTATTTAAACAATCGCTAACTAAGATTTCATCTTCACTGGTTGTGTTACACGGGCTATGTCTGTGAGTCCCATATATCTTCTTCATTCGAGAGAAACATCTTTCAGTATTAACTGATATGATTGAATTCCTCGTTTCTATCTTGTTGAGCATTGATTATATTTTTATTTTCATTTATTTTTTATTATACAGCTATTCTACAGATTATTCTTCTTAGTATATTTCGGAAAGAATTATTTAATATACAGATTACGTATTTCAAACCTCTGTCTTTATATATTACGAAATTAGTGGCTTAGTTGTTAACCTTCACATTCACGAATGAAATTCTTATTCAAATATGGTCGTATAAGCCTATACAATTATAATAATTGCGCACATTATTCTATGTTTTATTTAATTAGTGTTAATATTAGTGTTCCTAATCATTAATTATTATGCTCATGCGAATATCTTACACTATATACCCTTAGAATATTCAGCTCAGTAGTTATAAATAAGAATGTGGGAGTTATAGTAATCAACAATAATAGAATTACATAAACATTATAAGTGAATAGTTTGTCCAACTTTTAATTTTACCAGAAATAAAAATAGTAAAATAATTATTGGAAATTTTTATTTTTTTATATTTTGTTGTAAATGGTACTAATAGAAAGCGTCGCCAATATACTCAATGAAGTAAACAAAAAAACAGAAGTGATAATAATAAAGTTAAGAAAACTTGACAAATGTTTACGTTACTAGAAGTATATATCATCTTCTAGAGTGCATTTCGTAGTGGAGTGTTCAATATCTATTCAATGTTATACGTAGATACGGCGCTAGAAAATTGAAGCAGATGAAAATACTTAAACTACTAGTGTATATTAACTGTGAATTTGTTGGTCGCATCTGAGCACCTCTCCTCTCTTCAATAAGAAAAGAATAATAACTTAAAAAAATAAAATTTATATAATCTGTAAATTGTCCTCATTTTATACACAGCAAATTGTCCAAAAACAATATCGCAGTGTCAGGGCGAATATGTACTGTAGTATATTCCATTCCACCTTAACCAAGATATTTCGAACATTTCCGGAAGTATCACCACTCTGCTTCTTTTGTATTTTCTCCCACTGTCACGATAAGAAAGTTTCACCAGTTACGTTCATCGCTAGCAAAGGCTTGAAATGGGAATATTTTTTATACTAAATATTCTGTGGAACAAGAAGTGAGTTTTCAGCGTAATAGACGACGACGATATTGTAGAAAGTTGCAAAGCTGTTGTCTCAAAAGTAATCAACTTTTAAAGAAAGTTCTGAAGTATTAAGAAAAATTCTATTATTTAATGAAGTTTAGGGGGATATTATATAATATTTATGAATATAGACTGCGGTAATGATATTATGCTCAATATTCTTGAACAGATTGTTTGTCCGAGAACATTTGGAGGTCAGGAACTCTATCAATTTTTCTCCAGGTGGTGTACTGGGCTGGGTTCCAAGCCAGACTTTTAGGATCTTGTAATGCGGCTACTTTCTTGAGGGCTTCCATTCTTGCAATACCAATGATACCACCAGAACGTTCCAGCTCAATAGCAGCCCTTTCCTTTAAAAACTGTTCCATCGACCAAGTGAGATACCGATCCTGAACTACCACTGGTAGTGCATGATACTCCTCAATAGTCATGCATTTAGCCATCTTTCTAAAATTGTAAGTGATTCGGACACGCATGGTTCTTGTATGATGTATTAGTTCTAGATAGTTTTAATACTAATATTAACGATTTTGTTGTTGTTTTATTGAAATTTACAAAGAATAAGAAACATTATGTCCAGTTATCTTCTGAAATTTGGAATTTGGGCAGGTTCAGGTTACTTTTATATGTTTTGATATTCTGGAAATAAATAACTTGTCGAAACTTTATCCCTTTTTAATTAAGACATGAGGTATACAAGGGAGTATTACCCTTTGGTTTATGTGATATAATAAACCACATTTACACATAATCACCTTTTTATATTCAATTACTGTACCAAAATAGTAGTCTAGATATTTCTACTTAATATCGAGACTACACTGAAACTCCACCCTTTTATTACCTTTTCTAAATGTTATAAATTGTTCATTTTTTTTATGTGACATTTCACTTTACCTCATCTGTCACTTCTTTTTTGTAGGAAATATCTACGCGAAAAGAAGTATTGTTACTAAAAGGGAAATTCTTTTGATATATACCCTTTGACACACAATATTCAGATACTTTTAAAAGAAAACTTCTGATAAATAGAAAACATCATATTCTACTCTATTTTTGAGCATAAAAAGTAAACTCCGACAATTAAAGGCATATAAAAAACTAGATTTATCAAATGACTTTTTTCTTGTGTGTGTGTGTGGATGAAGTTCAATGAGGCAAGAGGTAATGCTATACTTCTACAAATTATTATCGGAAAATAATAAATTGACTATTCTTCTTCCTTGAGCAAATATTTTTAGTTTTAACCATTTTCCATCATTCAATATTGTTTTTAGAAATTAAGTGTGATTTTACCCATTTAATCAATGAAAAGTTAAGTGAAAATGGGTAAACTTCACAATATATATTATGACTTTTACCTATCGACATCATTTAAGCTTAACATCGATATTAGGTAGTGAAATGTTTTTTTTTCAATTGGTATAAAATTGGAAAGAATATTATGCTCTTCAATTCTTAAGTTTTTCCTATTTCCTTAAGTAATAAGAAGAACTAAGAAAAATCATCCAATTTAAGTATGAACATTTCCACAAATACATCATTTATTGAAAATAATATTCTTTTCAAAACTGCTGCTGTTGATTACACAGATGTCAACCTAAACATTGCTTTAAACATTATTACTTTAACAAGTACTTTCATTACTTGTTCTGCTGCACCATTAGGTGGATTTGCTGCAGGTTCGTGTGTATTTAACAGTTTAGCCTTCATTTCAAGTTTAATGTTAAATATTCTAGTTGGTATGGACAACGCATTACCTGAAACTAGTACTGTTAACGATCTATTTACTAAGATCGGTGAAGATTTGGGCACAAAGTTACTAGAGACAAAGAGTCATCTATTAAATAATACTATTGCTAAGATGAGTACATTAGGTGATATTTTTAACTATGAAATTTCAGAAGATGGTCTTAAATGTGTCTCTGTTCAAATCGGTAAATTAGGTGGGAGTATTTTACCAGGAGTTAAAGAAAGTGTATGTATCACTCCATTTGGTATTGAAATGATTACAAAATCACATAGAATATCTTTTGGTACTCTGGTAAATAATTTAAGAAAAAAATTAAGTAATGAAGAAAATAATGGTTATACAAGAGAAGTTGTCAACACTTATGCTAAATATGGTACTGTGAGTTCTACCATCATTGATAAACTTGGTGAATTGAGCAATAATTTTGTAACAAATAAATTAACTGATCAAAATAAGAAAATATCTGTCACCATTGAACACGACAACAAATTGATGTTCCAGATTGCTCTAGAACTAATCTAATCTAATCTAATTTAATCTAGTAAAATTTAACGGCAACCCCTCTCTCCTTAAGCATTCTGTCACTCTCAACAGTTGGTATTACCAAAGTGTTTTCCAGTTGGTATAACAAACCACTGTCAACAAATCTCAGATCCTTTGTGTCTCGCTTATTCATCTCTTTGTTGACCACCACCCCCACTCCCCCACACTTTTTTGTTCTCCCCCACTCCATTATACGAACCCGCGGAAAATAGTAAATACAGCCACACATTTCAACAAAAAAAGGGAAAGAACAAGCGAACAGCAAACACACACACACGCACAGCCGCACATCACATACAAAAAAAATCCGTTTTCTCCTCTCTCCGCCTCGCCTCTCTCCGCCCCCTTTTGAAAATGTTCTGTTGAGCCCAGCCAGCTATCCTTTGTTACTAGTTTTGCCTCCGGGTGGATGCTCCTCTTTAAACAATAAAGAAAGGTGCAAAAGCCACTCCTAATAGTTTGAATTTAGGGACAAGAAAGATCAAGAATTTTTAAATTTCATATTCGAAAAATTATATAAAAGGATAGATTTCTCTTCAATTTAATTGTATTTTTAAAGTTTCTAATTCTTTCTACTTTCGACATTATAATTCTTTTATATACTTTTTTTTATATTATTCATTAATATAGATCATCATACTACAAACTTATACAAACACACACACACAAACACAAATAAACAAATATAAACAAACATGACTAGAACTAATAAATGGACCGTTCATGAAAGCAAAGCTGAAGCTAGATATTTTACTCATAATGGTAATTTTGGTGAATCACCACAACATATAAAGAAAGGTGGTTCCGGTAGAGGAGGTTGGGGTAAAATTGGTGATGAAATCAATGATTTAGTCGATTCTGGTGAAATTCCTCCTGTTTATAATAAGAAGAGAAGATCTTCTAATGTTAACAATCAAATGAATGCTAAAAGATTTGAAGATATTCAAAATTATCAAATTTAATTGAATTAAATTTAAAATTTCTTTTATTTAACGACTTAACGACTTAACGACATATTTTAACTATCAATATCATATTATTACTATATATACATATATATAAATAAATATAACCCTTTTTTAACGTTTTACATGAATTAAATTTTTTCTTTTTCTTTATGTCATTCAATATGACATACCTTTTTTCAAGTTTCTGGCAATATATAAATCTCTCTGAGATTCAATACGATCAATTATTGTTTGTTTGGTTAAATATTTACTAAAATGACCATTTAACAGTAAATCTTGAGAATCAATTTCAATTATATTATTTTTATTATTAATGTCAGATAATTTTGGTTCAATAATAATACCATCAACATATTTACAACTTAATATACTTAATAATCGTTCCTTTAATGACATTATTGTCTTTTGTCCATTTAAATCCAATTTTCTTAATCCAATATATATTTCTCTATCAGGATATAATATTTCATAAGCATATTTAATCTGTTCAATATGACCCATATGAAATAAATCAAAATCACCATTAATTATAATATATCCTTTTGTTGTAGATCTCTTTACACCTTTAACTATTATATTTTGTAGAATTTCATTGAAAACAAAACATTTGATATCATATCCATTAATATCACTACAATATTTTGTTAATAAGTCTAAATTTGGCATTGAATCATCATATTCATATTTATGAGTTAACATTCTATGAATAATATCTGTTGTGCTAACTCCATCGGTTCTCTTTACAACACGAAATCTTCCAAGATCTTTCATTTCCTGATAACAATCTTCACCATTTGCATCAAGCGTAATATCATCTCCATGTACAACATATTTACAGCCATATCCATCTAATACTTTTGGATCTGTTACATAAGGAGCATTAGGAATTACCCGTGAACACCACCTATTTGACATAGTATGAGCATATCGTTCTTCAGAATTCATTACTGGGGGACCTTTATTAAATGTAATATCGGCATCATTATGAACACCACAATACAATTCTCCATCTAAAGCATTTTTTGGAATTGTTCGACGAGCTTGAAGGATAGCACCTGCATGTCCATAATGTGTAAAATCAAAACATCCGTCAATCCAAACTTTATTCTCTTTTAATTGCATAATAATTTTTAGTCAGTTTATATCTTGACCTCTTTATCTATCTTTCTTTTGTTTATTTGTTGCATTTATTTTTTAAAAAACATACGTAAACACTTCGGTACTGTTTGAAGTTTTCAAAAAATTTTCTTACTTCTTCACGAAATGAGTACCAACGCCAAAAAAAAAAAGATAAAAACCAGTCAAAACCAAAGAAGAAGAGAAGTTGAAATATCATGATTTTTGTTTAAGTAACCACGATTTAAAACTTATTAACCTTTTTATGCTAATAATCCATAATCTAGTTGTTTCATCTATCATAATATTAGCTACATCATTATTACCAAATCTACTAATCTTTTGTTGTGCGGATCTTGAATGAATACCAACATCACTAACACCAATAGGCCATGCAACATCACCAATACTTAATTTCAAATAAAGTTGTAAACTAGATTCCATATCTATCTTAGTGTCACGTTGTAAGTGATATAAAAGACTACTTAAAGTAGTAAGTAATTTAATTGGAAGTGTATTTTTTCTTAATAATACAAGTAAAGGAAATAAATTTTTTTTAGTATCTACAAACATTGATTCTCCATCTTGATAGGCTTTTACATGTTTGGACCATTGAGTTAATATCTGATGAATATATCTATTACATTGTGTGGACACTTTCTTTCGTATAGTCTCATTATCTAAATTTTGAATGTCTTCAATAAGAATGTTCACTTGCATAGGGGTTTTCTTTTCTTCTGAAATGATTTTTGCTATTTTCTTTGCACGTATATCCAGAAGGGATTCATCATCATTATATCTCTTCTTTGTAGTATCTAAATCTTCACTAGGATCAATAGGTATATCATCTTTTATCTGTGATAAATTTGTCTCTTTCGATGGCTTTTCATCTTTGCCGCCGAGGTCTTCTTCCTCTTCTTGTACTTTCTCTTTAGTAGCAACTGCTTCTTTCCGTTTTTTCTCAATCTCTCGCTTAATAAGCTCACTAAGTCCCATACTCATTGCAATATACTAACGGTAGTTCACAGAACTATCTTGTGATATATATATATATATCTCCCGATAACCTCCTCATCCATTCTTCTTTTATTTAAAGGTTCGTTCTTTTTTAAGCAAAAAATTCGAATTTTTTGCTTATTTTTTATTAAGAAACACACCTCGTTAATAGTGATTACACATCAAACTTCCCGGGTAACAGTAATAATTAAAAGCTAATAACACTATTAAAATTAACTGTTTATATATAAATTTTACCATTCAAGATATTGTTGCCAGAGCGAGTTGTTTTAACTTCAAACATTGATACCAAACAGGTCTTTGTCATACCTTATTCTGGGGGAATATCACTATGCACTGGACATTTTTTAAAAATGGGCAACAATAAGACAAGCCACACCCTAAAGATACAAGGGAACACCACAAAACTATCAGTTTCTGATAAATGAAGATAGCTGCAAACAGTAGCGAACCTGTCTCACCCAATGCATAACTATATCAATATAGCCTTCTCATTTTTTAAAGGTAGTTGTTAAATAAAAAATGAGAACAATTTTCTGTGTGAGATGCAAAAGAAAAACGGAAAACATTTAAACAAAAAAATATATATTTTGTATGGCGGAATGTTAAATTTCAAGAGAGAGTGAGAGAGAGATGCAAAGGGATAAATTTAAACCAACTCTATAACTTAAATAAAGAATAAGAAGACAAAACGATCAAAAGTAATAGTCAGAGAACTACACTAACATATTATACGTATAGATCGTTCATCCCTTTTTGTTTTAAATTATGTCTGAAGCTACTACTGAAGCAAAAACTACTGCTTCTGATCCAAAACCTATCGCTACTACTGATGATGGTTATTTATCTCAGGAAGATGAAGTCTTTGATGGTAACGATATTGAAAACAATGAAGGTAAAGTTTATGAAGAATCATTGGATTTAGATTTAAGTCAAAGTAGTAGACAAATTTGGTTAGTTCGTTTACCAATGTTTCTTGCAGAAAAATGGAGAGATAGAAATAGTTTACATGGTCAAGAATTAGGTAAGATTAGAATCAATAAGAATGGTAGTCAAATTAAATTGATGCTAAATGAAAATGATAATGATGCCATACCGCATGAATATGATTTAGAATTAACTAAAAAAGTTGTAGAGAATGAATTCATCTTTACAGAACAAAATTTGAAAAAATATCAACAACGTGAAAAGGAATTAGCAGCAGATCCTGAAAAACAAAGACAAGCTTATTTAAAGAAACAAGAACGTGAAGAAGAATTAAAGAAGAAACAACAACAACAAAAACGTAAAAATAATAGAAGAAGATTTAATCATAGAGTTATGACAGATAGAGATGGTAGAGATAGATATATTCCATATGTAAAGACAATTCCAAAGAAAACTGCAATTACTGGTACAGTATGTCATGAATGTCAAGTTATGCCATCTATGAATGATCCAAATTATCATAAAATTGTTGAAGCAAGAAGAAATATTGTTAAGTTTAATAATAAAGAAAAGATTACAACATTAGATGAAACTGTCGGTGTTACTATGAGTCATACTGGTATGTCTATGAAATCAGATACTTCGAATTTCTTAAAAGTTGGCCGTGAAAAGGCTAAGAGTAATGTTAAATCTATTAGAATGCCAAAGAAGGAAATTTTGGACTATTTGTTCAAATTATTCGACGAATATGATTATTGGTCATTAAAAGGTCTAAAAGAACGTACAAGACAACCCGAAGCTCATTTGAAAGAATGTTTAGATAAAGTTGCCTCTTTGGTTAAGAAAGGTCCTTATGCATTTAAATATACTTTGAGACCAGAATATAAAAAATTAAAGGAAGAAGAAAGAAAGGCAACATTAGGTGAATTGGCTGATGATCAAACAAGTGATTCTCAACAAAATGCTGATGGCACTAGTAATGGTGAAAACGAAAACGAAAATGAAGAAATTGATGATGAAATTGAAATGGAAGATGTTGTTTAGTTCTATTACTATCGTAAGATTTATTTTATCACCGTCACCCAAGTTTTTTTATTGTAGAGTTACTACATACTTGAAAAAAAAAAAGATGGACAAAATCAGTAACCTTTTAGTTATTAAAAATTAATTAAACAGTGTATATACGTTGGTTAATATCTATATAATGTTATATTTCGAATACCATAATGTCTTAGTATTACTATGCACGAGAGAAAAGTTTACAAGAAAACTGGGTCAACAAAATTAAATGAAAATGCAGTTACTAATTTGATCATAAATAGCGAAGTGAATCAATTCCTTTGTTTCTACAATGTTGATGAGAATCATCCTCTGATTCAGTTTCAGTTTCTTCAAATGATGAATCATTTGCAGGAATTATCCTTACATTTTGAACATTACTAAACGAAACTGATCTTCCTCTACTATTGTCATTATCTTCATCTTCATTGTTTGATGACACTGAAAGATGTACCGATTTTTTAGTACCACTTATGGATCTAGTAGAATCGTTCTCACTATAATTTTCTTTATTATCATCTCCATCATCATATTCGAGAATTTTAGAACCACTAACATCCAATAATGAAGTGTTTACCAATTCTGCTGTTCTTATCCACCTTCTCCTTCTTGTATATTTAGCATACGTATCATCTGTAGAAGGATTGGTCCATGTATTATCGCTATATATATAACCAGAATTACTTCCAGGTGATGATACTAACTTTGGTTGAGATCTTGATAATTGGATAGCACCATCGTTCGCCATATCTAAACTCCAATTCTCATCTACCCATTGCCATTTCATATCAGAGTCATCATCGGGTAATTTAAAATGGGTTAAAGGAGGAGCTGGATTCAAATACGCATCTGTCCATGCTGCCCTTTCGTAACTTAACATAGTTGATGTCCATCCGATACCAAGCCATCGACGTTGATTCTCGTACAATGCATAAGTAAATCTTATGGCTTTTGCCTTATCACCTATTGTAGATCCCTTCCCTTTACCTTTATTGCCAAAATTTGAATTTTTCATTTGTTCACTAACTGTAATGAATATTCCTTGATGTTTATTAATACCACCTAAATCAAGACCTGTCACATAAAAGGAAAACAATCTAACAATCCGTATATTCCATAATGCTCTTCTAATCAGCACACAGAATGCTGAGTGATAAGTTAATGTATAGATACCTCCCAACAAAAATAATTTCTTGGGGGTTATTATAAATAATGATATTATCACATATAGTGGTAAAAAGAATGTTATTGTGAAAAAAAGTCGTTTAATATCTTGTAGACTTAATACTCTCACTGGAGCTAATATTATATCAGCTTTCTTGGATACTCTCCCCATCATATGAACTATATCATCTAAAGTAGGGTACGCTGATACTGTCTTTGTGACTGAATTATCCATCATTGAGTAAAGCCACAACAATCCTATTATTATCAATTGTCCAAAATATTTTACAATAAAATCAAAATATATTGTTGTAATGATAAAGAAAACAATTACCAAATAATTAGGCCAATGTTCATCATTAGTCCATGTAAACAGACTCAACGCTTTGTCTGCTACAATTAAATATGGATATAATTTTATTAGTGCTTTAGAAACGTTTGGTGGAGTTGAAGATAACAATGGTGACGAATCAATAGAAGAGTCATCAAAATAGTCCATGCTATCACCGTACACATGTCTCGATGATTCTTTCCTTCTATATCTCTTCTTTAATGCACTTTTCATCCTCTGGTTTGTCACTTCAGGTATCCCATTATGCTGAGAGTCAAGGACGCCAGTTCCGGTTCTTTTATCTTCATTATCATGTATATTTGACATATTATCTGATTTATTAGCATGAATAGAAAGGCACTGCAATGGTATATGAAATTACGTTAAGGTTTATCGCAATAAATCTTAAAATAGAATCGGTAAGGTCTTTCAATTATTATGCTAATTAAATACCACTACTTTTCACTTTATGTAACTATCAATATCACTAGCTAATAGATTTCCTTCAGAATTTGGGTATTAAATTAATAATGCAATTAGATTTTTTTGTATGTTAGGTAATTGTTTCAAATAAATAGCTTTATATTGCAATCATTCAGCAAATTTGTTGTTGCTTACTTTTCAAATTTTTTGCTCTACTTGAAATTAAGTATATGTTAAAAGTCTTAATTGTCAATATCCTAAATACTTTCTTAGCTTCTATGAACTTAACCAAAAGTGTGTGTGTGTGTCTCAATCCCCTTTCTTTAGACAGATTGCTAATTTTTTTCTCTCTCTTTGTTTGTCTCTTCGCGATTTGTGCCATCCATTGATTGATGATGCGTCTTCGTTTCTCTCTGTGAACCAACAAAAATATTGTACATTTTTACATCTATAACTATAATACATACAAAGATAAACACAAGGTATATATATATAAGTGACAGCTTCTATTCAGTCCATAATTATATCATTTGATATCAGAATGGGGGGGGGGATGCAGAATATCATCATTTAAGAAATGTAATGATACAAATTAGAATTCTCGGGATCTCTCTGCACGTATTCCTTGGTGATAAGGAAACCTAAACTTTTCTTGAACACCAATGATTGCAATGTGAAAATTGGTTTTACTTCTTCTGTCACTCTCTCAAGAAGTTCAGTGTGTGAAAGTGTAGTCCGGCGTTTCAAGACTCTGACAATTGCTGCATTTGTCGCATTGATCCTCTCACGCTCTAGGACGTTATTTATGTTGTTATTTTCGTTTCTACGTGAAGATGTAGTGCCTACTATTGTTTGAACCTTTACCTTCTGAGTTGATGCTGTGAAACTATAGTTGATTGAGAATTTATCTGTTTTTGAAATAGTCTTTGAAACTGGAGATTTCTTTAAGATTCTTGATTTGGATGACATTATAAGCGATAGCAATTGACGATATAATTCTTGTTCTGGTATATTAGTCATTTCTAATATCATGTCTATCGTTAATTCATCATGGTTTTCAAACAATAGGAACACCAAGGCTGAATAGAAAGGCATGATCAGGTCATGATAAGTTTTTTCGAATTGGAACCCAATTTGAATTGATCCTAAAGAATGAACCCATTTCAAAGTTCTTTCGTTATATTTCTTATTGTAGAATTTCTCAAAATCCAACTTTAACGTCTCCAATTGAGGCGGTAATATTAAATCTTCAACAACAATGTCATCAATATCTTGAAATGGCCAGGATGTAACAGTTAAGATATCCGGTATAAACTCTAATGTATCCTTTGATGATAAATCTCCAATGGATTTTTGTTGTTGACTTACACTAAAATTCTGAGCTAAATATTCTGAGCGAGATATATCCCTTAACATTGTACCCAATTTATGAGTCCAAAATGACCCCGTCTCCTCATTGATTCTTTTACAAGCAAATTTTTCCACTTTTAAACTCGATTGTTGTTGCAGCAAACGTTTCGTTAATTGATTCTTGTAGATTATAGTAAACTCATCCTTATCTGGTAATAATCTTACTAAATTAACGCAATCGATTATACAGTTCTTTGAATCATTAATCTCTGTCTTTTCCAGTGTATTTTTCAAACATGAATCTAGATAGAAACTCAAATATTGGGCGCTATGTTTTGAATTTTGTTTAAAGAAATTCGAAAATGTTTCATTCAACAAACCCGCAGCAGAGATTGTCCCTTGTGAAACATCTTCAACATTATCATTTCCATCCGTATCATTAGATTGTTGCAAGCCTCCCAAACGGTCATTGGCAATACTAATTTTGGTTTCGTTATCGTTATTAGACTCCACTTCGAAACTTAATCCTTGCAATAGCTTATTATATTTGTTAAACATTATAATAATTGAAGACGTCCATTTACTACCCATTATTGATTTTTTCTTTTCAGATTCATCTAATTCAATTGCAGAAACATTTCTATTTATCATATCCTGAATAACAGATCTTAGTTTCAATCTATACTTTCTTTCTGTAGTTAAATAGTATAATTTTTTAAGATATTCACCATTAAAGGTATCCAAAGCATTTTTTAGTAGTGGTTCCACTATATTCTCATAATTTCCCCAAATCAATACCTTATTAATACATTTTATTATTTTTGTTGCTGCATCAGATGTCAAAAAAGTTTCATCTAATTTTGTTTCGAACTCAATTAATTCCTCTACTTTTTGAAAACCTTCAATTGATTTTAAACTTAATGAATCAGATAGTCCAGAATAATATTTCATAGATTCTTCCAATAGATAATTTTGAACAAAGACTACGAAGAAACTATCTTCGCCACTAAGAATTGTTAACATCATAGATCCCAATCTTTCCAGAACCTCGGTATGTGGATTATCATATGTGCGTGTATCTCTTAAATCATTGATCCCATTAACATATTCCTTATTTACTGTATCCTTCAATGGCAACAATAAGCATGTATTAAATATTTCCAAACCAGTTTCGACAATCCCTGGAGTTCTGTTCCTCTCACAGAATGTTCTCTCCAAATATAACGTCAAATCTCTTATACATTCCAGATGAATGTTGGTGCTTTTCCAGACCTTATCTAATTTTTCTAGAAATTCCCAATTACTATGAGTTATGGTAGACCCTTTGCTGAAAGTATCTGTTCTCAAAGATTCGAATCTCTGAACTAAATACTCCTTAATTCTATTGTAAAGTTCTGCTTCTTGTTTAAATCTAACAACATCATATACAACACGGTATGTCTTTTCGAAGGAAATATCTTGTGTATTATCACTGAAAACTTTATCAAATACATTTCTAAGCACGAGCCATGATTCATCTATACTTGCAGATGTTGGTTGTATTTTTTCAGGTACCTTGATCTTTCCCTTCTTAAAAGAAATCATGATGATAATAATAATAATATATTATAATAAATAAATTAAGGAAGTCTTGATATATTTCTTTCCAGGGAACCTCTAATCTTAAATTTAACCTTGGTTGTTAATATACTTTCCGGAGTTATATATGGTGACTTGTATTTATTTGACTAATCAATGTCAACCACGTTTTTCCTTTCTAGTTAGCTATGCGGAAGTAAAATATCTTCTTTATTTAGTATTGTAAAGAAGGGATAATGAAGAAGACGTAACCACAGACGAAACTAAACCAAAGTAATTGACCACTAATATTGTGAATTAGTCATAATCCATACATACTTAACTAAAAAAGTGTCTCACAAGTATATAGTTGAATACAATCTTTTCCTTCTTTACGCTTATTTCTTTGTCAGGAAACCCTAACCCGTCGCCCTAAAACTGAAAACTGAAAACTGAAAATTGAAATTCTCACAATATTTCAATTTCGTAAACAATGTCAACAACAAGTTCTCCAAAGTAGAAAGTCTTTCGACAGAACCAGTTAGAAAAAAGGTTAAACAAGTCGATTAGCATTCATATCATTCTTTACATTATCAACAAGTAGGGTAAAAGAAACAATTAATAATAACTTCAATATTACAATGTCATCGTCCGATATATTTGACGTTCTGAATATTAAACAAAAATCCAAGAGTCCTACCAATGATTCATCACCAGGGACTGGATCCGGCTCGGTCGGTGGTATAACAACAGGAGCTTCTTCCACATTGCTTAATCGTGCACCAAAACCACAAGTTACTGGTATGCAAAGAGAATTATACAATTTACTAGGAGAAAACCAACCTTCGATTGTTATACAACCTACAAGTAAGTTTAAGGAAAGTTTGAAAAGTGTCACCAAATCTTCTCCATGGACACAAGCAAGATTTAAAGCAAATAAGAGGTTAGTTCTTAGACACTGGGTTAAAGGATCAAAAGATCTATTAGGTGAAGAACCACAGGACTCGTCGTTTGCTAAATATGATCAACACATGTCGTTACCTGAATTCACAAAGGAAGAATACGAATTATTTATGGCTGAACCAGATAGAGATAAGAAAAAAGATGAAAAGAAAGATACCGGAAAGGATGAGCAGAAAGATACTGGAAAAGATGAAAAGAAAGCTGCTGTAGAAGATGAGCAGCAAAAAACTGAGAAATCGGAAGGAAAAGAGTCTCCAATTACTAAAGAAACTAAATCAGACGATAAACCTAATGCAGAAGATCCAAAACCTGATGAAGATAACGAAACAGAGGGTAATAAATCTGATAATACTAAACCAGATGGCGGAATTGATGAACAGGATAAAAAGGAAGATGAAGCTAGTACCTCTGACGAAAAAAATAATGAGGTCGACAGTAACGACAAAAAGGATACTGACAATAGCAGTACCATTGGGAAAACAGTTGGAGAGACCAATATTATGGATGATAAGGATGACAAGGAAACGCCGCAGGAACAAAAACCTGCTGAATGGACATATGAAGAAGTCGAATATTTGTTTGGATTATGTAGAACATACGATTTGAGATGGTTTGTTATAAGCGATCGTTATTCTTTTAAAGGTATACAGCGAACCATTGAAGAATTAAAGACTGAATTCTATATGGTATCACGTAAATATTTTCAATCTAAAAACGCAGCGGATCCATTACTTGCATCGTTGGAATATCCCTTAGATAAGGAGTTGGAGAGAAAGAAATACCTAGAAAGATTATTGTCACGTTCTGCAGCAGAGATTGCAGAAGAAGAAGCTTTAATTATTGAATCTCGTAAATTTGAAATCGGTGCAAAGAAAATGTTAATAGAAAGAGAATCTATGTTACGTTTATTGGATTCACCAAATTCTGATAAATCCGTAGCCCAACATTTAAGTTCACAAGGTATTTCACAATTGTATAGTAGTCTTTTAGCTGACAAGACTAGGAAAAGGAAACATGATTCAACTGTTCCTGAGAATCCATGGATGAAACAACAACAACAATTTGTACAACAAAAACAACAATTGCAACAGTTACATGAACGTAAACCCGATATTTCGACTGGTACTAAGCCAAATGCGACTGTCTCTTCTTCGCTTGCTGTAGCTCTACCTCCGAATAACAAAACAACAACTACCTCAGCTACTGCTCCTTCAGTAACAGCTTCAGGCACGAACAATAATTCTAATAATGGGGTAACACCGTCAGTATCGGGGCAAGCTGATGCACCTCCACCCCAAAAGAAAACTAAGAAACAGAAATTGGAACAACAGACAGCTCAAAAGAGAAAAACGGATGTTGCTTATGCTGAAAACTTATTGAAGGACTTCGACGAAGAAGAGAAGAAGTCTTTGGGTATATCAATGCATGGTGAAAAGCTAACTCCTGGTGTATTTCTCAGATCAACAAGAATATCTACATTTAAACCTGCCTTACAGAATAAGGTGTATGGCGTGTTACAAGAATTGAAACTACCTATCAGACCTGCAATGCCATCGAAAGCTGTGGTTGATAAACAAGAGGAGTTATTGAAACAAATTGTAGTACTTACTGATTTGAAAAAGACAATTGATAAATTAGATGCGGAAAAAGCTGTTTCACAGTAGGGGGAAGATAAAGGAAACATTTGAGACTAGTTTTAATGTGTTTAAGTATATAGAGATCAATATTAAAAGTAAGAGGACGTTAACGTGTTTAGTGATAATACACGTGCTTAAAAATAATTTTTGTATGGCAGATGACATTAGCTCAGCTTTCAGTTTCAAAACAGCAAGAAAAAAATCTGTTTAACTGACGCAGGATCAATTGCAATGGCTCAATGAGTTACCTTCGATGTGATAAACCGTTAATTCAGTTAGGGTTGCTGATGAGCTATTGGTATTTTTGGTGCTGGACCGTTTGTCTAGTGAAAGTTACGCACAAACAAAAGAAAAGAAGAGCTCCCAATTTGGGTGAAAAAAAACGTGAAAAAAAAATTTTCAATTTTGCAACGCACAAAGAATGAAAAAATTTTCATTTCAGTGATGGACGACGACGATATTTAAGCATCGTGTCAACACCATTTAAATCAACAGCCTAATTACATGTTTCTTAAACTGTTCGATTTGATTTAATTCATTGTCATTTGTTACTTATTAGTTTCTTTCTTTTCCTTTCTTTGTTTAAATTGTATTCTTCTTATATATTCTCTTTCAGTCTCAGGACCCTAGTTATCCCTCAATATATAAAGCAATTCATAATGTCTGACTTCTCCAAGATCGAAACTCTAAAGCAATTGAACGCTTCTCTAGCTGACAAATCTTACATCGAAGGGTATGTGTTATTATAATAACTAGGTTCGTAATAGAATCTTTAGTTTTGTTCGCAACAATTAATTAGGTTTAATTAATTCAGATATCCAAATTGTATTTGTTAATGATCAAAGCAGTTTTCAAGTTGAAATTTTTTGCATTTTTCTATCTAGATTTGTTTGAAATCTAAATTTACTTTTTTCTTTTTCTTTGGCAATGTTTGTATCTATTTCAAAAAATGTTTATGTGAATGATGAACTAATTCTTTGGTCCGTGTTTATGACAGGAAGTAAGACCCCTGGAATGAGTGAGAAAAGAAGCGTGAGTGACATCACATCTCTGACAATATACAAAAACATCGTATCTTTTATAAGTTACATTGCAATTGAATGAACATTACAAAAAGAAAATTAAAGAGTAGACTTAGCTTTCATTAATTAAAAACAAATTTAATATTGAAAATTATGTTCTCTTTTAATATTTGAATGTTACGAATGATTATTACAACAAAAGTGTTATTACTACCTTTTAATAATGTTGTATCTATCTTTTTGTTCTCTGTTACTAACAATTATATTAATTGAAAGTTTATTTAATCTTCTCATATTGTGGAGATCTACTTTCAAAAAATATCTATTTTTATAAAGTACCGCTGCTTCTCAAGCTGACGTCACCACCTTCAAGGCTTTCCAAGCCGCTTACCCAGACTTCGCCAGATGGTTCAACCACATCGCTGCTCTAGCTGACGAATTCGAAACTTTCCCAGCTGCTTCCGGTGCTGCTGCCGAAGAAGAAGATGACGATGATGTCGATCTATTCGGTTCTGACGACGAAGATGATGAAGCTGCCGAAAAATTAAAGGCTGAAAGAATTGCTGAATACAACGCCAGAAAGGCTGCTAAGCCAGCTAAGGCTGCTGCCAAGTCTATTGTCACCCTTGACGTCAAGCCATGGGATGATGAAACTGATTTGGAAGAAATGGTTGCTAACGTCAAGGCCATCGAAATGGATGGTCTAGTCTGGGGTGCTCACCAATTTATTCCAATTGGTTTCGGTATCAAGAAGCTACAAATCAACTGTGTTGTTGAAGATGACAAGGTCTCTCTAGATGACCTACAACAAAATATCGAAGATGACGAAGACCACGTCCAATCTACCGATATCGCTGCTATGCAAAAATTATAAGAACCTTTCTTTATGTTTTTTGTAAGTTGTATATTATGATTACCACTTTTTAATTCATTCTCTTTCTTTTCTATAATAACAATTTTGTATAGATTTACGTAGGTTCTAATATTTGATAACAATGATTTCAAACATGTAATATTATATGGATAAAACTATGTGTAGTGGATGCACAGTATGTTAATTTCAATTCATAATGTTATATATTTATTGTTTTGTTTTTTTTTCATTTTCATATGGAATATATCTTTATTATATACGTAAATATCTTTTTTTTTAGTAACACCATGACTATCGACAGCTTACTTTAACGAGGCTAAGAAATCAAGAGCTAATGTTTACATATTCTACTTAATAAGTACCATGACTAGTAATCGTAAATCATTCCAAACCTTCGTCCATCCAAGCTAAAGTGTTCATAATACCTTGCTCGATGTCAACTCTAGGTTCATAGCCTAGATACTTCTTAGCTTTACTAATGTTATGATAACGGGAAGCACATACAATTTTTACACGAAATGGCGTCAAACCTGGTTCTTTACCTAATAGTTTTGAGAAAAACTCTGAAAGGTAACCAGCTAGAATAGCTACTGGTCTTTTCAATACAATGACACGTTTATCAATGTGATTGTCAGCTTTCCAAACAGTACGAGCTAGAGCCCAAAAGTAAGATGGGGTATCGTTAGTAATGAAGAAGGTCTCACCGGCAACATTATCACGAGTCTCTGGGTTCAATAATTTTTCTGCGGCTAAAACATGGGCATCTGCAACATTACCTGCGTATGTCCAATCAAACAAATTGTTGTTGTCACCAATTTGGAATTTTGATTGCCCTAACTTGGCTACAGTTCTTAACCCTGGAACTAATTGTCTATCACCTGGACCAAAGATACCAGCAGGACGTAATGCAACTGTATAAAATCCATTGGTTGGATCATTAGCTTTCAAAACCATATCTTCTGCGATTGCTTTAGTTTCATTATATGCATCCATTGGGACCTCAGGGATTGGCCATGTTTCATCAGCATTATGGACATCTTGACCGTTAAAGATAACACCTGCTGAAGAAGTATACACAAAAGTAGAAACGCCAGTCTTCTTACAGACATCAAGAATATTCCTGGTACCCTTGACGTTAACTAACTCATAGATACTAGCTTCACCACCATGCACTGGAGAGGCTGCGTGAACTACAACATTGGCATTAGTTAGTTTAATAGCTTCTGTGACACTATCTTCGGAAGTTAAGTCACCTTTGAAGAACTCAATTGCTTCGGGATCAAATGTAAATTGCTTAGATAGTTTCTCTGGTAATGGTCTTACATCAAATACACAAATTTGGGGTTTACTAGGCATATCATAAAACTGTTGAATTAAATGTAGACCTAGAAAACCTGCGCCACCAATCAGTAGAACTGATTTCACTTTTTCTGTCATGATAATTGTATTTATATCTTTTTATACTGGCTCTTTGTTATTAAAATATCTATATTTTCTGGAGGGAAATTGACGTTCAATTTACCAAAATAAAATTAGGTAGATAGCAAAAGATATTTAATTTTATCGATGGGCAATTAAGTAAAAATCACAAAAGAACCAAAAAAACAATAATCGTTAGCTCCCAATTGTTTAAACATGTTACTTGTTGTTATATATAATGAATTGCAAAATTGTAAGAATTTTGTCGCTTTCGTTAAACATTTCGGGCTTTTTGGATATAAAATTAATGTTTTTATTAAACGAGCAAAAGACTTCTTTATAACCGAAAAAATATTCTTAACTAAGCGAGAAGTACTTAGATTCATTTATCTGTGATCACATAGAAGACATATACCAGAAGTTTCAGGTTTCAATTGGGATTGCAACAGCCTATATTTTTTAACATAGGCACATCTATGTTGCTGTTAATAGAGCTATTGAAGTTTGTATTTTCAAATATATATGTATGTGTGTATGTAAGTATGTAATGTACTTTGCTGATCAACTGTCAAATTTCCAACCATTCCATTCAAAGTCTGCATAGCATCTAAACTCATTACTCAAACCATTACCATGCTCCGGTAGGAAAGTAGTTATATTTGTTTCAGGGTATACTTTCTTCATGATATCCTTCATTCTCTCACCAGTACATGATATTAGACGATGTTTGGCGATTCCGTTTGATGTCTTGGAACCATCGTTAGTAGCTAACAACTCATTAGCAGTGATAGAAGATTTAGTTTGACAGTTTTCGTTTAGGAATGGTGGATCGATCAATAGTCTATCAACTTTATGTTTTATTTCAGACTCAAATTCAGTTGGTACTTCATAATTGTAAAACACAAAATGTTCTTTACCAGCCATAACTTCAAATCTCTTGTCAAATTCAAAAAGGTATATGTGTTTAGTCGGTATGTCTTCTTCTGGTTTCTTCTGTATAGCTGCATAAACAGATGGTGCACTGACAACAGCGATAACAGTGTTCTCATCTGCACCCTCCAATAGTGCATCAGCCAATAGATCGGCAGTGGCATCACTGTACCAGAATTGTGACAATTGCCAATCCTCTTGGAATAAATTCATACCTTCTTTCTTTCTCTTTTGAAACTCTTCGTCTGTAGCTTTGTACATTTTCTCAAAATCTTCAGCACGTTGTTGCTCTTCTTGTCTAAATTCAGCAAGTGCAGCAAGTGCATTTGCTGATAAACTTATTTCCATATCAGAATCAGAGTCAGACATGCCTCACTATCAAGTTGACTGAATAATGAATTATCTTATCTTTTTTGACAACAGAACTTCTACATTTATATAGTGAATAAGTCGATGACTTCTTAATATATTTTCATTTGTAGTGTTTATTGCAAATTTCAACATTATATCGAGTGAAAAAAAAATTTCACCTCGCGTTTGGAGGGAATAACGACTTTGTTGCTACTATATGTGACAACACAACAACTCTTAAATAGACATTAGAAAATGAAATAAACATATACATGTATATTACTATGAATATTAGATGGATTTTAAATAAGAACTGACACAATAATTAGAGTAGAAGAGATCCTATTTATTGGTCCCCTCCTTACTTTCTTAGATCCTAAATTATTTATCCAACATTGCATATAAATTCTTGATTAGCCAATTATTTGACAACATTCACTTTACAATAAGCATCGTAACAGGAGACTAATAGGAGCAGTAGATCTGGATATACCATAAGCCTAACGTAGATACAGGATAGGAACACTAATTTAAATACTTTAACAGAGTTTTAATATTTCCAATCACTTACAAATAACGCCAGAAAAAAGATCGTACAAAAAAAAAGCTCGTTCCTAATCACGTTATCTTTTAAATTTTCGCTTTGTTTTTAATTTTTATTTTAACTTTTTATTTGTATACGCTATCCGAAAGTAATTTACAAAGTTCTTAATGAAATACTTTTCGTTGTATGAAAAAAAGAAAATAATTACGCAAAGGGAAACTTCTGTTGAAATGATGGTTCTCGTATTAAGAATGGATAGTTTTAATTGCAAGTAAATTAAGTTCTCATAAACAAAAGACAGAATTTACACAGTCAGAAAGCTGTGCCAAATTACTGAATGGAATATATGGGATATATCAGAACTCCAGTCGGAAGTTTCATTGAATAATTGTGAGTATAGTACTATCTCTCAATGGCCAAAAAGACAATCACAAGGAAAAGAAGAATTAAATCATGTACATATTGCTATTCACATAAACTGAAATGTGACAGAACCACACCTTGCTCAACATGTGTGGCAAACGGTCCTACTGTTGAATGTAAATATTGGTCCGATAATGACAATTCACAGTCTACTAGACCAGGCTCTTCTTCTAGCAAGTCTCGGATGATTGAAAATATGGAATGGGCATTACCTCAAGACGAAGTATACGGTGCAAAATTCTTGTATCCCTTTTTTACTCCCTCTATGAATGATAAAGTGGTCAGCCCTAAGGTTACATCAAGGATTATATTAAATGCAAATTTTGTTAGAAACAAAATCACTGGATTTGATAAATTCGCTAGAGTTGACCTTCAAATGAAAGATGTTTTAGTTTACTTATTGGACTCAAAAGATTACATGCATAATTTAATAGATAACTATTTTCTAAATGTCCACCCTATTATACCAATTTTGGATAAAAAAGATATAGAATCCCGAGCACAGGATATATATAATGAGATCGAACATACTTTAGATCTAAATCCACTTGATGTAATCCTTCTCATCTCCGTATATTTTTGTTCTTTATATGCTTCCTTGGCCTCTGAAAAACTTGGTACTGCTACAGAAACTTATAGATGCTATGCTATTTATAGGTATCTTCTGGACATAACAAAGTTTCCACTTGTCCCCTATATAGAAACAGTTCAATCATTCGCTGTAGTGAATTTTATAATGGATCCAAATATGAGAGAGGCAGTTGCTTATTCGGCTATGTTGGTACGTTTGGGTCAACAACTGAATATTCCCAAGAAGGCCATGGAGTTAGGTGACAAAGACAATTGTTTACTGTACCTATGGCATTATATTTTATTTATGGAAGGTTCCTCATCAGTTGCCTCTGGGTTTCAGTTTAGTACGTCAAAGGATGTCTTCAGCTTGGTAAAGTTACCAGTAAGCCCACATAAGCACGGAATTGTCCATGATGTGCCCTTAGAATACACAATTTGCCGTTTTAAAATGAATAATATCTTTCAGAAAATAATGGAGTTAACTACTAAAAATACTATTTCAAGAACAGAAAATGCTTATATCGAGGAAAAAATTGGGTTACTCTATAGGGATGTCGGTAAAGTAGAGGGTCGATTGAAGCATACATTCCCTGATAGGGCTTCCTACTATTCGAGTTCATTGTATATATTTCTCCATCGTCTACATTTAAGGTTTTTTGCATTTGAATCTCTCAAATTAGAAAGTGGTCAAAACCGTAATAGGAGCTTTGGAGTCACAAAAAATACATCCTCAAAAGACATATTTTGGATATTGGATAGGAAGATGACATTAAGGGATGAAGTTGTTCCATTAACTTTATTATTACTTCTTAATACATTAGAGAGATTAGTACAACCAGATTGTGAGGATTTGAATTGGTATAGTAAAGGCTCTACTGTGATGCAATATCTTTTTGTAATCTTGAGAGATTTGTACCAAAATCCATTTAGGGAATATCCACTGTCATCATTTGTGGAGCCACTGTATGCGTCAATTAGTTTTGATATTAAGGAAATTATAATGTGCCATCCACTACTATATAAATATAAGTTAATTGAGGAGTTATTAAAGGTACTAGAATTGAGACTAGCCCCTCTGTGGAGTGACAATGAATTGTATAAGTTCATACTTGTCAAAATGGTTAAGGAGAAGGTCTGGAGTAAGTCTGATGACTTGATTAAAAAATATTGTGAACAATTCGACCAATTGGGACAATGCCGTCTGTTTGTTCTTGGTAAGCCACAACAGGAAAGCATGGGTATCAGTATCGATGACTTTGTCACAAATTTGGAACCAACTCTATTTGGATTGGATGCTGAAAAAATATTAATTGATTGGTTAATCGATATTTAACAAAACGCATATGCACAGTTGGAACCCGACTATTGGAATTTAGTTCATCTATCTATATATCTAAAGAAATAGTAACATTTTTTATAGAAATATTTTTATTTTGGATAAGATATTGCAAGAAGCTAACATTATTCTCCCTTATTAAGAACAAAGAAGCCTCAGTGATTTAGATTATAATGTGTCATTTTAAGACTGAATTTGGTTGCTTATTGTTTTATTTTAATATTATGTTGTTTTGATTCTCTTTATCTTTAACGGTGTCACATTTAAATCTTTTGGTAAAAAGAACTATAAAAATTGAAAGACTATGATAAGCTTCGAAAAGAATAAGACGATGAAACAATGAAATGTTTCTACCTAACTTCTGGATGTTTTTTCGTCTTACAACATTATGTGTGTTGTGTTTAGAGCACTCTTAGAAAAATAATTTACTGATCCTTATACAAAATACATACATGCATATGGTTGTTCCACAACAGTATGCTGACTAATCTGAGATACAGAGAAAACAAGACCAAATACTGAAGAAACAAGAGGTAATAACCTGGCAAGTGTAACATTACTATTATTTATAATTTTTTAAAGTAATTTGCACATAAAAGAATTTGCCTTTTCTATTAGATCTTAAGAGGGTATGTGTTTTAACCTTTATTTATCTAAATTGCACCAAAAAAAATAGGCCATGGTATTTTTGTAAGTATCAATTTTAGAATTATCCTTAAAAACTTTCATATAAACATTTTATCTAAACTACTTGGAGCAATTTACATTATAAGGGACTAAAATAAGTATTAGGGTTGCAATTAAAGAGAATTACTGAGGAAATTGTAACTCAATATAAAATGCCACAATTTGTTATGAATGTTTCTTACATAAATTGTCAAATTTCGAAGCAAATGGTGTTAAATGAAAGAGTGACAAATTAATTATTAGAATTGATGTTTAATCAAAAAGAAAAGATTCTTTTGGACAAGAGACAGTTTCTTTGGTTAAGCCACTTTTACTGTGTTGCAAGATGGTAGTACCATTCTAAAATGAATGAAAGAACGATTTCTTATTGGTGGTTAAAAAATATGGTGTAAATAATTTGTGATTAGTTAATGTATTTATTTATTTTTATTTAATCGTGCCATTCGTTGAGAAATTTAGTGAATTGACTTCAAACATATGGATAAAATATTCTTTATAATAAAGAGAAATGTCGGTAGCAAAAAAAAGAAAAATTTTACTAATAGACACTAGGGAAATTAAATAGGTGTTTTTGTTATGCGGTAGAAGAGATTTAATGCTCATAATGTATTAAAATATCTCTTTTCTGTTCTACTTTTATTATTTAGCATTTGAAAAGTTATATAAATATACAAATATGAAATCAATTTGGCGGCCAGTAATTAGTTGCGTTACTTATGGAAAGAGGGATTCAAAATACATAGTTTAATTAATTTTTAAAATCTTATAAAATTTTTAATCAATAGGCTATTGATAACGTTTAGAAGTAATATTTTGTTGCTCGATGCAATGCATTGTTTTATCAAATTGATAACAAACTAGTTTATCTTGTTGTGACTAATTTTTTACATTTTTTTACAACTAGCCGACATTCAGGATCCACCAAAAGTATTATAAAAGAAAGTGTTAAATAACAAAAAAAGGATATACCAAAATTTAAAACAAAGGTAGAGATAATACTTCAAGTAAAAAAAAATATCAGAACTAGTTTTAAGGGATCTTTCATCAGAATAAGACTTTAGATTCAAATAATGACAGAAAAGGTTACCATTGCCCATATCCAACATAACTTTGTTGATGTCATTGAAGATGTAAGAGATTCGTCTCCAACTGATAACACATTCTTTATCAATGTCAATAGTTCGCCCAATGAAATCACCGAACATGTAATCACAGTAGAGAAATTAGAACCTTTCTTCAGTTGCTCACCGGATGACCAATTTAAGAAATTGAACATAAACAAATATGAAGCTACCCTAAATGGAGAAACGTTTAGATTCAATACAAGTGTCAAGGACTGGACAACTGCCAATTCTAATACCAGTTGGAGCGCTGTTGATGTTATCCAAACCCCTCAGATGAGATATCTATTAGGTGACTCGGTAGGAAATATTAAAGTGTTCGATGAAAATTATGATCTGGAGAGAGAGTTTGAAAATATCCATTCTAGTGATATCACTTCTGCCAAATTCTTCCCAAGCGCTGAAGTAATATTATCAGCATCTTCGGATATGCAACTTAAGATATTATCTGTTGAAGATGGTTCAAATCCAAGAACTTTTGCAGGACATACATCAACTGTCACTGGATCAGTAATAGTGGGCCGAGGAAGAAACGTATTATCTTCGTCAAAAGATGGTACAATACGTCTATGGGAATGTGGATCGGGAAGTAACATTCATTCATTTACAAGAAGAGAAAATCCCTCTGATAGTGTCAATTCGATAAGTTTAAGATCTGAATCAGGTTCTAATTCTACGATGGAAACAAGCGATAAAAATTTAGAATATGAGACAGAAGGAAAGACAATATTTGGTGGACATACATCTGGAGTCGTGACAGTCTTTGATATATTTTCAAAAAAACAATTATTACAGTTACCAAGTGAATTTATGTCTTCTTGCACTTCGGTGAGTGCAGATCCTAAGGAGTTCAACCATGTTGTAGCTGGTTATGAGAATGGAACTGTTGCTATATGGGATATTAGATATCCAAATAGCTGTGTATCTAAAGCTATTATTAAAGACAGGACACCTATCAATAAACTATTATTCCAGAATGGCATGATAATAACATCTACAGGTTGCGATACAAGTTTGTCTATGGACATTGCTCCTGATTCAAAGAAAATTAACACAAACATTCCAACTTTTTTTGTATCAGATGGTGCAGATGTTTCAGACTTTGCTTCTTTTACAGACCAGAAGGGTATTCATAATCTAATTGCAGTCGGTAGGTTTGGATATTGTGCAGGATACGAGCTTTAAGAATTTCTGAAAGTTGTCTTTTCTCTTTGCTTCAATAAGCTAACTATTACTCCAAGCGAAACTACACTCTGAACTATACTATTCCAAGGGAGAAACTGTGGAGTTTAACTCAAAAATCATGAGTAATAAGATATATATGATCATATTTTTGCAATTAATGAATAATAAAATAAGTGATAAAAAAATATTTTCTTTTCTCTTAAACTTCATATAATTTTAAGAATCTTGTTAACACTTCTGTTCAAACGAAAGTTAGCTTAGTTGTAGAATTTCTTAGATTCTATAAACTTCTATCTATAATTACCGTTCTTTAATAAAAAGAAAACTATCATTTTCTTCCAATTAAAATTTGTAGAAGATGAAAGAAAAGTTTAGAATGTGTTCATCACTAACATTATTTTTTTTCCCAAGGATGATTATATAAAATCAGTATATATCGCGTATCTATACCTATTTAGGTATTTATAAGAGAAGCCGTTATCCTGGGTAAAACTTCCAAAATAGGTTAATACAGCCGAGAAATAAGAAACGAAAAGTCAAATATTATAGATCTCGCTCCCCCTACTGCCTTGCAAGGAAAGAGAGATGAGGAACCGAAGGACGTTGGACAACAAGTGAGGTTCAATGTCGTCTATTGTCCCGTCATTTACTCAGTTTGCGACATGTAATCATATACTGGATATGTTGTGTCTTTTAGAAAGCTGAAAAGTAACAATATTTCGAAAATATTTTCATCCAATAACTTAAAAGAAGGATAACAGTTTCACATTTCAAAGGTATATAAATCAGCAAAAAATTTGAACTTAGGGATAGTTTAACCAACACAAATATTTATTACTTATATCATAATAAACCAAATACCTAATTTAAAGGAAGATCAATCAATCAATCAATCAATCAATTATACAAACTCACAACCATGCCTCATCTATCAACTACTCTAATTCACGCAGATGACAAAAACAACCGTGTTTCCGATGTTGCTCCACCTATTAATGTTGCTACTACTTATAGATATGACAACAACAATTTGATTCCGTGGGCTGAACAGGACGAAATGACAGTTTTGGAAGGAGAACCTGTTTATTCTCGGGAAGCTCACCCAAATTGTACTAGATTGGAAAATATCTTTTCAGATGTACTTGATGGTCATGCTGTGGTTTACAATTCAGGCTGCTCTGCATTTCATGCAGCTTTGGTCCACTTCAATCCAAAGAGGTTCTTTATTGGTCAAAGTTACTTTGGTTGTAAGGCAATTGCCGATATGATTACAAGAAATTATGGAATGGAACAGTATACATTGGAAGATATTGAGAAATATGCTCAAAAAGGTGATTTGGTTCACTTAGAGACTCCAGTTAACCCTTTTGGTACTTCAATTGATATTCAGTCTATCGCTGATAAGGCTCATGCTAAAGGCGCTTTGTTACTTATTGATTCTACATTTGCACCTCCACCTTTACAAAACCCATGGGAGTTTGGCGCTGATATCATAATGCATTCTGCTACCAAGTTCTTTGGCGGCCACTCAGATTTGTTAAGTGGTGTTCTAGTGGTCAAAGATCAAACTGCAGCTAGGGAATTAAGACATGATAGAATCCATCTAGGAACTATTATTGGGAACCTAGAGAGTTATTTATTGATAAGATCAATGAGAACTTTCGAGATGAGGGTCCTGCAACAATCCAAGAATGCATCTGCCATAGTTCAGTTCCTGAACAATAACAAATCCACTTATGATAAAGTTGTTAGAGTCTTACATCATTCATCTTTACAAACAGAACCTTTTGTTGCTAAACAATTGGCAGGTGGTCAAACCCCAGTATTCTCCATGTGCCTAATGAACCAAGAACAATGCAAGAAATTCGTTGGTAAGCTGAAATACTTTCAACATGCAACCTCTTTGGGTGGTGTTGAATCCTTAGTCGAATGGAGGGCTATGTCAGACGATACTATTGATCAAACATTATTACGATTCTCTATTGGTTGTGAAAATGCTAATGATCTTATCGATGATATAAAACAAGCTTTGCAAAGCATGCAAGACGAGAACTAATCAACATAGTCCTCTCAAAGCTACTTCATAAGAAATGTAGCTCCAAACAGATTATACTTATATAAAATTACATAAACAGAAATTTATATACTTTAAATTTCCTTTGTAGTACAATACAAATCCTTTTTTCACTTCTTTCAGATCCTTTGTCGAACCCTTTTAGTTGAGCAACGCGCTTTTCCTTCCTGTTAGTAGATAAGTAAAACATTCATGGTTAAGAGCTTTTAAAAAATTACTGTGAATAGTAAGAGAGAGTTGCGGAACGTTTCAAACGATTATATTATATTAGTATATTACAATATTCCAAGCGCCAAACTTCCATCTGTGTTAATTTACTATTTACCATTCTCACTTCTAAGAATAATGTCAACAAACGAAGATATAACTCCTACTGAAAAGGACGAAATTTTAGAGATATTCTTCGATGAAAACTTTGTTCCACAAGCATATGTAGATATCCTACTGTCGACTACACGTGCGCAGAATAAACATCAGCTACAACATACATCTTCCTCACTGTTGGCTAGACTAGACTTCTACACTAAACATCTGACTTCCGAATTAGAAAAGACCATATGGAATTTAGAAAAACTATCTGAAAGATTACCTGGTACTTGGGATTCGAAGTCCAGTAGGGACCAACAGCCGAATTCGAATGAAGACCAGTACATGAATTCCCAGATTCCTGGTGCGTCAAAACTAGAATATTATTTAGATACATTGGGCGGGGCTGTGAGATCAGTGGAAAATGATGTGGAAAAGATAAATAAAGAACTTGAAACTTTAGATGGAAAGTTCAATGATGATACAGATGTAATCGAGAAATCTAAAAAATTGGAACTTGTTCGGAGTAGACTGAATAATGTACTCAACATCTTTCTTCAATTACAAAGCATATTAGGTATCTCTCAATCTACTGATTCAGACTCAAAGCAAACTATAAAAAATGTATCATTAGAAAATTTTACACTGGCATTGAATACCTTAGAAGAAACTATCACAGAATCGTTAACTGAATCACTTAAAAAGGAATCGTCAAAAGAAAGAAATGCTGATTTGATAGCTAAAGTAGATCAATTTATACGACTGACTCAATTATTTCAAGGTTTGACCCACTTCCATGACATATATGCCAAATTTTCGGACAATATATCCAGAGCCTCCCAAAGTTATTTAGCTACGAAGGATATTGATGGTGATTTTAATATTTGAAAATAAATATGCAAAACCTTTATATAGAGCAGCACCTTTATATATCTGTTAAACATTTCTACGTCGTTGTAAAATGTTATATAGTGACAAATCAAACACTCACTGCTTCAACATTATTTTTCGAATACCACGAAATACTATTTTAAATAAATATGCCGAGAATAGAAATATTTATAGAAGCATCAATCATAAAGGACAGTCTGTAAAGTCTTATTACAATAGAATATATGAATTTTCGTTAAAAAAATGTTAGAATTATTTTATATAGTACAATAATGCAATAAGTATGTAACTAGTAAAATGCACTAGCACTGGAAGAGAATGCCTCTTCTTCACCTTCTGGGAGAAGTGATTCTTCGTCTGAAGGAGATCCTTGTTTATGTCTTAGGAACTCGAAGCTCACATAATAATTCAATTTGTCGAACAAACGACGAGGGAAAATTTTCATTGCAACTTCATCTGGTACTATTCTAATTAGAAGACCAACTGGAAGCGATAAGGTACCACATAGTACGGCAGTTTTCCACATAGCGGGTGTCTGTGGAGCAATTGAGAAAGGTGCACCACCATAAAACATAATGAGGACTTGACAAGTACCAATTAAAGCCATAACAGTTAAGAAATAATAATTTCTAAATAGATCCTGAAAGAAATCCAAGTTCACTTTAGTTATTCTTTCTCTCCAATTTGTTATACCATCACATTCGTCCAATTTTCTAGAAACAATAAGTGTGAAAAATTGTAACCAAACGAATGTGTTAAATGTCATTGCATTCAATTGTTGTTGTTGGAATCCAGTAATTGTCTCATCATTAGGGAAGAATATCTTTTGGCCACCGAAATGCAATATGAATGTAATGATGAGTTGTAAAGTAGCTTGTCCCAAAATCATCTTCCAAGTAGATGGGGTAATCAATGGTGTACTACGTCCCCTTGGTTTCCTCTCCATAATACTTGGATCTGGTTTATCAGTAGCCAATGCAAGAGCAGCTAAAGTATCCATAATCAAATTAACCCATAGTAATTGAACTGCAGTCAATACGGACGTTTCATCTTCTGAAGCTACAGAAGACACAAAAGTTAGAACTACAGCTGTAACATTAACGATTAGCTGAAATTGAATAAATTTTTTGATTGAAATAGAAACACATCTACCCCATTTTATAGCATCAACAATAGCAGAAAAGTCATCTGTCATTAAAATAATATCAGAGGCTTCTCTTGCGACTTCTGTACCTGATATACCCATGGAAAAACCAACATCAGCTAATTTTAAAGCAGGCGCATCATTTGTACCGTCACCAGTGGCAGCTACAACATTACCCATCCCCTTTAATGTTTCAACAAGAATCCTCTTATCTTCTGGGGATGATCTGGCCAGAACTCTCAAGTTTGGCAAAATTTTTATACGTTCCTCTTTAGTTAATTTACGGAATTGAGGACCTTCCATAGCACGATCAGATTCAGCAAAATTTTCTGGGGTTAAAATATTACAATTTCTAGCAATAGCTCTTGCGGTAGTAATATTATCACCTGTAACCATACGAACTGTAACACCTGCACGTTGACATTGAAGGACAGAGTCCCTCACACCTTTACGTAAGGGATCTTGAATACCAACAATACCATCTAAAGTCATAGAATCAACACCATTGTTCTGTTCTAACACTTTACCTAATAATAATTCTGGTGAAGCCTCCATAGTTTTTTCATCATCTTCAGTTTTGTCTTTAAATTCCTTTGGTGGCCATGATTTACAATTCAAAAAATCTCTATGAGCCAATGAAATAGCTCTCAATGCATCTACAGCAAGTTTATTAATTTCTTCTTTGATATCAGTCATTACATTATCATTAATTTCTACAGTTTTGTTATTCGAAAGGGTCTTGTATTTACATTTGCGGGAGACAATCTCAGCAGCACCCTTGACGAAAAATCTATAAGTATCTGAACCTTGTAATTTAACTACAACTCCTGCCCATTTACGGGAACTTTCAAAAGGAATTACCTGTACAATTTTCTCTATTTGAAAATATTCGATTGTATTAGTTCTCATTTTTTGTAAATTACCAAATTGTACACCCAATGCCTTTCTTGACATATTCAATAATGCAGTTTCTGTCTTTGAGCCAATATATGCTTCAATCCTACCTCTTTCGATGGAACTCATTAATTCCTCATGATTTGCAGTATCATTTTGATCACTATCATGTTCTGGAGAATATTCTTTATTTTCAAATGCAGTGGAGTTCAATATAATATTTGACAAGACCACTTGTTTTAATTCCTTTGAACAAAATTGTCCCTGTTTGTTGAAGATTTCATGAGAAGTCTGTTGCGAAGTTCTCTCAAAATCTCCATCATCGAAATAAGAATCTCCAAATACACCCTTAACAATACTCATAATATTTTCTGTCAAAGTACCTGTCTTATCCGAACAAACAGCAGTCGCAGAACCCATTGTTTCACAAGCTCTTAAATTTCTAACTAAATTACCATCTTTTGTCATTCTCGTCGTTGCAAAAGCCAATGCTAATGTGACAGCTAATGGTAAACCTTCTGGAACAGCAACTACAATAACTGTTACTGCAGTGATAAAAATATTCATGAATTTACTACCTTTTTGAGCAGGATCTAGATCATGAAATCTACCATCAGGTAATAAAGTATAAATTAAAAATCTAAAAAAAAGAACCAAAAATAATATCATTGCGGCGACACAGCCATATACTGAAATACTATCAGCCAATTGACTTAAACGTTCTTGTAAAGGTGTTGGATCAGGTTCAACTTTTAAGGACATCATAGTTCTACCATAAATGGAATTAGTCCCTACAGCTGTCACTACAGCTTTACCAAGACCTGATAATAATTTTGAACCCGAAATCAATATACAATCTGGTACTTTATCACCATCCTTTGTAGAATAACCAATATCTAAAGTATTATTTTGTGGATCCTTTTGTTTCAATTCTTCATACGACTTAAGTGAAGTAGTTAAATCTACTTTCTTAATTGTATCTGATTCACCAGTCATTGATGATTCATCAGCTTCACAAGTACCTGAAATTAAAATCGAATCCGCAGGAACAACATCCCCAGTTTGTAAATTAATTACATCACCAACAAGAATATCATGAATAGAAATTAATATTTCATTACCATTTCTAATTACAATAATATCACGATCTTCTTTTTTCTTATTTAATCTTGCAAATTGTAATTCTTTTTGGTAATCATTTAATGCACCCACAACAACGACAACAACAACAGCAGTCATGATTGCAATACCTTCAATCCAATCCACTTGTTTAATTGGATTACCTTCCGGATCATATTGTGGTGGTTGATATATTAATTCATAAAGACCTAATAGAAATGATACAATTGCAGCAGCTGTTAATAATATCATAGTCTTATCATGAAGTGCTTCCCAAACCAATTGTAAAAAAGTTTTCCCAACTCTTTCAGGGATTCTATTATCACTATAAATTTGATATCTTTCCTCCTTTAAATAAGATTTATCATCAGGAAGAATTATCCCTTTAATCTTATCAGTCTTTAAAAATTTAAATAAATTTTCTTCATCATTTTGAAACAATTTATTAAATATTTTAAGTGATTTTGGACTATGTAATTCTGACAATTGATCTGTAGTCAATGGGAAATCGCCACTCCTCGGTAATGTTCCATACCTATGAGTAAGTCGACGAACTAATAAACTTCCATGTTCATCATTCATCGTCATTTCTCAGTATATAAGTTTTCTTTTCCTTAATTTACGAACCAGTTTTCCAAATCAAATTATTTCCACACCGATATGAATCTATATATCATTAATTAGGTTCACCTTTTCACACAGGTAGTAAGTACAAATATAGAAATTTTACTCTTTTATATATAAAGGTACTTGTTAAAAAAAAAACAAATGTATTATTGCCAAGAATGGGGGTCCTTTTAACAACTTCCACTTTGTTGCTGTGCCCTCTTTTTTCTTCTTCTTCTTCCTTTTTTTCCTTCTTTTCTCTCTCGTGCTTTCAGTTCATTTTCCTTAAAAATGCTATAATAATGAACTCTTTTTTTCACTATATAAACCGTTCCATTTCGGTGTAAAAGTGATCCCATTTTAGAAACATTTTCTAGCAAGAAGAGAAGGGGCAGTGCTTAATGATCCCAAAACAAGATCAGAAAAGATACCACCATCGAGATCTAGACATGGCGATAACTAATGTAAATGAGGCAAAGATCTTGCACTTTTATATACGTACTTTGCCCCCCCCCCCTGATGTATAAGCAAACTTCCAAAGGAATTGAATTAATAATAATATATAGGTACGTACGGCTATGCTACATATGTGAGATCTCTCTCTGTCTCTCTGTCTCTTGAAATTTTTGTTTGTTTGTTTTATTTACCTGTATTAAAGAAACGATGGAAATCAGTCAAGACAAATCTATATTTAACGTCACCATTATCCAATTTTGTTAAACCTTCATGAACACCATTTTCACAAATTGGAATTTCTTGAATCCATGGTTTAATATCATATTTTGATGCTAGTGATAATAATTCAATTGCTTCTTCACGCGAGCCTAATTTTGATGAACCAATGGTACAACCATTTGAAAAGAATTGAATTGGTTTTAAATCGAATTCTTCATCTTTATGTGGTAGACCCACCGACAAGAATTTTTTATTAACTTTTAAGCAAGGCAATAAATCATTTAATTGCAAAGCTTTAGTTGATGAAGCACAATTTAAAATTAAATCAAATGAATCAATATAATTAGTCATCCAGTTTTTGTCTTCACTAGTAGCGACAAAATGATGAGCACCCATCTTTAAAGCATCATCTTTCTTTGAATTACCTCTTGAAAAAGCTGTAACTTCTGCACCTAAAGCATTAGCAATCATAATAGCCATATGACCTAACCCACCAATACCAATAATTGCGACTTTCGGGTTGACAATTCCTTGAATATTTCTTTTAATTGGTGAAAATACAGTTAAACCACCACACATTAAAGGTCCAACAAATTTAGAATCTAAATTATCAGGTATTGGGAAACAAAAATGATCCAAAGCACGAACATGAGATGCATAACCACCTTGAGATACGTAACCATCTGAATAAGTGGAACAATAGGTACCAACAGCATGAGGACAATATTGTTCATTGTTTGATTTACAACGAGAACAATTCAAACATGAATAAGCCTGTGCACCTAAACCAACACGTTGGCCAATTTTATACATTGTTACGTCATTACCTATTGCGACAATTTTACCAACGATTTCATGACCTACCACTTGAGATTTTGGACCATATTTTGATGATAAACAATTTAATGGAGCATCAGACCAATCATTTTTCAAACTGAATAATTCAGAAGCACAAATACCACAACATTCAATTTCAATATCAATATCATGAGAACCAAAATTTTTTGGTTGATATGAGGTTAATTTTGGATTATCCCATTGTTTTGGATCTGTGATTGCAAACCCTTTAAATTCAGTTGGATAATTAACAGTAGTAGAATCTGACATTATTGAAAATAGAGTTGTTGGTGTTGTTGTACGTCGAGAGAGGTAGAGAGGAGTACTTACAATTGAATACAAATACTAAAGAAGTTGACATATATATATATATGGTTTATTATATAATTCACACAATGAAAAAAAAAGGAAAAAAAAAGGAACAATCAGTCGGCCGAACGATAGCCGTTTATTATAGTTGATGGTTCGGCCGACCATCCATCCACATGGCATTTCCAAAAAAAAAAAATAAAATAATGGAAGATCATATGATAATAACACTGATTTAATTAAGTTACTAAATATATACATTATTATGTTGATCGAATGTAATAATATAATTAATAAATAGGATGACGTACTATTGTAATAATATCTTCAGTTTTAGAACAAGATTTAACAATTCGTTATCGCGATTATGAAATAATACGATATACTAAATTCATACGAACACATACGGTACAATCTTGAAACAAAACTTGTAAAAATGATATCCTTTCAGTTCGTTAAAAAGGAAAGTGAACTGTAAACCCGAATGTTGTGACCAAAGTGTATTCCTATTAGGAAAACCAATTAATTAACTTAAACAAGTAAAAAAAGGGACAGAATGGCATTACATAACATAACACAGTAAGTAAAAGTTACCCTTATTTCAAATTTAAACCAACAGAGAAGAAAGTACGGGAATGAAATATTGTCGACCCTTTTCTTTCCGCACACACAAACAAAACTGAGTTCCTTCTCGCTCTCTGGCTTGTGGGAATCCGAATTGGGTAAAATGAAAATATATTTCTTCCCTTTTTCAAAAAACCACGCGCACAAGAAGTGCGTATAACAATGTTTTCAAAATACCCAAACGGGTAATTTCCGCATTTGCGTTGTTTTTATTTTTCCGAGTTTTGTCAGATGAAAATTGAAAGAGGTTGGTACGGACGGCTCTGCGCACAAACAGATAAGTATTCCCATTTGAGTGACTTTTTCACTGCGAAAAGCAAGAAAAATTGAAAAATTTCTCTCTCTTTTCTGATAAGAAAGATACAATGAGAATAAACGTGGAATAAAACGTCCTGTTTTCTCTGATATCATTGGCTGGTCTAAGAAACCCGCGTGGAAAGGAGTGTAGAAAAGTGAGATATTTTTCAATTTTTTCCAATTTCTATTTTCCGATAGCCGTGAATTGTCATTAAAACAAGAAGCTGTGGGTGGTTGACAGAATTGACATCGTATAATCAATCGCACAGAGAGGCAGAGAGAGAGGCAGAATATCCGTTTAATTAGTTCATTTAGCGGCGGTGACTGTTCCTTACTAGAACACTTCACACACATATGGCTATTGACAAACAACAATAAATATATATCTCACTCAATAAGGATAAGTTTGGGCTCTGAACATTGTTTACTATATTCCATTTTCTGTTCATCTCATCTCTTCTCGCCCGCTCTGTTTTCGTTTATTTGTTTTCTTGTTTCTTCTTCCGTCTGCTTACTGTAAGAAATTTTTCACTTCTTTAAGAAATAGATAAATAAAATTTTCTAATATTCCTCAATTCTCAATTGAAAAACTGAGTGAGTAAGAGGATCTTTGTTTTGTTTTGAGAGATTAACAAAATAAAATAATTACTGGAAACACCTTTTATTTTTTCTACGTTACCTTCATTGAATTTTTCTCTTATTTATTTATTTTTTACCTTCGTAAAATGAATTTTTCATTTATTGTCTCTCGTTATCATCATCATCATAATCATCATCATCAACTATTATTATTATTATTATTGTTATTATTATTATTTTTATTATCTTTTTACGGTAATCATTCTCATCAATTCTCTTTCTCTGTTCTTTTTTAAAGGGTAAGAATATTAATAATAATATTTTTTTTCGTTTCTTATTCAAAAACCTGTACAACAAGAAATAAATTAATGGATGATGACGATTATCTATTAACTATTGATTTGAACAAGGGATTTTTTTTCCTTTCATCAACATCTATCGTCTTTCTTTTCTTGTTTTTTTTTCAACTTGGGTAAATTTTTTTTCATTCTTCATATATATATAAACTCATATTCAAATTAAATTTATATTTATTTTTTTCTTTTATCCTTTAGTATTATAGATTCCATTACTTTTTTTTTTCTCTTATGCTAAAAAAAACCAAACAAGACATAATTGATCTTTTTTCTATTTTAAAATAAAAAAACTTTTTTTTTTTCACTTTAATTTAATTATTAATTGATAATTTAAAAAGAATTAACCACTTAATAATAATATATTTTTTTTAAATTAAAAAAATTATTATACCCTACAAAAAAAGAAAAGAAAATATAACTATCTTCTTCTATTTTTTTACCCCCATTATTATTATTATTTGAAAAATAAAAAAAACTATTAAAAGAAACAATTTTGTTTTTTAAAATTTTTTAAATAAACATGTCTGACTCTGAACAATCTTCCGTGTCAAGCGAGGAAAAACCTCCTCAAATCGTCCCAACTTCTTCTGAAGAAGAATCTGATGACGATGATATCGATGCTTTAATCGATGAATTACAATCTAACAACAACATGGACTCTGACTCCGACTCTGATGACGATGGTCCAGCCGCTGCAGGTGAAGCTAGAAACGTTCCTGAAGAAATGTTACAAACTGATCCTTCCTACGGTTTAACCAATGATGAAGTTATTCACAGAAGAAAGAAGTTTGGTCTAAATCAAATGTCTGAAGAAAACGAATCCTTAGTTGTTAAGTTCGTTATGTTCTTCGTCGGTCCAATTCAATTCGTTATGGAAGCTGCCGCTATCTTAGCTGCCGGTCTTTCCGATTGGGTCGATTTCGGTGTTATCTGTGGTTTATTAATGTTGAACGCTTGTGTTGGTTTCATTCAAGAATTCCAAGCTGGTTCTATTGTCGATGAATTGAAAAAGACTCTTGCTAACTCTGCTGTCGTTATCAGAGAAGGTGAATTAGTCGAAGTTCCAGCTAATGAAATTGTTCCAGGTGATATTTTACAACTAGAAGATGGTGTTATTATTCCAGCTGATGGTAGAATTGTTACCGAAGGTTGTTTTGTTCAAATCGATCAATCTGCTATTACTGGTGAATCTCTTGCCGCTGATAAGCATTACGGTGACCAAGCTTTCTCCTCTTCTACTGTTAAGAGAGGTGAAGCTTTCATGTTAATTACTGCTACTGGTGACAACACTTTTGTTGGTAGAGCTGCTGCTTTAGTTAACAAGGCTGCTGGTGGTCAAGGTCATTTCACTGAAGTTCTAAATGGTATTGGTATTATCTTATTGGTCTTAGTTATTGCTACTCTATTATTGGTTTGGACTGCTTCTTTCTACAGAACTGACGGTATTGTTAGAATCTTGAGATACACTCTAGGTATTACTATTATTGGTGTTCCAGTTGGTCTACCAGCCGTTGTTACTACTACTATGGCTGTCGGTGCTGCTTATCTAGCTAAGAAACAAGCTATTGTTCAAAAGCTATCTGCTATTGAATCTCTTGCTGGTGTTGAAATCTTATGTTCCGATAAGACTGGTACTTTAACCAAGAACAAGCTTTCTCTACACGAACCATACACTGTCGAAGGTGTCTCTGCTGATGACTTAATGTTAACTGCTTGTCTAGCTGCTTCCAGAAAGAAGAAGGGTCTAGATGCTATCGATAAGGCTTTCTTAAAGGCTTTAGCTCAATACCCAACTGCTAAGAATGCTCTAACTAAGTACAAGGTTCTTGAATTCCATCCTTTCGATCCTGTCTCCAAGAAGGTTACTGCTATTGTTGAATCTCCAGAAGGTGAAAGAATCATTTGTGTCAAGGGTGCTCCACTTTTCGTCTTGAAGACTGTTGAAGAAGATCATCCAATTCCAGAAGATGTCCATGAAAACTACGAAAATAAGGTTGCTGAATTGGCCTCAAGAGGTTTCCGTGCTTTAGGTGTTGCTAGAAAGAGAGGTGAAGGTCACTGGGAAATTCTTGGTGTTATGCCATGTATGGATCCTCCAAGAGATGATACTGCTGAAACTGTTACTGAAGCTAGAAGATTAGGTCTAAGAGTTAAGATGTTAACTGGTGATGCTGTTGGTATTGCTAAGGAAACCTGTAGACAATTAGGTCTAGGTACTAACATTTACAACGCCGAAAGATTAGGTCTAGGTGGTGGTGGTGATATGCCAGGTTCTGAATTAGCTGATTTCGTTGAAAATGCCGATGGTTTTGCTGAAGTTTTCCCACAACATAAATACAGAGTTGTTGAAATCCTACAACAAAGAGGTTACTTGGTTGCTATGACTGGTGATGGTGTTAACGATGCTCCTTCTCTAAAGAAGGCTGATACTGGTATTGCTGTCGAAGGTGCTACTGATGCCGCTAGATCCGCTGCTGATATTGTTTTCTTAGCTCCAGGTCTATCTGCTATTATTGATGCTTTAAAGACTTCTAGACAAATTTTCCACAGAATGTACGCTTACGTTGTTTACCGTATCGCTTTATCTCTACATTTGGAAATCTTCTTCGGTTTATGGATTGCTATCTTGAACAACACTTTAAACATTGATTTGATTGTTTTCATTGCTATTTTCGCTGATGTTGCTACTCTAGCTATTGCTTACGATAATGCTCCTTACTCTCAAAAGCCAGTTAAATGGGATCTACCAAGATTATGGGGTATGTCTATTATCTTAGGTATAATCTTAGCTATCGGTTCTTGGATTGCTTTAACTACTATGTTCTTACCAAAGGGTGGTATCATTCAAAACTTCGGTTCCATTGATGGTGTTATGTTCTTACAAATTTCTCTAACTGAAAATTGGTTGATTTTCATCACCAGAGCCGTTGGTCCATTCTGGTCTTCCATTCCATCTTGGCAATTAGCCGGTGCCGTCTTCGGTGTCGATATCATTGCTACTATGTTCACTCTATTCGGTTGGTGGTCTCAAAACTGGACTGATATTGTTACTGTCGTCCGTGTTTACATCTGGTCTATTGGTATCTTCTGTGTCATGGGTGGTGCTTACTACGAAATGTCCGAATCCGAAGCTTTCGATAGATTGATGAACGGTAAGGGCTGGAGTAAACCATCTCACTCTTCCAGATCTGTTGAAGATTTCTTAACTGCTATGCAAAGAGTCTCTACTCAACATGAAAAAGAAAACTAATCTTTTTAAGGTTTAACTTTTTTAATAATTAATTTTTCTTTTCTACTTTTTCTGCTTTTTTATCTTTTTTTAAAATCCTAATGAGAATTGATTCATTATCTTTTTATTGAACTTTTATCCTTTTTGATTTCTCATAGTTTCTTTTTCTTTTGTCGGTTTCAAAATATGTTTTTGGTGCTTTAATTTTGTTTTACTAATTCCAATTTTACACACACACACACACACAACTTTGGTTTTGGTTTTTCATTTGATGGCAACTTATAGAAACTTATTTTTCCAATTGATTGAATTAATTAATTATGGTATTCATTTGTTTTTAAAATTCATTAAATTACAATTGTCTAACAATTAAAAAAACTTCAAAAAACAATTTAAATTTACAACAACACAAATCTCAATTACTTTTAAAGGGGAAAAAATGAGAAAAGTACAATCGCTGCACATTCTAATTTCATCTTTTAACTTTAATCATTTTAGTTAATATTAATTTTTAATATACTTTTTATATAATTCGCACACAATTATACACACACACACACACATATATACACGCACTATAATTTATTCATTTTAATTAATATTTTAATATTTTAATAATACTTTAATTAATTTTTGACAAATTGATCAATATATGTATACATTATTAAACCATGTTTTTTAAGTTGTCATTATGAGAAATGAAGATTTAAGGCAACAAAAAAGTGTTACTAGGGTTTAATACTACACAGTTATCGGTACAATTAAAAAGGTAGAGTTTGAATGACGATAATGATCTCATCTACATGACTTGTCCTCTCTCTAACCGATACGTAACAGTAGTACCTAATTAGAGTTGTTCATATATATATATATACCTGTATTTTATCAGATAGAGCCCCTTTTAGTATGAGTAAAAAGCATCAACAGGATCTTGTTTCTTTTAGATTTAAATATCCATCAAAATCCATTTAAAGTCAAATATCAAAAACAGTTTCCAACGCCAATCAAATTACTGTCATCTTAATTCATCTCAACTCATCCATGGCTGACTGTCTTATTCTTAAAAACTTGGCTCAATTTCATATGTATGCCTTTCTGTGTTCTTTTTGCGGTCTGCCAGCAAAGCGCTGAGAAACGAAAAAAACAAAATTTTTCAGCAAAAAAATCATAAAAGAGAGAATGGAAACAATTAAAATTTATCAAATTTAATAAAAGGTATTAGACCAATTCAAGAATTACAACGAACTAAGCTAACCCAAACCACCCAAAACTAGCAGTTTTTTTTATTGATCAAGAGACAGAGACACTTATATCGAAGGTTCCTGGTTTTTTTTCCTACTCTTTTTATTTCATTTCCCTTTTCTGTACATTATTTTCTGTATTTTTAGTAAGCCAACAGCTCATCGACTATTGTAAATTATATTATATTTTGGAATACTGTTGCCTTTGTACATTAATTAACCATCCTAATTATTATTATTACTTTTTTTTTAAGTATAATCTCGTTTTCTGTTAGTGAAATACTTATTAATATTGAAAACCAGTTAACAATTTTTATCAGAGTGTCTATCGTTATAAGAAAGCTGAAAAAAAATTTCACATTATTTAGAATAACTTTCTACCGAAATGTCAACCGATCCTATCACCAAACAGGAAAAAGCTGATTCTGCCGATCCAGTAGTCACTGAAACTATCACTGCCGCACTAGAAGAGCTTAACTTAGACGTCGTAGACAATACCGAAACCATTGAGACCGTCAAAAATAAGACCACACTATCTCATAGTAATGGTGCTCCAACTCAAATGTTCCCACAAATGATGAATATGGGATTTATGCCATACAATCAAATGATGCCGATGCCTCATCAACCAGGTTTCTACCCACATGGCGATTTTCCTGAGAATCCAATGGCTATTGGAAACCATCCTCCACATGGCCCTATGATGTTCCCAAGTAATGGAGACATGCAAGGTTTCCCTCAACCACCACATATGCAAGCCCCATTGGGTGCAGGATCTACTTTTGGTCCACATGGTATTGTTAACAATGGTACCACCCCACCAGTGGCACCTATCAATGGCGATGGTCACGTTATCCCTGGTTCAACCCCAAGTGCAGCTCCAGGTCCAGGTCTTGGCCTTGGTTTCAACGATGCGTTGTGGCCAAATTCATCTAGAACTCAATCCAATACAGCCAACCTTGGTGAAACCACTGACGGAGAGCCTACAGCAAATGTCGCTATTAGAAGACAAACTTTCCACACCATCTCCACCTCTGAATCAGGCGAAATATCTTCTACTATTACTAAGGGTAATAGTCATACTGATGTTAATGGCACTTTAGAATCTAGTTCTACCTCAATGGGCGCTGTTTCAGCCGTTGGTGCAAAAACTAGAACTAAGTCAACTTCTGTTCAAAGATCTGACCGCGACACATTATTTGACACCCCAGGAACTTCATCTAGTCTAACAAGTGGTACCTCCAAAAAGACCAAAGAAGATGACGATACTAAGGCGAAAGATATGAAGAATTTACAAACTTATGCTGCTGCATATCCTTACGGAGGCCCACTATTGCAACATATGCCTCACAATGATGGTGCTATGTTAAATGGTATGCCATCTCCATTCCCAGGTGGTTATGAATTTGCTGGTCCTTTCCAACCATTTTCCCCAGTATTAGGTGGAATCAATGGCCCATTACCAGGCCAGTCTCCTTTACCTCACATGTCCCCATCTCCAATTCAAATGGGACCACCTGGAACGGATCCAATGGGTAAGAACCAAAGAAATGGAAAAGATGATGGATCTTTACCACTACCACCCCAACCTTATCCAATAATGCAACACCACCCTCAAAATGGTAGTCCACCACCATGGTTATATAACGGACCACCATTTAATGGTATGATTTCGCCTCTAAACGGACCTCACAATCATCATGGTGGAATGAATATGATGAATAATAATAATGGTAACCATCCTCATAAGGGTCCTGGTCGTGGTAATGGTAGAGGTGTCAACTTTCACGGGAGAGGTAAATATGGAAAAGGTAACCATTATGGGTATAATAACCATAATAATGGCGGTTATAACGATAACCGTAATGGGAACAATCAATATTCTCAAGCTAAAGCTGAAGAAGCAGCTCGTTTTGTAGATGCTACTTTGGATGAATTTGTTGGTGATATTTATGCTTTATGTAAGGATCAACACGGTTGTAGATTTTTACAAAAACAACTTGATATATTAGGTAAGGAAGCGGCCGATCCTATCTTTGAGGAGACTAAAGATCACACAGTTGAATTGATGACTGATTCATTTGGAAATTATTTGATTCAAAAATTGATTGAGAAGATTACCTCTGAACAAAAAGTTGAACTTTCCAATATCGCTGCACCACATTTTGTTGAAATCGCTTTGAACCCACATGGTACTAGAGCCCTTCAAAAACTGATTGAATGTACTAATACTGATCAAGAAGCAAAAATCGTTATCGATGCCCTTAGCGACTCTGTGATTCAATTAAGTAAGGATTTGAACGGTAATCATGTTATTCAAAAGTGTCTACAGACATTGAAGCCTGAACATTTCCAATTCATCTTTGATGCGATCTGCGAAGACTGTATGACTATTGCTACACACAGACATGGATGTTGTGTGCTACAACGTTGTCTAGACTTTGGTAATAAAGAACAATGCTCAATGCTATGCGACAAGTTACTATCCTTCATCGATCGCCTAACTTTGGATCCATTTGGTAATTACGTTGTCCAATATATTATTAGCAAGGAAACCGAAAATAATACATTCGATTACACATACAAAATTGTTCATTTAATTAAGACAAAGATGGTTGAATTATCTGTACACAAGTTTGGTTCCAATGTGATTGAAAAATTATTAAGAACCCCTGTAGTTGCCGAAACTCTAATCTTAGAGCTTGTCAATAACAAAGGAGAATCCGATATCAAACTTTTATTAAATGACAGTTATGGTAACTATGTATTACAGACTGCATTAGATGTCTCTCATAACCAAAATGATTCCATTCACGACAAATTGTCAACTATGGTCTCCCCATTATTGGTGGGTCCAATTAGAAATACACCACATGGTAAGAGAATTATTGCCATGTTGCACTTAGAGGACGAATAATAATTGAAATTAGCAATTGAACTATTTTGCAATGGCTTATCTTGCAAATCTATGTAAAATATATATTATGATAAGTATAATTTAACAAAACACGAAACCTAATCATTCTTCAGAAAAAGATACATAAGTGCATATGAACTATTTGTTTATTGAAATTCGTTATTTTTATTGATATCTAATTAATGCTATCGCCTTCAGGATATAAATCACTCCATAAAATGTTGTATATATTGCCAATATCACTATTCACAAACTCGTCTAATGTCCCCAAATTAAATGATGCTGCCACAGCCCTTGGATCATTAGCGTTCATGTTTTGCATGTAGGCATCAGATGGATTACCATTTTCTGCAAATGGGAACATAGAGCTCCTTTGCCCAGCTGACATATTTGGTTGCGCTCCTACATGATGATTAATACCATTTGGTTGAGCACCAAAACCTGTTCCAGAGTGACTATAAGGAGGTATAGGAAGGTTATTTGGACCCTCTGCTGGATAAACTGAGTTTGGCATATCAGGTGTAATTAAATTTGAAACCGGTACAACACCTCTGTACCCTGTATTTGGGATTGGTACACCACCAACTATTGGTACTGTATTTGGAAGCGGTTGTGATGGTAGTGGAGGTGGTGTATTATTTTGTGTCAAAGGACTAGTAAACACCATTGGAGGATGCATATTAGTAGGTTCAGATTTTGATGCAGGGTGTTTGCCCTTCTTGACCGGTTTTTTCTTACCCTTTGCTTTACTCAAGAAATTAGATTCTAACATTCTTCTTACATGTAAATGGAAACCAGATCTTTGAACAGGCATCAATAAATATTTATAAGTAGGCGACGAGATATCGATACAACTACTGAAAGTATCCACCAATTCTGGAGAATTTTGTTGGAACCAAGTCATCAATTCTTCTATTTCAATAGAATGTTGATTTAAATATTGATGTATTAGGATACGACATGCCAGACATAAAAAGGATAAATTTTTACAATATTCTCTGTATAAGGATGATTCCCTAACTTGTGGATAATTTTCATGTAAAGTCAGGATCCATAGACATCTTAGTTTATGCAATGCCAAAACCATTGATCTAAGATCATCTCTGGTAATCATTGCTTTCAACACGTCTGATTTGGTTATGAAAAGGATGGTTACGCAACGGAAATATACGAACACTCTAATGAAAGAATAATCATTCGTAACGTTACTTAAGAATAGATTCATTCTATTCCATGAATAATAAATTTCATGGAAAATATCAGCCACTGCTGTAAATTGAGGTTTTGTATAAGGTGGTGAGGATAATCTTGCTTCCAAATTATCAATTGTGGATAAGACAACAGAGAAATGAAATTCGAATGAACAAGTAAATCTGGAAGCTGCATTAATCTCATCATTATGATAAACTTTATTGTTTAATACAGCTTCACCATTTGCGTTACGTACACTTGAAGCTAATTCGAATAATCTTGAACAATGATTACGTAATGCTTGTAACTTGGTTCTCAATAAATCATACTCACCAACTAACTCTTGAAATAATTTACTTTTCACTAAAGGTGGAACTGCAGTATTTCTAATGGAAGTATATTTCTCATTATATAATACATTAATTTGGAAATCACTAACCAATTGAATGATCCCTAATCTACCATAATGTACTAATGTATCAATCTCCATATTATCAAATGCAGATTCCATATTGAAGAGATGCACATTACGTACAAAACTTCTACTATCCAAAAACCCAATATCTCTAAACGAAGGTGGCAATAAGCAAGACATAATTGAATCATTAATTGTGGAAGGTTCACCCAAGGTTACAGAGATCAATTTATCAAAATAATATAGCCCCCACCAAATTCGTCTTCTTCTGTCGGCGTTAGCTTCATCTAATCCAACATAATATTCCCATCTATAGAGCCCCATCTTTAACGCCCTATTAACTGCTGCATCTACTACCAATGTGGCACCATAGTAATCATAAGAAGCTAATTGTTTATCAACTAACGACAATAGTAACTCTAAATAATCAATACTGAGAGGTGTTTTATAATAAAAAAATTGAGTTTCATTATAATATTGATAACATAAGGGGTATAATAATTGCTCAGTCTCTGAGAAAAATAACATCTTTTGTATAACTTGATTAGAAAATGATGGAACCTTATTTTCAAGACGTAATGCAGATGAAGTCATCTCCACCATGAATGATTCATAAGCAGGTTTAAATCCATTGAATATTTTCAACAATAATTGGAAAATGGTTAACGGATCCGCCACACTATCTAGTAACATCTCTGAAGTGACACCAGATATCTCATACACAAAAGGTTGAGGGAATCTCCGTATAAATTGGGTAACTGTATTACGTGTACTTGATGAAACACTCCCAGTACTACCAGTATTGCCACCTCCCCCTCCTGGGGTACCACTATTACCACCACCAATATTGAAACCACCTGTAAATCCTGGAGAAGGTGTCATAATTGGAGCATCGGGACTTTGTGGTGCTGTACCTAAACTCTTTCTATTAGAATAATTATCCAAAGGATTGGCAATAAGACTTTTCCCCTCACTTAATTGAATAAAACACATATCAAAATATCTTAAAATCAAATATAAAGTTTCCTTTACATGACGTTTGATTTGTCCGTTATTTCTGCGTAAATGATCAAGACATGCGTAACCGATACCTCTAAAAGAAATAGCTTGAAATGGTGAATATAAACCAAACATTTCAGTAATTAAAGGTTCTTCAGATCCAAATTGTAGGGCCTTTTCTTTTGATTTTGTATTTTTCTCAGTTGAATCTGACCAAATAGAAAACCGCGTTAAACAGACACGATCTGTGTATTTATTGCGTAATAATGATGTCTCTAGAGATTTCTCTGTCGTAGGTGAAGTGCGTTTCTGTTGACTCTTCTCTAAGAAGGCAGGCATATTAAGTTGTGGTTTGCAACTCTTTACAAGTTCATTAATTTGATTAGTAATTTTTTCTATACTCTGTATAATGGAAGGATCTTGTAAAGTAATACTCTTTAATGAATCTAAAGCAGTTGCTAAGGAATTTATCTTCATTTGAAATGTAATATCATCCTCATACAATTGATTGTTTCCCGTTATTAGAGGTGGTACTTTTGTAATAAAATCTGCAACATGCGGATATTTTGGAATTGCAGAGGGACTCCTCGACATGTTATTACCAGGATTTAATTCTGTGGTGGTTCCTCTAAGATTTGATTCTGTTTGGTTTTTAATATTATTTGTGATATTCTCTTTGGTAGAATAATAAGTCGGTGTTTGTAATATAGATTCTGGTAAATGCATAGTATTACTAGCATTCATATAAGGTACTTGTGTAGGAGCCGGGAGTGCTTTACTATCATCTTGTGATGGATATCTCCCAGTAATGTTATTATCATTATTGTTAGTACCAAAATTTGCAGTCATGGAACGATCGACAGGATTATTACTATCGTTGTTGTCATCAGCATCATCATCATCTGGTGTGGTAGTATTTGCCATTTCTTGTGATGTCTTATTTGTTAAAATAATTGGTTCACGCATTCGAATCTTCTTTGTACGACTGCGTCTAGTTGTCGAAGATCTAGCAGAATATATACATGGACATGAATAAGCTTCACATGTAGAACATGGTTGTTTCCCAGTACACCGTAATTTTCTTTTCCGACAATTATCACAAGCCTTTCTTACTTTTGTTCTTGATTTGTCGATCTTATCAGACATGTTATGTGTGTTTGTTTGTGAGGATATGTTTATATGCAGTGAGGAAGCTAGTGTATTTTATTATAATAATTCAGTAAAAGGAAGATAAAATAAAAAAACAGTATGTTAAGAAGAAATATTAATCAACTAACTAGCTTTCTAATAAATGGATAGTGATGAGGTTTTATTAAAATGAAATTTATAATAAGATTGCAATGTTTTTTTTAATAAAAAAGAAAAAAATTAATAAACTTTAATCGACAATTTTAGCTTTAACAAAATCTACCTCCGCATGCAAAATTTAGCTCCATTCATCCCATTCATCATGTAAAGAAAAACATGAAAAAGCCAAAAGCCAAGGCAACAATATTATTGTTATTAAGCAACATAGTACTTTCATGCTTCTATTATTTTTCATTTTTTTCTTTCGAATTGCCGATCCCTGTCTGTTCCCATTATGCGTTTAATACAGTTTGGCGAAAAAAAAATAATAACAAAAATTGCTTTAAATTCGTTATTCCGCGGAAACGGATGTTTTTTCATTTCTTTGCCGTGTACTGTTATTTTTAGTTACCCCGTCATAATGTATTTGAGGCACGTGACTTTTGGTTCTAAGGTGAGTCTTCTCAACACTAATAACTAAAAGAAAGAAGAATGTTTAATAAAAGTAATGGATAGTCTGGGACAGACATCATTTAATATCATTTGGTCACAGCTATAATGAAACCTGTTCTGTAACAATTGACTTCTCAAAAAAGAAAACAATGCACAGTTGCCAGGATAGATAATGGAGCCGATAGTCGTGAAATGTTTAGCGTTTATCAACTGATATAATATTCGAATAAGCGGTTTAAATTGTGGTCCTGACATGAATCTAAAACTGTTCGTCGTTACCATTTATCAGCCAAGCTATCTTTCACACTTCAACAAACTAGGAAAGGGCAAGTTACATACTTCTTTTTTTTTTTTGATTTATTTTTTTGCCGCCGAGCCAATACCTAAATGTATACAACACCGCACATCTCCTAATAAATAAGAATACTGAAAAGTTCTGCGTCTACAAGAGAGAAAGTATAAGAGACGATATGCAACTACTTTGTACAAAGGTACTTGGTTTAATATCACAGAATCAATTTCACTAAGAAGAAGAAAGAAGAACTATAATCAAAGAATTGCGGTTTTGATTAAGAAATTAAATGCTTCATTTGAACATTCTTTTTTAATTCACTTGACAGGATGACCGAAGAAAACCCCCCAGAAGGGATAGCTACAACAAATTGAGAAAACTAGCTTAATCCTTGAAGACTTAAAGGAGAAACTAAAAACACCTCTGTCATTATTATTATTTTTTCCCGCTCTTTGTTTGATCCCCATGAGCAAAGAATCCTTATTTTTACCATACAGATTGAATCCAATATAGATATGTTTTCTTTTAACGCGAAAAAATGCACGGCAGAGAAAAAGAGTGGACGGAATGGACGTGAAGGGAGTTACCGGGATGGAAAATTACCAAATAGACTTGTCTTCGTTTAAAGTCGTTAACTGCTTCTAAAGATAATAATCACCAAACAAACTCTCGTATAATAAATTAAATGTTTTTGATTGAAAGTTCATTGTCTTAGTTTCGCCAATTATTATAAATATTCAGTAGACTATTTACTGAAGTTTTCTTTCATTTTTGAACAATCTTTACTTCCTCTTCTGAATAATATATATATATATATATATATTAAATATCTCTAAACCTCTTTCATCTAACGAAGTGAAACAAATAAAAAACACACACAGAAGAGAGAATGTCTGAAAAGACAACGACTAAAAAGAAGGCATTTTTACCTCAAGGTAAATACTTGAAACCTGATGAAATTGAATATGAGTTTGGTGGTGTTCCAGGTGTTATTGGAATGTTAATTGGATTCCCTGCATTAATGTACTATATGTGGATATGCACTGAATTCTATGATGGTCAAATTGCTTTACCAAAAGAAAATGAAACATGGTCACAATTTTTATTATCATTATATGATTTAATCATTAAACATGCTATACCAACACGTTATATTTGGACTGTCTTTATGACTTTTTGGTTATTTCAAATTATCTTTTATTATACTTTACCAGGTATTTGGACTAAAGGTCAACCATTAACTCATTTGAAAGGCAAACAATTGCCTTACTATTGTAATGCTATGTGGACACTTTACGTTAGTACTATATTAGTATTAGTATTACATTTTACTGGTATTTTCAAATTGTATACAATTATTGATAATTTTGGTCAAATTATGACTTGTGCCATTATCTCAGGATTTTCATTTTCAATAGGTTTATATTTATGGACATTATTTATCAGTGGTGATTATCATAGAATGACTGGGAATCATCTTTATGATTTCTTTATGGGTGCACCATTAAACCCACGTTGGGGAATTCTTGATTTAAAGATGTTCTTTGAAGTTAGACTACCTTGGTTTACACTTTATTTTATTACATTAGGAGCATGTTTAAAACAATATGAAACATACGGTTACGTTACACCACAATTAGGTGTAGTTATGTTAGCTCATTGGCTTTATGCTAATGCATGTGCTAAAGGTGAAGAACTGATTGTTCCAACTTGGGATATGGCTTATGAAAAATTCGGGTTTATGTTAATCTTTTGGAATATTGCAGGTGTCCCATACACCTATTGTCATTGTACTTTATATCTATATTATCATGATCCATCACAATATAATTGGTCATGGCAATATAATATTACTTTATACATCGTATTATTGACAGCTTATTATTTCTTTGATACAACCAATGCCCAAAAAAATTCTTTTAGAAAACAAATGTCTGGTGATAAGACCATTCGTAAAACTTTCCCATTCTTACCTTATCAAATATTGAAAGATCCAAAATATATGACTACAGCTGATGGTTCTTATTTATTAATCGATGGGTGGTATACATGGGCTCGTAAGATTCATTATACTGCTGATTGGACTCAATCTCTAGTGTGGGCATTATCTTGCGGATTTAATTCTCCTTTCCCATGGTTCTTCCCAATTTTCTTCTTTGTAGTATTAGTTCATAGAGCAACAAGAGATACAGCTAAATGTAAGAAGAAGTATGGTAAAGATTGGGATGAATATGTTAAGCATTGTCCATACTTATTCATTCCATACATTTTTTAGAAAGGAAAATTTTTTGTATGTATATATATGTATATAAATTTTAAATTTAAATTTTATATTTATGTTTCTTTTTTTTTTTTATTAATCTTGTTCTGCAATGGCAACAAGTCTTTCTTCAATTTCATCAGTAGTTAAAGCGAAAAATTTATTTTCAATAGCTACACCAACTTCGATATCTTTATTAGTAAATTCTGTCCCTAATGAATCAATTAATTGTGTAATGGCAAATTCTACAGTCTTTTCCCATGAATCTTCATTCAATCCATCTTGTGTACCTGGACGTTTCTTAAATGCATTTTCTAACGACGTAGTAATTTCTTGTTGTTTTGGACCTGTAGCGGTAGCTTTATAACCAACAAAATAGCCTGCTGGATCGGTCTTATAAATAGCTGGGCCTTGTTCTTCATCTACAGCAATAAATGTTAGAACAACACCTAATGGTCTCATATAAGCACGCTGCGTATATACTTGGGCAATATTTGCCATTCTTTTCGCTAGTACATCACAAGGCATATCATAACCATATTTATAACGGAATTCAGCTGCTTCAGATTTCGCTCTAATTGCAGCATTACGAGCATCAGGAATTGGCCCATTTACTAACATACCAACATGTGATGAAATTTTGAAAAGGTATGATACTGTTGATGGATCAAGTAACTTATCGGGAACTTTCTTTTGGTTTACCACTACACTACAATTCTTACTACGAACTGCAATGGAATTCAAATTAGTTTGATTAGTTGCTTTAAAAGCATATTCAACTTGAAATAGTCTACCTTCAGGGGAAAAAATAGTAATGTGTCTATCATAACCAGCAGCAGAAGCTGCAGCTGCACCGGACATTTTTCAATTATATGGGTTTGGATATGGATGTAGAATTGAAGTTAATAAACTCTATTAATTTATTTCCTTAATTGCTCCTTCTTTCTATTCAAGTTTATATAGTTTCATAGCTACAAAAGGGTGGCAAATACTCAAATAGCTCTCTCTTTATTACTTTTCCCCTTCCATAAAATTCAAATTTCAGTTTTTTCCATTTTGGCGCAGAGAGGGCTCTCGCTTACAGTTCCCTCCCTCTCTGCGGACATTTCTGAGTGGTTCCTCTGTGTTTTCGAGATGTTACCCTCTGTAGTGTTGATAGCTAACCCTAATACCAGGGCTTTGTAGACCAGCTTAGTAGCAATGAGAGAAGAAGAAGAAGAAGAAGATTGACTACAACTTGCACGATTGGATGACCTTCCCCAAGTTGTTGTTCAAGATGGCGTTTACAATAATCTGGGTTAGCCACCCGATGATCTAACTTCAATGGTTGTAGTTATATGACTGGGATTGGTTGATTTCGCTCTCCGCAATCTCCGCCCATCGAACGTCCCCTTCACTATACACATTTATATATAAAGGTGTGGAGATGGATAATTTGGAATAAAGGATTCCCTTTCTTTCTTGTTGGCAAATAGTTGGCAAAGAGATTGCAGGTAATATAGGACTACAAACCAAGATGAAGCATTCGTTATTGGACTTACGTTCACAATTACGTTTTTACAAGTCTTATCACCACAATGTTATGAATGTAGCCATTCATTCAGTGTTTGTCCCAACAATTTTAGTGACTAGTGCTTCTTTATTACATCGTTTCACTCTGTATGGGTCAATCACACTGACTCACGTACTTACAGTTTGTTATGCTGTTTTCTACTGTCTATTATGTCTACCTGTAGGGATTTTAGCTAGTGGCTTATTGGTATTATTGACTGTTGCATTGGATAAGAAATGGTTATATACCAGTCAAACTCAAGATATATGTCTCTTTGTAATGAGTTGGGTATTTCAATTTATAGGGCACGGTGTATTTGAACATCGCAAGCCTGCATTACTAGATAATTTGGTCCAAAGTCTTGTACTGGCACCATACTTTATATTATTTGAATTATTATTTAAATTAGGTCTATATGAGGATTTGAATCAGCAATTGATTCAGGACATCGCGACAACGAAGAAATCCAATTAGCTGAAGGAAAAAAATATGTAACAGGAACAACCAGAGATCTTTTTCAAACCACTTTCTTATAAGCAAACATATACATAACTACATTTATATTCTAACGATTTTATTTATTTATTTGGCTACTTAAGCTGATTTCATCATTATTGAAACAGAGAACGGTTGAAACGACTAACGATGACCGAACGTAATATTGATTGGAAAGCATGTGTTGCTTTAGGATCTGTTGTGACCACGATATTCACAATGTATAAACTATATAAACAAGATAAAAAGATTCCTGAAGCTGTCATGGGTGTTGAACAACTAATAGGTAATACTCCATTAGTGAAAATTCCTTCATTATCAAAACATACCAATAGTGAAATATTTGCAAAATTAGAATTAGCTAATCCAGCTGGATCTGCAAAGGATCGTGTTGCATTAAACATCATATTAACCGCAGAAAGAAAGGGGTTGTTGATACGAGGCGAGCCTGGATGGGTGTTTGAAGGTACTAGTGGTTCAACGGGGATTTCTATTGCTATGATTTGCAATGCTTTAGGTTATAGAGCTCATATATCATTACCGGACGATACATCATTAGAAAAATTAGCATTATTAGAGAGTCTTGGTGCTGTAGTGAATCCAGTAAAACCAGCCAGTATTGTTGATCCTGATCAATATGTGAATGCAGCCAAAAAGGCTTGCAATGATATGATTACAAAGAACGGTATCAATGCAATCTTTGCTGATCAATTTGAAAATGAGGCAAATTGGCGTGTTCACTATGAGACAACAGGTCCCGAAATATACACACAAATGAACGGTGAAATTGATGGGTTTATTGCTGGATGTGGTACAGGTGGGACCATTACAGGTGTTGCGCGCTATTTAAAGGAAAAACGTGGTTTGAATGACTGTCATGTTGTATTGGGAGATCCGCAAGGTTCTGGATTCTATCATCGAATTAACCATGGTGTAATGTATGATTCTGTGGAGAAAGAAGGTACTCGTCGTAGACATCAAGTCGATACAATTGTAGAAGGTGTTGGATTAAATCGAATCACAGCAAATTTTGCACACGGTGAAACACGCATTGATGAAGCTATCAGAGTTAGTGATGAACAAGCAATCAAAATGGCAAAATATTTATCAGTTAATGATGGATTGTTTGTCGGTAGCAGTACAGCTATTAATTCCGTGGTTGCCGTTAAACTTGCTAAACAATTACAATTACAAGGGATTGAGAATCCACGAATTGTTATAATTGCTTGTGATAGTGGATCACGTCATTTATCGAAATTTTGGAAAATTGCGAAGGATATCGATAGAGAAATCTCCCTTACGGAAGTCATGCAGGATTAGTTTAATATATATATATGTAGTGTTATGTAGCTATATCTGAAAAATATTGTTGAATGTCAAAGTCGATGGACCGAGCAATCTCCAATATGATTTCCCAAGCGACGTTAACTTTCCATCTAACTTTTGCACTCAACAGATCAACGTTGGCACTCATCGAAGAGGTAGCCAACCATTTCAAAGAATATAATTCTGCGATAGTTTGAAACACTTCAATATTTGGTCGAATATAAGGTTCTTGAAACAATTGTTCCAATGTTCCATTCCTCGTGGCAGTTGGATTATCGTCCGCATCATCGCCTAGTGGATAGATTGCTTGAAATATTGCAAGTAATCTCTGCAATGCAAACGTTGCTGCTTGTCTATGAGTTGGATTTTCTTCTAGTTGTTTTCTACGACCGTATGAGACTCTGCCTGCTTTAATACCACTCTTTCTTGAAAATAAAGATGGATCATATCTGGGGTTTGTGTAAGAACAGAAGTAAGCTGCGATTAATATGTATCTTGCCATTCTTGACAATTCATGTTCCACTCCATCACCACTGCTACTACTACCACTACCGCTACCGCTACTAGTACTATTATTCAATGGTTCATCAACATAAGTGAATAAATGCTTAGCACGCCTATATAGCGTTGCCGAATCATTCACCGAGTCATTATTCAAAAAAGTAATATACTGAGGCCATTTCAAATCGATGATGTCAATAATAGCGGACAGGTTGCTACCTGTGTATGAATGGAAACTTTGCAATATCAATTGAATAAAATTTTCCACAATATCTCTTGAGATCTCCCGGTTGTCATAATTCGAAAGTTCCGCTGTCTTCAAATTACACAATATTTCAAACAGCTGTGATTGATTGTACCTTGGGAATATTATTGTCGGGATGCCAAAATTCGAATATCTATGAACGAACGCAGAGTCTCTAATGACGAACAGACATTTCAAATGGCCATTGTTAATTTGTTCATGCAATTTTAAAAAGACTAATAGCAACGAGGCGTCGATATCTTGCAACAAATCAAATCCATCGAAGATGATATGAATGGTATCGCATACCGAGGAGTAATGTGACATGACGATGTTCAAATCTTTCACCAACCCGAAATAGTCTTCCACTTGCAAGGGATCCAAAGCCGGACATGAAGTCTGTGGGAAGTTTAATTTGAGGATTCGTTGAATGACTCTTGAGGTGGCTTGGATTAAAGATTTCCATGTGACCAGTTCATTTGGTCTGATCGTGGCATAGACAATATCAGCCGAAGAAGATAGAACTGAATTGAGGGTCGTCGTCTTACCTGTTCCCGAGGGCCCTAACAGTATGGCATTTGGTGGTGTCAAGGTATAATCTTCACAGACGAATGATTTCAAAGTCTTTTCTTGATATTCACGAAACAGCACGCCCATTTCTCTCTCTGTGTCTCTCTCTTTTTGTTTTGGATGTGCTTTCTCTTCCCAGTTCATACACCTGGGCTTGTCTTGTTTACCATTGAATCAGCATTATTTATTTTTCAGTGCCATCGAGATCTGTATGTGTCCAGGCTGTCTTTATGTAATCTTTCCAACAGGGAAACCCTAACTCCACGCCCTAGTCACCTGACCAGACCAGACCCGGGCCGTGCTCACGTGACCGCCAGACGCGAAAAAAAACGGAGAGAAATGGTAGCCTGACGTCAACGGCGTCCCAATCAGGCAAAGAGAAACACCCCAACGCGCGCAGACCCGCCCACACCCACACATTCCCAGAGTAATTTCCCGATTCGATCGCAGCGCAAAAAACCGCCTCGGCCAGCTGCTCGGCGCGCCCTGCGCGGCCCTCTGAGGCGGCGGCGGCCATTACGTGCGTTTCTGTGGTTGAGAATTGTGTGTTCGTGGAGGGTCCAGCCAGGCGTTTCCCGCAAACCGCTGTGTGTTCTGGCGGGCAGCACGCACAAACCGCCGCACAACCGCCCTCGACAGAGCTACACAAATCTCTTTTTATTTTCCGAATTTGGAATTTTCTAAATTGATTGATGTGATGATCGGTGTACCTTCGAAGTTGAAACATTTTTCACATACTTTCACCGTTGGGCATAGCATGCACACACACACACACACACACACATATATTTTGAAGTAACTGGCTCAGTATATATATATACACATATGCATATATATATATATTGAAGTGCTATAGCTTGGAAGAGAGACCAAGAACTATCCAACTAACAAAACCAAATAAAATAAAACGACACATAACGTTCATTTCGTAGTCAAACCTTCTGACTATACCATATTATATTTCTATACACATAGTGTATATCCATTCATTTCTGTCAACCCCGTGTCATATTGTTAGTGCTCTATAGATGTGGCTTGATATAAGATATACCCTTTGGGTATATCTAATTTTATTTACAGGTAGTAATATGGTCATGGCATTGCCATTAAATAAAGAATACACTAATTCAACTACAAATAGTCCATCAGTAACTACTACTACTACTAGTGCCGTGACGTCCAATGGTTCGTCAGGATTTTTCGATAATATTATTGGCCATATTGTTAGTGGCCTCGATTCTAATATTAATAATTTCCAATCCCAATTTAGAGGCACTGGTTCCGCTTCAATTGAAACTACTCAAATAAGTTACGCCGTGTCCTCGACATCGAGTTCATCCACGAGTTCGACAAGTTCGACGAGTTCATCCACGAGTTCCAGAGCATCGTTTATCGATACTTGGTCCACTAGTAGCGCTACTAGTTCTTCTACTGACAGTAGTCCATTAATCTCTTCTACTTCTTCTAGTACTACTACTCCTACCACCGTAAGTTTGGTTATTCCTTCTACTACCTCCTCGTCTACTGCTGAAGTTGGTAAGATTGAACCTGTAACTACCTCTAATACCCCTGTTACTACAAGTGCTCCTGTTACTTCTACCATCCCTCCTTCCACCATCTCTGCTTCCACCATCTCTGCTTCCAGTACTGAGACTGCCCTAATTGATACACTACCTGTTTCTTCCTCCGTAACTACATCCACACCTTCGAAAACTTATATTTCTGATGTGATTACCTCCGATGCTATTTCCTCCTCATCAACTATTGAACCGATTACCACTTCCATTGCAGCATTCTTGACTACTTCAACACCTGAAAGTATAGCTACTTCTGCACCAGAATCAATAATCATATCTTCTTCTTCTTCTTCTTCTTCTTCTTCTTCTTCTTCTTCCTCCTCTGTGGTTATCGAACCTGTCACTACATCAATAGCTCAAATTGCTACACCTTCCTCCTCCTCCTCCTCCTCCTCCTCCTCCTCTGTAGTTATCGAACCTGTCACTACATCAATGGCTGAAATTGTAACATCCTCCTCCTCCTCCTCCTCCTCCTCCTCCTCTTCGGTTGTTATTGAACCGGTCACTACTTTCACTCCAGAATTACCAACTTCTTCTTCTTTTTCTTCTACTACTAGTAGTGCAATCCTTGATGTTTACACTACTTCAAGTATCCCGGTACCTGTTGAAACTACTTCTATCGAACAAGTACCATTGACTACTTCCTCAACTTCATCCAGCTCGTTTGTTGAAGAGACTCCCGTCACCACTGTATCATTACCTCCTTTAACTACTTCTTCTTCTTCCTCGATTGAAGAATTCACTCCAGTGAGTACAACTACTTCAAGTTATATTCCTGAAGTACAAACTTCAAGTACTACCGCCGTTCCTGTTCAAACTACTGCTGAACCAGTCGTTTCTTCCTCCTTCTCCTCCTCCTCTTCTACTACACAAGTGGTTATTGCTCCAATCATCACTACCTCTTCTAGCTCCTCCTCCTCCTCCTCATCTACAGGTTCTGATTGGTGGGTCCCAACTCAAATCATTACTTATTCGGAAGCAACAGATTCCGCAACTGCCACAATTTCTGCATCTGCATCAACTTCATCTTATACTGTACCATCAAATTTACCACAAGCTATCTCAGGTGATAACTCAAATTCTGATAATACAACAGCAGATGAAACTATTGACTCAGATTATACTTTAATCACTATTGGTTTCTTAAAGGCTTTAAATTATGAATTTTTAATTAAATCTCCACAATCTGCTGCTCAAATCTTTTCATTCTTACCAAAGACTCTTTATACACCATTTGGTGATGAAGATAAAAATGTTACAGTATCTCAATTAGTTCCTTACTACATCGAAGGTAAAGACTACACTGTCACTATTGCACAAGTTTATTTCCCTTCCAGTGAAGTTGAGAGTTTACAAGCAATGATTAATGATACTACGAGTGCTTTATACACTGAAAACGAAAGTGCTCAAAAGACTTTGGCTTATTTGATTGATAGTTCAATTCCAATTGTTGGCCTTTCCTCCTCCGGTTCATCCTCTTCATCCTCTTCATCATCTTCTTCATCCTCCTCTTCAGCTGTTGAATCAGGTGATTCTACTTCTTCGTCCTCTTCGTCCTCTTCCTCATCTTCATCTTCTTCAAATTCTGAATCTGAAGATTATGGTACTTTGGAATACAACGGTAAGACTACATCATCCTCAGGTAAATCCTCAGGTTCAAACTTATCAAAGAAGAAAATCATTGCTATTGTAGTAGTCGTTGTCGTTTGTAGTTTCATCTATTTGATTGCTATGGGTTATATGATTAGACGTTATATAAAACATATTAGAAATAGACCAGTAATTCAATTACCTGTTGAAGATACAGAAGACATGGCTTCTCAATACAGTGGTAGTGATAATAACAATTCTCATGGATTTAATGAAAAATCTTTAAGTTCTCAAGGTGACAATGAAGATGTTGTCTCTATGAGAATTAACGAATGGATGAATGAAGCACATTTTGGTAAAAATGAACACACTTTAAACGATTATCAAGCTGAACAAGTTACACAAATTGTTCGTGATATTACTAGACCAAAAATTTCAAGACCAATAGCATCAGAAAACTCTTTAGGTTGGAATGATATTTAGTAAAATGTTCCCCTTATTTCTTTATTCAAATGTGTCCTCTTCTTTTTTTTTTGTTGTTGCATTAATACAGACACACACTATTTTTTTTAATACCCCCCCCCCCACGAATTTCCTTTGCTTTCGAGCTATTATATTATTAATTTTTGATACCCTTCTTCTTCCTTTACTTTACTTTATTTTTTTTTAATTATTAGGCACGGTCTTACTTATACTATTACATATTTTATTTCATAATGAACAATTTAAAGAGATGCAATATCTACAGACAAAGACTACTAGTACTTTATTTCTCATCATATCTATATATATGTACATGTATTTATTATTAATTACAAACTTTTCTTATTTTTTAATTATTTTATTTTTTTAAAAAATTAATAATGCTATCAACACATTTATCATATTCTTCAAATATCAAATTATGCGATGTATTAAATTCTTCTACTTGAAAATTTGGAAATACTTTACCAATAAGATTATAATCACTTTCAACCATACAAGATTTCAATCCTCTTTGAACTAATAATTCTACAGTATCATTATTTGAATTCATATCTTCCATTATTTCCCATTTTTTCATATCTTCAACAACATTAGGAAATTCTTGAACAGGTAAATAATACTCAATTAATTTATTATTCTTTGAAATATAATTACATTCTTTTTGTAAAAATCCACTACCAAAATATATTCCTAATAAATCAATTATTTTATTTCTCCATTGTATTCCACCTCTTTTAATTCGTAGTTGTCCCGATACAATATCATTGATTAATTTCCAATTATTATTCAATTCAACAGGTAATGTCGGAGTCGTATAAGGTGGTACATCAATGGCCACTACTTTACGAACTCGATTCTTTAATGATTTATTTAATGCTAACATCATGGCAATTCTACCTCCCATAGAATAACCAACAAAATCAATGGGTCGATTCTTTGGAACTTGAGTATCAATAAATCGTAACATATCTTTGGTAAATGCAGGGTATGTCATGGGATGTGCTTGTGGGGAATCACCGTGACATCTAATATCCATAGTGAAAATATCTGTATTTAGATGAGGTGATATAGATCTATTGAGAGAATGGAACGTTATTTTCGAGCCTAAAAATCCATGAATATTGATTAGGATGGGCCTATCAGGGCCTGGTAATTGAGGTTTTATATGAGTGAAAAATAGATCAACTACTTCTTTAGTAGGAAGTTTTTTTGACATTTGTATTGTTATGGTTGGTTATTTTCTATAGAGGTTTTTTAAAGTTTCGTTATTATATAGCTCATCGCTTTTCACCCCTTATATATGTATCATTTTTCAATATTTTTCGCCTTGAAGGTTCGCTAATTTTGTATAATACGATAAGATCATTCGTTACTCACCATAATGTTGAAAAAGGACAATTCAATAGAAGAAGAAATGCCATGTATTAGTGGTGTTATTCGTAATAGAATAAAACTATCCAGTGATAAATATGGTAAGGTTTAGAAAGTTGAATGGTGGATTATGGGGCAGTGAAGAAAAATTAAATGAAACAGTTGAAGATGAAGATTTTGGTTTCCCCATGGATGAAGATGATCAAGATAACCTTATAAAGAAACTCGAAAGAAGAAATTATAAAGAGCGTGAAACAAGTATACAGATATTAAGTATGTTATTACTAGTATGTGCTGGAATTTTCCTAGCAATGGCAACACGAGTTAAATCTAGAGATATTGCATCAATGCTTTTAGCTGGTGTTCCGTCAATTGTTTGTTCATGGATGACTTTGCGTTATAATTTAGTTAATGATTATTGTCTTTTTAAAAGTTTTAGGTTATATGTTAATGAAAGGTATATTGATATCCTTAATTATACAATTCTTATCCTAATTTCATGGGTTAGTTGGAATGAATATGAAAATGATTGGCAATTACAATTATTATTTCAAATTCCTTTATTACTAAAAATTACTGCTATAATTATGAAAAGTTGGTCCCTTGAGTTGGATAAAGAGTTTGATTCGTTGCGAGCACTTAAATATAAATATAAAAGCGCGTGATGATTACGAAGGATAATGAATGACAAACAAAGCACTCTTGATATCGGGTATTTGGTGCATCATACTATTCCTGAGAATAAAATAATATCACGGAAGTTTCAGTTAAGTGTAAATCATATGATAAAAATGACTTAGCAGAATGCTGGTCCGATAGCCGGGCCTGATACGTCGTGAAATAGAACAAATATTCTGAAATTTTGAAATTTAAATAACAAGGTCATTTGAAATAAAGTTATATTGTATTGCTGAACTGCAATTTGTATATATATTTTTTAACTGTTTTCCACATTAGAGTAGAAAGGAAATATACAGTAGTAATTGGTTTAATCAATTAAAAGGGAAACAATTCTTCCGTGTGGTAAATAATATCACCTGTATACACTAGGAGATGTGAAAATGAATGCCTTATGTAAAAAAAGAAATACCCTATAACATTTTGTAACAAAATATGTAATAAATACTGCAGACTCCGGAAGATTTATATATTACTCACATATATTACCATTTTGTCATATGAATATATATTAAAAACTGTCTGATGAAGTAGTTCATTTATATGATAATAAAGATGGAAAGAAAAAACGAGAAATGTTAAAAATAAAATATTATTTTCTTTTTAGCAGATTAAAATTACGAAGAAATATATATAAATTTACTACTATTATTATATGAAAAATAAATGTATATTATGTGAAAAAGATAGTGTGTCGTATAATAAGATTATTTTTTAGAACATAATCCGGTAGACATTTATAGCAACCACCACCAACCAAAACGATAAAAAAGGGAGGACTTTTTACAGGTGCATCTGTACCGAAAATTGGCACTTCAAGGGAAAAAACAAGAGGGCAAATGGAACATTTTTTGGAAACTTGAAATGAAGAGAATATCTTAATCATTGAGAGGTGTATTTGTTGTCCCCTCGTACGAAAACTTCTCTGTGTGTCACAAAAGTTTGAAAAATGAGTTCTGCCATACAAAATATTTCCCTGCCTTCGATTTTGAGAGATCACCCTGACTCGTGAAATGTAAACAAAGATTTGAAACTGTCTTATGTCGAATGGTACACCCTCCAGTTTTCAAACCTGGGGAATGTAAATTTTTGTTTTGCATAAGCTAGTTTCTCTCCTCTTGTTAAATGTCTATTTTATTTATGTATTCATAAAGTCGAAATTTTGTTTTTCTTAATTGTTAAAGTTATTGTTATGATACATTATATACTTTATTGATTTATATTTCAGCTCCAACATAAATTTTAGATTAAAAATTATTTTAATGATTTAGTTCATGGAAAGGGGTCGTTATTTAATATACATATTTTATTCTTGATATAGAACTGAAACCTCAGTTGTATTTTCACGATTATATATGAGCTAATGCTACATAGTTAGATTTGAGTTGTATTGTAACTGCTCTTATGCAGATCCATCGTAAATGTATACATCTTAGACACAAGCCTTTTTCTTGAGTAATATCAAATAATTTCAAAAAAAAAACGGTGTAACAATACCTTAAGTTCAAGACTAAAGTTACTGTAATAAAAACTTCAATAATGTTATTACGTATTTATTTAAATGTTAAAACCATAAATATCTCGATTGTATAAAAAGAGTTTCCTTATTAATGATTAACCGGTTAATAAAACTCCTGAGAAAGTAAATAGACAAAAATATTTGGTAGAACAACAAAAAGAAAATAATATTGCAAACTGCACTTCTTTCTCAATATATTTAAGGTGGGCATGGCTATTTAGAAGTGTACTGCTTTCACTATCAAACGAAATACAATGTGTGACACAAGTTAATGACTAATGTTTAATGTTAAAAGTCACGTGACCTGATGATATTTTGGATAAAAAACAATGGTTGCTAAGAGATTCGAACTCTTGCATCTTACGATACCTGAGTATTCCTAGCTGAAAGCTAGTAAAGAATCCGTAGATATCTTGAATCAGGCGCCTTAGACCGCTCGGCCAAACAACCATCAATTTGTAAAAAGTGAAAATTTTACACTTCTTTAAGATGTAGCTACAAAGTCACGTGACTTTGACTTATAAATACAATGTTATTCAAATCTCTCCTTAAATATTCCACAAAAATCACTATTTTTGTTACAGCATATAAAGCTTAGTATTCAATGGATCTTTAAAATCCGTTTGAGGTTTAATGATGTAAACTTTGACAAGAAACCAAGATTTATAATTAGTGTTATAATTATAATTATTCTGAGATAGTCAAGTAAATATTTATTCAAAATCTTACGTTTCAGACTCTGTATTATATATTACAGAAGAGTAATAAAATGAATGATACGTAAAATAATATTTGATACTATGGGCGCCGCTCAAAGTAGTCTAATGTTCTCCTTTTAGAAATTATAAAAGTATGAAATAATTCTATTATTAGGTGTATTCTACTCAGTTTGCTTCGGTATTAAGTTGAAAATTATGACATGATCACTCTGTAACATTTGATAATATTCTACCAGGCTTGGCGAGATCTAAAGATAAGATGTTATCACAGTTTACCATTGACCGCGTCACGAGCATTAGTTGTATATTAACAAATTTTCCTAAACGGTGTCAAAAAGTTCCTATCCAGGAGAAAATTTTTCAATATCTGATATTATTTTTAAGATAACAAATATTTAGATATTTAAAAACTCGTTTGTTACCTGTTGAGAAGTTATTAGATACCCTTCTCATAAACTTGTGCAGATGATACTAAAGGAAACCAGAACCTCGATGCATCTCTAAATTAATTTTGTTCTCTCTATACAGTTAACTGAGTTGAGATCATGATTCTACATTCTTTGTTGAACAGAGAATAAAACTTAAATATAACACCATACAGCATTATATGACCAACAACATGCTGCAACAAAAGGTAGAATATCATATAAGAATGGCACAACGACATACAAATAAGTGAAGTTTAGAGTAGTACATAAGCCAGATATCTTTGAGAAGTATTTAGTAAGTAGTCTTGAATATTTTTTATATCGAATTAAAATAACAGGATACAAAACATAGAGAACATTCAATAAGTAGAACTACTACAGTTAAACTAATGGATAATGTCAGAGGTTACAGTTTCTAGTTATTTTTTCCGCAGTGCCTCAGTACTCTTCATTGATTCGGATACGCATATCTGTTACATTATTCTGGAATTTTCCATTATTATATGGGTGCTGCATTTGTATTACTACTGTATTGAATCATACTTAAAGATTTTGTGGCTTCCGAATAATTTAAGTTAGGTTCATCAGTTCCATGATTATTTATTCTACTTTCGGTCATCCATCTAAAAACGGTATCGCCTAATTTAAAAAAGAACGAGTAATAATCTAAGAGTACCATGTCTCGTTCAACTCAATTTCCGATCTACCTTTCATTCTTCAATTACCTCTTTACAATCCCTCATCATTATAATTTTCAGATACCTTTGACATACGCGATATTTGTTATTTTGAAAGGTGTCGTTTGAATGTATAAAAACGCTTACATTTTTCTTACTGAAACAGTATTATATATATATGGCCATTTATCATAGAATTCCATACTATATATCAGACATATTTCAATGGTTATAACCCTCGTGTTGAGCTCGGAAATTACATATATATATATGCTCACAGTTCTTTAGAACGTTTACGGTAAGGTGGAAGTTATTAATGTGTTTGCTATTTTAATTGGGTTAGGTGATCTTTCACAGCAGAAACTCCTGGTAGGTGTTTTTACCTTACGTTAAAATATACGGATAAGCCTTATTTCTGTTTGGGTGCTGTATATAAATTTACTCAGCATCCCGGTTCAACCGAACTATTCAATGAAGTTTCCTCCAATCCCTTCATCTCACATTCACTGAAAACAACTATTCAGAAAAAGGGAACAGTGATAGCAGATGTCAAACAATCCAAAATAGAAGCCCAACGGAGTATATTAGGAATTTCGATCTTAAAAAGGAAATTTCATATTTAATTTGACTATATTACGAATGTTGTAAATGCCAACAATTGTTTGGTATAGTTATTTAACTATACACCCCTTACACAACTGTACCTAACAAGTTGATTTTAATAAGGTAGCATGATGAAGGTACCACTTGCTATTGCAACCTTTGGAAAAAGAGACAGGTAACAAGATTAATGATAAGAAAAATATTCAAGAATTGTATTGAAATCTTGTAACATCTAAATATCTGGTGATAAAGGTAAAATGCCATTTATTGTGGCAGTGTTTTATCAATATACGAAACGTTTTTTATCTCATTGTAGCACCTAAATAATTTCACTAATCATCTTTCAAATAATATTTTTCCCTGTTAGATTCAAATCAAATTACAAAACAGTGCCATTATGCTGCTAAAAATAATAAGTTACTTCAGGGTGTTGACATGTCTATTTCTAGATATGGTTTACTCTCCACGTAGTAGAGGATCCAAAGAACAACGTGAAAGTCACGTGACCTGATGATATTTTGGATAAAAAACAATGGTTGCTAAGAGATTCGAACTCTTGCATCTTACGATACCTGAGTATTCCTAGCTGAAAGCTAGTAAAGAATCCGTAGATATCTTGAATCAGGCGCCTTAGACCGCTCGGCCAAACAACCACTAATTTATAAAAAAATGGTCACGTTTTTGATGATAAGACCTCATTAAATGTTATGTACAAAATTTCTATTTTATTTGATATATAAACATATTTGGGCCTAACTATAATGAATTATAGGTACTAATTAATCCTCTCCTGTTATAGTACACAACTGGTGAAATTAAATTTAAGATTTTTCGGATTTCAATAATAAATCTTGTTATTTAATGTTTTATGATATTCCCATTTTCTAAATTTTGTATGTTAAACTCAACTATATCAAAGGTACCAATCAAGAAATGACATAAGTATTGCGTGTTAAATAATATCAAACCTTTCAGTTTGCCATCAGAGCATTTAGATGGCATACTGTCCCACCTTTCATTGCTTGGGTAAGTTGCCTTTTAGAGAAATGTTGGGTGCTACATGCACAAGCCACATATATTTGAAAAGTCAATTAATTGATAAGAATTATATTTTTTTTTTAAGAATTATCTCTTTTGATATTAAAAAGAAATTTATTTCTTTAAAATTTTACGTTTTGTTATCGATGACTATACCCCTAGACATTTTATATCAAGTAAACAAAAAAGCGACAATGATATTTTTTTTTAAGGAAGTCCCAAGATAAACATAAAATGAATACAGAAACAGTATTAGTAATATTTAATTTCAACTCATTATTAGTTTAGTAATCCTCATCAGTAAGATACCCTCCATCACGGTATGCTCGTGACTTCTGAACTGTTCAGCACCGTGCCCATGAATAATAGGTAGTTAATTCTCAAACCTAAAAAGAGCAAATATAAATTATTTTCCATCTTACCGACTATTTTATGTAATCTTTGCTTCCATGCTAGCTCTTGTATTGTCATCGAATGTCATTATTTAACAGTAATTAAGAAACGTAAGCCTTACAGCTTCTCTTGCCGCGGCGTGAAGTGAATAAATCAAGAATTTAAAACAACATTTTGAATGAATCCAATAACAACATTCAACAGTATCTCAATTATGGATGGATGTAACATTGAATAACTAACCGTGAAAAGAATCAGTTTTCAATGAGTTCACCTTTGGAAAGGAGAAAATTAAAATTTTCCAATACAAAACGAGACGAGATTCGTGATGATTTGTTGAAGGATGTAGCACTACTGAGTAGATCTCAAGGACCAAATCAGCAATTGGAGAGTCTCAAGACAGATGCTACAAAGAGGGAACAATTACTAAACCAAATTAAAGTAGAGACGAACGATTCTAACATAGAACATGGTTTAAGGAAACTTCGAGAAATCATAGTTAGCATGATATGTGATGATAACAATGACCAATGGATTCCATTTGCCGAAAATGTATATATAATGTCTTTTGAGTTCTTCCTCAGGCGAAAAGAATGGGGTAAGATTGGAGGTATTGTACTAGAATTTATCAAGGATAACTTACATGATCTATTCTACGAAAGAGGTTTCCTAGAAGTATATATTCTATATCTTTCTCATTTAGAGCATAATTTGACCAAAAGTATAGATATGATATCACAAGGGAAGAATGTTAGAGTTAACGAGACGAATAATTACCTGTTGAGACTTTCTACCATATATTGCGAAGAGACTGCACCACCAACGATATGGTTTCGCATATTACAAGAATCTCAGCTAAAGGAGAAATATCCACAAGCATATCAATTGCTAGAACAATCCGGTAAAGTGACGGAAATGCAAGGCAGATGTTTCAATATTGTAAAAATGTCATATAACCAGATAAGTTGGCAATACTTAGAAGAAGACTGGCTCTTAGGGATACCAATGAACGAAACTCTGCGTTCAACGATTGAAAATACATATTTGATTAACAAGAACAGCAACGGTTCTCGAACCATAATGCTCAAAAAACGTAAGGTATAGTGTAATTACTATCAAACAAGGAAAAAGTTCTCAACTGATGGTTCAAAGGATCGTTTTGAATACCACTCCTTGAAAAGCATTTAACCAAGATAAATACAGCAATAACGATAGATTTGATATAATTTCATTAAAAGTGAAAATTTCCCTTTTGGGAAACAACGCGTAAAATGCGTGCGATACGAAATCGAACAATACGAGAGAAACTGAGGGACTATTGTTAATAAGGACACCTCAATTGTTTTTTGAAGGGATCCTATTTATATGAACGGTTTCTGTTCCTCTTACATACATTGTTATTAATAAATTTGTATAATTTCGAAGTCTGATTAACTAACAATTTAAATAAAAATAAATATCATTTGGAAATGTTGTTTGGGGCAAGTAATTTTACTGTGCTTTTGGTGCTAATTGCATCATGTTTTGCAAAGAAAACTACACAGGAGTCATTCACTTCAAAAGAAACACTAGAACAGACATTTGAACAGGGTACAAATAGTGAATTATTATGGGCACCATACCGTTCTAATTGTTATTTTGGTATTAGACCACGTTTTGTTGATGGAACACCCTTTATCTTTGGGTTAATGTGGTTCGATACCACTAAGTTCGACTCTATGACTAGATTGAGACATTTCGTAAGTGATGAAGACCATTTAGAAAGATTCACATGGGAAGCGTACGATCCAAGACTTGGTGGTAGGGAGAATATCATTGACCCTGAAAATAATTTGAATTTGACTATTCATTTTGCGAAGACTCATGACGATCAAAACTGGATCGTCAGAGTTAACGGTAAACCATTGGATCCAACTTTAAATACTACAACATCAGTAATATTATACATGAACCAAAATATTGGGAAGGATCCTGAAGGTCCATCAAGATTGATGCATATTAACAATGGTAATACACAGGACGAAAATACTTTTGAATTTACTGGTATTTCTGAGGATCTTGGTAAATATGAAGTTTTAATTAATGATAATTATGGTAACTACTATACTAATGACACTTTAGATAGTATTGAAGTTGTCCCTGGTTGCAATGCCTCCAGAAGTAGTCATGTCGGTTTAACTATCCCAGATACTGAGGTATGGAGAGCTAGAGATATTTTCCAATCATTATTAACTGACTCCATCAAGGATATTGTTAAGGAACTTGGTGAAACTATTGATTCTGGTTTGGTTCCAAGTGTATTAACTTTAAGAAACCTTCATGAATTTGATCAAGGTAACTTCCATTACATTCAAAAGACCTTCGATATGCGTGAAGAGAAAGGGTTTGAATTTGATGTAGTTTACAACAACATGGATTCTACACAAACCATTGATTCAGGTAAACAAGCAACAAAATTGATAAACGATGCCATTTATGAAATTAATGTCAGATTCGATAACCATTTCGATATTGAAGATACTGAAAACACCGGCGATAAGAGAAAATTTGCTATGGAAGTCCTAGGTAACTTATTGGGTGGTATTGGTTATTTCCATGGTACTCAAGTGATTGATCGTGAAACTGTATTAGATGAAGATCAATTTGAATCTATTAAATTTGAGCACTTCAAAGAAGAAGGCCCTTATAGTTTATTTACCAGTGTTCCTAGTAGAGGATTTTTCCCTCGTGGGTTCTATTGGGATGAAGGTTTCCACCTTTTACAAATTATGGAATATGATTTTGATTTAGCTTTCCAAATTGCAGTGAGTTGGTTCAATTTAATTGATGAAAATGGATGGGTTGCTCGTGAAGTAATTTTAGGTCCTGAAGCAAGAAGTAAAGTTCCACAAGAATTTACTATTCAAAGTCCTCAAATTGCTAATCCACCAACATTATTACTTGCTTTAAGTGAAATGTTAACTAAATTAATTGAAAATGAAAATGAATTAGGATTTTCCCATTCTGTAGTTGATGCTGAACAAGAAGAAGGAATTTCATCCCAGTTAGGTTCCAATTTTGAATATATTATCAAATACAGTAAGATAATTTATCCACGTTTACAAAGTCACTTTAAATGGTTCACAGAAACTCAAAAGGGGTTAATTGAAGAATATCTGGAAGATATGGAAGATGATGAACAATTTCAAGAAGTACATCAAAATTTTGTCTACAGATGGTTAGGTCGTACTGTGACTCACTGTCTACCAAGTGGGTTAGATGATTATCCAAGAGCAGAAATACCAGATGTGGCTGAATTAAACGTAGATGCATTAGCTTGGGTCGGTACCATGGCTAGATCTATGAAAAACATTGCGCATATTTTAGGTTTAGAAAAAGATGAACTCCAATATGCTGAAACAGAGAGAAAGATTGTAGAAAACTTAGACTTATTACATTGGGATTCAAAGACTGGTACTTACTGTGATGTTACATTAGATGCTGAAGGTGACGATGAAATGCAACGTGTATGTCATGAAGGGTATGTTTCTCTACTTCCATTTGCACTAAAATTAATGCCAAGAAACTCTCCAAAACTTAAAAATCTATTGACTCTAATGAGTGACCCAGAGAAATTATTTTCCCCATTTGGTCTACGTTCATTATCTAAACAAGATGAACATTTCGGCGCAGGTGAAAATTATTGGAGAGGTAAAATTTGGATGAATATTAATTACTTATGTCTGGACGCAATTCAGTATTATTTCCCTGAGGTGATTGCTGGGTCTCCTGAAACCAGCGAGTTGCATGATAAAGAAGTCAGCAATATGGCTAAGAAACTATACAATACATTAAGGGAAAACTTAATCAATAACGTCTATGGTAATTGGAAAGAGACTAATTACGTATATGAAAATTACGACCCAGTAGATGGCCATGGTACTGGTTCAGTGCAATTCACTGGTTGGACATCACTGATCGTCAACATACTAAGACACCAAGGTTTGTAAGCTGAACATTAGCTGAGCATCCAAACCAAGAATAACAATCAGAACAAAAGACTAAATAATTATTTTTTTATAGATATCATATTATCATTACTAGTATAGATAACAAAATATAATAAACCACACACAAGAAGTGACAAATAATCAAGTATCCACCCAACCTAAAACGTAAACAAACCCAGTCAAAGATGAACCAAATTCCTGGTTTAAAACTGTCTTGCCAATGCTTTGGGTCAAAAATCCTCTTAAAGTCACCAAAACTGCGCATTCCACAAAATTCCCAGCCAAAATCAAAGAACGGCGCTCTCCGAAGATTTGCGCAGCCAAAAAACAAAACTGCGCGTCTTTGTTTGTTTATATTTTGCGCAGCTTAACTAAGCGCACAGCGCAAAAATGAGTTTTGCTGAAATTTTTCAGTCTTTTTTGTTTATGTCATCTCTGTTTCTGGTAAAGAGAGTTGAGGGAGGGCAGGGAGATTTCATATATTACCCTCGAAGGGGGACGAGGTACTGGGATTCAGGGATTGACTGGTTTGTTGATCGTCTTGGAGTCATTACCAAATCTTTGCTGCTGTTTACATGTTTACAAAAAGCAAAGTTAAAGGTACAGTTGTTTCGTTTTAAGCTAGCCAATTGAGGAATTAAAATTTTATTTCAGTGTCTTATCGAACTACAGTAAAGTTTAATTTCATAAGGTCAAGTTTGATAGTTTAATGTAGTGATATACGTTTACATGTACCTCCAGACAAAATGACTAGAAAGCAGATAAGAGAAAAAAGCTGGCCAACTAGTCACTCGATAACGATGTTACCATGATTAAAAATGATATATAAAGGGAACGATTAATCGTTTTAAAGACAGTTATGAATTGTTTTGAGTTTTTGGTTTTTATGTTATAAGTATATTTAGTATTATATTATACATACATATACATATAACCAATACTAACTGACTCCACATATCATACAATATTAATATTACCAACTTACACACACACACACACATATACACAAATAAATATATTGCCTGCTATGTTATCCAGTTATACTTCACTTACATACATTTTACTCTTCACATCGGTAGTATCTGCCCTACCTGTATTTCAAAATAAAAAAATCGTCACAAGAGTTCATACAGCTAGCACAACTAATACAGTGACCGATTTTTATTCTACTACAACCGAAGTTATCGTTGCTCCAACTGTCGAATACATTGTTAGTGATACTGTCACTTTCACTACTACATTATACCCAGAAGGTGTTGATACCACAGTTGAACCAAGTACTACTATTACTGTAATGCAAAACAATGTCAACCCAACCTTCATTACTGCTCCTTCTTCCAGTTCTTCTGTAATTGAAACTCCAGCTGTTACTTCTTCTACCACTACTACTTTGGAACCTGCTACTTCTACCACTACTACTTTAGAACCTGCCACTCCTTCTACTACCACTTTGGAACCAACTACTACATCTTCTGTTTACGTACCAGAAACTACAACTTCTTCATCTACTTATACTGCTCCAACTAAAGTCGTTCCTGTCACAGTTTCCACTCAAGGTAAGACCACCACTACAATGGTCCCAGTTCTAACAGATGTTGTCAACAACGAACATATCGAAGGTTCTACTCCTGCTACCACAAACCAAGTAGCTGCTACTACTACCACTACTGCTGCTGTCGATCAATCTACCGAAGTCTCTACCACATCTAGCATTGCTTCTGCTACTTCTACTTACAATTCCAACTCTTTACTATCAAAGATCCCAGTCACCTTAGTCTATTCTCCATACAATGATGATGGTTCTTGTAAATCTGCCACTGATGTCTACAATGATCTTTCCATCATTAAAGCTAGAGGTGTCAACAAGATCCGTATCTACGGTACTGATTGTAATTCTTTCGAAACTGTGTTACCTGTTTGTGCACAATTCGGTATGACCGTCAACCAAGGTCTATGGATCGGTTCTGCCGGTGTTGATTCCATCAATGATGCTATCACTCAATTGATCACTTACGGTCAATCTAATGGTTGGGGTGTATTTGATTATATTACTGTCGGTAACGAAGCTGTTATTTCTGGTTACTGTACCGTTGCTGATTTAATCTCCAAGATTGCTTCTGTCAAGAGTCAATTACAAGCTGCTGGTTATTCAGGTCAAATTACTACCTCTGAACCACCAGTGACATACGAAAACAACCCAGAATTATGTACTGATTCTGCCATTGATTTTGTTGGTATTAACCCACATTCATACTTCGACACTTATTCTACCGCTGAAACTTCTGGTTCTTTTGTCCTTGGCCAACTTCAATTGATCCAAAAGACTTGTGGTACTTCTAATGTCGTTGTTACTGAAACTGGTTACCCATCTGCTGGTATTCAAAACGGTGGTAATATTCCATCTCAAGCTAACCAATTGATTGCCGTTCAATCTATCTTAGATACTGTCGGTACTGATGTTACTATCTTAACCTATACTAACGATTACTGGAAGAATGCTGGTCCATACGGTATTGAACAATCATTTGGTATCATTGATATTTTGCCATAATCCAGTTGCATTATATTTTTATTTTTATGACAAGTACCTATTTAATGAAAGCAGAGATTCACTACTAATTAAGATAAAAAAAGGTCTCTATAAACAAACAAACAAGCATGCATTCACACACACTCACACGTTTTAATAATAATATTAAAAAACCCAAAAAACAAATACAATTCATTTCAGTTAGATAAACAATTATTTTTTTAATAATAATCCAAAATAAAGCATAAACAAAACGGACTCAAGTGGAAAATTTATTTTAGAAACAGGGAAACCCCATTACATAAGAGAGTTTAGTAATCCCACTTCTACATACATACATATTTTTTTAATTTTCACATATATACAATATATTATAATACAAACATTCTTAAATATTAATAAGCTATTCATACAAGTATATACGTATCAACTTCCGTCTAACTATACTCCAAGCAATAAAGCCGATAACAATGATTGCCATTAATAGTTGTTCTCTCATCACATCATCGGATTTCAAAATTAATTTCTAACTTATAGACCCTCTACTACTTGAATCATCAGACAGTCTTAAGAATGTAAACTGCTGAGTCTTCCTATATTACGGACTTAAAGTATTTCTGTCCCTTTGTAAAGAACTGAGGTGCTTAAAAACCACATTTACGTAAAGAAATCATACCACTTGACCCACCTTAGACCCGTTTGACATATTAAGTAATAGACGGAAGTTTGTAATTCTGGGTAACTTCCGCTTCCGTGTCTCAGATTACATAACGAAACTCTCCTGTTACATTAACAACCGCCAAAAGACAGTAACTCTAACGGCCGTTACAAGATACATCAATAAGACATTGGACAGTCAACTCAATAACATTCATCGGTAACTAGATGAGTTGCTTTGCCTGATTCATTCACCTTAATATCCAATATCATGTTTAGCACCGACACACCGACATCTTTACGTAATCATTGATGATCAGAAAATTACTTTTTCTCGTTTTCTTTCTTTTTGGCCCGTAGCGAACTTCAGGAACCCTCTTTTCAAAGAGAACCCCGTAGAAGCATGTTCGTTCTCCTCGGGGGAAAAATTTCTGTTCCTCGAGGAAAGGGCGACTCGTTTCTTTTGTTCTCTCTCTTTATGTGAGCTGAAATTTTTCAATGTAATTCAATATACATGTTTTTTTTCAAATAAGAGATTTGAAATCATATATAAGCAGATAAAGTGGAGGAGTAGTTTTGAAGATTGTACTTTGAAAATTCCTTTTATTATAACTTATAGAGAAAAAAAAAGTATAGAAGAAGTTAATTGTATTCAAACCACAACCAACTACAACTATAAAAACAACCAACCAACTTACTCCCTTTTTTTGCAAACTATGCCTTTCGTCCAAGATTTCAAGCCAGAAGCCCTTGCTGACACCAACTTGTTCAAGCCAATCAAGATTGGTAACTGTGAACTAAAACACAGAGCTGTCTTCCCTCCATTAACTAGAATGAGAGCTTCTCATCCAGGTAATGTCCCAAACAAGGACTGGGCTGCTGAATACTACAGTCAACGTTCTCAAGTTCCAGGTACCATGTTGATCACTGAAGGTGCTTTCATCTCTGCTCAAGCTGGTGGTTACGATAATGCTCCAGGTATCTGGTCTGATGCTCAAGTCGCTGAATGGAAGAAGATCTTCGCTAAGATTCACGAAAACAAATCCTTCGTCTGGGTTCAATTATGGAACTTAGGTAGACAATCATACGCTGATACTTTGGCTAGAGATGGTCTACGTTACGATTCTGCCTCTGATGGTGTCTACATGGATGATGAATCCAAGGAAAGAGCTGAAAAGTCTAAGAACCCACAACACGGTATTACCAAGGATGAAATCAAGCAATACATCAAGGAATACGTTCAAGCTGCTAAAAACTCCTTGGCTGCTGGTGCCGATGGTGTTGAAATTCACTCTGCTAACGGTTACTTGCTAAACCAATTTTTGGATCCAAAGTCTAACCACAGAACTGATGAATACGGTGGATCCATTGAAAACAGATCTAGATTCACTCTAGAAGTTGTTGACGCTTTGATCGACGCTGTCGGTGAAGACAAGGTCGGTATCAGATTCTCTCCTTATGGTACTTTCGGTAACTTGTCTGGTGGTGCTGAACCATTGATTGTTGCCCAATACGCTCACGTTATCGGTGAATTAGAAAAGAGAGCTAGAGGTGGTAAGCGTTTAGCTTACTTGCATTTGGTTGAACCTCGTGTTACCAATCCATTCTTAACTGAAGGTGCTGGTGAATACGAGGACGGTACCAACGACTTCGCTTACTCCATCTGGAAGGGTCCAATCATTAGAGCCGGTAACTTAGCTCTACATCCAGAAGTCTCTAGAGAATTCGTTAAGGACGACAGAACTTTGTTGGCTTACGGTAGATACTGGATTGCTAACCCAGATTTGGTTACTAGATTAGAAAAGGGTCTACCTTTAAACAAGTACAACAGAGACTTGTTTTACGCTATGACTTCCGAAGGTTATTTGGATTACCCAACTTACGATGAAGCTGTCAAGATGGGTTGGGACAAGCAATAGATGCATTAGGATTTTTATATTAATCTAATGTCTGGATTATTTTACACATGCGTTTAACATAAAATATATTATTTTAACATAAATATTTTATAGAGATATATATATGATGAGGGATAGAGGATATCTGTTCCTCCTCTTTTAACGTTATTTAGAGATAAAGAAAATAAACATTTTCATAAAAATCAAAGATATATAAAACTTGTAGAGATGGTTAGAAGCTTCACCATTTTTACGTTCTATTAATTTTACATTTCGCGTTATTATGACACCGGCATATTATTAGCCGCCCAAAACAATAGAATATTTAAGCATCGAAAGCTCGTTTAACAAAGCTTATATTGCCCTCCCAGGATATGAAGAGATAGGCCAAGTTTATAAAAACAAAGATATTCTTTAAGATTCGATGCCACCAAAGAAGAAAAATGCCTCTTTAAAAGGGGCAGAAGGTTTGTAAAATGGTTACAATAACAATCTTAAAAAAACAGAAAAAATAATTCCAATATAGTTCATTATTACTAACCTAATTCTATATAGCATACAAAGTTGTTGAACAATACTTATGTTCTCAAAGGAAGCCATTTGCAATCAATGATATTGTTCAGAATTTACATGGTAAAATTACCAAGAATGATACTATTAAAATATTAGATGAATTAGTTCAAGAAGATAAAATTGCCTTAAGAACTTTTGGGAAAATACTGATATATTCTTCAAAGGATTTACCTATAAATTACGAAGAAGAATTTGGGAAGAACGATCTAGAAGGGAAATACAGCTACCAGACATTAACTCAATTAAACGAAGAAGTAATGGAGGTAAGTCGAGACGAAAGTACTGTTAAGAAAGAACTTGAAGAAATTTTGAAGGTTCCAACGAATGAACAATTGAAAGTCGAAGTTCAACAATTTGAAACAGATGTTGAAAACTTTCAAGAATCCTTAAAGAGTGTCAAGGAAAATACTAACGCAGAAACAAGATTAGAATGCACATATATCCTGAATACAACAATATCTTTGGAAAAAGAAATTCGTCTAAGAAAGAAAATATTTAATAATATTGCCTTAATAATTAAGGATCAAGTGAGACCCAAATCAATGAAGGATTTTATGGAAGATATCGGTGTAGAAAATTACACCTGACGATAAATCACATTTTGCTAGACAGTGCCTTCTTTTTTTTTTTTGGAAAACGCTCTACTTCTTTATTATTTTATATTTAAATTATTTAGAAAGTGTACATGATAAAAAATTATAAATTAGTATTTACTTCCCATTTGTTCCCTAATATACATAGCCTCAAATAATGCTTAAAAGATTGTAATGGTTGTCGCAGACGCACTTTGTGCCGCCAATGGAGTTGAGTTACAGTCTTCAACGTATGTAACTGATTTGTAATATTCGAATACCATTTGCTCACTCACCCCATTATGAAGAACAGCCCTCACTGTTGTAGAATATGGTGTAGTCTCTAGAGAACCAGTTGGAATGTCATCGCAGGAAACCGATACTGAAACATCTTGGGCAAAAACTAGACTGATGATTGCAGAAAGACTTAGAATGTAAAATATACAATTACTGATCATTTTATTAGTACTTTTAATTTGGGTGCAGAGTTGTTGTCTTCTTTGTCAATTGGATAAGGTTGAATTATTTTATTTGAACATTCAATAATAACCGTACATTATCTATAGAAAAGTTAACCATTTTGTTCTTGCTTATATACCAGTAACAATTACAATTTTTCATTGCTAGAGAAGTTTTGCCATAAAACTGTTTCTAATACGAAGTATTCCTTACATTATCCAAAATTACACTGCATTAAAATAGTTAAAACATGTAATTTTCCCAAAATGGAAACTTACAAGGTCTCTAAAACGAAATGCGCAATACCGCACGGAAAATCCTGTAGAGAGTTAAGAACAATACTTTTTCATCTGTTTCGTTTTGAGGTTAAACCTTCAAAACTAATAAAACTTTAAGAAAACATCTACGATATTTTCTTTGCTCTTTGACAGAATATCAATATTTTCAAAACCATCAATCTTAAAACTTGTTTAAAATGAGATGATTGAATAATTTAATCCAACTGATTTCTAGAGGCTATGAATTAAAAATTTAAGCATCAAGCTCAAACTTAATTCAAGATAAAGATAATTTGTATATTAATTTGTAGAAAATGCTTTAATCTTAGTAACTCTTGTTTGATAATACATAAAAATTTAGAAATATGAGAAAATATATAAGAAAAATCCTAACGGATTTATATGAGGTATACATTTTTTTATATCTTAACGAGAGGTAGCAGCGACCTTTTGGAAAGCACCCTTAGCTTGTTGCTTGGACATCTTAGAACCTTGAGAACCAGCTTGCTTAGCCTTTTCTACCTTTCTGGCAGCCTTGTCAGCCTTCTTCTTTTCCTTGTCAGCAGACTTCTTTTCATCTCTCTTGGCCTTTCTAACTTCTGGCTTGATGGATCTTCTTTCCTTGATTAAATCTAGAGAAGCACCAACAATAGCTCTTTGAGCCTTGACGGTCTTTCTGGATCTCTTCTTGGCAACTTCTTCAGTAATACCTTTCTTGTGGTGTCTTCTGTAAAGAACAGTCCAAGCGACTCTTCTTGGGTTCTTTCTTTGCTTGAATAGAGAAGCAGATTTAGAGTTTTGGAATCTGAAAATCTTGGAATCACCACGGACGAATAGAGTACCTCTACCTGGGTAGATCTTGGCACCAGAAAATGAATCAACTTCAACCTTCATCTTGTCTATTTCAAAAGATTATAAAAATAATGCCTTTCAATAAGGATATTAATATTAGTTAATTGTTAGTAAAAAGGAATGGAAAAAATCTATATTAAAATAATTAGAAAATCTAATTGTCAAATCGACATGGAAGTTTCACATCATTTAGGATATGTGATAATCGTAAAAAAAATCATTCAAGCACAAAAGTTGTTAGGTATAACCTAAAAAGGATATATTCTATAACAGCAATGCATTTTCCTATGGGCGAATAAAAACATATTGATGAAAAATACCTTTAACTTCCTTTTATCTTATTACACACATAGTATTCATTATTATCATTATTCCTATTATAATATCAAACTAAACATTACTTGTAATTCAAAATTATAATATTATTACAACGTATTGCTAAATTATCTTCTAATATACACCAATTTTATCATAATTTATTGAGATCTGTCATCTTTTTTATTCTATCATATCAGAACTCATTTAAAGTCCATGAACTTATCACTTCAACATCGATTTAATAATCATTAGCTAGTATCATCAACATACCTTAATTTATCGTTACCGTCTTTAAATATGAACTTTGTAATTAATGCTAGTAAAAGCTACTTAAATATAGGCTGTTTTTGTATAATAAGGCCTCACTCAATCTACCTACATTACAAAATATCAAAGGTTTCTCTACTCTGGTAGCCAGTAGACCATTGATAGTGATGGCTAGGAATGGGAGTACTAACAGTAACCAACGGCCTACACGTTAGCCAGTTCACCATTAAACATAGCGGTTCCCTGTCCAATGTCTTCTTCCCTCATCGCTTTCTAAATGCCTTTTGGTTTGTCTCGCTTTTTATTTTAGCTTTTTTTTATTTTTCAACAAGAATCTCCCGGCCAAAACTGGAAAAACTAACAAATTTAACCAATTATGTATGGGGTGTCGGGGTGCACTTTAATTAAATGTACGGATGTTGAAAAAGTCCAAGCAATAAATTGGGAAAAAAAAAATGAACCGAAAATTTTCACTGAAATATTCAAAGGGCAGCGAGAGGGAAACAACGAAATGAAAATTTGTAATTGAGACGAACGCAATTCTTTGCTTGAGCCCAGTTACAGTACTGAGGTGGGAATGGCTTTCATTATTCTAGTTTCTTCTATCGACAGTTCTGGAAAATTTTCAAATTTTAATCAATTTTATGTTATTTTTAAAAGAACATATAAGTAACCTCATCTTGACTCGTTACTATCTCATCTTTTTATATTACTTTTGTTTACAGTTTATAAAGAAACCATAAAGTAGACCGGAGTGTTTATACAACTAATCAAATCACAGAGATGGTCAGTATAAATTGAATAACATTTTTGATGCTTCCTTTATTTATTATTTAGTGGTTCTATTGTGAACATACTCAGAGTATTTCCCGAGTATACAAGTGCATTAGCACCATAATTATACCGAATAGATATACGGATGTCAGATTAATATCTAATGAATATTATTTTACTAACATGAATAAATATTATTGAATTACTAATACTCATTACAAATGCGTAATGTTAGTTATATCTCAATAAATTTACTTTTATTTTTTTGATAGGCCCCAGTTAAGTCCCAAGAATCTATCAACCAAAAGCTTGCCCTTGTTATCAAGTCTGGTAAGTACACCCTAGGTTACAAGTCTACCGTCAAGTCTCTAAGACAAGGTAAGTCTAAGCTAGTTATCATTGCTGCTAACACCCCAGTTCTAAGAAAGTCCGAGCTAGAATACTACGCTATGCTTTCCAAGACCAAGGTTTACTACTTCCAAGGTGGTAACAACGAATTAGGTACCGCTGTCGGTAAGCTTTTCAGAGTTGGTGTTGTCTCCATTCTAGACGCTGGTGACTCTGATATCTTAACCACCCTAGCTTAAGAAAATCGTTAGAAGTACTTAATTGAATCTTCTTAACATTTTTATTTTCTTATTCTAACTTCATCAAGGAACAGATCATTTTTTTTAAATATTTATCATTATGTATATACATTATATATATTTTAATAACAAAAATATGTGATCTTTTCTACCAAAACACTCATTTTATGATAGACTACAAAGACAATTTATATATACTAGTACTAGCTGCATATGACGTGAATGGTAAGAATGACAGCTCGTTGAAAGTGATTTGAAGACAAAAATCAATTTAAAAAAACAATGCGAATTCTGTGGATCGAACACAGGACCTCCAGATTTCTTTTGACCGAAGTTTTTCTTCAGTCTGGCGCTCTCCCAACTGAGCTAAATCCGCAAACGTTAAATTTTACAAATTTAAAATAGATTTTAAGGCTATTAAAAATTGAAAGTTTGATGTGATATAACTTAGTTTCACAATTTATTACTTATCCATCCTATTATTCTGCTGGTTTAGCTTATTGGTATAATTAAAATATTCACCAATGACATAATAATTGCTTCATATAACGGCTATTACTTTTTGTCACACTTAAAGGCGTGTGTGAAGCATTCACCACAGAAGACCTGACACAATTTATTTCTCCAGAACAATGAAAAAAGCAGTAGATAACAATAAAAGTATTGGAAATTATATAACAGTGTGATGCACAGTGATATTCGTACAATGTGACATTGCTGTGAAAATTTCTGTGTGTAAAGGAACCCGTTTTCCAAATTATATAGAATTATATATTACACCTTCTCATGTCTCTCTCTGATAGGAGGGGCAGGAGCTCTGCCTCAAGCCGCGGACCTATAGTCCTGAGCTACAGTAAATATATATACTATTATTATTCTCTAATTCCCAGTTTTCCGATAGATAGAATGATGAACTGATCATAGAACAAGACAACATAAACGAAAGCATAATGAACAACGACAAGTATTAATGGAATAATTCCGAATGACTTTCACACTGTAAACAATCTTTCCAACACATATTGTAAAACAAGTGTTCTTCCTCATGCTCACATTGCTTTCTAAGGTTCAATTGTCATGTTTAGACGTGAATAGAAAGGTAAAGGCAGTTTAATAATAGAAAGCTCAAGCTTATTCCTTTCATTTAATGTTATACGATACTAACAACAAACATCTATCCTTTGCAAAAGAGGAAAATTTCATGTTATATATATATATATATATATATATATAAAGTATATATTAATTTTGATTCAAACGATCAGAAAAAATAACAACACTAATTAGAGGTTGCTATCGCTCATTATCTATCAGAGAAATTCTATTTATAACCTAGTTTGACAGCTTCTTCGTAAGTTGGATAATCAGTGTAACCTACAGCTCCTGGGGTATAGAAAGTGTTGAAGTTGTACTTATTGAAAGGTAAACCCTTTTCCAAACGGTCAACAATATCTGGATTAGCGATAATATATCTACCGTAACCGACTAAAGTGTTTTCATTCTTTAGATGTTTCAATGCAGTCTCTGGACGTTCACCAAGATCACCTGTTCTTAATACTGGACCCTTCCAAATGGAAAAGATAAACTCATTTGTACCTTGAGGGTGTTCTTCACTGCTACCAACAGCATCTGGAACGATGAAACTAGAGTTCAAAGAAGGTTCTGTTAGATGGATGTAAGCTAGACCTTTACCATTCTTACGTCTTTGTTCTAATTCACCAATAACGTAAGCGTAAGTGGCAAGAAAATCTGGATCTTCGGAACCGGACATTGAACCATAAAGGTTATAAGGGGATAATCTAATACCAACTCTTTCAGCTCCAACTGCTTCGATAACAGCATCTACAACTTCAAGAGTAAATCTGGCTCTATTTTCCAAAGAACCACCATATTGATCAGTTCTCTTGTTAGAACCACTATCTAGGAATTGGTTTAGCAAGTAACCATGAGCAGCGTGGACCTCAACACCAGCAGCACCAGCAGCAATGGAGTTTTTAGCGGCATGAACGTATTCCTTAGTATACTGTTTAATTTCATCAATAGTTAAACCATGTTGTGGGTTGTTGACCTTAATAGAGGCTTCCTTGGCTTCCTCGGTCATATAAACACCATCAGATGCAGAATCATAACGAAGACCGTCTCTAGCCATCTCTTTGATACCAGCTTGTCTACCTAGTGCCCATAATTGAACCCATAAAAAGGATTTGTTTTCATGGACTCTACCAAAGATCTTTTTCCATTCAGCTACTTGTTCTTCCGACCAGATACCTGGAGCATTATCATAACCACCAGCTTGAGCAGAAATGAAAGTACCTTCGGTGATTAACATGGAGCCTGGTCTTCTACTACGTTGATAGTAGTAAGTACCAGCCAATTCACCATTTGGAACATTACCTGGAGCTGTGGCTCTCATTCTGGTTAAAGGAGGCATAACAGCTCTATGTTGAACCACGGTGTTACCAACCTTCATTGGTTTGAACATGTTAGAACCCTTAAATGAAATTGGTTTGAAGGAATCGGTGAATGACATTTTATTTGGAATATAGCGACTTGATTTGAGTAGTGGGTGCTTAGTTTAACGTCTGACAAGCTTATTAAAGTTATATTTACTCAAAAATAAAGAACAATATCTCAAAAAAAACACTAAAACTTAATTGAAGGCAATAACCTCTATTTATATAAAGAAAAAAAGAGGATTCCACCCAACGCTGCTCCAGAAAGTCAGGTTTACCTTCAAGGATCATGTTTACCAAAGTTTGGGTGAATTAGGTAATCATCGTTGCCGAGATCTCTCCGCCATGTTCTTTTTCTCGACATCCCGCGGAGATCTCCCATATTATTAATTGTTTCACCCCCGGAAAATATCCAAATATGAAAAATTTCACGTAAGCAAGAAAGTTTATTATAGTAAGTGAATAAAGCATAATCTAAAGGGAATGAAAGTTAGAATATGTATGGAAATCAAAGAAGAACTGTTTTACACTTTAAAGAATGTACTTGAATCTGCGAGGGAAACTCCGATTTTTTATTAATTGTTAAATAATAATAGCAGCATTGTTTTTTATTTTGAGAAGAATGACTTAATTTTACATAGTATCTTAAAAGACAAATTGAAATTTTATGTATTTAGAAGTTACACACATTTTATGATAGAAAAAAATGTGTTTTCCTTATTTGTAGCCTAATTTGATAGCTTCATCGTAAGTTGGGTAGTCAATATACCCTTCTGCAGTTTGACCGTAGAATAGCTTGTATCTGTAGTTGTTAAATGGTAAACCCTTTTCCAAACGATCAACGATATCTGGAGTAGAAATGTAGTATCTACCATAACCAACCATAGTTCTATCATTTTCCAATAATTTAGCTGCTAAAGTTGGGTTTTCACCTAATTCACCAGTTCTTAATACAGGACCCTTCCAGATAGAGAAAATAAATTCATTGGTACCTTCTTCATGCTTCTTAGGAACAACTTCAGTGACTGGACCAGTAGAGTTATCATTAATTAATGGCTCGGTCATGTGGATGTAAGCTAATGGCTTACCAGCTCTACGTCTCTTTTCTAACTCACCAATAACATAAGCCATTGTAGCAATGGTGCATGGGTCCTTAGAACCAGACATAGTACCATATGTGTGGTATGGAGACAATCTGATAGCCACTTTTTCGGCACCAATGGCATCAATTAAAGCATCAACAACTTCTAAAGTGAACCTTGCTCTGTTTTCAATACTTCCACCATATTTATCGGTCCGCTTGTTGGATAGTGGATCTAAGAATTGATTTAGTAAATAACCATGAGCACCATGAATTTCTACACCATCAGCACCTGCTTCGATAGAGTTTTTAGCGGCGTGAATATATTCTTTAATGTATTGCTTAATTTCATCTTCTGTTAAGCCATGTTGTGGGTTCTTAACTTCTAGGGATAATTTTTCAGATTCTTCATCCATGTAGACGCCATCAGAAGCAGAATCGTAACGTAGACCATCTCTAGCCATTTCTCTAACACCAGCTTGTCGACCTAAATTCCACATTTGGACCCAAACAAAGGACTTGTTTTCATGAATCTTAGCAAAAATTTTCTTCCATTCAGCAACTTGAGCATCAGACCAAATACCTGGTGCGTGATCATAACCCCCAGCCTGTGGGGAAATAAAAGTACCTTCAGTAATCAACATGGAACCTGGTCTCTTTGAACGTTGATCGTAGTACTTTGCAGCCCATTCTGAAGTTGGCACATTGCCTGGGTGTTGCGCTCTCATTCTAGTCAATGGAGGCATGAAGACTCTATGAAGAACTTCAGTGTTACCAACTTTTAGTGGCTTGAACATGTTAGTGTCCTTAAATGAAACTGGCTTGTAAGTACTGACGAAAGACATATTTGTTAATTATTAATTTTTCTGTATTCTATAAAGTTTGGTCGTTTTTGTTAGAAGATTGACTCTATTTGAATTGTTGTTATTTTCTTTTATATATATATAATTAAAAAGTACAAGAAGAACCAACAATTGTGAAAATCTATCAATTCAAGCTTCTTTTATACTTGATTAAATTTCAATCTCCATAAATTAGTACTCGTCTTGGGCTATTCATGGTGAACATTAAAGATGAAGATTAACGTGTCAGAACATTAATGCAATGATTAATAATGATACTTCCTATCAGTGCAATTGAGCAAAATGAAAACAAACAAGGGGGGGTATGAAAAGCAACGAAACTCACACTGAATGCCGCACAGCTATTGCCAAGACCAGTCTTCGAGAAAAGTTGCTCTACCATGACTGAACATGCTTAATAAATCTGCTGATTTGCTTATTGGTGAAAAAGCTAAAAAATCGTGCAATCGAGATTCTCTTACAAATTGGATTGCCAATTGCCGTCTATCTTCCGAAATTTCCACGTGCCCGCTTCCGTCGCTTTGGATTACATAATAACACAGACTAGGCTGCACAAGTGTAATTTGAAATTTGTAATCCAAATGCGACGGAACAACGGCGACACGGAATACATAACTGTTAGGTAAGCAAGAAAAGAAATGAATAAAACATCTCCTCATTTATCAATTAACATTTAGCGTAAAGCCAACCAACAGAGAGATAACCGTGGTAAAGAAATTTCTTTCGGTTAATTGTAGAGCAATTTCCGAATGACAATAGATAAGAGAATATAATGTAACATTGTGGGTGTATTGTTTTGACATATATTCTCCATCACTCCAAGATCAATTGATAAATTCGTATGGCCGCGGAACGACTATCTTTCAACAATCAGATGTTTATCCTGAAACTGTGACCTATATTAATAAAACAAAAATGGAAGCTTTTATTTCATCGAGCCGTATATCTGCTACTGGGGTGTGTACTACATACTATACAAGAAATTGCAAGCAGTAGTAATTTACAAAAAAAAATAAAGTGTTACAAATAATCAGAGAATGTAATAATGTTTCTAATAATAGTTATATTTTTTTTAAAAAGACTCTATGACGATTTTGTATATGTCTAAATTAAGCCTTTTTTTTCACTTTTCATGAAATTTTCTGAGTTATTAGAAAGCAACCGAATTAATGTTACTAATATAACAAATACTTTGTAGCTTCCATTATTTACAACCAAAATATATGAAATGTATGTGTCTTCTTGTTTTTCCTTAAAAAATACTGATAAGACTTGCCTTACTATAGAATCATTGTATCTGTGTATGCAATATTTTAAAATCTTGTCATCATATTTTCCAAGAAAGCTTGAGAGCTTCATCATATGTTGGATAATCTATATATCCATTAGGTGACATTGTATAGTAAGAATCTTCATCGTACTCATTCAATGGTAAACTATTCTGTAAACGGTCTACCAAATCTGGATTCGAAATAAAATATCTACCATAGGCTACTAAAGTTCGGTCATCTTTTAAAAAAGTTTTTGCTGTCTGTGGGAATCGGCCAAGTCCGCCTGCACGAATTATTGGACCCTTCCATATCGAATAAACAAAATCATTACTCTCTAACTGATGTCCTTCCGAGTTTCCAGGGGCCCAACGAGGGATTGGATCAATTATATGAACATAAGCTAATCTATTTCCCGTCTTAGCTCTGGATTCAATGGCACCTAATAAGTAGGCATACTGTGCGACTAACCCTGTATATGAACCTCCTGACATTCCCGCCGTTGAATAAAAAGGTGAAATTCTAATACCAATTTTAGACGCACCTATCTCTTTGATCAAGGCATCAACAATCTCTAAAACAAATCTTGCTCTATTTTCTATAGATCCACCATATTGATCATCACGTTTGTTAGATGCAGGATCCAGAGACTGCATTAACAAATATCCATTTGCAACATGTAATTCAATACCATCTGCACCTGCCTTAAGAGAGTTTTTGGCAGCATGAACATGATCTGCAATATATTGCTTAATTTCCTTAATAGATAAGCCATGAATTGGGTTCCCCAATTTAATTGCTAAATTTTCTGTTTCCTTATCCTTATATATACCATCAGTCATACCTTGATATTTTAAACCATCCCTAGTTAAATTCTTAATATCTGCCTCCCAACCAAGAGCCCACAATTGAACCCAGCAAAAGCTGCCATTATCATGTATTACTTTAAAAGTAGGTCTCCAAGCTTCGATTTGTTCTTGAGACCAAATTCCTGGAGCATGATCAAATCCACCGGCTTGTTTCGAGACATAAGTAGATTCAGTGATCACCGTTGTCCCAGGACGCTGTGATCTTTGACTATAATATTCTGGGGTCCACTCAGTATTGGGTATATTACCAGGATAGCTCGCTTTCATTCTTGTTAGTGGTGCGAGTACAGCCCTATGTAACACAGTCGTATCACCTAGTTTCAATGGATTAAACATGTTTGTACCTTCAAAAGAGGTAGGTTTAACAATTGTAGAAAACGGCATTAGTTATAATGGTAACTATGTTCCTTTGTGAATTTTACCTCTGAAGAGCTTCTGTTTCATCCCACCTTGTGAATGTATCCTAAAAATAGTTTTAATCATTTTGAAATTTCAGGGGATGGCCAGGACCCTTTCCTTAAGGCGAGATCACATTCTTAGCAAAACAAGACAACCTATACAGCTATACAAAATAAAAGAAGCAAACTAAGCACAGTTTCATCCATAAATACTACCTGATATATTTATCTATACTACTGATAAACCTACATGTCAAGTTACTTATTATCGTTTTTAGCTTGAGAAATCTGTAGCAATAACCACATCCCGGAGTTTAGCTTAAATAAATGCATGAAGTTTATACATCAACCAAAAGAAGAAGAAAGATAGGGCCCACTAACAATAAATCGTCATCCTGATCTTGTTCTATGTCAAAGATCTAATGCTGTTGCCAGCCTATATGTTCTGATTGGCATTGAATAACTAACAACAGAAAAAAAGAAACTTAGCAGCGAAAGCGACCCCGCAGCGTTACCCCGCACAGGAACGCCACGTGACTGCATTTCTTTTTTCTTGGAGGTGTTCCTGCAGGGATTTCTCTGTGGAGAGCCAGTTACTCGGAACAATATCCTAGTTAACTAAGCAGACCTACAGTTTGCTAACGCACTTCAGTAACAACTGATGGATAAGATACAGTCAACTTGTCAACTGTTAACTACATTGCATGCTGGCGAAATTGCTCTGTTAACTGTCCTCCCAGCAAAAAGAAACGTTGTTCTATTTGGGGTTTCGTTTCTGTCTGTCTCTCCACCGGATTATCTCTTGCGTCGTTGCTTTTTTCTGTTTCTGTTTCTTTTTATGGCGGGGGTGTGGGAGGCTGGAAAAGCTTTATTTGAAAATTTGGCGAGACCCAAAACAAAGTGAACAGCTTTTTTTTTATTTTTTTCACCAATTTCGAATAAACTGAAAATAAATTTTTATTTACATATTTAGAACAAGTGTAAATAAACATCTTAAGTTGACATATTTACCTATTCCAAGTGTAAAAAACGTTAAGAAGTATACGATACATATACGTAACCTAAGCTATATCAATAATAGATAAGGAACTAGAATATACACTCATTAATAATTTGTCGAGCATGACTACTCAAACTCCAGCCGAGAAGAAAGAAGCACCAAGGCCTCATGTGTGTCCCGTTTGTAAGAGAGCATTTCACAGATTAGAACATCAAACAAGACATATGAGGACGCATACAGGTGAGAAACCACACGCTTGTGATTTTCCTGGTTGTACAAAGAAGTTTAGTAGAAGTGACGAACTAACTAGACATAAGAGAATACATACGAATCCACAGCCTAGAGGTAAACGTGGTAGAAAGAAGAAAGTTGTTGCTCCTGTGATTGAAGCAGAACCTGTAAGTTTTGAAACAGGGGGTCCTGACTCAATGGGAATCACTATGGGAGTACCAATATCAATGCCAATGATGACACCTATACCAAGAAATACTTCTAGTAGTTCCTTACATTCAGTAAGTTCATTCACTGCACTTAACGGTTTACAAGTATTACAACCGTTACAACCATTACAATCACAACAACCTCAAGGGTTAATTAGTAAACCTACAATAGTGAGAAACTCTTCTACACACTCATTAACCCAAATGAATAATAATAATAGTAATAATAATGCGGGATCTTCCGGGGGTCTATTGTCTAGTAACAGTAACAATGGAAGTAGAATCCGTTTAAGTGCATTATCCTCTTTACAAATGATGACGCCATTAGGTAATGCAAAACCTCGTACACATGGATTTATGGATACACCGGAGAATAATGGTCCAGAACTAACAAGACCTCGCTCCTTAACTGATGTTGCTAATATGAATAGCATATCGAATTCTGGTATTCCTTTACCAAGATTACAAACACCTATCGCTAATAGTAGTGCATCTGTAATATCTGGTGTTGTAATGAATAGACCAGGGTCTGCATTAAGTCTTAATGAAATGTTAACCAAGACTACAAGTAGTTCAGAATCTGAGACCGAAGCAGATGGATCTGTATTAGAGATAAACAGGCATGCGGGACGTAGGAGACATCAACGCCAACAAAGTTCTAATGCAGTAACTCCTACCACAATGAGTAGGTCTGATAGTGGTTCAAATTTACAACAAAGCATGCTTTTAAATGGTGTCACTCCCCAGACTATGAATGGATCTCACATGTCGCCTGCATTCGCTGATGATTTAAGATATAAATTGAATTCTGTTCAAAATTCTCAACAACAACACAATGCAAATAACAACAATAGTACAAGCTATACTGAACCATCAGTATTGAGTTCACCACCTTCATATGCTGCAAGAAATGATTTCTCGTCACATAATGCTGGTCAAATACCAATTATAAACTCTTCACCAACATCAATCGTGTCACCTCAATTGTTACCCCAACAATTTCTAGGAACACCACACGTTGCACAACTACCTCCTCAGCAGTTATACAATCCATCCACATCCACAACTGTGAACACTTTACAACAACAACAACAAGAAGGAACACAGAGTGGTTTACCACCTATCAGAAGTTTACAACTTCAATTTCCTACAGATTAAAATGTTAAATAACATTTTGGAAATGTTTAAACCTTGGTTTTCGCAATAACCTATCTTATAAATTGTAAAAATATATATTCCTCTTCGTCCAAGAAATAATCATCATCTATATAGATTTAATCAATATATTATAGCCTCACAGCCTTCTACATAATTTTAATTTTAATACTAACACTAATTATTGGCTATCTTTTTTTTGCATGTGCTTTACAAAAATCTAGACTCTTATTAGATTTAATATACATACAAATACACCCCACACCGTAATAACAGATCAAAGGCTTTCAATTAAGTATGGTATCACTACGATAATTACGTACTTTTAGCATAGACTTGGATAAAACCAAATCAAAATGCAAAGCCGTCTGTCTCTACTGCAACTCGTTCAAATTCCAAAAAAGTTATATACGGAATGACGAAGACCTAAACCCACAATAGATAATTAAATCATTACCTCTAAAAAAAACCACTCAAAACTATTACCTCAACAGTTCCAGTTATTCACTTCCCAAATGCAGTGAGTTCTATATTCTTTCTATTACCTTCTATCAACGAAGCTGAAACTGAAAAAATTTTCATTTCGTTTTCACTGAGGGAAAGAGAAATACTCGTACAAAGATAGAGGCAGAAATCCAAGCCACTACTATACAAAGAACAAAGACCTAGAAACCCATACATTCATTCGGTTTTGATCATCTAACCGTTGAATTGTCGGAATCAACTCTCTTACAAAATCCACCTCAAAGTAAAGTTGCCATAGTTATTTACCATTTTGAAAGATTTCCCAATCCCGGTTTTGAATTATGCCAACTTAAAGTAATTTTGAAATTTTGTTTTGTGTTGTCCTCCACCCCCAGCAGTTTACTTACCTATTGTTATTAACGTAATCCGGGACTTCATAAATAACTAAACCGTTCATGCATTATTACTTATAGAATATTATAGAAGAAGAAAAAAATTATTCGTGTCTTATACGGGGAAATCAAGTATTATCTATTTATTTGTATATTTATTATTTTTATTGTAAGTGCCCCTCGTTCTGCGACTTTATTTTTACTTTTATTTTGCAATTCGTTCACCCAAATCTTGTATTGACAGATATTTCAATTGAAACTATTTTTATTTCAACTTTTTTCGTTGAACTGCTTAATGTTTTTATGCGTTTCATACATATTCTGTTTGTGTGACACCTTACCGTCCAGAACCCTTAACGGTTTATAGGTCATGACCTATAGAATTTTCAGTTGATTTAGGGAGGTGCCATGACTTTTCTTTTTCCTGATCCAGATAATTTTATTAAATCAATATTATTGCTATTATATTTTTCCTGATCTAGGTCTTGCAAATTACCTTAAACGATTTGTCAAATATTTTATTTTTTCCTCTTATAAAAATTAATACGTCAGCAAAATATCACACTATTCATATATATACAAGTAAAACTAACCATTGGCAATTCATATAAACCAATATTTATTGCTACTCTTAATATTATTTCTTCATCTTGATTTTATTTCCCTTAGAAATAAAAGATCAAGGAAATCTAGAGGCCTCACTTTCAAAGAACTCTTAATAGAAGATGTATGCCTTCAATAATTATTGTACCGTTTGCGACAAGCTGATTCCAAATTGTTCTCCTTCCAAATTGTCCAGAACCAACTCTACTAGTAGTGATAAATCTACAGATAGACTTTACTGTTCTCATGAATGTGAAAGGAAGGACAAATTGCATCTCGTTAACAGTACAATTATGACATCCAATGAAAATAGTACCGACATTGATAACAATGACAATGATGATGGTAATGATAAGTCTATATCTGCAATGCCTGATCACGGTATGACATTGGATCAAACATTACACGTACACCCAGATTATTCGGTCGACGACTCTCTTGTAGTACCGGATCATTTACCTACGGTCCTGGCAAGCCCTGCTTCCTTTTCTCATAGTCCAGGTAATGACCATGATGATTTCCCATCGATTACGATTACTACAGTGACGGGAGATATTACTTCAAAAGCAACATTGGATGAAAGGGAACAACTTTTAGCGTCCCCATTCTTATTGCCTTTAAATTCAAATAATGAAAAGAATTCATTGTTTGAAATGAATGAGCATATTGATAACACTCTTACATTAGGTGAAAGTTTAATTCCACATTATTACAGCCTACCGCCTTTAAATTCATTCTATAATATTCCTAAAACATTATTCGTCGGTACAAATTCGAAGACAAGTCAAGAAAATTGTTCATTCGATCATACCGCTGAAGCCAATTATAAACTATGGTTGTCAAATAACATTTCATAGTTTCATTTCTCATGACCTTTGCATATATTTTATTAAACTAACGATACAAAACAGAAAAAAAATGACAAAAACAAAAAATTACAGCATATATATCTACAACTACTAAACCCTACAACTTAGAAGAAGGTCCAAATAATTCGACCTTCAGTTTGAAATCTTTCTTTTTTAACTTTTTTTTTTGGCTTTTTTTTCATGAATATGAACAACTTTTTATGATATATATTTAATTGATTTATAAAGAACTAAGTATTGATCTAAAATTATAAATTTTTTATTATTATAACTTAACAAACAGTATTGACTTTCAGTAGGTATATATACCCACCTAAGCCTCATTAATTATATGATTCATGGTCTTTAAAATATCATATGTATATATATATATATATAGATAGATATAGATAATCTATTTTTAAACAATTATTTGATGGTCGATAATTTGGTTGTGTTGACATGGATTTTGATATCTAAATCATCAGTATTGTCTTCGATACGTTTGATACGATCTTGTTGCGATTCTAGTTCACTACCAGCGGCAAGGGCCAATTTTTTCAAACGACCACTCACCTGTTGAATCTTGTCCAGGTTTCTATCGATTTCGATTTCCATTTCATCATCTTCTTCATCATTTTCAAATTGATACTTTTGTGCACGCCCCAATATATCCTTCCTCTCATACCGGTCTCTTATGTCACTGATATTTCTTCCATTTTCGTCCATTGCATTTTCAATTCTATTCTGAGATGCAGTCAATTCTTGATTTGTGCTATTCATCATAGCTTGTTCTTGAATCTTTTGGTTTTTAATCTTTTCCTCACGTTCTTGTTTACGTCTTTTAGAATTGAAAGGATTACTAACATGTACTGCCCATAAACTACGGTTCAGTTTCTGTAATTCGGTAACCTTCTCATCGGCGATAGAATTTTGAATATTCATTAAATCCAGGTTTCTTTCAACATTATTTAATTTCTCACTTTGGTGTCCCAGTAGACCCAACGTATTCATACCAGACATTTCTGCTTCTTGTGCCATTTTTAGAGTGTTTCTCGTCGACGCTACGGAGCTTTGTTTGGTAAACTTAATTTGTTGTTTTAGTTCATCGACAGCATCATCCTCTTCTTGTTGTTGACGTTGTTCTTCTTCGTGTTGAATTTCTTCAAATGTCTTGTAGCCTCTATCAGTATCAACTTCAGCATTTAAGTCATCATTATATAGTTGTTGTGATTGATTTTGATAGTTGTCGAAAGCGTCCGCTCTATTGTATCCATCATATTGAGTACGCTGATCATCAGTAGCGTTCAATTCATCTATCTGTTGTAATTGTTGTTGTTCACGTTGACCGACATCTGCATTCAAATCATTTGCTGAACTTTCATCACCGTATTCATTTATTGTATCATTTAGATCAATACCACCACTACTAACTCCTCCCATTATAGAAGGTGTTGCATTCAATGTAGATGTTCTATTCAGATCTGTAGTTAGATTTGTAGGTGTACGGTGTAAGGGAGCTTTAATCCTAGATGTTGGAGCAGTTACTGGTGTGTTTGCATATGGATTTGAAGATTTTCTGGTATTGTAGTTGGCACCGTTATTCATGGAGCCATATGGATTAGATGATGAGTTGGTTCCTGTAGTGTTATAGCTATCGTTTCTTAATGATGCATATGGGTTATTTGAACCTGATGGGGTAGGTGTCTTAGGTTGTCTCGTATCACTTGGTATGGTATAGCTATTATAGTTCTTGAGTTCAGAACCTCGTGGGGCTCTTTCATCTCTGGTAGATGATGCGATAGGGCCCCCATAGCTGGGTGATACATCAGGTGTATTATTACGTGAATACATTGGTGAACGACTTTCTTTATAAGGACTTGTTCCTGCTACGCTACCAGTATTTGAGAAATTAAGATCATCTGAAGGGTCAGCTTGGGGTGCTCTATTATACGAATTATTAACTAGGCCACTACTTGTAGCTCCATTGTTGTTCTGATATGGAGTTTTGCCGTAGCTATCGCCATTATTAGTGGTATAGCTTGAGTATGGATCATTATTCATTGAGTAGCTGTTATTATTATTATTGGAGCTGGGTGTTTGACTTCTACCATTTGATGACGGTTCTGTATTTGTGTATGGGTTTCTATTCTGAGGTGCACCATATGGATCTGAGTTTTGCGTTGAGTCGTATGGGCTAGTGCTTTTAGATACACCGTATGCATTAACATTTTGAGAAGAACCGTAAGGGTCTCTACTTTGAGAGGAGCCATACGGATCTGCGTTCTGTAGACTACTACCACTGTAAGGATCTCTTGTTCTAGATGAGGACCCATATGGATCCATCGGTTGTGAAGCACCGTTTACGGAATTATGTGGATCCATAGATGATGCCCTAGAAGTAGGTTGCCTCATTGTGTTATTATATTCGTTCAGGTTAGAGCTACCACGCATTCCGTATGGGTCCGAAGGTTGGCTTGTTGGATTAGTCACTGCAGCATAGGGATCATATGTAGCTGCAGTAGTACTAGAACTTGATTCTGTGTCATCATCATCGTCTTTATTAGATTTCTTTCTACCAAAGAGACCTCTTTTCTTCTTTTCTTGTTTTTTTTCTTCTTTCAATTTTGCAGCATCCCTCTTAGCTTGTTCATTTGCATCCCTCTCATCCTGAGCTTGTTGTCTTGCATCTTTTTCCTTTTGTTGCTGTTGAAGAGCCACATCTTCATACCCAGGAGGAGCATAAAATTTGTGAGGATTCTTATCTCTTGCAAACTGTCCATAAGCTGAAAACTTTTCCTTCCTATTCCTACTAGGATCTTTCACAGTGAAACCTGCATTTGATAAAGTTGTTCTATTTTGTTCTAAAGTTTCTTCTTCAGGTGGCCTTACACCTCGTTTTGCTAGGAAACTCTTTACGTGTACTTTCATATTTCAAATTTTGAATATTTAAAAATGTATATTATTCTTTAAAAAGGATATATGTCTTGTGTTATTAGATTTGTAAAATGCTGATCTGTAGGTACAGTTATAAATAGCAAAAAAAAAAAGAAAGATCTAGGGATAAATCAATAATATTTCAATAGAACTTGTTCTTTTAATTAAATATTAAATAATAATAATAGCTATAAATTTTGTTCGTCCTTCTTAGGAATGGATAACTTGGTCTTTAGGTAAAAAATATGTCTTACAACTTCAATATCAAAAATCAAAAAAGGTATTCATTTCATTAAAACTTCCAATAAAAGTATTATGACTTCATTCCTATTTTTTTTTTGCAAAATAGCCCGCCGCCTGTAACAGAAAGAAAAGATGAAAATGGCTGAGCTTTTCAATGAAATATAACTAGTAGATATGCTGATTAAATATGGTCACTGTTTAGAGGAAATACTGGTTCAAAAGTGCATTATGTCTTTTTTCGTCTTATTGTACATGCTATTAGTGAAGGTAAACTTATTTATCTATGTTTAGTTTATGTAAGTGTGATTTCTTTTTTTGTATATATGCGTGTGGTACTTTTTATCATCGATTTTACATACCACGGAATGTGTTTTTACTGGCACTTCTTCTACCTTGGAATCTAGGCTTGGATCTACCGTTATCTTTCTTCTCTTCATCTTCTGAATCACTGTCTGAATCTCTTGTGACTTTCTTCTTTGGTTTTGGTTGTGCCTTCTTAGGAACAAAAGTTAACTCAGCTTCACCTTGGTGGTTTCTATGTAGTACAGAACCATCATCCTTCTTTCTTTCGTCAAGTTGTCTTTTCCTTACTTGTTTACCGAAACTGACATCGGTTTCTGAAGTTGCGCCATTCAAAGTAGTGTCATTACTTACACGCATATCATTCATATAAGTTTCACTAGCTTCTTTTTCCTTCTTTCTACGATCAATAGCAGCTAATTGCTTCTGTATCTTTCTCTTTGTTTGTTCATTAACTTCTTCATCCGAACCAGAGGACTCATCTTCACTGTCTTTATCAGATTTATCTTCATCAGAATCACCTTCATCATAGTGGTTCTTATGACCTTGTTCTCTCATAGTTATTCTTTCTTCATCCGATTCTTCTGCGGCAGTCAATGCTCTGATACGTTTTGCTGCACCTTCGTCGGTTTCCTTTGCAGATTTCACTGGGTTCAATTGTTTGTAATCATAATCATCTTCATTAACTTGGAACGCTTCATCTTCAAACATTTCTTGGAAACGATCATCTGTAAGAACTTGAGCTGCAGCAGAATCACCACGTTTAGTAGATAATTTCTCAACCAAAGATTTATTAACTTTAACTTTAGGTTTTTGAACAGCACCGGATGTTCTAATTCTGGATTCTCTTTCCTTTTCAATTCTACGTCTAATTTCTCTTTCTCTTTCATCTTGTACAGCAGTTGGGTTAGCAATAAGGGCAACTTTATCATATAGTTCTGTATCGATGAAATAACCATGCATATAAGCTCTCATAACCTTTGAACCAACCAAATGGCTTAGATTCAATTTCTTTACATCTGCCTTCGTTATGAATCTGTAATTCGAATAAACAGAGTTACTTGGTTTTTCTTCCAATTCTTCAGTGATAGAATCTAAGAATGAACACCATTGTGGAGCAGGTCCCAAATGTGGAATGTAATATGTATGCATTGGAATCCCTTCATTGGCAGTCATAAACATACCAGTTCCTGGAATATGAGCAATATCATTGATATCAACATTTGGTTCCATTGAAGCATATGCTTTACCATCAACTCTATCCCATATTTTAGCGATTCTCTTATCTGTTGTCAAGATTTTATTTTCAACACCAACATTATCTAACCAAATAATCTTTTTAATTTCAAATCCATAACCTTGATCCTTAACCATAGATGGTTGAGAGGTACGTAAATCGTATAAATATGAATAACCATTAGAAGTACCACAAGCAAAATTTAACCCATTACTATGGAAACTGGTAGTTGTTACTTGCATTGGTCCATTATCAAATTGGTTTTCTAATTGTAATTTAGCTACTCTAGCTCTAGCTCTTGGATCCCAAAATTCTACAATATTATCTTCCATACCAACAGATACTAGCCCCGATACAGGGTTAACGGACACATGGTTAACCCCTTCAGAATCTAATTGGAATGGGTTTAAAAATCTACCTTGTTCTAAATTTAATCTATATAATTCAGATCCACTAGCACCAATATAAAGATCACAATTTACATTATTATAAGCTAAACTTCTTCCAAATTTCGGTATACGTGTAGCATAATGAATCCCACCTTTATTTTGAAATTGAATACTTCTATCATTTTGTAAATGAACGGATTTAGTCCAATCATCAGACAAAATTAAAAAATCAACATTTTCTGCATCTGTATGTCTATCAAATTTTAACGATAAATTAGCAAAATCATAAACATGAATTTGAGGTTTATATGTCCCTGTAGCCATACAATATTGTCCATCTCTTGTAACTTGAATCTTATTGGAAGCTTCACTAAATTCAAAATCTTGAACTAATTCAACACGATTTTGATAATCTAAATCGTTCTTTAATGACCGTTTCCGTTTCTTTGCAATCCAATCTGGTAAGGATCTGGCAATATTTGTACCAGAAACCTGATACACTGAGACATCACTTGCTGATGTAGATTTCAAAACCATTGCTGTTGGTGGTTTTATATATGTATTCCTTTATCTAGTGTCTTTTATATCTGTGTTTGAAATAGTAGCGATGAGATGAGATGAGGTGAATATTCCACTTATAATGGAAAAAAAATTTTTTTTTTCCAACTTCGCTTTATTAAGTAAAAGAATTAGAAAGTCAAGCTCTCCGGAAGTAGAAAATAGAAGACCAAAGCAAACAAACAGAAAATAGAAGCATATATAAAATGGCACGTATATACTAGAATATATATATATTTCATTAAACATCAGGATCCTGAAACTGATCGATATGTATAGACTGAGCTCTACTGTTATTCTTGACTCTGTTATGTCCTCCAAGAATATAGTTTTTACCAGTACTAACGATTTTACTTGCGGACATGGAATGATTTGCGACGACATGAGGTGATTCATTCCAAGGGTTATTATTTATGGTATTGGGAGTCTTTGGAGTAGAATTCATCATCTCAGAGGTCTTGTGAGCAGATAATGTGAATGGGGTACTGAATGCAGAGAAAGTGTCCGTTTGATGCATTAACAACTCGTTATTCATCGAGTCATCACTTGTAGTTGTACCATGAAAGGTATTACTATTATTATTGTTGTTGTTATTATTATTATGATTATGGGTATTTTGAGATTGATTATAGAGTGTCGAAGTAGTATTGATTTGTGGCGTATGAGGAGGGATGTTATTATTGGATGTTGTTGTAAATAAGTAATTATTATTATTATTTCCTGTATTTGGAACAAAACTTGTTGAATTATAAGCGTTAAATTTATTTGTAGGTGCAGACGTAGGGGCATATGAAGGTTGGATAGTTGATTTTCGCGGTTGAGGTTGTTCCATTTGTCTATGTATTGTCGTAGACGTTGACAAAGTGAGTGTGTTGGATATATCTAATTGTTGATCCTTTGGTAAATATTTATAAAGATCCTTTAATTGAACATTTTTTATTACTATATCTAATGGTTGAGCTTCCATAAAGATACGTTGATAAAATAATGAATACGTTGAAGAACCATCATTCCATCTATAAATTAATTCTTTTAAAGATTCTAATGATAATTTATTATGTTTAACATCATCAATTAATGAATCATTATTGTTGTTAATATTATGGAAAAATAAATGATTTAATAAATTTATGGATATTTTTTGTAATGATAAGTCTTGTAAAGATATTTTATTGATAAATTTGATTAAATGAAATATAGCTATATTTCCATGTAATTTAATTAAATTTTCAATAATTTTAATTGATTGAATTGATATTAATTTTCCTAATAATGGTGATGATTTAATTAATTTTTCAGATAGTAATAAACTTGAAATCATTGGAATATTATAAGAATTCATATAATTATGAATCAGTATATGATTTAAATTTTTTTCATTTGATGAATTTAAAATTGGTAATTTCAATAAATTATTATAATTATAATAATTTTTTAAAAATTTGTTATTAATTATAAGTATATCTAATTGACACCAATATAATAATTGTAAAATATAAGTAATTGAAATTTGATTTGAATCGTTTTTTTTATCAAAAAAAATGAATGAAGATTTCGTTATTGGTGGAATTTTAGGAATAATTTCATTATTAAACCAATTTGGTAAAAAATATGAATGATCAATTTTCAATAAAAAATTTGTTATAATTAATTGTAAAAAATTTAAAATTGAATCAATCGTTAGAGTTGAATTAATTTTAATTAAATTTTTATGAATTTCAAAGGGTGCAAATTTTTTCAAATTTTGTAAAGAATCAAATAATAAACAGATTAATTTTGGTTCTAGTAACAAATTTAAATTTGGATGATCGATAATTTCCATAAGTACTTTTAAATGGAATATGATTGATTGGTCAAAATCGTTTTTTTCTCTTAGTATAATTAATTGAATATGTTTATAAAATGTTGAATCGATCCAATTTGAACATTGAAATACTCTTAATGCAATTAAATGATTGACAAATGAATCATTTGAATCGAATCCTTCAGTTTGTAAATTTGATGTAGCAATAAAATAATCTAATTTTGATTCATTTGAATATAATAATAAAATATCTTTGTTGATATTAATATGTGTTGATAAAGATACATCATTACCATTTAATAATAAAGGAACCCATTCATTTTGTAAAGAATATAATAATCTATCATTTAATTGTAAAAAAGTTAAAGATTTTTCATTTATGGATTCGAGACATTCAATAGCAGATAATAAAGTATAAAATCCAATATTGTCAAAAATTTGATCTGCTTGTTTAAATTCAAAGATAAAATGTTTCCAATTATTAATACTTTGAAATATTAAAGGTTGTAAAAAAGAATGAATTGAACAGTATGATAATAAGCATGATACTATAATGATTTTTAAAGAGCTTGATAAATTCTGACAATTTAGAATTGGTGTAAAAATATCAATAATAATACTATTATTATTTTGTTTATCAAAAAAATCTTGATATAAATTTATTGAATCCTTTGGTAAATATTTCAACGATTCAATCAATTGATATGACAAATTTTCAATTTGTCTATCCTCTTTACTGTTACTTAATTGTAATATTGCAGTGTGTAATGTTTTCACTAATACATTTTTCGTTTTTTCCATAGTTGGTTCACCTCTTTAGACAAAGATTAAAACAATATGTTTATTCTACAGATTGACAGAGTACTCAGTCTACCAAAGGGGAAAAAAAAGTAAAGGGCACAATTATACCTTTCAATTACTTTTATCTTATTTATATAGTTTGTTGTTAATATATTATGGGGTAATCCCCACTCTTTCTCTCTTTGTCTCTCTTTGTCTCTCTTGTTCAATGTTTCTGCTTTTTCCCGTCCATTACCTCTCCCCTTCGTACACGGTGACATCAACACCCACCGGCGGCAAAATTTTTATTGGGAAATTCAGATCACGTGTGCAGCGTTACCCCCACACACGCGCAACGTCATCGTTACCCCGCCCATCACTCTGCACGATGCATAATTTATGCAAAAAATAGCGGATTCGCACAGCGTCGTAGCACCGCCCACACCCACACACCGCACCTCACCGCACCGTGCCGCCGCGGGCCTCCCCCCCTTTTCCTCTTCCCTGGTTTTCCGCAAGTACGTAATCGTCACTGCGCACGGCAGGGCCAAGTCGCCCCGCCTTTATTTTGGAGGAACTCTTTTCAGCGTGGCGACGAGATTTTGTTCGCTCGTTCTTGTCGTCCCCCCTTTTTCCTTCCTGTCGGGACATTTCCTTCCGTTAAAACAATAAATTTTTCATTTTTTGGTTAAAGCACACCTTTGGTATATAAAAGAAGAGAATACGATAAACTAGGAAAAAGAGAGGTGGGTTCTTAGTTTGATTGTTCTATTGATTTACTTCCATTGCTATTAATTGCAACTATTGATAACAAACTAGAAAATTAAGATAAAAGAAAAAAAAAAGACCAACCGCAAAGATGAGAGCTTTAATTGTTACTGACATGCAAAATGATTTTTTGCCTCCAAAGGGTTCATTGCCTGTGCCACACGGTGATGAAATTGTTCAACCAATTTTGGATTTAATTCGTCAAGAAGAACAACAAGATTTTCATAGAATTGTCTTAGTACGTGACTGGCACACACGTAACCATACATCCTTTGCTAAGTCTCATGATCTACCAGAATACTCCCAATTTGAATACAAATCACCAAGACCAGGTGACAAATCAACACAAATGGGTACTTTATGGCCTGTACATTGTGTTCAAAACACCTGGGGTTCCCAATTAGCTAATCCGCTATTGAAGGAAACTTATCATACACATTTAAAAATCGTCGATAAAGGTTTCTTATCTGATAGAGAATATTATTCAGGTTTTAGTGATATTTGGGATTTCCATAAAACTGAATTACATGACTATTTACAAAAACATCACATTACTGAGGTTTTAGTCGTGGGACTCGCGTTAGACTACTGTGTTAAAGCAACAGCTATTTCTGCAGCTAAACTAGGTTATAATACTACCGTAGTGAAATCTTTAACAAGAGCAATTCACGATGATGATGAACATATGAAACAATTGGAAAAAGAATTAAAGGAAAATAACGTTAAACTGGTTGATGAAGTTCCACCTCATCAATCTGCTAATGCAACTGCTTAAGACCCTTTTGCCATTTTTATATATAATAAATACTCTTTTCTTATTGTTTTAATACAAAATACATAAACTAACTTCTATTTTTAGTATTGCACGATGTTGGCCAGGCCCACTCCCTGCAGTGCTTGCGCCCACCTCGTGCCGCGTGACAGACCGCGTAATCTATATTTTCGCGTGGGGGACGAGAGAGAACAGCAGAGAGGCAACTTTCTTTTAAATTTGAAAAGTTTCAATTGCAGTCACTGATTCCCCATTATATAAGAAGAGATTCAGACAGAAAGATAGATAGATAGATATATATATTAGACACATTCTAGTTTCGGGTGTATATTAGTTTGTAGTAGTATCATCTCACAAGTCTATATCAAATATATTCACAATATGAGTAGAATATTAACGTCAAGGAAAGTGAAAGTTATTTTCACTACCGTTTTGTTAATAGTGATATTATATAGTTCATCGATTTGCAATAATGAATATTTAAATCAATTTATCAATACAAAAGATATCTTTATTCCGACTACATCACATTTGCAAGGAGTTAATTTGAAAAAATATTCTTTAAATAGTAATAACCATAATCTATTGACGCTACGTGATCAACTATCATATACATTTCCATATAATAATGATTCACCAATTCCAAAGATAATATGGCAAACATGGAAAACTGGACCATCAGATAGTGCATTCCCATCAAATTTTAGAAATACTCAAAAGAAATGGAATCAAAGAGCGCAGGATCAAGGTTATCAATATTCTTTAGTTACTGATGATGCCGCTTTATCATTATTAGAAAATTTATACGCAGAATGTCCATTAATTTTACACGCTTATAATTTATTACCCACCGTAATCTTAAAAGCTGATTTTTTCAGATATTTAATTCTATTTGCTAGAGGTGGGATTTATTCAGATATGGACACGGTACCATTAAAGGATTTAAATGAGTGGGGTTCAATTAGTGGTAGTCAAATGAATAATCAATTACTAGAACAGAAAAATTCTTTTATACCTTATAAAAATGTTGATAGAGATCAAGTATCCCATAATAACAATAATAAGAAAAATTCAATTTCACCTGGTTTAGTTATTGGTATTGAAGCTGATCCAGATAGAGATGATTGGCAAAAATGGTATGCTAGAAGAATTCAATTTTGTCAATGGACAATGCAAGCTAAACCTGGCCATCCGTTATTAAGAGAATTAATTATGAATATTACTTCAACAACTCTACACAGTGTTAAAGGTGATTCAACTTTTATTGATTCCAAATATTTAAATGATTATAATGTCAATTATAGATGGTTAAGAGGTCAAAATCAAACTTATAATCATTCACAATTGAAAAATAAAAAAAATGTCGATGGTACAGATATTATGAATTGGACAGGACCAGGAATCTTCACAGATATTGCATTTGAATATTTTACAAATTTAATTCAGTCAAATAAGGATATCCTTTTGTTAAACCCTGATTTAATTAAACCTGCTTCAGAAAATGATAATGATAATAGTAATAAATCTATTCAACGTTTTTATAAGAAGATTAATGAAGATTTAGAAACTTCTGCAAAATTACCATGGGAATTTTTTGCATTCATTAAATCACCAATTGTTATTGATGATGTTATGGTCTTACCTATTACTGCATTCTCTCCTGGTGTTGGTCAAATGGAGGCTCGTGGTGTCGATGATCCAATGGCCCTTGTAGAGCATTTGTTCTCTGGTACATGGAAGGAATCAGCTGATAAAAACGCTAAAGAATCAAATAATGGTGGTATTCCACCTGTTCCTGCATGAAAATATCTATTCCATTACTCTACCCATACATATATATATATAAATTCGCATATTCTCCCTCTCTCAGTGTTTTTTAAACCTTTGTATACTAACAACTTAACATTATATCGATATTTTTTTCAAAATTTTCTTGTTTTATTTAATTACAAACTCCAGGGGATCGTTTTAAAAAAAAAATGATTACTAATACTGTCCATCTCCTCCTGGATTATATATATATATATATATATATATAAAATGTTTATCATGCACATCCAATTCATGAGCTTATAAGATAACACAGGCATTCTTCTTCTTTTTCTTCTTGGCCTTAGGTTTAGGAATTGTTGTACGTTGTTGGGTCGCTGTTGTAGAATTACTCTTGATTGGTTTCTTATTTGTACTCTTAGTGTTTGTTCCATTAGTCGTTTGTGTCTTATTTGTGGTTCCAGTATTTTGTTGATTACCCATAGTACTAACATCACGATCCCTCTTCATTGCTTTTTTATCGTTTGGATCATTATTTCTTGCATTCAACTGCTGTTGTTGTTGTTGTTGTTGTTGTTGTTGTGAAGGTAATCTCGATATACTTGCTTTACGTGACTCTTGTTTCGAAACATTTTCCATTTCATTTCGTATAATTTGTCTCACTAAATCAACAAACACCTCATCGACATTGCTTCTTAATAATGCACTTGTTTCATAAAATGGTACTCTGCCCCATTTCGTACTCACAGCAATACCTTCTTCAACACTAATGACTCTATCATCAGTCAAATCTGCTTTGTTACCCACAAGGACCATAGGGACTCTCGATGCGTCCTTGATCCTTAATACCTGTTCTCTTAATTCCATCAATTCATCTAGTGACTGTTTATCAGTCACTGAATAAACTAATAAAAATCCCATTCCTGATTTAATATATAATTCACGCATTGCTGTGAATTGTGCAACACCAGCAGTATCAAGAATCTCTAGGTCAAACACTTTGCCATCGATCTCAATAGTCTTACGGTACGAATCCTCGATAGTAGGATCATACGTATCTAAATAGACACCTTGAACAAATTGAACAGTTAAACAGGATTTACCAACACCACCTGCACCAAGTACCACTAATTTATAGTCTCTCATACTAGTAATATATCACTCTTTTTGTTCTGTCTTCACACGCACACACACAAACCAAAGCGATTACTTATATTTGCTCGATTTGATAATTAATATAGTGTTTCTATATTTTTATATACCGTTCCTTTTGTTATGTTAGAGACAGAAATTCATTTAATCATTTGACTTTGAAAAATTTCGCGTTGCTTTTAAACGAGAAGAAACTCAATTTCGTCAAAGAGACATTTCTGATATAAAAAGGGAGGTGAACCAAGAATAATGAGATAATTCTATTATTATTATTCTATTAATTATTGGACATTTGAAGAGAGTAAGAAAGACACACACTACCACACATATATATATATATATATATTATTACAATGCATACTGCTGATTTCCTTGAAGTTCAAGATACTGCTATTTCTTCCATACTTGCCGGTGGTTACAACCACCCTTTGTTAAGGGAGTGGCAAAGTGAGAGACAATTAACTAAAAATATGTTTGTATTCCCATTGTTCATCTCTGATGACGCTAATGAAGAGACTCCTATTGAGTCCCTACCAAACATTAAGAGATTCGGTGTTAATAAGATAGTCGATTATTTGAAACCTTTAGTTGCCAAGGGTCTAAGATCTGTCATCTTATTCGGTGTTCCATTAGATCCTGCGGCTAAGGATCCCGTCGGAACATCTGCTGATAATCCTAAAGGACCAGTCATTATGGGGATTAAGACTTTAAGAGAAGCATTCCCTGAATTATATATCATGTGTGATGTCTGTTTGTGTGAATATACTTCTCATGGCCATTGTGGTATTCTATATGACGATGGTTCAATCAATAGAGAACGTAGTGTCTCTAGAATTGCTGCAGTGGCAGTTAACTATGCTAAAGCAGGTGCAAATTGTGTTGCTCCAAGTGATATGATCGATGGCCGTATTAGAGATATCAAACACGGTTTAATTCAAGCAGGTTTAGCCCATAAGGTATTTGTTATGTCTTACTCTGCTAAATTCAGTGGTAATCTTTATGGACCCTTCCGTGATGCAGCACATTCTTCACCATCTCAAGGTGATAGAAAGAATTATCAATTACCTCCAGCAGGTAGAGGTTTAGCAAGAAGAGCATTAGTAAGAGATATGCAAGAAGGTGCAGATGGGATCATTGTAAAACCATCAACTTTTTATTTGGATATAATGCGTGATGCTAGTGAATTATGTGATAATTTACCTATCTGTGCATACCATGTCTCTGGTGAATACGCTATGTTACATGCAGCTGCAGAAAAGGGTGTAGTGGATTTAAAGACTATTGCATTTGAAGCTCATCAAGGTTTCTTAAGAGCAGGTGCACGTATCATTATCTCATACTTCACTCCAGAATTTTTAGAATGGTTATCCCAATAGATACTGATCGAACAACGTAGATGGAAACTAACTGGAAGTTCTTGTTTTTTGTTATAAAAAAATCAAGTTTTTATAGTTATGTGTCATCATTCATTGATCCATTCGTGCTGCATCGCATCCACCGAACCGACGCACAATTTATTTATTTGGGTACTCTTCCTCTATATGTAAATTAAAATAACGACCAAAAAAAAAAAAATCGAGTATAGAAACATAGAAATATATATTTTCAACTAATTTAACACATTATCAAGAGTAAATAAAACGAAATATATACACACGATCAAATGAGAAACCAGATGGCACCATGGGTGCCTCTGTTTATACAATCCAGTAATAATAACAAGAATGAAAAGAATCCGTTCACTCCATTTCAATTTGCAACGGTACAAGAGGGTCCTATTGGGAAACCTACAGTGAAAACAGTTGTCTTTAGAGATTTCTTATTTCACGATAAATGTACAAACGTTTTGACATTCTGTACAGATTTACGTAATGATAAATTATGTAATTCAAGTCCATATTTTGAATCATGTTTCTATTTCCCAACAACATGGGAACAATATCGGTTCAGTGGTCAATGGTTCATCCTATCGTTAGAATCCTCTAATCACATTGAAACTACAGATCAATTCTTGGTTCAACATACTCATGAGGAATGGGAAGATGAAATAATGAGACAATGGGGTCAAATGTCTCGTGGTGCTAAATCGTTATATCGTAAACCTGCACCAGGAAGTCCATTAAGTGAAGCAAATAGAAAAAAATTGGATAAGATTCAACGTGGAGTTGATGGTGCTCATGATGATACAGGATTAGAGAATTTCGGATTGGTATGTTTATTGGTAGATAAAGTAGACTATTTAAATTTGAAAGATGGTAGTGGTGGTGAACGTAGATTATTTGAACGATGCACCAAATCTTCTTCCAGTAATGAATCTAATAATGATAAAAATGATAATGAAATTAATGATGATGATGATGATGACGATGATGATAATGAACAAGAACAAGACGACGAGGACGAAGATGATGATCATTGGGCCATGTGGAAAGAGACAGAAGTATGTCCATAATTTGCTCGTTTGTATGTTTTTCTTCTTCCCTCTTTGGTACGCATCAAGATCAAGATGTATGTATATAGCCAGATATGTATTACTTTTCTTTTCTTTATCTCTCTGTATGTATGATATGATAGAACTTACATAAGATATAACAGATAGGATTTGGTAATAATTATAAATAATCAAGCAAAGATAGATTATGGCATTGAATCTGATCAGATAGAACCTCGAATCTGACAGGAAGCAGCCATCAAGATAGTATCAACACAATACACTTCTTTCAACACGAAGTTCAATGAATTTACCAATTTGATAATAGTATTTATCTTTCTGATTGATTGATTCTGAATTAGATAACAAGAAAAATTTCTAATTTCTTTCGTTCTTCCGAAGAAATTACCGCACAACCGAGCACGATGATTCAAATAGATAAGAGAGCGAAAGAATTGATTATCTTTGCTGATAGCGAATATCTGATCAAACTAATTTATTAATCCTTTGTTGATGTTAGTTTCAATTAAATTCCAGGTTTGGATTTGTTGAGATCTCATTGGGTAACATTTACAAAACAATAGGCATGTCTAGAGTCATTAGATTGTGTCGTTCGCTTTCATGCAGTGATGAGTCGTGCAATGGTAAAATCTGATGTTTGATAAATTTGGGTCCCCTATTTTACATCGAAGGAAGAACAGGAACAGTTATGTTGACGATCAGAATAGTTGTTTTTTTACCATTTGATGGATATATAAATAGTGGACCTTTACTTTCTTTCCTTTCTTGAAAGTTTATAAGATTTCTCTTGTTCTTTGTATTATTATCTATATATTTTACTATAAAGTATAAATACACCAGTCAAATTTTTACTTCTGTAAGATATTGATTATACATACAAGACAATCTTCACAAGACATACTATGACTACTGCTGAATCATATTATCCAAACGAACCAACCACTCCAAAGGTTGTGACCTCTGAAATTCCAGGTCCAAACTCCGTTGCTCAAATCAAACAACTTGGTGAACATTTTGACTCAAGATGTGCTTATTTTGTTGTTGATTACAATAAGTCTAACGGTAATTATATCGTTGATGCTGATTCTAACGTTTATTTAGATCTGTATGCTCAAATTGCTTCTATTGCTTTGGGTTACAACAACCCAAAATTGATTGAATTGTTGAGCACCCAGGAGATGAAAAACGCTTTAGTCAATAGACCAGCCTCTGGTAACTTCCCAGCTGTTGAATTAGATGCTACTTTACAAAAAGTTTTACAAGTTGCTCCAAAGGGTCAAAACCAAGTCTGGAGTGGTCTAAGTGGTTCTGATGCTAACGAATTGGCTATCAAAGCTGCATTCATGTATTATGCTCAAAAGAAGCGTGGTGGTGACACTGTTCCATTCACCGAAGAAGAATTATCTTCAGTCATGGACAATCAATCTCCGGGTGCACCATCTTTCTCCGTGTTATCCTTTAGAAAGGCCTTCCATGGTAGATTATTTGCCAGTGGGTCATGTACTTGTTCCAAACCAATCCATAAATTGGATTTACCGGCTTTTGATTGGCCTCATGCCGAATATCCAGCTTACGCTTATCCTTTGGATACTCCAGAAAATGTTGCTGCTAATAAAATTGAAGACGATAGATGTTTAAAGATCGTTGAAGATTTAATTGTTAGTTGGAAATCTCCTGTAGCTGCTTTGTTGATCGAACCAATTCAATCTGAAGGTGGTGATAATCATGCCTCCGCTTATTTCTTACAAAGATTAAGAGATATCACTTTGAAACATGATGTCGTATACATTATTGATGAAGTGCAAACTGGTCTAGGTGCCACTGGTAAACTATGGTGTCACGAATATGCTGATATTCAACCACCTGTTGATTTGGTCACTTTCTCAAAGAAATGTCAATCCGCTGGTTATTGGTTCCATGACCCATTGATGGTTCCAAACAAACCATACAGACAATTCAACACCTGGTGTGGTGACACCGCCAGAATGTTGATCTTTGGTACCATTGGTCAAGAGATCATTGATAATGATTTAGTTAGTCAAGTCTCTAGAGTCGGTGAATATTTATTTGCTAAATTAGAAATTTTACAAACCCAATATCCAGAATCATTTAAAAACTTAAGAGGTAAAGGCAGAGGTACTTTCATCGCTTGGGATTTACCAACTGGTGAATTAAGAGAGAAACTATTAAAGATTTTAAAATCTAATGGTTGTAACGTTGGTGGTTGTGCTGAAAAATCTGTTAGATTAAGACCAACTTTAACTTTTGACGAAAAGCATGCAGACATATTCATCGATGCATTGACTAAGTCTGTATCCCAATTAAACAATTAGATGTAACGATGATTACCTAGCTAATTTGTGTTTTACCGAAATATTACAAATATATATATATATGTCAATTGTATATTTATGCTACCCTATAAAAACTTAAATAATTCAATGCTATGCTTAAATATACAATAAATTGGTTCAGATATCCGGAGCAAAATAATATGGTATACACAGGTAGTGTTCAACCACTTCAAAAGGGAACTGATATTATTGATTGGTTCATTTATTTTTTTTATATTTATAATTGTATGTATGACTAAAAATGTGATATGGAAAAACAGAAAGAAGACTATATCTTTCTTCTTTGGAGAGATATATTATGTTATTAAAATTTTGTGCAAAACCAAAAGACTATTCCCCGAATAACTTTCTAACTCTCTTCAACACAGAATCCTTTTCTGGGTCATATGGATGGTCCTTTGATGGAATCTCTAAGATAGCTGGAAATGGCTCCACGTAGCTATCCACCGTAGATCTAATCATATCAGCAACAAATTGGTTGATCAACAGAATAGCAACATCCTTACGTTCCTGTGTAAACTGATTGAATTCCATCTCTAATTGTTCCTTTGTAGTCTTATTCTCTTTATAAACGAAAAAATTCTTATCGTTAGTCTTTGGATCGATTTGACCGATCCCTGCAAGCAATAGACCTGTTGTGGTGTCCTCGTCACCCATCACGGCGATCAGTGTTCTCTTGTCAGACATATCTTGATTGTTGTTCCAAACACTGCTCTTATTGACACTCCCCTTTCTTTAATTAAAATATATATACGTATTATTATTAACTTGCAGCCATCTCTTCTTATATGCTGAAACCGCTTCTTCTCTCTTTATATAATCTCTGCATATTATTATTTTAGCAAAAATGCCTGAATTTTTCAGAAAAGAGCAGCAACCAAACGAATTGCGCAGCCAAACAATTAAAATGAATGAAAACATATACACTTCAAGATACAAAAGGAGAAGACATATATGTTGGCAGATTGAGCACGTTTGAAGCAGTTATTTGATTGTTTCAAGTTGATAGAAAAAGATAAGAATACACGTAATCATGCTTAGAAGTCTAGTATTTGGAAGAACCGTTACTCGTGTAACCATCACCCCTTCTGTACTCAGACCCTTAACGACTACAGTACCTAATTGGTCGGGACATAACAAATGGTCTACTATCAAACACGATAAGATGAAGAATGATTCTGCAAAGAATAAAATGATTAACAAATACGTGAATCAAATTATGGTAGCGATTAAATTAAAAGATACGCGATTACAGACAATCATTGACACCGCAATGAAGGATAATGTTCCTAAAAAAGTCATTGATAATGCGATTAAGAAGGCCTCTAGTGCTGGATCCACTGAAGGTACTGTAAATATATATGAAGGTATGGGACCCGGTGGTGTTGCATTGATCGTAGAGACACAGACAGATAACAAGAACAGAACTGTAGCCTTGGTGAGAAGCCATTTCACAAAGGCAAACTTGAATTTATTGTCAATGGGTTCTTCGATGCATTATTTCAACAAAGTTGGACGTATTGTAGTAACGTATCCACACCCTGAGGGAAGTGAGGCTATAGACGAGGACTTAGTCCTTGATAAGATCATTGAGGTTGAAGGTGTAAAGGATTTCGAAAAGATTGAACCCCCAGAGGATGAACCTACCACGGATCCTGAGTATATGATACTCACAGAACCTGCCATGACCAACAAAGTGGCTAAAGAATTACAAGATTCTCATGGATTCGAAGTCACAGAGGCAAATATCAGTTATCAGCCAAAATCCGAAATGCAGGTAGACATCACACAGAATGATGATATCAAAAACGCATTCAACAAGTTTATTGAAGGTCTCCGGGAAATCGACGATGTTACAGAGGTATACTCTAACGAGACTCAATAGACACAATAACCCATTTATTCTTATCCCCCCCCAGACCCCATATTTATATATATATTACTTACATATTCACTTCAAGCACACACAAACGAAACACATGTACATAAAACTACGAAAACCAATAACCTTTCTCTCCCCACCATCCAATACTCCTTCATCCTGAACAATTAATAACTTTCATAGGATTGGTATGGCAAATATGCAAATTGATAACTGGTCTATTTATAGATCCCTCTGCGGGATTTTCTAAGTAAAAACGAACAATTGAAATAAATAAGAATGATGGGTTGCAAGTTTGCTGAGGTCATTATTGGGATCTCTGTTTCATTTTCTACGCAAAATACTTCTGGTGACAGGAGTTACATAATCAAGACATTATCTGCTGCAGTAATTATATATTCTCTTACTATTTATTTTTAAACGAACTCTCTGGCTGAATATTCTTTTATTTGATGATTCCACTTGTTGTATGCACGTTGCTTTCTCCCTGATGCATCCTGAACACAACCGCAATACGTAAATGTATAATTGCTATTTAGATACTATCAACTGGATATCCCGTTCAGTTCCTCATTGGGCAAATGCATTACCTCGGTTCTTGTCTTCACATCAGTCTTTGGTTTTTTTATAGCCTGAGATCATTCATTTGTTTATTCTTTTTTTTGCTTTTCAATATCAAGCAAGTCAAAGAAAAAGACAATTTAAAAAAAAAAAATTTGGACACACTCCTCAAGGATTGTTCATTGATCTCATCGTCTGATTTAAATATCTAAATTAAACAGAAAAGGGTAAACCATCCTCCATCAATTCTTCTACCTTTCGCTACTCCACCTTCATCCTATCATCATTTATATATATATAACGAAGCAATTTTTTTTTTTTGCTTTAGTTGTCTTATTACCTTCCTCCTCATTTCGTAAGAATACCCATTGTACTTTTCAACAAAACAATAGAACAAGAAGGAAAAAATAACACTACTAAAAAACATCGCATCAACTTATTAAGCCCATTGTTCTACTTGACACGTTTCATTCTCCGCAATTGTTTACATTCAAATCAGTGGTTTTGATTCATTAAATAAATATACAAGGACCACTTTTCTGATCTAATACATTTGGAATCTATCGATAGTTCAAATTTATCTTTTGGGCTGTTCTGGTTTAATATTTACTGGAAACTCAGAGTCATATATAAGGATGCTGTTACTTCGATTGGTTCTTTCTACGGTGATATTGCTCACAGGAACGAGAGCTCAGGATGTAAATGTCGATGATTATACAGATAATAATAACAATAATAATGCCACTGCAGTAGACGATAATACGCAGGCTACTAATCCTGTCACAAGTGAAAGTACTTATCAACAGACGACTTCTGCCAATGCAGGTGATCCTCTCGTAAGTAATACAGCATCAGCCCCCGCAACCGACGTTGATACACTTCAATCTCCTAGCTCTTCATTGACTGCTCTGACATCAATTTCTTCTCTGGTTGTGGCCCCATTGTCTTCTACTTCATCCTCATCCGTAATATCGTCACTACCATCCTCATCTTTGTTGATCAGTAGTACTTCTTCCTCCGTTCTTCCATCGTCGTCAAGCATATCATCGACGTATTTTACTTCATCTTCCTCCTTAATTTCTTCATCATCGTCAAGTTCAATTTTACCTTCACTAGTTTCTTCCTCCTCTTCTATTTTATCTTCCTCGACTTACTATGTTATGTCATCTTCAAGTGCTTCTTCTTCGAGTTCTACATCATCATCAAGAAGTTTACCAACGACCACCACATCACGTTCAGTCTCCTCTACATCAAACTCATCACAACGACCATCATCATATACAAATTCTTCTTCTTCTTCTTCAACGACATCCTCCTCATCATCATCATCATCATCATCATCGTCAAGATCTTCGATAACTTCGTCGTCTATTGGTATAACCACCATTGCTTCTGATAGAAAACGAACATTGACCAGTGTTGTCGAAGGTAAAACAATCCTTTCAAATTATTACACTACCATAACGCTTATGCCAAGTGCCTCAAGCACAGCTAGTGTAAAAAAACATACAGATGGATCTCTTTCGAAGAAAAATAGAAATATCGTCCTTGGTTGTTGTCTAGGGATAGGTATTCCATTGGTGTTGATTGTTGCATTATTTATTTATGTTACTTGCATACGAGCCAAAAAGATCGATTTTATTGATTCAGACGGGAAAGTCGTTAGCACTTATAAGATGAATAAATTCAAATTGTTCTGGTATTTCCTGATGGGAAAAAGTGTTAATAGTATGGAAAATACCGATGACCATCATTCTACTAACTTTAATGAGAAAAATATTAATGATAGATCGGCTTCACCCGATAATTTTGATAATAGCAGTAGTCAACTTTCAAATAATAGTTTGGTTGATTCCCCATTGAGTAACCAACAAAATTATCAAAGTTTCTTTAATGAAGGTCCATTTAATTCAAACGAACAATATTATAATTTTACTCATGCTCAAGAAGAAAGTCCAGATGATAATACTGGATATGCATTTAATGATAATTCTACTTTCGGCAGTGCGCAATATAGTGCTAGCGGGTCGGATTCACCAAGAGTCCTAAATATCGCTAATCCAAGTTAATCTTAATTTATTTTTTTATTTTGGATACGTTTCATACACGCATACACATTTTTCAGTTCTTTACATTTAATCCTTTTTAAAACACTTCACGATTGCATATTTTTAATTTTATACACATAACTTACATATTTTAATGACATTTTTATAAAAGTTTTTTAATATCACTATTTATATTTTGTTTACTTGGATCTCTTAGTTTGTAGTATAACTCAGAGACATCAGATGTAACTATTTTTATGTTTGTATGAAAATTCTATATTTCACTAAAAGTGGCTAAACATGAAAATACTATACTTTATTCAGGAAGTTATATTACGAACAATTCCCTAACGAAGAAAAATTTAGGAAAGAATTCATATAAATTAAAATCTACCTAGGCTCTTGTTTAATATTTTTCCGCTTCACTGTTTGCATTGAGAATTTACTTAAATGTGACTAATTAATTTGTAAGGATGATAAATTATTACTAGAAAAAGAATAGGTGTACTAACACGACGTCTAAAACTTGAAAACTGTTAAAAAATAGCAACAAAAAACATTTACAAAAGAACAGATTGTACCTCCTTCGACTAGAATGGTTCTTATGAGATACCCTCGGATTTTAGCTTTATGGTAAAATTATGAGATAAAATTTTCCAATTAGACTGTGAATTGAAGAACAAGACAATAAAAATTGCTACATTTATTATTATTCTTTAGATAAATATCTATTTACAACATTTCTGGTCATAGGACAGATATATACAGTGAAAAACTTTTAATCAAATTATTAACTTTCGAGAGAATTGAATTTGTAAACAACCTTTAGAAACTCTACTGTTTCAAACTTTTTAACATATATTACAAATGTCTACTAATAAATAAATAGAAAACATTTGTTTCAAAATCAAAAATGTGGGAAAAGTGGTTATTTTCAGTAGTAATAACTAATTTAAATTAAACGACACCAAATTTTGAAATTTTAAACAGAGTAAAGCTTCAACTAATATATCTCAAAAACAATAATTCATTCCGTGATAGTTTAATGGTCAGAATGGGCGCTTGTCGCGTGCCAGATCGGGGTTCAATTCCCCGTCGCGGAGTTTCTTTTTGCCAAATTGGACCCTTAGTCTGATTTATTTTTTACCTCATTTTATGATTCGAAGTTACAGCTTACTCTTCTATATATTATGTTTTGACTTATCAGTGACATGTCTTTCATCGATAGAAGTGGCGATTAATTTTTCTTCGTCTTAAAAATTGTATGTCCGAAGAATTACTTATTCCAGATAACTCGAAAGTGGGTGAATAACATCACCTAGATAAATTGATTAATCTTTGCTCATAATTTATTATCCCACTAAAATGATGAGGCTTACCTTGCCCTGTTTCTTTTAAATGCGAAAATTTGTAGCCCTCTTATTTTTTTCTTGATCAGGAAGAACTTGTTGAAATTTTACGATTTTTCCCAAACATTATGACTTATTGTTAAAAAGAACAATAACAAAATGAGTTATAACTGCTCTGTTGCAGAACCATATATCATTGATTAATAAATTTTATTTAGACTCCAATTTAGTTCTATAGTTGAAACATGGGTCACAATCCCAAAGTACTCATTAGGTTATGTTTATTAATTGTATGTTGTTATATACTAAATTAGATGATTGGTAAGTTGAAATTATATCCAAAATTATGGCTTTAAATACTATGGATAGCCAATTTAACAAAAGTAAGTAAATGAGAGGTATAGCCTAGTTTTACTTTAAAGCTATGAGTTTTGTAATCAAACGAGACAACTGGTCGATAACCTCGAGGGTCCATTGAACTACAAGATATTTTATAGAGAATTGGAATTAATGACTTCTATCTTCAAGTATCTTGAATAAACCCTAATACACTTAATTAATTAAAAAAAAAAATAATTAAAAGAGAAATAAAGAAAATTAATATTTGACTTAAATATAATGAAATTTTCTTTCTCTTGTTTAATATATAACTATTAAAAATAAAAGTGAGGTTATTTTTACAAATATTACTATAGCAAAAAAATAATATACACCTAGTACAGAGAACGGTGTGTCATAAAACAACAACATTTCATTAATTTGCAGCCCAGTAGACATTTATAGCAACCACCACCAACCAAAACGATAAAAAAGGGAGCACTTTTTACAGGTGCATCTGTACCAAAAATTGGCACTTCAAGGGAAAAAACAAGAGGGCAAATGAAACATTTTTTGGAAACTTGAAATAAAGAGAATGTCTTAATCATTAAGAGGTGTATTTGTTGTCCCCTCGTACGAAAACTTCTCTGTGTGTCACAAAAGTTTGGAAAATGAGTTCTGCCATACAAAATATTTCCCGAGTTTCAATTTTGAGAGATCACCCTGACTTGTGAAATGTAAGCAAAGGTTTGAAACTGTCTTATGTCGAATGGTATACCCTCCAGTTTTCAAAACTGGAGGTGCATTCCGGGTATCCCTGGACTGTTTGCCATGTGTATACGCTTACTGTATATTTGGTAAGCTAATAATTCAATTAAATTATTGAATTTTTGCATATTCATTTAATCGTGTGTTATATTATCATTTTTAAAACCTAGGCTCTACATATTTGCGTTCTTAGTAATAAAAGAGTGCTTTCATTTAGTAAAATTACTAGAATTAATGGAACTTAATTAAAACTGGGAGTGAATACTGTTAAGAGAGGAAAAATGGGAGAAATTATAAAAAAGATAAAAAAGGGAAAATTATGTGACACAAAATGAATGAATTTTAAGGAAAGAGGTTCCACATACAAAAGGAACAGCATGTGAAGATTAAAAACTTATATAAAGAGCATGTGGAAAGTTTAGTGACATGCTTCACTCACATTTTTGGTGACGCACTAAAAAAATACGATTTTTAAAATTTACAGGCGCTAAATTTGGTAAGAGGTATGTCAGAAAAAATAACTGATGGGCATTTTATATAGAAAACAACAGTATATATATATTGCAATTAACAAATATTCGATTTTTTAAGAAGATATATGAACGTAATATTATACTTGTGTTTTTAATAATAACTAAGAATGTAGTTAAATTTATTGAATGTCCTGGATTATCAACAAAAATGTTCTTACAAACAGTAGGATAATATAGAAACACTACACCTATTTTATTGATAAGTAGATTGACAGTATTTAAACCATATGTTTCTCTTAGTAATAATACTCTATTTAAATTTATGATCTAGAAAATGACAATTACTGTTAAGTTTTGAGTTTTATTCTGTTCGAATGCAACAGCTTGCAGTTATATAAGGTAAGTGTGTAAAAAAGATTTAGCGGCTTCGAAAAATTATATAATAAGGGAAACACTATTCATTTTGAAGGACCAACACTCCATAAATAACTTCATGATAATTAAATTATAAACACTTGTTTTTTTGGTTTCTATTTTTTTTAATAAGGTTTTCTTAGTTGAATTGAGGAAAAAGTAAATATAAAGAACCGTTCTTCAATTACCTTTATAATATCAACGGATATGATAAAGGTTCCAAGAATTTAAAACATGAGTGGATAGGTGTGTTGGTTATAAATATTCCATGTTCAGTTCCAAAAAAATAGTTTTTTCTTGAATTTTATATGCAATTCTTCAAATATGGAAAGGTCAATTGTAAAATCAAAAAAATCAAAACTTTTTGATACTAAGGTGAGGACTGTTAGGAGTACCTCCAAGTCTATCAACAATCCAGAAGACATTCATTGTTTTACAAAATGACGAGTTGCAAACAAAACGTTTTTATAAAATATCATCTAAACGCATGCTTTTTGAATAGATTTGGTTTCTAGAATAAGTAAAGTGGCAATATGCTTGGAACGACCACTTAAGTCCCTAATTTACTAAAAATTGGTAATGTTTTCTTAACAAATAAGGACGGTATTGAGTAATATGGAGTTCTCCCTTTTTAGTGATGAGACTGAGAGTGTTATTGATGCGAAATAATATGACTGCAAAAGATGGCCCAAATTGACAGCAACTTGGTAACTAGCATTGAATTTAACACTGAAAAAGTTTTAAATTCATTAAATTAGAAGTATATGTATATCCATAAAATATGAAAGCCCTTTTAGTTGCATACTTTTGAGTAGGCTTGCTTGATGGCATTAGAGAGAATTTTCAAAATCTATATTAATATTACTGAATCGTCAAGAAGGAAAATGTTTTGTGTCTATACTGATGGTGGAATACTGGTACCTAAGATTATTGACAAATAATATTTTGAAAATGCATTGTTCTTGCTCGTTACTTGTATTAAAAATTGTATGCAGGGTTTGCATGACGACATCCAGATCTTATATTCATGCTTAAAAAGTCTTCTAAATAAAGACTAATACAAAATAATAAAGTGTTACAGAGTATGGTTTGATAGTGGTGTCATAAACTCTATGAACTCTTGTGTTGCAATTTCAAAATTGTCTTACATACATTCGATTTGCAGAATTCAGTGTATTACAGACATGTCGATATTTGAAGTTGATTACATCCGTCATTCATAAGCTGTTTTGGAATGCGATAGATATTAATGCATATTAATATATATATAATCAGATAAAATATCTTTCATAGAAAAGTATACAGGCATATAGGCTACCAATTGAAAGATTATTGTTAATACTATGGGGCGAATGCAACTGAATTGAGAACAAAAAACTGACAGCATGAAACTCAAACCAAAAATTGGTACAATATCGACATTTTGCAAGAGGTATAGAAGTCCCTTCTATGAAACAGTCATTTCATGTTTTGTGAAAAAAAGGTGACTCAAACAACTGCGTGAATTGAAGTACGGGGTTCACATTTAAGTATTACTACTCTCATTAAATATTTTTTTTTTTCAAACTTTAAACATTTCACAGAAAATGGAACATTCCTGCTACATAAATTCAATCACTAGTGTTGAAGGACTCAAGTAATCTTTACTGAAATATTACATAAAAAAAAACTAGCACACGCTAAAACATCGGTAAAGGTTCCCTTACTTGATGTTCCTAATAAACGTCCTAAATTAATGCTGGCATAAACTACGCGCTATCTTTTCAGTAAAAAGAATAGTAAATAAACCTAATAACATGTGTTCCTCCATTGCACTAATGGATAACTTCAATCGTATGACAATGGGCGACTTATCTGAGCTACGTATGCACGATCGAGAACATGGATACAAATGGTAATATATTTTATGAATGCAGTCCAGGTAATTTCATTCATTGTTTTTGTTCAACAGGTAAACATTTAATAATCGCAGAATCTCCCATTGACACACCATCCGATATCCAACTTCATTACGTGAGTGAAGCAACACCTGAAAAATCAACTATAATAAGTGATAATGTACTGATAGCTAAATATAAGGATGTTGCGCCCCGGACACCTATAATCAAGAATATTTTCATAGCTGGTTCTAAGTCTATATATCTGGTGATAAATCTAACCGATGGTGTGCAGGTCATTCCATTTATTGCCAAACAAAATGATCTAGGAAATAAAAATGATACCATTGAAAACCTCAAGTGGTTTATACCTAATGTACATGATTCAGTTCAAAGTTTAGATATAATGACAGAGACTGAAGAAAATATTGATTTTATTGTGGGAACAACGTTGGGCCACATTTATTGCATTCGTTATGAAATTTCAATTCAATCATTCATACTTCTCAAGAGCTTCAAGAAATGGGAGAATATAACACAGGATTCAATCAATTGTGTTAGGAGTCACGGAAACGAAGTAGTCATTGCATCCTTTGATAATTTTTTGTATTCGATTATTGATAAGAAATGTGAATCACATCATATTGATGTAGATATTTCAAAAAGACTCGATAACGTCAAGGAGCATACCCTAGTTTATGTAGATTTTTTAAAAATTAAGAAATATTCTACGTCATACATGAGATACTATTTGGTAAACATTAGTAATTATGGATGTGTTATTTACCATAGGACTATACGTGAACAATGGGAAACTTTACAATTGTTACCTCGGGACCTAAATCAGGGCGAAGAAGAGTTTACACCTTTAATTGACTGCGTCATTGTTAAGGGATCTAACAAAGATGAACTCATGTTGCTTTGTGGAAGTGAACATGGTAAATTATATATCTGGACTTACAATTATAGAATCAAAGAACTTACGTCAACGAAGATACACAGGGTGTCCAAAGCTGGTCTTGTACACAACATCATCCTAACGAATGATTCAAAGATTACTTGTTTGACAAATGATGAGACGTCTATCAATATATTATATTTATAGAACTATGTAATGTGTATATTACAATATGCATTTAATGAATAACTAGTATCCTTGGAATAATTGATCAATTTCTTTAATTACATCAACATGAATAATATCACCTTTATTTGTTATAAGAGACCCCTTTTTAAACATTTCTGGCTCATTGTTATAATTAATACCGCAATCGGTAAATAATATCTCTTGTTTTTCAGAGCTCACTGTTCCAGATAATCTATTCTCTGACTCCTGAGGTGTCATTCCACATTTTAGCACTAATTGCCAAAACGCAGTATTGTATAAATTATTAATATGAGTATCTACGAATCTCCAACTTAAATAATCCTTTACAATTGGAAGTGAAGGGTAAATGACACACCTAGAATCGAAATAAGGCAAATGCTTTAAATCTAATGGTCTATCCGTGAAAAATTTGGACCATAAAGCAACGTAATTAGAGGTAAATAATGATCCAAATAATGTAGCTATCTTATCACTTCTTCTATTAAACAATGCACTATCCTTACGAAGGATAAAAGAATATTCATCACTTTCCCCAAATGCAAGAATCATATCACTCTTATATTTTAATACGACATTCTTCGCACATGCATTCATTAATTTTAATGCCCTAATATCATTGGGTTTGTCAAAATCGTAATGTTTTGAAAATTCATGAAATTTCTTACCATCTATCCTAACCACTATATACGTCTGAGGTAGCAATACATCGTGGCTCTCAAATTGCCTAACATATTCATACTTTGAATTAGCCATTATCTAACTAAGTATTTGTGGTAGTGACAGATTATTATTTGTAAATCATCCACCTAAGAATCATCAAATGACGAAGTTTTAGTATATTAGGCAGTTCCGATGAGCTTCAAATCCTAATTTCACTGTAAAGAAAATCAACTGAAAAATCTATTTGAAATGTGAAACTTTCAACGGAACACGAAGCAAATGTCCCGCGACGTACCAAGTGATATTCTTCACATTTTTCAGTTGACAAGGGGATGATGGATAACCCTTCTCTCCCCTTGACAAAGTTCAATTACAGGAAATCAATGACATTTTCCTAGGGGAGAAGAGATGATACATTGCTTGCCAGAAAGGAACAAGAGACCATGTATGTTGATAAGAGATAATTTAATACTTTTAAGACATCATTGAAAGTTTAAAAACGTAATAAGCAACTAGTTTTAAATTTATATCAAACAATTCGAGGTGCAAACTCACAAATATACATTTTTTTATCAATGGTAAGCACAATACAGGTCATAAGGAAGAAGGCCAAAAGCGGTAAAGTGGCAGATCCATTAGCCAAACAGAAATTAGTTTGGACTATTGGTCATTTCTTAACAATTACATGTGGTCTAATATTCTCAATAACATATTTCTTCCATGTGCTAATCTTTTTCAAGTATCGTTCATGGAAGTGGTTGTTCCTTAGAGTCAATAAGAATTATGTATTTTTCACAGGAGCAAAATGGTATAATAAATTATTAAAATGGACACCTCAAATCTTGTACAGATTTGCTTTGATTGGTGTCATAATGGCTAATGGTATTACAATGTATCAAAATTGGTCTCATTTAAACCCAACTTGGTTTGATCTTTTAGCTGCAGAGAATTTCCAAAGTTTAGCTATTGCTGGCTTGTGGTTAATTGGTGGTGGTAAATCATTTTATAGATTATTACCATTTATGATATTAAGTTATATGCATTTGACCAACAGAAAACATGAATTTACTTCTGATGATAAGAAGATCGATGAGCAAAAAAGTATTGATAATAAACATTTATTACATATTGTAGCATACTCCGAAATTATTGTCATTATGGCCTTAATTCTAGATACATTATTAATGAAGAATGGATCTGCTGGATTTTTGTTAGTAGCATATAGTAGTATCTATTGGTTACGTTTAAATTTTTCTTCATATGCTCAAGTTACAGTTTTAAGAATTCTTGATAAATTTGGTAAACATGTACCAGCTAAATATAGAGAAAAATGGGATAGTATCAGAAATTTTCTATATGGTAAGATTAAAGAACGTTCAGATCGTAGAAAGAAAGTACTACGTAAATGATATTTTACCTTTTTTGGAATCAAATAGGTCAGAATTCTTTATATATATATAATTACGTATTTTAAAAATTAGTTGAAATTTTCAATTTTTTAAAAAAACATCTTGTTTTATATGGTTTAAGGGTTGTATTATCTTAAATTTATTTATATAATGTTAACGTTATGTAAATTACATTGCAAATCCCCGCACTTATTCAGCAACAGCTCTGGTGTAGATTTGTTGAGTGGAGTGCTTGGAGACTGGCTTGATGATACCTCTCTTTTCTAGATCTCTTAGAGCAACTCTAGCTAGAGAACCACCTAGCTTTAATCTATCGACCAAAACAGAGACGGAAATGTATCTGTAAGTTGGAACTTCCTTTAGGATTCTGTCCAACTTTTCTTGGTCTAAGATGACGGCGTGAGCAGCCTTGTCCTTGTGGGACTTCTTGGACCACTTCTTCTTAGACTTCTTACCACCGGCCATAGCGGCAGCGGCTTTGGCAGCTTTAGAAATTTGTTGCTTTGGAGGCATGATTAATTAGTTCTGTTTGAAATAAAAATATTGGTAATAATAAACTGATAAGTATATTATACACAAATGTTATGTTAGTAAAAAAAAGAACAATCTTTAAAGGAATTAGAATCTAATTTAATAAATTCTATAATAATCGAGATGGTAGAAGTATTATAGTAACTTTAATAACAATATGGAGAAGGGATAGCATATAATCAATCATAATCAGATGGTCCTAGTATTATTCCTATTGAGAAAATGTAAAAACACCTGCACTCTAATCTAATATCAATGTAAAGAATAACCGTTTTTTATTTTGACATCTCATGTATTTATCTTTGTTTCCATTCATCTTTTTTTTAAATATCTAATAGTTTCATTTTCTTTTCCACATATCGATATATGTTACACTTTCAATCATCTTCCAATCATTATAACTCAATATTAACATACGCTTTGGCTTACTATCTTTGTCTATAAAGTATATTAAAATAATAATAGTAATAATAATTTGATATCAAATATATATATACACTGAAGTTTCACTTATATCGAGTTGCAGAAAAGTATTAGCATTCGACCACAAGCTTGTAAATGTGAACTGTAGGGCCAAAAGCTTTCCCAGACCTTACGAAGTGAACGGTATTTACTGAATACGTTAGTGAGATTGAGGTCAGCAAGTAAATCTTAGTGTGCTCCTTGTGATTGGGCTTCAGAAAGAGATGAATGAAAAATTATCTATTCGCGCTGTTCCCAAAGCAAAGAGTAAAAGTTTCTTTCAGAATTGCGCGCAGAAAGGAAAGAAAGGTATAATTTTTGCAAATTTTTCAAAAACCAGAAAAAGATATCAGCGGGTGGAAGGATGTTACTGTGGATGTGTGGGTGCAAGTCAAATGGGGGAATCATGCTTTTTTTGGCTTTTTCGATTATTTCCCAAAATTGGAAACACTTTAAAGGTTCTTCAATAGCATTTGACTGATAAACCCTTGAATAAAAGAAGGGATAAAGGGTTAGCTATATATCGTAAGACTAATAATACGATATTTTAACCTCTGCTTTATTCTGTCAGAGAAGAATTCACAGGATCTAAATAGAGGTTTTATCTTAAGATGTCAAGGAAATTTGATTTTAAAGCATTTGTTGATCTTTCTGTATTAGTGGGCACAGGTGTATCGTTATGGTATCTTCTACGGCAATTACGTAATGATGTTCAAGGAGGTCCTATTGGGAGATCGAAAGAATCTAAAGAGAAAGAAATTACTCAGTGGACCAAACTAACAGAGAGAAATGCAGAACTTATAGATATGGAGTTAAATGCCTACGAACAAGCTATCTTACCATCTGTAGTCATGCCGCAGGATATTGATGTATCGTTCAATGATGTTGGTGGGTTAGAGACAATTATTACAGATTTGCATGAAAGTGTGATATTCCCATTAACAATGCCAGAAGTTTATACAAATTCACCTTTATTAAAAGCACCAAGTGGTGTCTTATTATACGGACCTCCAGGTTGTGGTAAGACTATGTTAGCGAAGGCCTTAGCACATGAAAGTGGTGCAAATTTTATATCGATTAGAATGTCCACCATTATGGATAAATGGTATGGTGAATCCAATAAGATTGTTGAGGCTATTTTTACTTTAGGAAATAAGATTCAGCCATGTATTATATTTATCGATGAGATTGATTCATTCTTAAGAGAAAGAAGTCAAAGTGATCATGAAGTGACAGCCACGGTGAAGGCTGAATTTATGACTTTATGGGATGGACTGTTAGGGAACGGACGTGTAATGATTATTGGGGCCACCAATCGTTTAAATGACATAGATAGCGCATTCTTGAGAAGAATGCCAAAACGATTTGTAGTTTCACTACCTAACCTAGAACAAAGAAAGAAAATTTTACAGGTACTATTAAAGGATACAGAGGTTGATAGTGAAAATTTCAGTATTGATGCAATTGCAACGAATGCAAAGGGTTTATCAGGATCTGATCTGAAGGAATTATGTAGAGAAGCAGTATTAAATGCTGCCAAGGAATATATAAGGAAAAAGAGAGAATTAATTGCAAGTGGGGGAATTTCAGATCAAGATGAATCAGAGGAAAATAAAGTAGTGATAAGGCCGTTGAGATCAACTGATTTTTCAGTCATTAAGAAGGATGCACGTATGGAAGTTGGTTCACATGGACTTGACTAAGGGTTGTGTCGCTCATTTGATCTATTTCATAAAAACACATACAAAAACTAAATCTGATATTCAAACACATAATAAGTAACATTCAAAAGCATAACCAGTATATATATTAAGTAACAAATTTCAAAAAGTTATCTTCCTTTTATGCCATGTTTTTTTATTATTAAATACGTTTTACGATCCCTTCAACGGGAACGGAGTTCTCTCTCTCTAAGTATATTTGTTGATTCAACATAAAAAGGCCCAAATACTAAACTACAAAGAGAAAAGAACCATCAAACATACGATAAAGAGAGCGTTCAATATGTCGAACGAAACTCCTGATCAAGGTGTGACTTTTAAATCTTTACTGTTCAACGAGAACGGTAAATTGTATGTAAATTTTGTCGTGTTAAAACAGCACATTCAAAATACCCATCTCGATAAAATAAAATACTAACATAAAAACCGAACTACTTCCACTTCTTCGAGAAGAATTTCGACTCCACCTATATTATAATCAGTTGTCTTCCATGTACACTTTACAAATCGTTTCAATACATTTCAGGAACTACTGGGAAGTCTGTAACAAGTCCAGCACCGATCCAAGAAGAAACCATTTCTAAGCAAAGTACAGCACTTTCGACTCTACCAAGTAGTGATCTGATTCCAGGTTCGAGAACTTATGTTAAGGAGGATCCTCCCGATGTGAACAAATTAGGGTCAGCATCATGGACGTTCCTTCATGCTGTGGCTGCCAAATACCCAGAGAAACCAACACCATTCCAACAGGAAGAGATGTCAGATTTTTTAAACATCTTTTCACATGTATACCCATGCTTCTGGTGTGCTAAAGATTTTGAAAAATACATTAAGGAGAATGCCCCAAATGTAAAATCTCAAGAAGAACTAAGTATTTGGATGTGTCAGGCACACAACAAAGTTAACAAGAAGCTTGGTAAAGCACAATTCAATTGCGATTTTTGGAAAGCAAGATGGAAGGATGGCTGGGATGAACAATAATGAATAGTATTACAAGTATATATGACCCATGAGTGGGTCCAATAGTGTGTGCATAGGGAAAAGTTGTTGACAAATTTGTATATTATTTTAAGTCTGCTCGCATATAATGTGTAGCCCTAATAATATATGTCTGCGGGCTATAATCAAGTTGAACTTCGATGGCCTATCTCGTCAAGCACATTATTTTTTTTTCCAATTTTTCACATATATAAACTACGCATCTTAACGAAATTATAAATTAAAAAATGAACTTTCTCAATTCACTTTTATTACAAGCATTACCTATATAATTAAATCAAATACATAATGAATAGAAATATCAAAGTGCTACGAGATTTGACCAATGTAGAAATGAACCGAGAAAGGAATCCTGAGCTTAGCAGGTGCTAAGCTATGCAGTCCTTTTTTGTGATTATTATTAATAATTTCCATTTTTGAATCCACTACGTGGTCTAACACTTTGTAGACTGATCGGCCTCTTCGAAGATTGATGAACTTGGTGTAATAGCCAGATAGTTTGTTGATTCAAAGCGAGGCCCATAAAAAAGATCTCATCCGACAATACGTTGTTGGATGATTCGTTGAGTATAATTTCAAGATAATAAATGAACGAAAGCAATAAAGTAGGATCGTAAAGTTTTCTATTTTTATATGACTCAATGATACATATTATTTTCTTTATATGTTTTTATCTTGTTAAACTTTTAGATAGATCAAGTAAATGATAGATATATTAATTACACGAATGTGTAAAATGCTTGAGAATGCAAAATGATATTGTTAGAATGTCGATTGTACGTTTTACTGTTTGGTAAACATATTCTTATCGTTTTCAAATACTGGTGATGCCAATGATTGAGATGTAGTTATAAATGTGATCAATATAGGAACTATAGTTTTTTTCTCTAACAATTCATTTCTCCCTTCTTCTACTGTTTTAAACATTGCCATTTTATTCCATTGGTTAATTTTAACATCGCTAGTATCTGATTTAACTTTCTTAAATATTTCAACTATACTTAACAGTTTTTGTAAATGTGGTCCATATGAATATATGCAAATGAAATTATTAACCGAATCCTTTTGACATAATATATCTACTGTCCGCTCAATGTTGCTATTTTTTGAAATTTTATTGAATATTATCTTTTCAGTTAATGTAGGGTCATCTCGTAATAAATCAGGAACTATATGCTCTTGAATGAAATTTAATGTTGCAGAAGTAGAATTCAATTCTACAGGTATATCCGAACCTTTATATAAAACGGTCATTACTAGGGGGTATATTAATACAGAAATCTTGCTAATGTGCGTATGTCAATATACTTTGAGTAGTTAATACCATGTATATAGTTATAATGAACTAAACAGTTCACCTAATTCAAATTCATCTCTTATTGAATAAAAATGAATGAAATATTTTCTGTGACTGCTATCGGGTGACAACCCAGACATCCTCGGTAATTTTAATGAAAAAATACTTTTTCTTAAAATTTTCAGTTTTTCCTAAATTTCTTCTTCTTCTTTGGTTATGAAGCAATTTGTTCGGACCTTTGACAAAATGAAATAATTTTTCGGTATTTGCTTACTAGGAAGAGAACAGAATATTGAAACATCTTTAAAAATTTGGAAATGTCATCTGTATTTAAGAGTTCAGATCTTTAATTATTTATAAATTATATTCAATTACATCTTTTGAAATAAAAGAACCACAGGAAAACCTTTAAACATCCTAACAAATTAAAATACTTTGAAATGGGAGGCATTCGTGAAAAGAAAGTTGAATACTTTGCTAAGTTCAGATCTTACCTAGAAGAATACAAGTCTATCTTCATCGTTGGTGTTGATAATGTTTCTTCCCAACAAATGCATCAAGTCAGAAAGGCTTTGAGAAACAGAGGTGTTGTTCTAATGGGTAAGAACACCATGGTCAGAAGAGCTATCAGAGATTTCATTGCTGACTTACCAGACTTTGAAAAGCTACTACCTTTCATCAAGGGTAACGTTGGTTTCATTTTCACCAATGAATCTCTACAAGATATCAAGGATGTCATTGTCTCCAACAAGGTTGCTGCCCCAGCCAGAGCTGGTGCCGTTGCTCCAGAAGATATCTGGGTCCAAGCCGTTAACACCGGTATGGAACCTGGTAAGACTTCTTTCTTCCAAGCTCTTGGTGTCCCAACCAAGATTGCCAGAGGTACCATTGAAATTGTTTCCGATGTTAAGGTCGTTGAAGCCGGTACCAGAGTTGGTGCTTCTGAAGCCGCTCTATTAAACTTGTTGAACATTTCTCCATTCACCTATGGTCTAACTGTTGTTCAAGTTTACGACAACGGTCAAGTCTTCCCAGCTTCTATCTTGGATATCACTGATGATGAATTAGTCGGTCACTTCGTTTCCGCTATCTCCACCGTCTCTGCTATCTCTCTAGCTATCGGTTACCCAACCTTGCCATCTGTCGGTCACACTTTGATCAACAACTACAAGGACTTATTGGCTGTCGCCATTGGTTCCGGTTACCACTACGCTGAAATCGAAGAACTTGTTGACAGAATCGAAAACCCAGACAAGTACGCTTCTGCTGCTCCAGTTGCTGCTGCTGCTTCCGCTTCTGCTGACGCCGGTGCTGAAGCTGCTGCTGAAGAAGAAGAATCTGAAGAAGACGATGACATGGGTTTCGGTCTATTCGATTAAGAAAAGAACTTTAATTAAATAAATATATATATACATATAATATCTTTCTTTATAGTTTAATTCTTTCTTATATCTTCTAATTTGGTACTTTTTTTTTAATGATATTTTATTCAAGGTTGAAATAATTTGGGTTTTAAAAGGACTAAAAATTTTAAATATTGATAAGGGGAGCTTCGAGAGAGGATAAGCAACATCGATATCAATAACCGGATAAATAGAGATATATTATGTTCAAGTTTGGAGTGCAAAGAGCTCAGCTTAGTGGTTCATTAAAACCAAATATTACGTTCAATGTTGTTAGATTTCAATGTCAAGCCGTCAAGCTTTCGTATGATCTCTTAACTCCGGTCAAGAACAACAGTGGGAATTTAAAGAAAAATCCTTTGGTCATAATGCATGGGTTGCTAGGGAACAAAATGAATAATAGAACATTAGGTCGTCTTCTGAGAGATAAATTGGATAAGCCTGTCTATCTTGTAGATTTAAGAAATCATGGTGCCTCGCCTCATATTTCACCCCACAATTATGATAGCATGTCTGGAGATATTTTAAAATTTATTAAGGAACATGAATTGGAAGACCCAATACTTATAGGGCATTCAATGGGTGCTAAGGTTGGTATGGAATGTGTTCTTAAAGATAAAGAAAGTGCTTCAATTTTAGTATGCTTGGATAATGCTCCGATCTTTACTGCTCCAAATGGGAAATACGTACAATATATCACTAAATTACAACAGATATGTGCTACTGACAACATACATACGTTAAATGAGGCAGATAAACTATTAAGTACAATTGAATCGAATAAATTTATTAGAGGATTCTTATTGACGGTATTAAAGAGGACAAAAAATGATCAAGGGCAATGGCAATTTATTTCTAGAATGCCTTTAGATATTATTAAGGATGCGGTTATAAAAGGTAACATATCAGGTTGGTCCTTTGATTCTCACGATCACAGGTGGTGTAAACCTACTCTATTTATTAGAGGTACCGAATCAATATACATTGCCGATGAATATATTCCAGTAATCGGATTGTTTTTTCCTTGTTTCGAAATTAGAGACATCAAAGCAGGGCATTATTTAAATGCAACGAATCCCGAAGAGTGTGCAGATTTGATTGCTGAATTTGTTAACAAGAATGTGGAGTAGATTAAATTTTGTATTTCGAATGAGTCATGAACATTTACCTTTTTGAAAATACGAAGCTGGTGATGTGATGTTTTGATTATGCTACAACTTATATGCAAACTATTGAAATGGAACACTATTGAACTTCAGCAACCACAAGCCAATGTTATCATACAAAATAATTAGTAGTTTTTTCGTCAATTCAGAATAACCATGATAGATTAAATATATAATGTTCAAGAAGATGAGAATTAAAAGACAATTGATCTATACGATAACAATGGGAATCCATACGCTATCCTACTGTATGAAACATATATCGAGTAATTAATTATCGGTATGGATTTTATATTCTTTATGACTTATAAAATGTTAACCCTTTTCAGTAACAGTTTTGACAATAATTACTTTTAAACTCTTTTTATTAGTGCAGAAACATATTGCAGGATTTTATGCTATCATAAGAGCCTGGAAAATATTGGTTAGGGAAATGAGTACTACTTGAAAATACTATACAAAATATTTGATTACTTAAGAAAAGATAAAAATAAAACTATAATGAAATTTTTTTCTTATATTTAATATATAACTATTAAAAATAAAAGTGAGGCTATTTTTACAAATATAAATATAGCAAAAAAATAATATATAGCTAGTACAGAGAACAGTCTCTCATAAAACAACAATATTTGTTTAATGTGCAATCCAGTAGAAATTTCTCCCAACCACAACCAATGTATATTAATCAAGAGGAGGAACAAAAAAATTAGAAAGGGAGGACTTTTTACAGGTGCATTTGTACCGAAAATTAACACTTCAAGGGAAAAAACAAGAGGGCAAATGGAACAGTTTTTTGGAAACTTGAAATAAAGAGAATGTCTTAATCATTAAGAGGTGTATTTGTTGTCCCCTCGTACGAAAACTTCTCTGTGTGTCACAAAAGTTTGGAAAATGAGTTCTGCCATACAAAATATTTCCCGAGCTTCAATTTTGAGAGATCACCCTGACTTGTGAAATGTAAACAAAGATTTGAAACCGTCTTATGTCGAATGGTACACCCTCCAGTTTTCAAAACTGGAGGTGCATTCCGGGTATCCCTGGACTGTTTGCCATGTGTATAAGCTTACTGTATACCTGTAAGCTAATAATTCAATTAAACCACTGAACTATTGCTAATTTTATTTCAAGTTGGTAGTAAGAATAGTGACTACAATAATATTGGTTCTACATTTATCTTATATATTTATATATGAATAATTATCATAAATCTTGTTTTTAGATTGAGAATACATGGACTTGCTGTCCATCATAAATTGTTTAGTATAAATAAAATATTTATACATTAAGATCTTAACATATCCTGCCCTTTCATAGCTGTATTATATTAGCATTTTTAAAACCTAGGTTCTACATATTTGCGTTCTTAGTAATAAAAGAGTGCTTTCATTTAGTAAAATTACTAGAATTAATGGAACTTAATTAAAACTGGGAGTGAATACTGTTAAGAGAGGAAAAATGGGAGAAATTATAAAAAAGATAAAAAAGGGAAAATTATGTGACACAAAATGAATGAATTTTAAGGAAAGAGGTTCCACATACAAAAGGAACAGCATGTGAAGATTAAAAACTTATATAAAGAGCATGTGGAAGGTTTAGTGACATGCTTCACTCACATTTTTGGTGACGCACTAAAAAAATACGATTTTTAAAATTTACAGGCGTCAAATTTGGTAAGAGGTATGTCAGAAAAACAACTGGTGGGCATTTTATATAGAAAACAACAGTATATATATATTGCAATTAACAAATATTCGATTTTATGAGAAACTCGTTAAATGATATGGATATATAATTGCAAAATTCTTTAACGTTATATAATGTGTTTATCAGGAGCAATTCGTTGATTCTAAAATAACTTGTCATGTACTCTAATTATTCATCTAGAATTATGTTTCGCTAATTGGCACCTTAATTTTACGATTTTGATAAATATTATGTATAGTTTTATGGTATTTTACTGTCTTTAATCAAATCTAAGCAAATTGAATTGGCATTTGGCAAAAAGGTAATGTTCAAGTTAAATACTCTGAAATTATTTGGAATTAAAAAAGACGTTACCATCTTTCAAAATTTTCAAATTTGAAGTAATAAATTATATTTTTATTCAAAATAGTCACAATTTAGACAAAAAGTTGGCAGTCACTTATTTCAGTTTTTTAATAATTTCACACATTTTACTTACACTCATACACCAACCAAGTAATTTTTTTTTTGAAGCAAGCAAAATTAATAATGTACAAGAACGTAGAAATAGGTGACCTACTCCGTGTTCTTATTCCACTATAGAACGTTCAGAATATTGTCAGGAGCTGACCTTGTACGTATTACACAATCATAAACAAAACGAAGCTATTTTTTATTTTTACAAAGTACTAGTTATTTAGCGAAACTTGACCTCATGAGAACAACTAAAAGAATAACGGTTGTTGCCTAATGTAATGCTAACTTAGTGGGTTTTGTGTCACAGGCAAAGAAATAGCAACTAGCTAAATAAGAGTTGAAAATTTTTAATATTTTCTTCTTCTAACTCTGAGAATAAGCTTAATTAATTTTCTATCCAATATAGAGAAATCTGATATATGTCAAAAAAAAAAAAAAACTGTCCAAATAGAGGGAAACTCCACCTTTCTTGTGATGAGAAGGAACTGCACTGAATGCCCTTAACGCCCTTTGAATAACAAATTTCTATACCTTTTCGTTATTGAAGAACAGTTCTTTCTCTTTGAAAAAAAAATTGTATGTGAGAAGAAACGCGACGCGAAATGCTAATTGAATATTTTATCTACTGAACCATTAAACCATCCGGAGAAGTAAGAGAAAGGGCTAGAACTGCGCAACAATGATGCACTTACAAGCCAAAGAAATACCGTCAAGTTTTGTTCTCATATAATGCGTAGTACTGCATTACTTTTCGCAATACGCTAATTATCTTTTCTATGATCTTTTCAGTTGGAAGGGTGCAGTTACTATTACATAATAATTCTTCTACACAGCCACATAATATATATATTGTTCGAAGTAAACAACCTTGCATCAATGGCCTAAAATCGTCTAAGTATCTTAAAATAAGTATTGAGCATCTTTAACACTTTTCTTCATTTGACAGCTACCATCAGAGGGGACTTTGTCTGCATACATAGACCGGATATAACAAGAATAAAAAGCCTTGCACTTTGCTAGCAACAGATCAGATCAACATCAAGCATAGAGCTTCCTAATTACTCTTTCAAGTTGTCTCTTCTTACTCTTGTTCGTCTGCTCTATTTTTAAAAATTTCACCAAAAAAAATTTTCGCGGCGATTTTTCAGTTTTAGCGATTTTCCCCGTAGTTAAAATCGAAGGTTGTAACGATTATATGGTGGAAACGCATTGCTGTAGTTCTACTATTTTATTTTATGTTGATCTGATCCAAGAAATTAATTCGTCTCGAACTAATGTATCATTTACACTAATTGGTACTTCTTTAATTGAACTCTTGAATGTTTAAATCTATTTTCTTATTAAGCACTCTAATATATTATATTACCTGTAGTATCGCTTTCTTTTAGTGTAACCAAGATAGCGCGTTAAGGCCTCATAATTTCACGATTTTTTCTAAATTTTTTTTTTTTGCTTTCCTAATATTTTATTTTTAAACCAAATTCTACTATAATTTTTGATTTGAAAAAAAAAAGATATTGATAATTAAGAAATTACAATAAGAAAAAGAGTTAAGAGTTAAACATAAGTCTTCGTATTAGTTCAATCTTAGACTCTAACTATAAGGACTAGTATCTACTCGACCATTTTATTATTAAACAATTGTTACAAATAAAATTCTAGATAAAAGATACGAAAAGAAACTTGAAAATAGCATTATGTCTGGCTCTCCGAATGATGATTCTTTACAGGATCATCAGGAACAACAAAGATATGATCAATATGGACAACCTATCGGTCTCGATACTAGTATAGATAATCAATACATGGATAATACCTTTGATGATTCTCATAATGATGCTTATTATAACGATAATTTACGTCCTCCACATAATATTCCAAATGATGAAACTTATTCTGATTTTAGTAGTTACAGAGAATCAAGTCAACCACAATCTACTCAACCTCCAAATTATAACAGTTATACGCCATCGCAAATGAGTTATGGTGATCAAAGATCAAATTCTATGGTTTTCAATCAACCTGAAGGGATGGCAAATTTATTTCCAAGAGATCCTTATCCAGCTTGGACCGCTGATCCTGAACAACCTATTGGTATTCAACAAATTGAAGATATTTTCATTGATTTAACTGAAAAATTCGGGTTTCAACGTGATTCTATGAGAAATATGTTCGATCATTTTATGACTTTATTAGATTCAAGAGCCTCAAGAATGACACCTGCCCAAGCACTATTATCTTTACATGCAGATTATATTGGTGGTGATACATCAAATTACAAAAAATGGTATTTTGCCGCACAATTAGATTTAGATGATGATATTGGTTTCAGAAATATTAGTTTAAATAAATTAAACAAAAAATCAAAACGTGCTAAGAAATCTAATAAAAAAATATTAAAATCTACTAGAGAGGCGATACTTGATGGTGATAACGGTGTACAATACGATGAACAAGATATTGATAATGTTTTGAATTCTTTACAAGGCGATAAATCCTTAGAAGCTGCAGATTTTAGATGGAAAGTCAAAATGAATAGATTAACTCCATCTCAAAGAGTTACTCATATTGCTTTATATTTACTGACATGGGGTGAAGCTAATCAAGTTAGATTTACCTCTGAATGTTTATGTTTCATCTTTAAATGTGCCCTTGATTATTTAGAGTCACCAATCTCTGAGAATAAAAGAATCCAAGAAGGTGATTATTTGAATAGAGTCATTACACCATTATACCGTTTCTTAAGAAATCAAGTCTACGAAATTGAAAATGGTCGTTATATAAAACGTGAAAAAGATCATAATAAAGTTATAGGTTATGATGATGTTAACCAATTGTTTTGGTACCCAGAAGGTTTAACTAAGATTGTATTATCTAGTGGGAACAAATTATTGGATTTAGCTCCAGAAGAAAGATATTTGAATTTAGGTAATATTAATTGGGATAACGTATTCTTTAAGACTTATAAAGAGACAAGAACTATGTTCCACATGTTAACAAATTTCAATCGTATTTGGATTCTTCATACCTCGGTTTATTGGATGTACTGTGCTTACAATGCTCCTATTTTTTATACTCATAACTATCAACAATTGGTTAATAATCAACCATTAGCATCTTATAAATGGGCATCTGCAGCTTTAGGTGGTACTGTAGCCTCTGTTATTCAATTGGCTGCCACAATTGCAGAATGGTGTTTTGTTCCAAGAAAATGGGCAGGTGCTCAACATTTAACTACCAGATTTGCATTCATTTGTGTTATCTTAGGTATTAATATTGCTCCAATTGCATGGGTATTTGCTTATGATAGTGACACTGAAAGTAGTAAAATCGCACATATCGTTGCAGCTGTATTTTTTTTCGTTGCTGTTGCAACAATTGTATTTTTTTCCATTATGCCATTAGGTGGGTTATTCACTTCATATCTAAATAGAAGTTCTAGACGTTATGTTTCTTCGCAAACTTTCACAGCTTCATTTGCTCCATTACATGGTTGGGATAGAGTTTTATCATACGGTGTTTGGATTTGTGTCTTTGGTGCCAAATATGCAGAATCTTACTATTTCTTAATTCTTTCTCTAACAGATCCTATTAGAATTTTATCTCCAATGACAATGAGATGTACCGGTGATTATTGGATTAGTAACAGATTATGTAAACATCAACCACAAATTACTTTAGGTTTGATGATGGCAACTGATTTTATCTTATTTTTCTTAGATACTTACCTGTGGTATATTATTATTAACACAATTTGTTCTGTTGGGAAATCCTTCTATATGGGTATGTCTGTCTTGACTCCATGGAGAAATATCTTCACCAGATTACCAAAGAGAATTTACATTAAACTATTAGCTACCGAAGATATGGAAATTAAATACAAACCAAAGGTTTTAATCTCTCAAGTTTGGAATGCTATCATTATCTCAATGTATAGAGAACATCTATTGGCAATTGACCATGTTCAAAAATTATTATATCATCAAGTTCCATCAGATGTTGCAGGAAAGAGAACTTTAAGAGCTCCTACTTTCTTTATGTCTCAAGCCAAAGAACATGCTAATACTGAATTTTTCCCACGAAACTCTGAAGCTGAACGTCGTATCTCCTTTTTCGCACAATCTTTGATCTGTCCAATGCCTGAACCAGTTTCCATTGATAACATGCCAACTTTCACTGTTTTGACTCCTCATTATTCCGAAAGAATTTTATTATCACTAAGAGAAATTATTCGTGAAGATGATCAATTCTCAAGAGTTACTCTATTAGAATATTTGAAACAATTACACCCAGTTGAATGGGATTGTTTCGTTAAGGATACTAAAATTTTGGCAGACGAAACTGCAGCTTATGAGGGGGTCACTGAAGAACAAACTGAAAAGGATGATAACTCTAAAGCCAAGATCGATGATTTACCATTTTACTGTATTGGTTTCAAATCTGCTGCCCCTGAATATACTTTGCGTACCCGTATCTGGGCTTCATTAAGATCCCAAACTTTGTATCGTACCGTGTCTGGTTTTATGAACTACTCAAGAGCTATTAAACTGTTATACCGTGTGGAGAATCCTGAGATTGTCCAAATGTTCGGTGGTAACGCTGAAGGTTTAGAGAGAGAGTTAGAGAAGATGACCAGAAGAAAATTCAAGTTTTTGGTTTCTATGCAAAGATTGGCTAAATTTAAACCACATGAATTAGAAAACGCAGAATTTTTATTGAGAGCTTATCCTGATTTACAAATTGCTTATTTGGATGAAGAACCACCATTAAATGAAGGTGACGAACCAAGAATCTTTTCTGCTTTGATTGATGGTCATTGTGAAGTCTTAGAAAACGGTCGTAGACGTCCAAAGTTTAGAGTTCAATTATCTGGTAACCCAATCTTGGGTGATGGTAAATCCGATAACCAAAATCATGCTTTGATTTTCTACAGAGGTGAATATATTCAATTGATTGATGCTAACCAAGATAACTATCTAGAAGAATGTCTAAAGATTAGATCTGTTTTGGCTGAATTCGAAGAACTTACTGCACCACAGGTTAATCCTTATGCCCCACATGTTAAATACGTTGATCAATCCAATAATCACCCTGTGGCAATTGTTGGTGCTAGAGAATATATTTTCTCTGAGAATTCTGGTATTTTAGGTGATGTTGCAGCTGGTAAGGAACAAACTTTTGGTACGTTATTTGCTCGTACATTGGCTCAAATTGGTGGTAAATTACATTATGGTCATCCCGATTTTGTTAACGCTACCTTTTTAACTACTAGAGGTGGTGTTTCTAAAGCACAAAAGGGTCTACATTTGAACGAAGATATTTATTCTGGTATGAATGCTTTACTTCGTGGTGGTCGTATTAAACATTGTGAATATTATCAATGTGGTAAAGGTAGAGATTTGGGTTTCGGTACAATTTTGAATTTCACAACAAAGATTGGTGCTGGTATGGGTGAACAAATGTTATCCCGTGAATATTATTACTTGGGTACACAACTACCTATCGATCGTTTCTTATCATTTTACTATGCGCATCCTGGTTTCCATCTAAACAATTTCTTCATTCAATTATCTTTACAAATGTTTATGTTAACATTAGTTAACTTACACTCTTTAGCACATGAATCCATCATCTGTTTATATGATAGAAACAAACCTATTACAGACGTGTTATACCCAATTGGTTGTTACAATTTGGAACCTGTTATTGATTGGGTTAGACGTTATACACTATCTATTTTTATTGTGTTCTTTATCGCATTTGTTCCATTAGTTGTCCAAGAATTGATTGAACGTGGTGCTTGGAAAGCTACCTTTAGATTCTGGCGTCATATTTTCTCCTTATCACCTATGTTTGAAGTTTTTGCAGGTCAAATTTACTCTGCTTCCTTAATGAGCGATTTGACAGTTGGTGGTGCCCGTTATATTTCTACTGGTAGAGGTTTCGCTACATCGCGTATCCCATTCTCTATTCTATATTCTAGATTTGCTGGTTCTGCAATTTATATGGGTGCTAGATCTATCTTAATGTTACTATTTGGTACAGTTGCCCATTGGCAAGCTCCATTGCTATGGTTCTGGGCTTCTTTGGCTTCCTTGATTTTCTCACCATTCATCTTCAATCCACATCAATTATCATGGGATGATTTCTTTTTAGATTATAGAGATTTCATCAGATGGATGTCAAGAGGTAATAGTAAATACCATAGAAATTCATGGATTGGTTATGTTAGAATGTCAAGATCTCGTGTCACTGGTTTTAAACGTAAATTAATTGGTGATGAATCTGAGAAAGCTATTGGTGATGCAAGTAGAGCTCATAGAATTAATTTAATTCTTACTGAAATTATTCCATTAATTATTTACTGTGCAGGTTGTTTCATTTCATTTACTTTTATTAATGCTCAAACAGGTGCTAAAACTACCGATGACGATAAAGTCAATTCTATCTTAAGAATTATTATATGTACATTAGGTCCAATTGCACTTAATATGGCTACCTTGGCATTCTGTATGTCAATTTCATGTTGTTCAGCTGCAATGTTTGGTTCATGTTGTAAAAATCCAAGTGCCGGTGTTGCTGCATTTGCACATGGTGTTGCCGTAGTAGGTCATATTGGTTCATTTATTGTTATGTGGATTCTAGAAGGTTTTAGTTTTGTCAAGATGATTATTGGTGTTGTTACATGTATACAATTACAAAGATTAGTCTTCCAATGTATGACTGTCTTCCTATTATCTCGTGAATATAAAAATGATCATTCAAACAGTGCATTCTGGAACGGTCAATGGAGTACTACAGGTTCTGCATTTACACAAGCATGTCGTGAATATACTGCTAAGATTATTGAAATGTCTGAATTTGCTGCTGATTTTATACTAGGTCATGTCATTTTAATTTGTCATGCTCCATTATTAGTTATTCCAGGTATCGATACACTACATTCTATTATGTTATTCTGGTTAAGACCATCTCGTCAAATTCGTCCACCAATCTTTTCATTGAAACAAACACGTTTACGTAAACGTATGGTTAGAAAGTATATGAGTCTTTACGTTTTGATTCTAATATTATTTGCTGGTTGTATTATTGGCCCAGCCGTTGCTGCATCTCATGTTCCTGATCAATTGGCTCCAAATTTGACAGGTGCAGGTCGTAATTTATTCCAGCCAAGGGGTGTCAACCAAAATGATACTGGTGTAAGTATGTCAACTTATAGTGGTCATTATTATACAGAAACACCAAGTATGGTAACTTGGGCCACTATCGATTAGTTAGATGTTATTTATTTTCATCTAAACAACCTAAGGGAAAATACAATGAACTGAAGAAAAATAGGTAAACTCCCTTTATTGTTATATTATTATTTTTTTGCAAAAGTTGAAAAGCAACTATTCACATATATTATTATTATTATTACTCTTTTTTATTCCTTATATACTATCATTTATATTATTTAAAAAGCACAAAATAGACAAATCATTTAAAAAAACGAATTGAAAGCTTTAAATTCATTTCAGATGATTATTGAATGGTTAATGAAAAATGAGTTTTCTGTTTCATGAATGCATAGTAATTATTTATGATTTTTTCATTTATATATTTATTTATTTATTTACATATGATGCTGTTGATGCAATGAGGGGATAAACCTCGTTATGTTCTCTTTGGTCCCCAATTTACACCTAGAAATCCTGTAGATTTTGGTTGTTTTTTTAATTTTGGTTTAATAATAAAATGACGTTTTTCGCCTTTAATATCAACATATAATGAAACAAATTCAGGTAATAAAGAATCTTGTTTTTCAACAGCTTCACAATGTACTAAACCAATTTTTTTTTTAGATTCAATATGAAATCTTAAGAAACAATGTACGTGACCATCTTTATCTATTCTTCTTTTTGATACAATTGGTCTATTACGAGTCCATCTATCGTGTGTTATCATTTCACCATAAGCTTTTAATCTTTCATTATATAATGTATCATTACTTTGAAGTAATTGACGTAATTCTTTATCCTTTTGAACCAAAGATACAGCTCTATTAAACAGTTGTGTATCTCCAGATGGTGAGAATAATTCTGCACCGATCAAATAAATGACTACTGTTGAAATACCAATTGCACCAACGACTAAAGCTGCAGAAAACGTAAACGTCGTAAAATTTTTCAATTTAGGCCATATCGAATCAACTTTTTTTGAGGATGTTTGTTTCTTTTGAGATTCATTATTAAGTTGAGATGTAAATGAAATGGATCTTTTTGAATTTGGAAATGTTATACTTGAGGTTAATCGAGAATCGAGAATCCTTAGAGTAGCTCGAGATGTTAGGGAATTCAAACTCTTTGGACGTACTATTGAGAACGTCGATAGCATCGTATTAATTTTTAATATATATGAACAGGTGTAGGTAGAATAAGTTGTTTTAATATATTTACCTATGAAGAAGTCTGTTTTTACAACACCCCAGGACTCTTTTCAATTCGAAGTATCCTTTTTTAAATTGTCTCTCTTGATTAATTAATTCAAAAAGTGTAGTCAGTTTATCGTCATGAATGATTAGTGGGCTTTGGGAGAACTGTTTGGACTGTACATCCGTGCACCTTGCAGAATGTCTGGGTTTTCCAATAAAAAGTTTACGAATTTTTCCTCAAAAAAACTGGAAAAATGTAGAAAATTGCAAAAAAAGAGAGAAAAAGCGAAAAGCGAAAAGAGAGAATCGAAGTAAAGCTCATTGAATGAAACTTTTTCAATGTGTAAGAAAGTAGCAGAGATGGGAGAGAGGGAAAGTGATTGAAGCACAGCAAAGTAAGTAACCGAAACACAATATGTGAGAAATTTCATTTTGTGATGGATGTTGAATGAGTAAAGTAACCTAACTAACGTACACTTTATGCTTAGGGACAGAGAGAGATAGTGGTAAGTATTAAGCAATTAGAAAACAATCTATTGATAACATCATCTTTTTAAAGAGAGGTTTGTAAATTAATAGGTAGTTATTATCTTCTAAAGAATATAAAACCCAACTCACCAAGGATATATATAACAACAATGGCTAAGCAATCATTAGGTATGTGGAAACAATAAGAAAAAAGTAAAAACATTGAAAACGAAAGAGAAATATTGATATTAGAAGCGCAATAACAACATGTATAAGAAACAGTTTTAATAGATGGTAATAGGAATAGATAGCAACTGGGAATAAATATTACAATAAAGAATAGTTCAAGATTATGTTTGTGGATATACAACTGTGATACTACTGTAAGAAAGCAGAAAATTTATACGTAGAAACGAATTCATTAATTACATTTAAAAGATCATAAACCCCTTTCGTTTATCAATATACAAACGTATAGTTTGCCATTTTCCAAAGTTTTTTATTTACTAACAAATATGATAATATTGAAATTAATAATAAGTATTATTATGAATTAATTTCAAACAAAAAAAATCAAATTAAATATAGACGTTTCCTCTAACAGAAACAAGTCCAGAAAGGCTTACTTCACCGCTCCATCTTCTGCCAGACGTGTTCTAATGTCTGCTCCATTATCCAAGGAACTAAGAGCTCAATATGGTATCAAGGCTCTTCCAATCAGAAGAGATGATGAAGTTCTAGTTGCTCGTGGTGCTAAGAAGGGTCAAGAAGGTAAGGTTTCTTCTGTTTACAGATTGAAGTTTGCTATCCAAGTTGACAAGATTTCTAAGGAAAAATCTAACGGTGCTTCCGTTCCAATTAACATTCACCCATCTAAGGTTGTTATCACTAAGTTACATCTAGACAAGGACAGAAAGGCTTTGATCGAAAGAAAGGGTGGTAAACTAGAATAAATTATGTTATAATTCATAAGTATAATAATACGTATTTTTATAAATAAACAAACAAAGAAAATTCCTTTTTAATAATAATAAAATACGTTTCAAGACAAAATCGAGAGAGAGAGAGAGAGAGAGAGAGAGAGAATTGAATATTTCGATATGCTATTAGATTTTGTATATATAGTTGTTATGTAGTTGAACGTCTATGTAATTTTCTTGAAAATTCTTTATCTTCTCGTTCTTTAGCGGCTTTTAAAAGATCGTATCTTGTTATTACTCTATTTACATTATTATTACTATGATGAGAAGTTGGATAACTTAAAGTTTTCTTAAGGGTAGCCGTGGTACAATTTGCGACGGATTTAATTGGGACGTTAATCATCCACGTTGAAACGAACGAACCCATTCTGTTACGAGTTAAACGATACCGCGTTAACGTATTGCTAGTAGTAGTAAGATCATCAGACGTGCCTGTTGTCGTCACATCATCTTTGCAAAAAGCAGTATCAATTGCATGCATTATTTATTATTATGATTATTAATTAATGTGATTTGGGTAATATGTAGACACAAGCAAGAACAACTAAAACTATAATTACAGGCTCATCTTTCAATAACCTTAGCAATATCCATCTCTCTTATATATATATATATATCTTGACATTTTAACCAGCCCGTTTCCTCAGAATATCAATTTATATTCTTAAAGAAGCAGTGTGATGATGCACCCTATCAACTCATTTGAACTGCTTTCCATTACTAATTCCATGGATTAATCAATTTGTAATAATTTTTTTCCTGTTTCCTCCTCTTTCGCCATTCCGTGATTCTGTTTCCCTATTTCCGCGGGGGTGGACCGGGTCTGCGCAGAGCAAGAAGAAGAAGAAGGACCACCCGCGGTAACGGATTTAGCCCATCTGTTCCGTAAGCTTTCACCATTGAAATTGAAGGAATCGGTTAAATACACGGCTTTAGCTAAGGGCCAAGTCAGTATCCAGTCCATGATGCCTAGCTGTCTCACTATGCCAACTGCAATGAAATACGCTATGCCGTTGAATATTCCAATGACATAACCTAAGGTGACTTGCTCAATAGTATGATATAGTAAGTATATCCTTGAACCACATACCATCAATGTGAAGATTAGTAAACACGATGTGCTTATGAATAAATTACTGGGGGGTTGTTTCCCCCATTGCAACCACATTTTAAGGGTCCAGTAACTGAAAAAAAACCCAACAAATTGCGAATGTGCAGAGGGCATGCCAAACCCTGGTCCCATTAAAGCTTCATGTGGTCTTGGTTGTCTAATGATCCTCTTTAAGAGTTTATTTGAAAATTCGTTTAGTAGTTGCCCGCCTGCTACAATAATCGACTCTAGTTCTCTTGTGATAATTAACCAAGAAAGATAAAACGTGAGTAAAAGTATTGGTGATAGTGACAGAAACACACTGATTACACTAATTGGATCATTTGGATTATACATTATCAATGTATCATCGAATGGTATAACGTCATAATTGATTATCGTATCAGTTAGATTAAACATAATTTGGGGGAAGGGGAGGGGATCAGTCGTCTGTATCCTGTCTGAACTGATCTCTCTGTATGCAGTATTTTTGACGTTACGTATGGCTTTTATTATATATACGTGTAGAATGCGCGTTATAAATTCAAAAGGAAAAAAAAAATGATATTAATTATTTACTTTATATATAGCTAATTAGGTCGTAATCGTCATTACTTATACTTAACAAACAATTCATCGACCAGTTCGATGTATTGTTTTTCTGCATCGTCTTGTGTAGTACCTTTAATTTTGTTCCAGGCGTCCCACTTCGATCTATCCTTCAAATTAAATATACCTGGTCTATCAGTGTTACAGTCACCAATAGTTGCTTGTTTGTACAATGCGTACAGTTTCAACAATTCATCGGTATTTGGTTTAGTTGGTAGTTCGTTGACAGCTTTAGCTTTTTCTTCAAATAATTGTGAGACCATCTTGTGTAAGTGTTTGATTTCGATTGCTCGACGTCCTGTATCTCTCCCCACCTCCATCTTCTCTCGACCTCAATCACCTCTCCCCTTTATATATATATATATATATAGATTCCCTTCCCTTTCCTTCCCTTCCGCCTCCTCAACAAAACAAAAAAAACCAACAGCCAGTAACCACACGCCCCTCTCTCTCTCTCTCGCTCCCTCGCTGCGTGCGGGTGTGGTGGATGGGTGCACCCGCACAGAGGTAACTGTTGTTGGCGGCTAATCCGCCCGCCCACGCCAGGCTGGTGGAGGGTAATCGGCTGCGGTGCGTGCGTGCGTGTGTGTGCGCGTTACCCGCACATCGCCCTGCACGACGCAGACACGGGAAAGAACAATTTGCTCACAGAGCGGAAAGACTGAAATTTGTCGCGTTTTTTTGCCTCGTTTTGGCCTTCCAGTGCGAGGTGGGGGGACCCTCCTCCCCCCCTTAACAAGAGGTGGTGTTTCTTCAAGTGCTGAACTGCATTGGTGGTAAATATATATATATATATATACTGGCCTAATCAAGCAGCAGTTCAATTCAGTCACACCTATATACATATATATATATATATTGATACTCTATTGATATAAATAAACACACACTCACTCACTCACTCAGACAACATGACAGAACCTTTACAGACGACTACTAGTCGAGGCACTGAATTAGATTTGAAACCATTCCCATCATATCACAATAATAATAACGATACAGACGATGATAATGACGATAGCAGCAATGATCTGAAAGAAAGAGAATCTCGTACTAGAACAAGAACAAATTCTTTGAAAATTTTACAAAATGAACCATACAAGGATCACCGTCGTAGACGGTCCTCAAGTATTATATCACATGTGGAACCCGAAACATTTGAAGATGAAAACGATCAAAAGGGTGTATTGAATATGAATGCAAATTGGGTGGACCAACGTGGTGCTTGGTTAATTCATTTCGTGATAATTGCTTTATTAAAAATTTTTTTCAATCTTTTACCAGGGATCACTCCAATTTGGTCCTGGACTCTAACGAACACAACCTACATCGTCGGGTTTTATATTATGTTTCATTTAATTAAAGGTACACCTTTTGATTTTAATGGTGGTGCATTCGATAACCTAACAATGTGGGAACAAATTGATGATGAAACTTTATATACACCTACAAGAAAATTCTTGATCATTTTACCAATAATTTTATTATTAGTTTCAAATCACTACGCTCATTTCACTTATAAGTTATTCATCTTTAATTCTTTAATTGTTTTATTAATTGGGGTCGTACCAAAATTACCATTAACTCATAGATTAAGAATTTCAATTCCAGGTATTACAGGTCGTGCACAAATTAGTTAAATAAATATATATATTAAAAAAAAATAAATAAATAAAACCTACAATTAAAAATACACACACAATCATCTTCTTTAAGTTTTAACTAAATCGTAATGGTTTAATGAACAGATTCTACTGATGAGATCAATAAGATAAATATTTGGGATCATGTGGAAAATTGAGAAAAAAAATAACGACAACTGCAGGATTTGAACCTGCGCGGGCAGAGCCCAAAAGATTTCTAATCTTTCGCCTTAACCACTCGGCCAAGTTGCCATATTACAATGAAAATTATGAGTTGATTTTTATATATTTGATGTTGTAGACATATCCGGGTTACCCCAATTTTAATAGAATATTATTTTCATAGTAATTACTGAAAAACAGCAAATATATGAGAATAATATTGATGATTGGTATATTTTTGACTGAGTACTAGGGCTATGTGTCCTTGAGCTCACAAGTAGAGCCTCCAGACCTTCCCCAAGAGAGAGAATAATTGATATAATCTACGAAAGTCTTCGCTTTATATACAAATTGTATTCTATTTACAGCATCGCATTGTAACATGCAAGTACTTGCTGCGTCATACACATGCGATTGCCAACAAAGGCGGTTGAGAGATGTAACTATTTAGAGGTAATTAACCCTAGCTTAACCAGAGTTTGTTTTCTCTTAAATCGGATCATTCCAAAATGTTAGGAGTCATGATATTAATTGCAACAATAAATGTCCAATATATGCAGTGAGCCGAAGCAGACATATTGATATTGGAACAGGAATGAGCGTTCAGAATTTCAATAATATTGTGTTGAGGATTGGTTACTTTGATGTAAAGCTTGTGAGTGTTTTATTAATTTCTAATCGCATCCAGGTTTTTAAGTAATAAGCGCCAGGGACATCAATTCTAATTTACTCCTTATTTTACTCGTGTGGTAATTTAATTCGAAAGTTTCAAAAAAGTACTTTCGTAAAGCAGTGTTGCACCGTGAACAGTAGTGAATCATTCTGGATATTACCAATCCTGATAATCTCCGTCATATAGGACACTATATTTATTTATATTGTTTCCAAATACACTTTTCCCCTGTACTGTAACAATTGGGACAAACGAAGAGATCTTCAAATTTCATTGAACTATACTGCATTAGGGCAATAGCTATTATTGAATGTATGAGAAATTTATTTTATTACAATCTTGCATGGTTGTAAGCATGCAAGAGTAAATATGAAGTGTACTTATGATACGGTGCCTATGTGTGAATTATTTGTATATCAAAGAAATCCCAAATGGAAAAAAAGAAGTCTTTCAGTGATTTTTATATATAATGGAGTAAGATAATAATTACTCGAGAGAGAGAAAGAAATAAAGACGTGTCTATTGCATCGTGACATTTAAAAAAAAAATGTTAGGCAACCTGCTTGAACAAAATATCAGTTCTACTTTATTAGTCCTCAATTTCCAATAAGAGTTGACCCCTTTTCTAAGATTTTTCCCCAATAGGATGAGAGATTCTCTAAACGACCAATTTTTGACAAACCAAGTATGTGAAATATCAGTGCTACTATTATTGTACCATATACACTTTTAAAACATCTCCAAATTAAATTAAGATACCATTTATAACCAGTTAGTTTTGCGATTGGTTTAGTGTCTTTACAAAGGATAGTACGTTCCCTTAAAAGTTTATCACATAGGTTTGGAAGTATGAATTGATTTGCTATTGGGCGGCCACCTAATATAACAATTGTCTCTCGGGCCATCTCACCTATACTTCCCAATGACGCTGCAATGAGAATAAGGCCATAACTATACTTTCCAACATCAAAATTGGTAATTTTTTGACCGTTTAATTCTTCATTTGCTGCCCATGCGTAAAAGAAAGCTGGGAAAGTAGTAAAAAAATAAATTAAACCACCTTCTGCACCCATAAATCCCAATATTTCTATTGCTGATAATACAATTATGGTGATATTATGCCATCTTATTTTATTAACGTAGGCCGTACAGGTAGCCAAAATAGCTGAACGATTAGAAACTTTCATGGTGTTGGCCAATTTATGTAAGAGCAGTCCAAATGTTATATATTATTAACAAATCGAGGATATTTTTAAAATGACTACAGATTATATAAGTTTTTCGGAAAAAAACTTCTTAAAGGATTAATTTTTCTTGTTTGGCGGTAAGTAGAATTTAAGCTGCCAAAAATAGTTATTGATAGTCATGTTGAGTAAGCAGGCAATGCTTAGTAAACTCTTACAATCATTGCAAAAAAAAAAGATGATATTATATTAAGGATAACTTTTATTATTAAACATAGAACAATTTATTATTTATTGCTGTTATTATTATTATTAAGTATTATATATTATTTATTAAAATTAGGTGGGTGTAAGGATTGTAATAGCTGCGAAGATAGTTTAGCTAAATTAACAAAATTTTAACTAAAAACATTCACAAACAAATTAAAAAAGGGTAAGGAATTTATTGTTATTAATAGAAAAAAAAAGAGGGAGAGGGGCGAAATAATAATACAAATTTTTTTTTGTGTGGAGGGTACGGTTGGATTAACTAAACAGAAAATAAAATATGTTATACCCATCAAAAAAATTTAAATTAAATTAAATCAAGTTAGATAACTTATTAGTGAACTTCTTGAAAAAACCTTTCTTTTCTTCCTTTGGAGCAGTCTTTTCATGGATATCCTTCTTGACAGATTCTTTAGCTTCATCGGCTTTCTTTGGAGCTTCTTCGGCGGTCTTCTTGGTACCTTCACCTGCCTTCTTTAAGTTTTCACCGGCTTCCTTAGCAACATTTTGAATTTCTTCACCTGCTTTCTTGGATTCTTCAACGGCTTCGTGAGCAAAATCTTCAACCTTTTCGACGACGGCGTTCTTAGTTTCAGTTGGTTCAGACATTAGGTGTGTATGTGTAAAATTTGATTATATGAGTGTTTGTGTATGTAGTGTTCTATTATCTACAGAAGGAAAAGAATTTAATAAAATTTGACAGGTGTTCTTATATAATTAGAAAGAAAGAAAAAAGTGAGAGAGGGAGACCTGACCAATTGGGAAAACCCTTCTCCTTTTATAATTTCTCACCTTCTCTGTGGTATCCTCCTCCCTTTTTTCCACCACATCCATCACAGACAACAACAACAACAACAACAAATCCTTCTCATTCAGCGGGAAAGACAATAAAACTGCCGCAGCCAAACAGACAGTTTTAGGGAGCACCGCCAAAGAGGCAAAACAATACAAAACCAGCCATTCTCTCACTGCGCAGAGAAGAGAGAACCCTGACAACTTTTTGCTGTGAGAGAGACTCATGCTGCCACCCAGACACCGCACCGCGCGTGAGTCTCTGTTTCTATTTGCAACCCAGGCGATAATTCCTCTTTGCCCGGGACAGTCAGTGAGGAGTGAGCGAATATCTGTTTTGAAGGGTCTTGACAGCTCGCGAAGAGACACAGAGGGCGTGGCACAGAGAGGGCAAAAAGAGGGATACCGCACGGCGAACGAAAAAAACTGAGCGCTTTTTCTGGCGTAGGTGTATGGGTGCGTGGCGACGGGACAGAACGGGGCGTAGCAAAAGGGAATTGGGGAGGGAGAGGCTGTTCGTGTTTTGCGGGTAATACTTTGCGGTGGATGTATTTATAGATGGGCGTGTCTGTTTGGGTTGTTTTTGCATAATTTATGCGCTTTTTTGTGAAGTAAGCAGCTGATTGGTTTAGCTTTTGCGCTGTGAGGAGAGGAGAGGAGAGGAGGGTATTTTGAGGTTCGGGTCGTTCGACGTGATGTGGAGATGTCCATGCTCTGTCTCAGCTTACATTTGAAGGTAAACTGTATATGGTGAAGTTGCACCTAGAGTTTTATATACTGGTGTGAAACAAAGACTACAGGTTTGTATCCTTTATGGTTTAGTTAAGTTTTTCTAACGCACGGTACGTAGTTTAATCTGTGTGGGTAGTAGTTGAATATATGTATGTAAAAAATCTTTATATACTGTTTAAGAATAAAAAAAGAAGGACTTTCTTGCAGGTGCATTTGTACCAAAAATTGGCACTTCAAGGGAAAAAACAAGAGGGCAAAATGGGACAGTTTTGGGAAACTTGAAATGTAGAGAATATCTTAATCATTGAGAGGTGTATTTGTTGTCCCCTCGTACGAAAACTTCTCTGTGTGTCACAAAAGTTTGGAAAATGAGTTCTGCCATACAAAATATTTCCCGAGCTTCAATTTTGAGAGATCACCCTGACTTGTGAAATGTAAGCAAAGGTTTGAAACTGTCTTATGTCGAATGGTACACCCTCCAGTTTTCAAAACTGGAGGTGCATTCCGGGTATCCCTGGACTGTTTGCCATGTGTATACGCTTACTGTATATTTGGTAAACTACTAATTCAATTAAATTATTGAATTTTTGCATATTCATTTAATCGTGTGTTATATTATCATTTTTAAAACCTAGGTTCTACATATTTGCGTTCTTAGTAATAAAAGAGTACTTTCATTTAGTAAAATTACTAGAATTAATGGAACTTAATTAAAACTGGGAGTGAATACTGTTAAGAGAGGAAAAATGGGAGAAATTATAAAAAAGATAAAAAAGGGAAAATTATGTGACACAAAATGAATGAATTTTAAGGAAAGAGGTTCCACATACAAAAGGAACAGCATGTGAAGATTAAAAACTTATATAAAGAGCATGTGGAAGGTTTAGTGACATGCTTCACTCACATTTTTGGTGACGCACTAAAAAAATACGATTTTTAAAATTTACAGGCGTCAAATTTGGTAAGAGGTATGTCAGAAAAACAACTGGTGGGCATTTTATATAGAAAACAACAGCATATATATAAATAATAACATGATATTCTGAAAGGTATGAATCCACGTCGATTGGACTAAAAACAAATGATATTCCATTTTACTAGTACGGGCACCTCACTTTCAAACTTGAAATGTTTTGAGACTTTAATGCAATTAATTCAACACTGAAATTATTGGTGGTTACGTAATAAGTGTAACAAGTAAGGCCCCTCTGTAAATGTTCTTACATTAGTATTATAAATGTCACATTAGGACATCCGATTTGTAATGGATGCACAGTTATTTTGGCTGGGATAATACTATCATTATTGAATAAAATTTGGATTCGGATGCTATAAATGATGAAATATACTTGTATTGCCGTTAAATAGGAACTTTTATGATAATGTAGCTAACGAGGATAATTCCACCAAACTTTCTTAGATATATATTTTCATAATTATTTAAAATAATTCAAGTTGGCGTTTACCTGAAAATACGCCTGAATAGTATATTTTGTAAACAAAACATAAAAAGTGATAATATTTAAAATATTTATTAATTTCAGTATTTAATCTAAAACATTAAATAATAAGCAAGATAAGAATACTAAATCCTCTCAATAGAAAAAAGATATGATATATATATATTTGTAAAAGGAGGAAACCATTACAACGGAGATTAATTAGATTATACAATATCCCAAAGTTTCAAGCTCTTGGGAATTCTTTATCAAAATCAACGAGTGTGAACCTGTAACGGACGTCACCTTTATCTAGACGTTGCAAAGCCTCAGAGACACCGGATTCTCCCACAGGTAAAGTCTCCACCCAAATTTTAATTCCTTTTTCGACGACTAAATCCAACAGTTCTCTAATTTCAGCTGGAGAACCTAAAGCACTATTAGATATATGAACACCAGCTAAACCAAACGCACTCAATGACAATTTTTCATGTTTCTCAGGGACACATACAGATATAATTTTCCCACCAACTTTCATTGATGTAACATATTTATCCAATTCAATATCGGATAAAGATGAGGCACATACAAGGACCAAATCTAGTTTACTCTTCAATTCAGATTCCCAACCCGGAGTCTCACTGGTGGCAACATAATGGTCTGCCCCTAGTTTCAAAGCATCTTCACGTTTATTAACTCTACGAGAAAACGCATATACTTCAGCACCCATTGCCTTTGCAAACAATACAGCCATGTGACCTAGACCACCAATACCAACAATACCTACACGTTTACCACTTCCACAACCATTACGACGTAATGGTGAATAAACCGTGATCCCACCACAAAGTAAAGGAGCAGCTAACTCGGAAGGGATAGATTCAGGAATTGGGATCACGAAATGTTCATGGACACGAACGTGAGAAGCATAACCACCTTGAGAGATGTAACCATCATCGTAAGGACGATTGTAACAGGATACAAATTTAGCACAGTATGGTTCATTTCCTTCCTCACAACGTTCACATTCTAGACATGATAACACTTGAGCACCAACACCGACACGGTCACCTATTTTGAAACCTGAATTACATTGAGAACCAATGGCAACAACGGTCCCGACAATTTCGTGACCGACCACCATCTTATCACGAATTGGTCTCCAATGACCTTGAACAGTGTGCAAATCTGAACCACATACCCCACAAGCATCAATCTGAATATCGATATCTTTTGGATCGAATGATTTAGCTGGATAGGTAACACGTTGAGGAGTTCTCCATGAATCTGTGGAAAGCACCCCAATACCTGTAAATTCTTCTGGGTAAGGCATTATTTTAATGTTACTTATATAAATGATACGTTTTTGTCTTTAGTAGAAAAGAATCTCAACTCGAATACTACTTCACAATTACGGAATATACATGTCGATCTTATATAGATAAAAAACAACTGAAACACCGATTTAGAAACAGACAAAACAGATTTGGCATCTCTATTGCTCCAGTTCCTGATTGGTTCATAATCATGTAAAAACAAAAACACAATAGCATCTATCTATTCGTGCCTTTTTTCTTGATTATCGAGAAATTTTTCAAAAAAACAATCCATCGGCTCGAGGATCTTATCTTATCTTATCTAATCAGGCAGATTGCCAATAAAAAAAGACCATTGATTACAACATATACCCATTTACTGTAAAGAGAAAGAAGCTCTTCGAGGAGTATAATGACTATAATTTGAAAGTTAAAAAAAAAATATTAAGTTATGTGATTACCGTTATATTTATAAATATATAAAATTGTTATGAAAAAGAATCCGTGTATATATAAAAAAACCTACTATTGAGTTTGTTCTTTTAAAAATGGGGGTATTGTGAGAAATGAAAGAGTATGAATGCTATTAATGATGTGTGTGTGGCTTATCCTAACAGTTGTACGAAGAAATAGCCACAGGGTGATTTTCTAAGCTCCAGCTTAGATCGTTTGGCATATTCTTATCATGCCATATGTCAATCTGTTTAATTGATCCATTGCTACTGGATCTACTATTGGTACTTGTGTTGTTATATGGTGATGGACATTTCAAATCTTCGTAAGATGTACTGTTTACTAAAGTGGAAGAAGATAAGTTTGAAGAAACAGACAAGTTTCTCATATGTTTGTAAACTTCTTGTTTTTGTTGTTGTTTCTTGAAAGCTAGCATCTTCTTCTTTTGTTTAGTAGTGATTTCAATATGTTGCTTAATTGGTTCTAACAAATATTGTAAATCTAAGATCAAATCCTCATTACTGAGTCTTAAATCCCATTTTAATAGTTGTAGTAATTGTCTTTCCATCAAATTAATATCTTCCAAAGAAAACAATCCATCAGTATATTTAGCCCAATGTTTGTTCAATGGGGTAGAATCGTTATGGAATTTAGCACTAATGATTAGACAAGCTAAAAATAGTCTATGAATAGTAGATGGTAAACCCTTTGCATCCTTTGGTAAGATACGTTTCAATTTATTCAAATAACAAACTGCAGACAATAAAGTTGGAGTATAAACATTGGTATATCTGACCAATTTAGTAATGAAAGTTCTTAAAGATGGTAAACGAGTTTGTTTTGGAGAACTTGGAGGACTTGGATAAGCGTTATTATTTGGCATCACTTGTAAAGTAGCATGTGTTAAAAATTGGATCATGTCATCAGTGACAGGAGATTTCATTAGAATATTCAAAGCTTTGTTGTATGTATCCATTGTGATAGTATATCTATGTGTGTGTGTATGGTGTGTTTTGATTAATTATCTATATAGATTGTACATAATATTAAATCTTACAAGAGCTGAAGCCAATTCCTCAAATCTCATAGACATGATCTCTTCTTATATATATATATATTAATTGAAAAGTAACCTTTAATTCGATTCATTCAACTAATTATACATTTGCAATTGCTGAAAAGGGTAATTACCAACATGTTCCACTATATCATCTTTCTATCACTTTACCATTTGATCTCTTAATATGTTGATTAAAACCCAGAAATGGTTCAAAAATGACGCCAATTGCCAAAATTCTATGAGGCTTTCACTTCTCAACGGCCAAAGAATCACCAAACTTGCTGCTTTCATTTCTCATTTCGCGCTGCGGCCGGGCAGAACGAAACACGAAATTCTTTTTGGGGGTGGTGACTGCGGGTGTTTCTGTGTCCGTGCTCTGGTTAGTTCCACACGAAATGTATTAATTGAGATACGCGAATTGCCCCAAGGGCCTTTTTCCATTGCCCGATGGGGGAATTTTCCTGTTTGGGTAGAAAATGTGCGAAAAAACTAATTTTTTAATTAGGAGAATTGGGAATTACCCAATTAGGCAACTGGCTTGGGAATCTCGAAGTCCAGCGACAAGTAAGCTGCTCGACTGGGATGCATAATTCGAACCCGTTGACTTGCCAAGAGTTGAGATTCGTTTAGTTGCTTAATATGTAAATCAAGTTTCTTGATATGCATGGGCACCCTTACATGCAACTTGTCCGATAACCATATCCATAAATTTAAAGTCAGTATTGTTAAGATTATGTCAAGAATATTCCACCACGAAAAGACTTGGTATTCCTCTTTGAGTAAAATATTGATTCCATGAACAATATCTCGGAATTGTTCAGGTGTGAAATAGAGGCTCAATGGGCTTGTAGAAGTCGTACCAAATATTTGATCATTATCATACACTCCACGAGCTATAAATTTGTTTGGTAATGGAATGTCGTCATTTTTACTACTATTGTCATTGATGATTGCTGCTGGTTCCAACCCGGGTAATAATTCACTGAAATTGGGATACTGTACGGATTCTTCAAATCGACGTGGAATTCTAACAATACGAGTCTCTTTATATAATTGGGTGTTTTGTGGGGTATATACATTAGGGAAATGTGTAATTATTAATGCTTCAGATTCATCATGTTCTCTGGGAATAGCCGGATTATCTATATCAGCATAATATGTCTCACTAAACTCATGGTAGTTGAAAAATAGTACTTTGGCTTCTTCTTCTTCACTTAGTTGATCACTCATTATTCGTGAAACAGTAATAGTAGCATACTCTCGTTAGATTTCTTATAATCTAGACAAAAAACTCTGTCTTTCCCTCTTGAGCTCCCTTGCATTTTGTACTTCTTTCAATAGTAGTAGTTTCCACCTTTAATCTTTTATTTATTTATTTAGAGAGAACGGAATTTCAAAGCGAAAGAAACGGAAAGAAAATTTAGAACAGTCAAAATTTAAGAAACTTTCTTTTGAATAATTTCAAGCCAAAGAACAGATAAAGAGAGAGACAGAGAGAGAGCCTAAGCATTAGTTTCATTTTTTACTTATCAATACTGTCATCATAGTAATGTCTGCCGTTGCCACGCCTGTGTCCGAAAAGGAATTCACTAGCAAGTTTCTTACTTTGGCTACACTTAATGAACCGGTCTTATCATCAAACTATCAAAAGTCTTTAAAAGATGTCAGTGCTTTAGGTGTTGCATTGCCTGCATTGAAATACAGATACAACCCAAAGAGAGTTAAGAAGAACCAAGAAAAGAGATCTTTAACTAATGGTCAATCCAATGGAGAAGTCTCCGTAACTTTGAAAAGTATTAGAAATCCAAAATTTGTATTGACTCAATCCTTTCAAACTAACGATACAATTTTACAAATTAAACAATATTTATTAGAGGAAAAGAAAGTCGAACAATTAGGTCAATTGAAATTATTATTGAAAGGGAAAGTTCTGCACGATAATATACTTCTATTGGAACTTGATCCTTCAAGTGACATTGTCATAAATGTCATGATTTCTCCACCTAAACCAACAACGACAACAACAACAGATGCACCTCAGAAAGTAGAGGATAATGAACCAGTACAAGAATCAATTTCAGATTTAGAAAACATAACTTTACCTTGGAATGATATAGAAACCTTACTAAATTCAAAACTTAACAACCCAGAAGAGGTTAATTTTGCCATGGATAAATTAAAGAAGGGTTGGACTTTAGCTAAATAGCTTATATATAATTTTATGTATATATGCGTTTATGTGTTCTATTATAAATTATTTTAATGATATATTTAACTAAGTATCATTCGTTTGTCTCATTCGCCTCACTCTCTCCTTGATACTATTATTCCAATTTATACTATTTAACCCACCAACATTAAACCCATTAATTTCAGATGACATCGTCTCATTTACTAAATCATTACTCAATGAAAATTCTTGACTATAACCATCTAACCTTGGAGAGGACTCCAACTTTATCTGTGAGGGCCTTTCAAGAATAGTCTCATCGAAATGTTTTAACTTATTTCTTTGAATAGAGACATATTTCCTTCGTAAATCAATCTCTTCCTGTGTTAGTTGATTTAAACTAATTTTCTTCTTAAACAATATCTTATCGAACAACAAATTTGCATCTATTAACTTTCTTGGGAAGGTTTGAATCACTTGAAACATCAATATATCGTAATCATCTTGACTCTTTTGAAATTCTTTAGGTCGTTTGCTATTTACTTGGGATAATGAATCGGTAGAACCCTGAGTAGCATAGGATATTGTATTCAAGAAAAACTTTTTGGTGCTATTATTACCATCCTTTAACAACTCTTCTTCACACAACTTTAAGATGGCCAACGATGATTTAAATAAGAAATGTGACTTCTCATAAAACATACAATCCCATATTCTAAGAGTGGTTTCAATTGGGACTGATCCAATAAAACAGCTCATAAACCAACTTGCTGTAGTTAATGTGATAGGAGGTAATTTATACAAATATTCTTCTTTATGGAAATAATTTTGAATAGTAGTTTTACTATTCTCCGGATTCATTAAACTATCCTGATGATTGCTTCTAATGTATGACAGTTCGATTTGTTCCCACAACTCCGGTAAGTATTCTTTAATACAAAGAATTAATACACCTTGATCGACGTTGACACCTTCAAGATTCAATGAATGGACTCCTGGTAAATATTTCTTTGTGATTATAACTAACATCCAAAATGCTTTTTCTTCATCTAAAAACAACAACAACAACCCTGCAATGAAATTCATCGACTGGCAATACCCAATCGAAGGATCATAAATCGTGAATGCAACAAGAATTCGCCTTAGTGATTGAATCATTACAGGTTCCTCCTTTTGGAATGATTCCTTATGAAAATGAATATTATCTGGGAATGTTCTCCAAAGATCTCTTTCAATTATATCAAAATCATCATTATTAATTCTATTTTTTTTACTTCCTTTCCCTATCTTTGCTGTCTTTAATAACAATTTGTCATATATACCTTTATTTTTTTGTAACATCTCTTCTCCTCTTGCAAAATGCCACCATGCATTACCTCTCCATTCTGCTGGAATACCTTTCCTTATATAACGCTTAAGTTTTTCACAATTCGATGGAAAATTCAATGGATTATCGTTATTTAATGGCAATCCACATTTACTCAAATATGTCTCCCATTTTTTTTTTCTTTTCAGACAATATTTGGAATACTCTCCCCACCATTCATCATACTCTTCTTCAGTTACGTAATTATTTTGCTTTCTAAAACCATATCTATCAAAATGAGCAGGATCATTTCTATCCAATTCTGATTGTCTTTGAATGGTAGATGGCGACCCAGGTCCTGTACTAGCCGTATATGCTCTGCCCCGAGTTGGGGTTACAATATTAGATGTATCTTGATCATCCAGTGACCTATATATGTCTATTATTTGTGAACTTTCGGAATAACTATCAAATGTATTATGCTTCTTTGGGGTCAAAATAGTAGCCAATGGTTCATCTTCGTTTATTCTGCTCATACCACTAATATTTCTCACAGGTGTCGAAGAGAGTCCTTTGAATTTCTGCATATCTGGCATGGACTTGTTTCTCGGTATGTCATCACATTTCTGTGCTAGTTTCGGCGTCTCGTTAGAGTTTGTTCTTGAATTGATATTTTCCATCTATTTTGAAAAGGAAAACCGTCTCACTCTCTGGTACTCTTATACTTACAGAGACCTCGCAAATATTCTTATTAAAAGATAGTGGCAACCGAATTCCTTTATACTTCCTTGTAGGACCTCGTATCTGTTTTTCCTTTTGTTATTTAAAATATGTGTTTGCCTTTGCATTTTTATCTGATGCCTTGATTTTTTTATTTATTCCCTTTATTGTTTCACTTCAGTTTACTTTTCTTCCTCTTTTTTTGTAAACTGTAAGAACTTCAAATAAAGGGAAATTCCAAGTAAAGATAAAACATAGTTTGCCAATTAGAATATGGACTATATTTCCAGTGACTGTTCAGTATTCATGGTCCGCAGTTTGGTGAACATCTCTTTTACTATCCATTGCGGCATCGAAACTTCATATGGACTCATGCGATGATATACGCTAGTGGTGCCGAGAGTGCATGCACTACTGTAAGAAATATTCTTGGAAGATCAATTACTGTTCGCCAATTCCAATTGTCATCTTCGTTGCTATATAATGAGGGAAATGTTGCAAAGGCATGGGTTGACAAATTGACTGTAGAAACTCTACCAACTAGATATTTTTCAATTAGATACGATCGAGCAAGTGGTCCTGGTGGACAAAATGTTAATAAAGTGAATACCAAATGTACTTTAACATTACCAAACTTCTCGAAATGTTCTTTATTTCCGTTGGAAGTTAGAAAACAGCTGATAGATAAACGGATAAGGATTTATTCAGAAACAAATGATGCACTTGTATTGCAAAGTGATGAAACAAGATCAAGAGATCAGAATAGACTGTTATGCTTCAAAAAATTGATATCTTTCATTAGAGAGACATGCTACTTTCCAAATGATCCAACCATTGAAGATGTTAAGAAATGGGACGATATAAGAAAGAAATCGAAGGAACTACGTTTAAAAAAGAAGAAACTCAATAGTGAGAAGAAAAGAACTAGAAAAGAACTATATTGAACCCAATTATATCTATAAAATAGTACATGTATGCATTAGATTCTAGTTTATACAACTGTAGATATAAATATACAATGTTATATACTCAAGAATATTTGAGATTACAATTAAATTATTTTATGTATGCAATGCTTCAAAGAAGAAGCAACAAGATTCTATATATTACGAAAATGAACCAATATATTGAGATGATCTATATGAGCAATCCATCTTCCTATTTGATCGAATAACGGGAATTATTAGTCTCAACTGTCAAGCGGAACATAGCCATCATCGCTCTCTTCAACTTGTCTTTTTTTTGGTTTCTTTGATTTTTTCTCTTTTCTCTTTTGTTTCTTCTTGGATGGTCCTGAAACATCTATATTTTCATCCATCTTACTGTTCTTCTTCTTACCTTTACCTTTCCTTTTCCTCTTTGTATCGAGAGTAGCTGTAACATCGTAGTCATCTTCCATTTCATCTCTGCTACGCTTGTTATGAAATTCCTCATTCTCTATTATGGCCTTATTGACAACCAATTTTCTTTCATCTTTAAAATTTCTTTGTTTACCTCTATATTTTATCACACTGCCCAATATACTCTTTCCAGAACGACCTTTCAAACTTACTTCATTCAACTCAAAGCATTGATTAGTCAACATATCAAATGTACCAGCAAATGCTTTTTTAATATCACGAATATTGAAAGAACCTCTACTAATGTTATTTGTAGAATCACCAGGATCTTGGATAGCCAAACTAAAGGAATTTCTGATGGGATAAAGGTCCTTCCACGAACGCTTTGGTAAATAACTAGGTTCCCCATTTAAGACACTAATAGCAACATCGTCATAACCAAAATTTTTACCATAAAGTTCAAAAAAGTCAATTAATAAAACACCTAGGTTGTCCTTGGCGAGTATTTCCCTTGATACTATTCTTGGATGCATATGCAAAAATGAAAATACAAGACAAATGATACTGAAACCACCTAACCCACCTGTATGTACATTATTCAATTTTCTTGCATGCAAAAATTGTTTTACGATTAATACTAACTCTCTCAAACCAGGGGTACTATCTAGCCAACTTCTGATTAACTTGGCAGCATCAACACCGTTTGTTCTTTCAAACGATATATCAATATGTATTCTTGATTCTGGTTCAACGAATTTAATAATTGGAACTCTTGCTTTTGAAATGACCTCTACATCAATTGCCAACCCATCTTTACTTAAATGGTTGGCCAATTGGTATAATGCGTTTCTATTGTCCTTATCACCACTTTTACTATTAATCACACAATCGATATCAGAACCTGGTAAATATAAATCTGTCGCATAAGAACCAAAGACGTGTAAATCGGCATCAGGCCATAGTGCTTTTACGCTACTCCGTATTTTCCCAATAGTGATATTACGAGATTCGATCTCAGTTTTACTAGGAGATATATAAGATACAAAATCTTTTATTTCTAAGGTCAGCCAATCTGCAACTTCTTTTTGTTTCGAATGATCATGATTTACAATCCAAGGAAAATCTGTCATGATTGCTTCTTCATCTTCAAGTTCCTGATTATCATCGGTAGTAATATGTGGTTTTTCAACCGCACCTTCATCTTCCGACTCACTTGCTGAAAATGCAATAAAATCATTATTCTCAGTTAGTTCATTATTCTCATTGGATGTAGTTTCTACCTGTATTTTAGATTCTTCTTTGCTAATATTAGATACCTTTGAAATTGTGGGTACATTCTCTGGAACCTTTGATACAGCCACAGGTTGCTCTAATTCTACAGAATCAACAGTTGTCTGAAGAGGCGACGCATTTTTAGATCCAGCACTTGATACGGTGGATGGATGAGAAATGGAGACTGGGACCGGAGTAGTGGATTCAGTAGGATTATCGTAATGTCCATCATAGTCATCATATGCTTCAGCTTCTTCTAGTGCCTCAGCTTTTGTTTCAGCTTCAATTTCCGCGGCTGTAGGAACAAGACTAACATTAGTTACCTCATCATCACTATCTGATAGTGGTACGAAATCGTTTTCATTGTCTATTTCGTTAATTCTTAGTCCCTGCGGAGTAGGACTCGTGGTTTTCCTCTCCATGTCATCACTGCCGTTAATCACTGACATGTCTTTAATGTATTATACTGAAAGGAAAATTATAAAATTTTGACAATCCTTTAAATAGTGCAGAAACTTAATGTGTTGCAAGCAAAATTTATTATTAATCAATTCTCTCAAGTGATTCTTTCGTTCATTTTTTTTTGTAATTAGCATTCATTCAACGTAATTGTTGTTTTGCATTGTTGTTTTTATTAGTGGAAAATTTTTCGGTTTCAGTTGTTCAAAGTTCATCACCCTTTCAGAAAAAAGCTGAGCAAACAACAACTAACAAAGAGATGAAATAAACAAAAAGAACTATTGAGAATATTATGAGAATTATTATGTATCTATATCTGTCTATCACTTAAGCGTACTGTGTCTTCCAAAAAAAATGGACACACGTCTATATATCAATTATTTGAGAATATCAGGGATATTGGCTGTTTGAGAGAGCCACCCAATCGGATGTTTGGATTGCCTTGTTTCATCGACGTACCTTGCATTTTCTAAGATATCTATTATGTAATCTACAGTATAACCTCTTGCTAAACCAATTTCTATAGCTTTCCATATTGGTTTACGCCTAGAGTAACGTTTACCTGTAGCGTTATCTCGTCTCCAGGTTGCCTGATATATCGTTTCCATTTCTCTAATCGATGGTTGTCCCTCTATCCCATCAGTATATTCCTTCCATACATCTAATACGGAATGAGGAGACTTCAGGAATTTAAAGGTTTCATTTCTATTTGGAATATATTTTGGCCTTTTCGATCCAAAATCTGTGGTGCTAGTTGGGGCGGTAGTTACATTTTGTAAAGTAGACAGTTGATCACTTGCTGTACTTAAAACATCATCCGATGAATTATGATGAAATGTACCTGGTGCAGGCTTGTAAACATCGCCCAAAGGATTGATATTTGGTTTATCTACTAAATCCTTTGGATCTGTGATTATTGCCGAGTTAGATTTAAAAGGATCATTTTCTTCATTATCATCATGTCGACGTTTATTATTATCGAAAACATTCTTTTGTAAAGGCAATACGATGTTAGAATCATCAACTCTATGATTCGCATCTATTAAATCAGTAAACATATTATCAGCAGATATGGAATCAGTATTATGAGAGGATGGATTTGCAACTACTTGAGATATGCTTGTTCTATCAGTATTAGCAACTTGTAAAGATGTAGATTTAACTGGTTTTGTTCCAGTAGCAGAACTTCCACGGTTAAGAGTTAAAGAACTTGTCAACTTATTCCTTAAATGTTCTGCATGATTAGCTTGATCATTCACTAAAATTCCAATTACAGTATTCAGTTCAGTTATTTGTTTTTGCTGAGAATGTATCAACTTATCATATTTTTCAAAATGTTTATCCAACCTACTACTAAATGCATGAAACAAATCTTCAAACAATACGATACGTCTTTCTAACTCTTCTACACGGTCATTTAATGGCTTCCCGGGAGTCTCAGAATGATCCATCTTGTAATAAAGATCTACCGGTAGACAAATCAGTATACGAACACGTACCTTGAAGGGGTGGAAACAATATCAAAGCACAGTTGGTCACTCAGCCTTCCAGATGAGTAACGTACATCCACAATCGTCCTTTGTATATAGAGGTTATATATATGCGTTTGTGTTTTCTTCGATAAACTAGTTAAAATTGTGCGTATCTCAAAACTAATTACAGGAACAATAAATTTCTCAATAGATTATGTTTTTTCTATTCTCTAATAGGTCCAAGAATTATTGATAATATTTAAACAATAGGAAAAAAGGACGAAAGAGAGAAAAAAAGGTTCGTTATAAACGTGTATGAATGGGATATATATTATGAGGAAGGATGTTAGTCTATTATATAATTATGTTGTAAATTTATAGAGAGAGAAAGGTATAAAACATTTGCAAAATTAAAAGAGTAACCTGCAATGCCTTAAAACCTGATGAGGAAGGTTCCGTTACTTCTTACAATGAGAGAAGTATAAGATATTTGATTATTTTACAAAATCTGACTCTATTCGCATTTTTATCCATTTATATCTGTATGAACAAATAATTGAATGTATATTTTCATAGGAAATATTTTTTATTTTTCAAAAACAAAAATATAATCTGTCATCTTACAATAAAGCGACAACTAGAGCACCAATCAAAGCACCAGCACCGTAGGTGTTGACAGCAGCACCATCTTCTTGTTCAAGAACACTGTGAGATGTACTGTTAACAGAGATAGAAGAGTAGAAACTAGATGTAGTGTTAGCAGATGTCTTGACAGCTAGAGTAGTGGTAGTATGTGGTGTAGAAGTAGTCTTGACAGTAGAGACAGCAGATGTAGTAACTTCTGGAGTAGTGGTGACATCAACGTAAGTAATATCGTCAGAAGAAGAAGCGGCAGAAGCGACAGCAACAGTTAGAGCAATGGAAGCGACAGTAGAGAATTGCATTTTTATATATGTATGTGAGTGAGTGTGGTATTTGATAATTACTGGACAGATTGTATAAAGAACCAACGAGAAAAAAGAGAAATATGTTAAATTATCTTATGATAACATTTTGAAAAAGGATGAAATTCATTGTCAGTATATATACTAAATAAATCAGAAAAGAGAAAAAAAAAATGTTAGACAGATAACTAAGGTTGAAAATCGGATTAACAAATTCGTCTTTAAGGTTATCGAGCGATACTACTTCTGTTCTCAATTTCACTGCAATTGCTTACAAAATACCTATATCCACAATGCCTGAAGTATATATTAAACCAAAATTATAACGTCTAATTGATGATTTAGTATTCCTAATTAGGACATGAACATATGATCTGACGCCAAAAACAGACACGCCTAAGAACCAGGACACGTTATAAAATAATGGCTTTACCATAATTTTTTAAATAAATATACAAGTAATAATGTTATTATTTATCATAGATACTGTCTACTTTTCGTGTATAAGAAACACTTTACTATACAATATAAACCCAACATTCTCTTCTTCACCAGGCCAGAACCCATTCGAAAAAAAACAACAACAACCATGCATTGAAACAATAACAGTTATTTCAAAACACACAAATCCACACTCTGCTGATTCAATTCTCAACATCCCAAATCAGAACCGAATAGCGTCAACAATATAGCAAGTAGTCATCATCGTTGTTTGAATTTGATTTCTCTTTACCGTCGCCAAATGCAAAAGAAAAATTTCGCGACGCGGCGATGGCGAGATTTTTCGTGTCGCGCGAAGAAAAAAACTTTTTGAAACAAATTTTTTCGTGTTTTTCAAGAAGAAGAAGAAGAAGTCGATTGAAACTGGATGAAGTGGGTCTATCGTTCGTTGTCCCGTTGTTTTCTTTCAAGTTTGTCGATGTTTTTCTCTGCCATGCCGACTAATTGCATATATTTTTCGTGCAGCTTGGCCTGTTGTTCCTTGGCTGTTGGTTGTGATCCATCTTTTGCAATATCTGTATTGGCTAATTCTGTCTTGACTGGGGAAGGTACATGAGTATGTTCAATACGAGCTTGTTTCAATTGATCAAAGAAATATGCACCACGGACGTCTAGATCAAAATGGATGGATTCAACTGATCTTACACCTACGTCATTTGCAAATTCATAACTTGTTAGTTCATCTTTACCCTTTAACGATGGCTGATGATGTGAACTTAGAGTTAAAGGGACTTTATATTCATCACCAAAATATACTACATCATCAATAAAATCAATCTTGTAGTAAACATCAGCATTACCCCTCATTATAGAGGTCATTAACAAAGTTAATAGTCCATCTCTTGTCATTGGTTTTTCTTTATCATATGTTAATTGTTTACAAATATCTTTAACAGATAGACAATTATAATTTGGTGCAATTTGTGTCCATAATTTCATAGATTGAGTCAAAATTAAAATTTTTTCAAGGAAATAGCCTAATGTTATCTTTAATTGACCAAATTGGTTAAAATCGTCATATAATGCAGCAACATCACATTTAAGCCAATCTTGATTTATTTTTTTCAATAATTGTACAAATGGAGTATCTTCAATAATACGAATTTCTTCAAATGTGAAAGGATCAACAACTGGGATTTTACCTACCTTCACATTAAAATCAAGTTTATTTGTTTTCAGTTGTACCATACTCGATAAGACAATAAATCCAACTAATAATTTATGATAAGTTTGTAAATCAGATGATGAAGATCTACCATATCCAATTTCTTCAAATTTTGTTAATGCTTCTATGAACATCTTCTTAGTATCTTTCATTCTTTCCAGGAAAGTATCCAATCTACTGCTTCCTGGACCATATCCAGTTGATTCTACATCATCAAGTATACTCCTTGGCATGTAATGTATCCCGCAACCTGTTTTAGAGATTACAATGAGCTTTGGGTCATGTTTCAATGTTGAAGATCCATAAATAAGATCATCTAATTTCATAACATTGTTTTCAACACCTTCACGATATTCGCTAGATGGTGATCCACCATGACGAATAAATTGATAAATAATAGCTTCCGTTTTAATTCTTAATAAATCTACTAATAACTTGGGATCAAGACCCGATCCATTAACAGATAATAAATTGGTAGTGTGATCTAACATCGTTTGCAAAGATTTCATAGTGGTTTGTGGAACTTCTTTATCCTTAACTATAGCATCAACTATAGTTAAATAATGAATTTTATATTTGTATAAGAAAACTATACGACCAATCCAACTTGGGGTGAATTCAAAATTTAACACACCTTCCAATTCAGATAATAAACTTCTATAAAATTCAATTGATTTCAATAAAATAGCCTTTCTCTCTTCTGTTAAATTAAACAATAAACCACATTTTGATGAAAATTCTTTGCCAATTATTAAATCATCCACAAGCTTAACGATACCAAGAACTTCATTATCCTCAATTAAATCTTCGGAATAAGTAAATATAGACATACTCTCTATCATTGTAAGAGCTACATCCTTTGCAGAAGGATATGTTGTACAAAATTTAAGTTCTTGAACCCATGATTCAAGTTCCTTGAGGTGTACTTTAAAGACTGTTTTAGAAGAAAACGCTTCATTGCTTGGAAACTCTGCCAATTTTTCACGGGCTAAAGCAAAATTATGTACTTCAAACAATTCATCAACGACTTCCATTAATTCGTCATAACGACGATCCAACGGTATTTCATCGGCGTTCTCTTGAGGAACATTTCCACCATTATTGTTATTACTACTACTATTATTATCGTTGTCGCTCTCAAATTCCATATCATCTCCACTACTCATGGCATCATCATCAGAGTACATAAAGTCATCGTAGTTACCATTGTCCTCACTATCACTTCTAGGAAACATTGATCAATGATATATATATATATTTTTTCAATTGGTTTACTTGTCTTCCATTACTCAAAGTCAAATTTCCACTCCAATTCTATGCTAATCTGAAATAGATTCTATATCAACGGTCTATTAGCTTGCAAGTACACGTAATTTGTTTTATAATCCTTGCTTTCATCAACAATGCTATATTTACGTGTCATTATGTCTTTAAATAGGTATTTTACTGGCTCTCCTCATCTGGCATTCTTTCCACTGACTGGTCCAATATAGATTTCACAATCAATTTTTGTCTTCACGGACGGCGGGACAAACTGTGATGGAGATGACTCTAAATCGAGAGAGATAAGATAGAGATGAGGTCAAGATGAAATTCCTTTGACTGCTGGTGGAGTGGATTTCCCATCCATAAATACTAGCTGTTCTTGAATGACAACTTCAAGATATTATATTTTGAAACAATTCTGCTAGTGGAACAATCGGTTAACATTATAATCTAATCATTAATTAAAACAGACACACACACACACATTACATATATACGATACAATTTTGAGAAGATGCTGCCTATGAATTTTCTCTCGAGACCAGCTAATGTGTTCTTCTCCAAGGGTCATGGTTCGAAGAAGGATGCTGCCCCTGTGACACCAATCCCTTCAATAATTGGATTAAATGATCATACTACCCATTCTGAAATTGAAATGGAATCTTTAAACCAATTTCTAAATCAAACTTCAGGTTTCACAGCAGAAACCACAACCATCAAACATGCTGGGCTTACTGCTAAGAATGGCGAGTTCCCGGATGATGTGGCGTTTGATGCTACTATCAAGACTATAGAACCAGAGCTTATCACAGATAATGAGGATACTTCTATTTTTGAAGATGAAAACGGCAGAACTTACCCTGAGGGTGGACTTGATGCCTGGTTGGTAGTACTTGGATCATTTGTTGGATTGATCCCTATTTTTGGGATGGTAAATTCTCTTGGTGCCATCGAATCATATGTCTCGAAACATCAATTGGCAGGTGTAGCTCAATCTACAATTTCATGGATTTTCTCTTTATATTTGGTCATTACTTTTTTAAGTTGTGTCTTGACAGGTGGATATTTTGATAGAAATGGATCTTTCAAACCAATGTGCTTTGGAATCTTATTTTATGAGGCAGGTTTGATCGCTTTGGCTGATTGTCAAGAGGTTTATCAATTTATCCTAGCCTTTTCCGTCCTTTGCGGAATGGGTAGTGGGTTTCTAATGACGCCCTTGGTAAGCGTCATCGCTACATGGTTCTACAGAAAGAGAGGTGTTGCTACAAGTGTTGCTACAATGGGCGGTTCAATCGGAGGGATGATCATTGCTCCGATCTTAAGAAAACTTTATGTTGAGGTTGGTTTCAAATGGGCTCTTAGAATTTTCGCCCTAATTTGTGCTGTTTGTTTAATCATTTCGTTATGTTTGGTGAAAGTTTGGGATCAACCAACAGCTATCCCTTTTACATCAAGATGGGATGAATTTAAATGGTATTTCAGTTCTTCGTTCAATTGGAGATATTTTCTTGAGGGTCCATTTTTGTTTGCTGCCCTAGGTGCTGCCCTGGCCGAAAGTGCCCTAACTGCTTTAGCTACATATGTCTCTTCTTATTCGTTATCAGTAGGTAACTCAGAATCGACATCATATAATTTAATCACAGTGACAAATGCTGCAGGTATGCTAGGGCGATATATTCCAGGGTATGTTGCCGATAAATACCTTGGTGGGTTTAATGTTACAATTATCACTGTCTCAATGGCTGTTCTTGTAAATTTTATCATATGGCTTCCATTTGGTACTAATCTAAAAGCTTTATGGACATATTCTGCACTTTATGGGTTTTCAACAGGATCTATTCTTTCATTGACACCAGTGTGTGTGGGTCAAATATCTAGAACAGACGATTTTGGTAAAAGATATTCGACAGTATACATGTTAGAGGCATTACTAACAATTCCGGTGTTACCTATCGGTGGTGCTATCATTGGGAATGGTTCAATATCTAATTACAATAACTTTATCATATTTAATTCTGTTGTGATGCTTGTTGGTGCCATTTGTTACTTTATTTCGAGATGGTTCTCAGTAGGGTTTAAGTTAGTTAAATATTGAGATATAACTCTAAAAGGATTTAATGTTAGCTCAACCATATAGATATCCTAAATAACTATACATATATTCATACATTAAGTTTTATACTGTGGAATTTTGTGTTCTTTTACCGGCTCCTGTTGTTTATTTGGAATGAATATAGCTGATTACGAAATCCGAAAATGAGATCAGAATCCGCGATGAGCCCTCGAGGCTGACATATTTGCTGCATGATAATAAATTTTTTAACCATCTCAAAACTAAATGGTATCAGCAATCAACATTCGTTACAATATGATGCCCAACAGATCATACGCAACGATATGCTACCTTGGAATTTTTTAAGTAAGCCAGCAAAGGTATTTACTCCAAAGGACCACAATCAAAGGGTCGATGAACGAACTATCGAACATGATGCAGCGAAACAAGAAAATTCTCATACCTCAGATATAGAATTGCATTCACTTCAATATACCGTAGATGAATCACCTTTTCAGGTGACAGGGTTCTCGTTTCAAGACACATCTCCAGACGAACCTACAGGTGCTATTAAGAAAAGTGATATAGGGAAAGTAAGAGCGAGTCAAGAGAATACTGAGGCATTTGAGACTTCCGATATTTCAGATGAAGATGAGAACGATGGTAAATATGTCGATGAAAATGGGAGAGTGTACCCAGACGGGGGCCGTGATGCATGGTTAGTTGTCTTTGGATCATTTATGGGTCTTATTCCAGTTTTCGGTATAGTTAATTCTCTGGGTGCTATTGAATCATACGTTTCCAAGAATCAATTAGCAAATGTATCGCAATCTACCATTTCATGGATATTTTCTCTTTTTTTAGTGATTAGTTCTTTGAGTTGTGTCTTAACTGGAGGATATTTTGATAGAAACGGTGCATCAAGACCTATAATTGTTGGTATTTTATTCTATACTGGTGGACTAATCGCTTTAGCTGATTGTCAAGAAGTCTACCAATTTATTCTAGCATTTTCTGTCCTGGCTGGTATAGGTACGGGTGTACTTATGACTCCACTTGTCAGTGTCATTACAACATGGTTCTATAGAAAGAGAGGAATTGCCAGTAGTATTGCCACAATGGGTGGGTCGATTGGTGGTATTTTAATTGCACCTGTTCTGAGAAAACTTTATGTTGAGGTTGGTTTCAAATGGGCAATCAGAATATTTGCATTAGTATGTTTTGTTTGCCTTGTGGTGTCGTTTTTCCTAGTGAAGGAATTTGATAAAGAGGAACTAGTACCATTCGCCACTAAGATGGATGAAATCAAATGGTATTTTAGTTCTTCATTCAACTGGAGATATTTCTTGGAAGGTAGATTTCTATTTGCAGCACTTGGTGCTGCATTAGTAGAAAGTGCATTAACTGCATTAGCCACATATATTGCATCTTATTCTTTGGCAGCTGGTAACTCTGAATCAACCTCTTATAATTTAATCATGGTAACCAATGCAGCTGGGATGTTTGGTAGATACATTCCAGGTTATGTTGCAGATAAATACCTCGGTGGATTCAATGTTACAATTATTACGATATCTATGGCTGTATTAGTTAATTTTATAATATGGTTACCATTTGGTACTCATATCGGAGCACTATGGACATATGTTATCATTTATGGATTTTCCACTGGTTCAATTTTTTCTTTAACACCTGTTTGTATTGGTCAAATATCAAGAACTGAAGATTTTGGTAAAAGGTTTTCAACTGTTTATTTTTTTGAAGCTATCATTACTATACCTGTTTTACCTATTGGTGGTGCTATTATTGGTAATGGTTCAATTTCAAATTATAATAAATTTATTGTGTTTAATTCAGTCATTATGGGTGTAGGTGTTGCTTGTTATGCTGTCTCTAGATATATCTCTGTTGGTATAAAAATGGTCAAATATTGAAATATTTTCAAATACTATTTAATTTTTTTCTTTTAGACATGGTATTGGTTATGGTATTATTGTATATAAGTTGGTATATATACTTGTAAAAGGGTTACAAACCCACCTATGATATATACAGAGAACTACTATATATATATATATTCAAAAAATAAAAAAAGGTTAAAGCAAAATTTCTGTTCATTATTCGGATTTTATCTTCACACCAAATGCTCTTTCTCAATTATTAAAAACTAAAATTATACGCAATTATTACCAAAGTATTCAAGTCGACATCAGAAAATTAAAAATAAAATATAACTATAAAGACATCCAGACAGATTTCAAGTTTTCCAACAAACGAAGTATTGTTAGTAAAATAAAAAAAGACACATATTAATAATTTCTCAGCCCCTCTTTCATTCCTCAAGATTCTTTTTTAAAAAACAATTTCTCTTATATTGTACGCAACATTTCCACAAGTATCCCAAATATATATGTTTTACCGCTTATTAGAGTAATATTCATTTTACCAGTTTGTAAAAATCTTATTCTTCCCGTTTCACTTAAGATGATACATATTAAAAGTATTAAAAATTTACCCCAGAAGTCAAAAATGAACATCAGTAATGGAAATAAAACCACGAATAATAAAAACCAGCCAGAAATAATAAAAATAAAAAATGCTTTCAAATAACGGTTATACCTTCAGTTATTCGTTCTCTCATTATATTAATATCTATGGAAAAGTAAAATCAAAAATTAAAAATAAAATTAAAAATAAATTTATAATAAAAATTAACAAAATTAAAATCTATCACAATACCCACCGTGTCCTAGAAGAGAAAATGCATTACTGCACACTCTGATCCAAAGATCAAAATAGTGTCGGGCTCTCAAAGTCATATATTAATATCCTTGCATACCGACTAAAAACTCTCCTAAATATTCATTAAATTGTATTTCAGTATTCTATGGACTAGTCGTTATAGACAAAATTTATGACATATCTCTATTTATAAGGCTACCACGTTGATATATCATCTTGGTTCGCATGAAACAAAAAAAAAAAGCCACAAATCGAAGAAGATTTAAAATTTTGATTTGGTTGCAAGGAGGGAAGGGCTTATGTGTCTCCTATTTATACCTTTTTACATGGAGAGGAGTTCTATCACCTTCAGGGGTACGGCTGTTGCACGTGCGGCACTCACCCCTTTTTTTTAGTTTGATAAGGTAATATGATTGGACTGCTTTCTTGATATGCGGTGGTGTCCAGATGTATAGCGTATTTTTCTGAAAAACTTACCAAAAATGTGAAAAATCCACAAAAATTTCCCTTTTCGGAAAGATGCAGAAAAACAAAAACAAATTTTTCAATTTCACTGAAAAATATCATATCGCCCTGCTCGTGAATGGTGATAGGTTCTACAATTAACCCAAATTTTTTATATTCCATCTTATTGTTTTTCAGTTGAAGCTTTCACCGCTGAGAGGTTCCTCGAATTCCTAATACCAAGGTTGTATCTCTCTGTTCACCATTTTTACTCTAATCTGATGAGTTACCACTATATATCAATAACTAGACTATATGTATATATATATATAAGTAGATACTTTTAGTAGGTTTATATTGTTTTGAATTTTTAAGTCTTGTCTTAATAGAAGTGCAACTAAACTACGCAAAAATGGGTATCGATCACACTTCCAAGCAACACGAAAGATCCGGTCACAGAACCGCTCCAAAGTCTGACAACGTCTACTTAAAGCAATTAGTTAAGCTATACTCTTTCCTAGCCAGAAGAACTGATGCTCCATTCAACAAGGTTGTCCTAAAGGCTTTGTTCCTATCCAAGATTAACAGACCACCTGTCTCTGTTTCTAGAATTGCTAGAGCTCTAAAGCAAGATGGTGCTTCCGCTAAGACCATTGTTGTTATCGGTACCGTCACTGATGACGCTAGAGTTTTCGAACTACCAAAGACCACTGTTGCTGCTCTAAGATTCACCGCTGGTGCCAGAGCTAGAATTGTTAAGGCTGGTGGTGAATGTATCACTCTAGATCAACTTGCTGTCAGAGCTCCAAAGGGTCAAAACACTTTGATTCTAAGAGGTCCAAGAAACTCCAGAGAAGCTGTTAGACACTTCGGTATGGGTCCACACAAGAACAAGGCTCCAAGAATCCTATCCAAGGGTAGAAAGTTCGAAAGAGCTAGAGGTAGAAGAAACTCTAAGGCCTTCAAGGTGTAAAAAGCTGAATTTTAAGAATTATATAACATTTACGTTTTTATCATTATTTACTAATACAAAGCTTTATCTCATTTATCTATTCTGCACTATTACTATATATACTTCGATTTATAAATAATTGAGATCTATTGTATGGATAGATGGTCATTTCAATGATTATTTCAACTTAATGGGAGGAGAATGACATTCTTTTGCCTGAAAGGGGTTGGACTGTGTAAGGTGGGTGAAACACCCATACACACTTAATGAAGAAATTCATATACATCCGTACACCCGTTCCCGTTCAGTTTGGTTCTGGTTGCGTCGCGAGAGCAACCAGGTAACATTTTATTCTTTAACGTCCTAGAAAGAGCCGTGCTACTGAGGCTCGAAATTCAGTTTTTTCTTTCTGAAAAATTTGTTTTTTTAGAAAAACCAAAAAATGTTTTAATAATTTTATTATTCAATTGCTTAATAGTGCGGAAGTGAATGTTCACCATACTGGACACGGTAAAGGTATCATCAATCTGAAGTTTGTTAGGCTAATGTTACACACGTTAGAGACCATTAGAGATGTGTTAATCGTAACAATAGTATAGTCTTCGTATTAATGAAACCTTAAGTATATATTAATGATTTAATCGTTACTTTGTAAACTTTTAATCAAATAAAAGAAAACCATATATACATTAAAAATGCCAGGTGTTTCCGTTAGGTATGTGATTTAGATGATAAGAAAAGGTTATATGATGAATATTGGATGGATAATATGAGATTTAAAATGAGATATTCATTGAACTGCATTATTATATGACAAATAGAATTGAACAATTAAAATATAATTAGGAAATATTATAATCGAGAGAAAAATACAAAGATAGATAAGATGTTACAACACTTCCGATTATTTCTAATAGTTGTTTTTGAATTAAACAAAATTCAGTATTTGCCTTGACGATTCTTTACTTAAAATTTGAACCGATATAGAATTAATACTATTATAACATTGCTTTGAAATGTTGAACTCAGAATCGAATATATTATCGTTTTTAATTTTCTTCCACGTTATGTAACCAACTCAAAATTAAACATTAAGAGGCTTTCAATTTTACTAACATTTATAATTTTAACTTGCAAATTATTAATTATCAAGTTATTAACTTTTTGTATACAGAGACGTTGCTGCTCAAGATTTCATTAACGCTTACGCTTCTTTCTTGCAAAGACAAGGTAAGCTAGAAGTTCCAGGTTATGTTGACATTGTCAAGACCTCTGCTGGTAACGAAATGCCACCACAAGATGCCGAAGGTTGGTTCTACAAGCGTGCCGCTTCCGTTGCTAGACACATCTACCTAAGAAAGCAAGTCGGTGTTGGTGCTCTAAACAAGCTATACGGTAACGCTAAGTCTAGAGGTACCAGACCATCTAAGCACGTTGACGCTTCTGGTTCCGTTAACAGAAGAGTCCTACAAGCTCTAGAAAAGATTGGTGTTCTAGAAATCTCTCCAAAGGGTGGTAGAAGAATCTCTGAAAACGGTCAAAGAGATTTGGATCGTATCGCCGCTCAAACTTTGGAAGAAGACGACGAATAAACTCTTTAAATTAGGAGACAAATAAAATTTACCAAACTTTTCAGATGTTTGGGTTATAAAAATTTGAAATAATATGTTGTACTATTTCATATCTTTATGATCTTTCTGAACCTTTTTATATCTTTAACAGAAAAACTAAAGAAATTTACCTCTTCATATAGGAAAATTGTTTATTAATAACTCATCAACTTATAATATAATATAGTATTACTTAGCATACATGATATGTCATCTCTTTTTCGTTTTTTTATGATTTCTTGAAGTTAATCTTCAAGAATGATAATTAAAATGATTTATATAATTTAATGTATATAGTTCTATGAAATTGATGAAAGGTAACTTTGGATGAGGATTAGAACAACGTAAGAATTAGGAACTCGATTTAAGCAACGATTTCTAGTTCCATTTGTACGAAATATATCCTCAATATCCAATAGTCACACCTTATTCACGGGGTTCATACTTTGCACCTTGATGCCCTTCCTTCGCTATTTTTAGAGTTTTTTTTAGATGCATCGGTGACTGGCGAGAAGGTATGCTGCGTGCGATGCGACTTCGAGTAATTTACATACATATATATATATATACATATACGCAAAATTTATTGAAGAATATCCAGTAAAACTGTTATTATTTAATATCTGTTATGGTCAGTTGATAATTTACACTCTGGAATATTGCACTTTCAACAGTTACTTGAATTTTTGTCAACAGAACAATGGGTGATTTAGATACGAGTAAGACTGACGTAAGAGAAGTCACCATAGGTCATCAGTCTTCCTATGAACCTCATATGATCGAAACCGAGGTGCTTTCATTACAAACTTTAGATAATGTTCCTTCAAATCCCGACCCTAATATTCCTAATGATAACAATGTTTTAGAAGAATCAAAATTTGACAAAATTAAAACAAACACAAAAAATATTTTATCAAAATATCTAAAATTTGTTGGCCCAGGTATTATGGTTGCCGTTGCATATATCGATCCTGGTAATTATTCTACTGCTGTTAGTGCTGGTGCTTCCAATGAATTCTCTTTGCTATGCATCGTCTTACTATCGAATTTCATTGCCATCTTTTTACAGTGCCTTTGTATTAAATTAGGATCTGTAACCGGTAAGGATCTGTCAAGAAATTGTTATGAGCATTTACCTAGATGGTTGAATTATATTATCTATTTTTTCGCTGAATGTGCGATCATCTCAACAGATGTAGCAGAAGTTATCGGTACTGCAATTGCTTTAAATATATTAATTAAAGTTCCGCTTCCGGCAGGTGTCGTAATTACCATCGTCGATGTTCTAACAGTGATGGTTGCTTATAAGCCTGGTGCTTCATCAATGAGATTTATCAGATATTTTGAAATGGGTGTTGCATTATTAGTCGTTGGAGTTTGTATTTGTTTCGCCATCGAATTAGCTTACATTCCAAAGGAGACTTCAGTTAGACATGTATTTAGAGGATTTGTTCCATCCAGTCAAATGTTTGAACATAATGGTATATATACAGCCATCTCAATTTTAGGTGCTACTGTTATGCCCCATTCTTTATTTTTGGGGTCTGGTTTGGTTCAACCACGATTGTTAGATTATGACATTGCTCATAATAACTTGGGGGTTCTTACAGATAATATAGACGATGAAGAAGAAGTCGAAGTTGGTAATAGTAATGCCATCAATAGAGATGAAGAAGACAAAAAACGTGCCTCAAGAGAACAATCCATGGAAGATAGATATTTTAACTATAGACCAACATTAGATGCTATCAGATATTGTATGAAATATTCTATGGTTGAATTAACTTTAACTCTATTCACATTGGCATTATTTGTTAACTGTGCTATATTGGTTGTATCCGGATCTACACTTTACAATACCCCTAACGCTGCTGATGCCGACCTGTACGCAGTTCATGATTTATTGTCATCAAATTTAGCTCCTGCTGCGGGTACTATATTTATGTTAGCACTATTATTCAGTGGACAATCTGCTGGTATTGTTTGTACAATGGCTGGTCAAATTGTTTGTGAAGGTCATATAAATTGGAAGTTAGCCCCATGGCAAAGAAGATTAGTAACTAGATGCATTTCCATTATTCCATGTTTAGTCATATCTATCTCTATCGGTAAGGAAGCCTTAAACAAAGCCCTAAATGCTTCTCAAGTTGTGTTATCCATTGTTTTACCATTCTTAGTAGCTCCATTGATTTATTTCACCTGTTCTAAGAAAATTATGAGAACTGAAGTGACAGTTCACGACTCTGATCTTGATATCACTGAACAACATTTAAAACAAGAAGAGAAAAACATCGATATTGTAGAGAATGAAGATGGTACAACGATCAAGGTAGTAAACATGGCAAATAACTGGATAGTTACAATAATCGCGGGTATTGTTTGGGTTTTCTTATCTCTGTTGAACGTCTATGCTATTGTGCAATTAGGTCTAACGCACGGTGACGTCAGTTAATAAGAAAACAGTAAATAAGCATTATATGGCACTTTTGTCATTAATTCAATTTTCTTTTTTTTCTTTTAATTTTAAATATTGGAAAACTAATCCTTTATTATTTTAATTATGTAGCTAAATATTAAACAGTACATATATATTAAACTTCAAATTACTATTTCATTTTTTTATTGGTTTTGTTGCGAGTCTCTATTAAAATGATATATTATACAAATGGGTCAGTCACTCATTACAAAGCCCTAATGTCCGACAGAAGACTATTAGTTTCTGTCTCTTCCATAAGGATGATAACCATTATCATTACCGCCTCTATGGCCATTACTAGACCCACCACCACGGCGACGACCACCACCATTACCACCACGGCCCCTACGCCCAGAATTACGATCAGGGCCACCACGTCTCCCACCACGACGATCGTTACGACGGTCAGGAGCGCCGCGGCGATCACCACGACGATCATTACGATCGTTGTCTCTTGGTGGATATCCATTAGATGGACCCCTTGGGCCCTTTGGTAAACGAACATCAAGATCGTGAGAAGTTTCTTGTGTTTCACTATTCTCCTTAGATGATGATGAATCTTCTGTTGGTTCTGCTCCTATCGTCTGAACGTTAGGATCACTGGCTTGACTTTGTTCATCACTTTCTGGGTTAGATGGTTGATTTGGCATCTCTGGCATTCCCGGCATGGATTGCATACCTGGCATACCAAATCCACCCATCATCATAGCCATTTGTTGCATTTGCTGTTGATACATTTGACTGTAGTCCATACCTGTTTGTTGTTGCATCTGTTGATAATAATCTTGCATTTGTTTGAAGTAATCACCCATAGCTTGTTGATTAAACATAGGATTCATTGCAACCATAGGGTTTGCCATTTGTACAGGATTACCATTAGTAGGTTGAATATTAGATGATTGGTTATTATCATTATTGAAATCTGTAGAAGATGATTCTCCTGCACCTCTTGGGGCATTTCTAGGTTCCGCTCTTTTAATTTCTATATTTCTTCCTTTAAATTCAAGATATTTATTTGAACATACTCTATCTACAGCTTCCGGTGTATCATAAGTGATAAAACCGAACCCTCTTGATCTACCGGTATCTTTATCTAACATCAGTTGAGCATCAATGATTGTACCAAACTGTGCGAAAAAATCTTCAAATTCTTTTGGTCTAACATCGGAACCAATACCACCTACAAAAATTTTACCTGTCTTATCCTTTTCTTCTCTTGGGATAGATCTCTTTGGGTCAATCACTTTACCATCTAAAATATGTTGACTCTTCACAACTTCATCAACACTTTTAGAATCTTCGAATGTTAAGAATGCGAAACCTCTGGATCTACCAGTAGCAGAGTCTCTCATAATTCTCAATTCTGTTACATTACCATATTTATTGAAATAATTTTTCAATCCATCCTCAGTAGTTTCCCAATTCAAACCACCTACGAACATCTTGCAATGATCCTTTGATATATCTGCTTTAACTGGACCTGCAGGTTCAGATGATTGAGGAGCTTGGTCAACCTCGGATTGGTTTCCAGGCTGTAATTGAGAAACAGTCTGTTGCAGTTGTTCCCATGGCAATGGTGCTGCACCAGTTGTTGTATTACTATTTCCCGTAGGAGTTTCGTTTGAGTTATCAACAGCAGTTGTAGCAGTAGAATCTTTGTTTACTTCTCCTTCCATCTGTTTGGTGATATTCGATGACAATGCTTGTAAAGCAGCTAATTGATCTAATTGAGCCATTGTGTCATTTTTAGTTTCCTCTGTCTTAGTTTCCTGAGGTTTCTTCTCGGTGTCTCCGTAAATATCGTTAAAATCTTCTTCGTCTGAATTCATTGTGTGCTGCCTTTCTCTTGATATGTTGTATCTACTTTAGAAATATAGTGAAATAAAAGAATTAATAAAAATAATGATGCTAAACTATGATTATATTTGATGCAAAAATAAAAAAGAATTAGAAAAGAAAAAGGGTTTAATCTAAAATGTATATTATATGTGAAAACTATTATATGTATAATCTTCCCTTCTTTTTCGTATCTTAAAGTCTTATTTTTGTTGTTTTATAAGTTAAAATATTAACGACAATGATATGGTTATTTCTTTTTCAAATAAATGAATTAGACGAAAAAACAAATAAATAATAAAAATAATGTTAAGTTAAATCAATTTGAATTAGAATAGATTAAAATATATTAATGCTATTAAAATATAAAGTATAAACTAGTATATTCTCGCTTGCTCTAAAAAAAGTGATAATAATAATAATAAATTTCTCAAAAGACTATTAATTAAAGTGATATATTTACCTTAGTTACAGTTTCTTATCCGGTTGTTTGTATCAAATCTCCCAAAAAAAATTAATAAAATATGTCAATATAGTACGTGATAGTCTATTGTTTCAGTAATATCTCCTCACAAATAGTAAAAAACTTCCTAACTTGATATTTTTCAAATGGAATATAGGCTTATAGTACAAAAAGTGTAGTTATTAATTCACTGGATGCTATTCTTCTATTTAAACCACTCGTAGGTAAGTTGAAAGAAAGTGGCAAAACCAGAAATGTTTTCATACCTTTGAAAGATGTTTTCTCTCCTTATTTATATATCCAAAAAATCTTCAAAAAGCGCATTTTGGGCCTCAACCCTAATAGCCCTAATACCTTATGTATGCGCACTACCCAACCCTAAGCTGCTTAACTATGTGAAGGACGGTAGGGCTTAGCTAAATTTGATTAAAATGAAATTTTTTTTCTTGAAATTTCAATCAAAAATGCTTTAAAAGAGAAGCTCATCGATTAGTTTTATTGGAAAGAAGGGGGATGGCTAGTGCAACTGTTGCAAGTTTGTTCGAGGGTTAGTCCAATCTAAGAGTAGTTAAGATGGTGAAAAAACAGTATCTGTTGTATATGGTGCAAATCCATACCAATTTTCGTCTGGCGGAATTGGAATCGTTAGCAGATCTTTTCAATTTAGATATTGATTTCTCCAAATATAATGCTGATTCGCCGTTTTTCTTTGTGGAGTTGGATAATGACGACCAGGCACGTCAATGGATCAAGAGATCTATCCTGACCAAAGCTATTTACGAGTACTGGGGTAAAGGTGAAACTATGGAACAATTGCATGACACAATAAAAAATTTAGAAGGTTTCCAAACCAGAAAGGAACAATTTAAACATTCTAGTTTTAAATTTGAATTTGAGAATTTCCAAGGTGGTAAGAAGAAAGATATGGCAACAAAAGTGAAACAAATGGAAACGTTTAAATACTTAAATTTTGAAGGTAAGATTGATTTAAAGAATCCACATGAAACTTTCACATTAATTGAAGAATACGAATCTGTTGTAGGTAATAAAGCCGCTACCGTTCCATTATCGTATACGTTTGGTCGTTTTGTTGGTAGTAGTGATCGTAGTTCCATGGAACGTTATGATTTAAAGAAGAGACCTTATAAAGGTACCACAAGTTTCGAAGCAGAATTATCCTTGGTAAGTGCAAATATTGCTCAAGTTAAACCGGGATCCTTAATGTATGATCCATTTGCCGGAACAGGATCTTTCTTGACTGCAGGTGGTCATTATGGTGCATTAGTGATGGGATCTGATATTGATGGAAGAATGATACGTGGGAAAGGAGCTAATATTGATATTAAGAGTAATTTTAACTATTATAATGAATCTAATAAATTTTTAGACGTTATGACTATGGATTTCACACATAATGCATTAAGAACCAACTTAGTAATTGATACAATATTATGTGATCCACCATATGGTATTCGTGAAAGTATTAAAATTTTAGGTGCTAGAGATCCTGAAAGATTTATTGGTAAAGAAAATCTTGTAATAGATGGAGAAAAAGCATTTTTAAGAAAAGATTATATACCTACAAAGAAACCTTATTCATTAGATTCATTATTAGATGATTTATTAAAATATAGTGCAGAGAGATTACCCGTAGGTGGTAGATTAGCCTTTTGGATGCCGACCGCAAACGATGAAAATGTCGAGACAATTATTCCATTACATTCAAATTTAGAATTAAAATATAATTGTGTTCAAGAATTTAATAAATGGTCAAGACGTTTATTAGTGTATATTAATCGTGGGGATACATTTAATGGTCCAACTAATGGTGGTGTACAAAGATCACCATCTAATTTCAGAGAACGTTATTTCAATCATTTCAATAAATAAGTTATTTATTAGTATATATTATGTGTGTTTAAATAACAATGCAACGTTCTCTAATGAGATGGATTTATCTACATATCTGATCAATTCGGCGTTTTCGCCAAGATTTTGTTGAACCCATTTCAATCTTCCTAAATCGATTATTTTGCGTGCCATTAGCCCTAGGGATTCACGTTCCTCTAAAGTCATCGATATAGAATCAGTAATTTCAACAATATCTGTCCCAACCATATCTGGTCTTCTACCATTTGTAGCCCATGAACATATTTTGGTCAAACATGTGAAAAATTGCTCATAAGTAATATCGTTTGTATCTGGTAATAATAATGCTTTAATGTACTCGGGGTTCACATAGTCTCTTGGGGAACAAACATGTCTGCAACACATAGCAATGCATAGACCATCCAATTTGTTATGTAAAATATTGTTATTCAGGATACAACGTAATGTTAAATCTGTTGCGACACCACATAGATGTTTTGAGATTGCCACATAATTATGACTTGAATCTAATTGTGTATCTATTTTCAAATCTTTAATATCTATCTTAATACGTTTTATAGTTGGGACAATTTTCAATTGATTTGTTAATTCTTGAGTATCACTAACAAATTTTGAATCAAATTTCATTCTATTTGAAGCTCTATCAATCAAATGATATGTAATATCTCTAGGTTCATTTTGATTGGTTAAACAAATGACTTGATTTAAATAACGTGAAAATTCTGCTTTACCACAACCAAATTCAATATAATCTTGATCTTTTTTAGTAGTGTTTAAAATTTTATAATCAATCATATTTTGAATTAATGACGATTGCTGAATTGCATGTTTTTGATTAATTAGTGTATTAACTCTTTTTTGAACCATTTCTTGATTTGATTCTTGTTTTAATGGTATAATTATATCATTTTCAATTTTCCATTTTTGTAAAATTTCTATAGATTGATTTAAAAATTGTTTATAATCAATTTTAACAGACGATAAAGTATCGTTATTATTAATATTCATATCTTTATTGAAAAATGTTTCATTATCATTAACATGAGATAATTTAAATTTATTACATTTTTTCAAATGTCTTGATAATTGATCTTTCCAAACACTATGATTAGGATCCAATGGACAAGGTATTCTTTCCCTTTCTTCTGAATTGACACCCGAGTGAATTAAAGTACCAGAATTTTTCTTTAAAAGATTTAAATGTTCAGAACAATATTGCTCATCTGCACGTCTAGTCATGCCACATTGCCTATCCTTTTTCACTATCAAATATTGACATCTAAGTCTACCGGAGGAATCCTCCAATTTAATCTTCTTGCTGACAGGTTCCATCACGCTAGGTTATTCATATGCTACTGGTCAAACACACACAGATTATATATTTGTGTAAAAGATCTGTTTACATGCACAGAAAGTGCCAGTCTCTCTATTACCAAATAGTAATATAGTTATAGCTTGTAACTGTATTTCAAGTGAAAAATTTCTCGCGATGAGCTCTCCAGCACAGGCGTTACAGACAGAAAGTGAATCATAACTAAGTGCGTTGAAGACACAGAGACACAATCGGAGTAAACCCAAACCCAAATCAAATGATATTGTATACAACACCATTTGTATGCAATATATTCAAAATAGATGATCCGGTCAATGAGCAGTTGAAAACATACCATAGTAAATACAACTAGGCCAGAATCGGCATCTACCGAGCATCACGTGACACGCTCGGCATTCACCGAGCACAACAACCCGGATTCCATACAGGAAACACACAAACACAAAGTGGAGATCGTTGATTTGCCTTGAAGGACCTCAACCAGGGTTTTGCCTTTAGAACCTCCAACATCTTCATTAGGAAGATGTCGTGATTTCACTCAGCCACACACCCATCTATACCGTGTACAACCCATACACCGCAGCCACTCCGGGGATCGCCGAGCTGTTTTTCTGAAGGGGTCGGGTACCCTTTATTTGGGCGGCAAAACTTTAACGCCGATTCTTCTATTTTTGTTTTTGTAATTTGTATATAAATAGGAAAGGAATCAGATGGATTCTAATATTAAAATGGGAAGGTTGGAGTAAAACTTCTTTAACCTGTTATATACTTCCATTGTTATTGTACTGAAGCCTACAAAAATATACATATATATATAAAACTATCATAACATTACATCATAATATGCCTGACGCTGCTGTACTAGAACAAGAGAAAGATACTGTTAAGATTGTGGTCCTTGGTGCTGCTGGTGGGATTGGACAATCTTTATCTCTTTTAATTAAATCGCAACTGTATTATGTGGTTAGGAGTAATAAAAGAATCCATTTGGCATTATATGATATTAATAGAGATGCAATATCGGGGGTAGTGGCAGATATGTCACATATTGATACACCTATTACAATATCTGCGCATTACCCCGACGAAGAAAATAAAGAAAGTTTAAAAGATTGTTTAACTAATGCATCTATTGTATTAATTCCTGCAGGTGTACCAAGAAAGCCTGGCATGACTAGAGATGATTTATTCAAAGTTAATGCAGGAATTGTATCCCAATTAACAGATTCAATAATTAAATATTGTGATTTAAAAAAAATCTTCATTTTATTAATTTCGAATCCAATTAACTCTTTAATTCCCGTTATTATGAATAGATTTAAATATAATGAATCAATTACTAAAGATACAAATATTGAAAAAAGATTATTTGGTATTACAACATTAGATTCAACAAGAGGTTCAATTTTTTTAAAGGATACAATTAATAATTTAAAATTAACAAGCGGGTTACAAGTTATGGAAATGCCACATGTACCTGTTATCGGTGGACATTCAGGCGATACAATTATTCCAGTATTTTCACAATGTTCTGCAGCAGATAATTTATCACAAGATCAAATTTCAAATTTAATTAATAGGGTCCAATATGGTGGTGATGAAATTGTTTTAGCTAAAAAGGGTAAAGGTTCTGCAACTTTATCAATGGCACATTCATCATTTAAAATGTTAATTAAATTTGTTGATTTAATTTTAGGCAATTGTAATGATTTAACCATCACATCATTTATTTCATTAAAAAATCTAAATCAAGATAATGAAATTGCTAGTGGCGGTAAAGAATTAATGTCAAGAATTAATAACTTAAATTATTTTGCTATACCAGCGATTGTAACAATTAATGGAATTAAAGAAATTAAATTTAAGATCATTGATTATTTAAATTATAATGAGTTTAATGATCTATTACCAATTTGTTTAAAAAATTTGAAAACAAACATAGTTACAGGTGAATCATTTTAACTCACTTCAAAAAAATAAAAATTGTCTCAAACCCACCCCCAACCCCCCAAATTTTGCATCACCATCATCATATATAAAACTCTTTTCTATAGGTTTTTCTTTCTTCATAGTTAGCTTTTTCACTTTTAATAAAATAATAATAATATTCTCTTTCCAAAACAAACAAACCTATAATTCTAGTATATTATATTGTGAATGTGCCAAGATAGTCTAACCATTTACTAACTTTATTACATGAAGTTACAGATTTATGCATTACGTGATTGTATGTATATTCGTCTTCCTTAAACCAAATAGGCGATGAGAGGAAAAGGAATAAAATGTGTCAGATGTCATTCTACACGAGCCGGCTGTCGCTCTCTTTTCTTCGGCATCGCCGAAGACAGAAAAAGGCCGCGGAGGAGAAGCGAAGGGCGCAGCACCAGTACTCCGGAATGTCCCAAATAGGAAATTCTGTGGAAGAAGTGGCACTTTCCCATTCCGCGGAAAGAAAGAAAAATATATATATCAGAAGCTTTGTGCGGGTGCACGGATGGACAGGATCGGGTGTGTGGGTGCACAGAACGGAACCAGAACCTGCCCAGATGGGCAGGTTCTGGTTACTGAAAAAAGCTTCTTTGATTCCTGAACAACTCTCATTTTCCCATAACTCGAACCTCTGCCAACAATGGCAACCTATGGAGTGTATGGCAACAGGCTAACAAGACGGTCTGGAGTAACCCACGTTTTGTATGGATATTTATTAGAACACCACACATTGTCACACTACACGAGCGCTCGTTCAACACGATAACCCCAGTTTTTACGCCACTAAAAAATTTACGAAAAAAAAAAAGGAAAAACGAAAAAATTGACCAGCCAGCCTGCGAAAGTGAGAAAGGTTGTAAGAACTAATAATATTCTAAAAAAAAAGTTTTAGAAACATAGAACATTTAGTCAAGAAGTGAAAAGCACCCTTTAATCATCGAAATAAAGAAGAGTTCGAGAAAGAAATTAGTGCTTTTTTTTAAACAAATTTTGATTCAATTACCCTTTATATTCGTATTTAATTTAATTTTTTTAATAATCGAATTTCGTATTGTCCCCTATAATTGTTTATTTGTTTTATAAGTGATTTGTTGTTTACCCTTTTGTGCCAACCCTTTTTTTGTAATTTAGTAAAATAGAAAAAAGCTATAACAAATTTCTTCCAGAGGATTACTTTCTACTTTATTGAATTATATCCTATTACAGTAGAAGAAAAAAATGAGTGATAATAATATGCATCATACTAATGGTGAAAATGGAGAAAATGTTTATGAATTTATTGCAGATGACGTGACTTCAAATAAAAGTAATACAGTTAGAAGAATGCTAATTAAAGAATATAGAAAAATTGGTAGGGGTGCGTTCGGTACAGTAGTACAAGCAAAGATAACACCAAATAAAGAAGATTGGTATGGACCATTTGCAATTAAAAAAGTACCAGCTCAAACAGAATATAAATCAAGAGAATTAGAAATTCTTAGAGCAACAGATCATCCAAATATCGTCAAATTAGAATATTTTTTCACTCATTTATCACCAACAGATCATAAAATTTATCAGCATTTAGCAATGGAATGTTTACCAGAAACTTTACAATTAGAAATTACTAGATACTCAAGAAATAAATTAGAATTAGCATTAAAACATGTTCAATTATATACTTATCAAATTGCACGTGGGATGTTATATTTACATGCATTTGGTGTATGTCATCGTGATATTAAACCATCAAATATTTTAGTTGATCCAACAACTGGTATATTAAAAATTTGTGATTTTGGTTCAGCTAAAAAATTAGAACATAATGAACCATCAATTAGTTATATATGTTCAAGATTTTACAGAGCTCCAGAATTAATCTTAGGCTCAACACAATATACAACTCAAGTCGATATTTGGGGTTTAGGTTGTGTTATTGGTGAAATGTTAATAGGTAAAGCCGTATTTCAAGGTCAAGAACCTTTATTACAATTAAGAGAAATTGCTAAAATTTTAGGTCCACCAGATAAAAAATTTATATTTTTCTCAAATCCAAGTTATGATGGTCCTTTATATTCAAAACCTTTATTTTCAGGTATACCACAATCACGTTTCGAAAAATATTTCAATCGCGCAGGTCCAGAAGGTATTGATTTATTAATGAAAGTACTAGTTTATGAACCACAACAAAGATTAACACCAAGAAAAATTTTAGCTCATCCATTCTTTAATGATTTAAGAAATGAACAATATTTCTTCCCAAGGGAACATACTCAACCTGTTCGTTTACCTAATTTATTTGATTTTAGTGATTTCGAATTACGTATTATTGGTGAATACATAACACAAATTAAACCAGCAGATGATTAATCCTGTTTTGTTTGTTTGTTTTGAAGTTCAAAAAAAAATCTTCGATCATTAACAACAACAATAACAACATTACTGTGTATAAATTATATCCAAATTTTCAATATATTTTTTTTTTTTTGGATTTTACCGATTTGCACATCAAACTTCTCTTACGATCCCTTCCCTTAATTATTAAACTTATTGTTATTATTACTATTTCACGTATATTCATTTTCATACATACACATATATATAAACTATATATTTCTTAATAAATCCTCCCCAATCCCCTTCCATTAAACTATTAAATCATGTTCATATTCTTTATAATAATAAAGGATGTATATGTATTTATTTATGTGGTTTGTATAAGAATTATAAAGTTAAAGAATAAGAATATTCATCTTCAGCATTTTGTGCAATCCATAAAATTATGCAACTTAATAAGACACATATATTTCCTAAGACATTATTAACACCCATTCCAACGGTTGGATAGCTTGTATAATCTTTCACTAAAAATTTAATAATCAAAACAACAATAGATCCCGATAATCCACCAGCTAGTAATGAAAATCCAAAAAATAATATACTTCTTGCTTGCCATGCCATTCTAGAATCCATGCCTCCAAGAGATGATCCGAACGATGATTCTCCATTCAATTCTCCTTGTAGTAATCTACTCTTTTCAATCGAACTCACAATCAACATACCAAACGTACTACAGATAAATGGAATCCAATCAATGAATGTAACGTGCACATCTGATGCATTGGCATGTTTCGAATATAACACAGCGTCAAGAAATGTCCAGAATCCAAGCGCATAAAATATACCTGATAGATAGACACCAAGAGTTCTAACACCTTGGAATGTGGGTACCTTGAATGGTAGACGAAATAATCTTTCTTGTGGTTCGTTATCCATTTGTGTATGTATATGATATTCTAAATTTTATTTGTAGTTGATTTCTTGATAGTGATAACCTTTTATGGGAATCCCTAAATTAAAAAGGCAGAAAAAAAATAGTCAAAATATTCTAAAAGAAACCAAAACCGAAATATATTCTGATGTAGTAGCAACAATGTGTATTAGCAATGATTAGTCTTGTCTGTTTCTAAAAGTAATGTCAACGTTGTTATAAGGGCCTCCCTTTCTTTAAAGGGCTTAAAAGTTCATCAAGTTTGCCTCATTTTTTGACGGCTGGACTGATTTCTTAATTTGTGAAGGCAGCGGCGGGTCCTCCGTAAAGAATGATTCTGGATCACTGTAAAAGCAATGATTAATAAATGAATATATTACAAGTTTATAAAGTTTAAAAATAAAAATGTTACAGAAGTAGATTAAATAGATTGAATGGTTTAGGTTGTTCTATAATAAGATTTGATGAAGATGTAGTATGTGAACGAGACGCTAGTTTTATTTACTTATTGGTAGCCACTGTATCTAGTTGGTAGACTGGCAATTGATCTATTGGAGTTCTTGTTACGGTTTTCATGTTCTCTAGCAGAACGATTACGATAACCTCTTGGTAAAAAATTTGTAATGATTGATTTGGACCCACTCACAGCAGCCTCATTTAGAGTCTTTGGTGAATCAATACGTGAAACCCAATAAGAAGCTGCAAACCAACCAACAACTGCAAGGGATACTAAAACACCAAGAATACCAAACCACCAACCATAACCACCAACACCTTCACCTGGCACTTTAACGTTCATACCGAAAAGACCAGTGATAACATTCAAAGGAACTAACATGGTACCAATCATGGTGACTTTACCCAGCATCTCTGTGACTCTATTATTAGAATTAAACGATTCTACTTGCAACTGAGCTAAATAATTGGAATGAGACCTAGAGAAAATCTTTTCATAGGCTGCTAAATTTTGATACATTGTCAGTAAATGATCCTGGATATCACCCAGATACATAGCAATTTCAGCTCTTGGTTGACTTGCCATATGGTTATTCATCATCGTTTCTGATTGGGCATTCATTGCTGCAATATGATGGTGGTTTGGAGCACCATGTCTTCTTGCATGATTGACATTAGCATTACTGTTATAGTTAGATTGTAGGTTTGCTATATTAATTTGAGAAGTTAGAGCTGGACCAATACCTTTCGCTTCATCTTGACATCTCTTTGCAAACATTTTGATAACGTCAGCTTTACCACTTAATAACCTCATTAATGTCATAGTCTTACGTCTACTTTCACCAATTCTTTGCAACATAACTGAGAAATCTTCATCACGAGCCATGAATACAGAGTCTTCAATGGCATCAGCCTCGTATTCAATAGATTGGATCACTGGTGCAAAACTATCTGTAATATCATCAATAAGCGCATAACAAATCCAATCAGAATTAACATCAACGTAGTCTCTCAATTGTCTAACTCTTCTTCTGACGTTAGCTGGATGAGATATTGGGTTGAAATGAAATGTGATAACACCAGATCTAAAGACAACTATATAAACATTGATTGGTTCCAAGAAATCTTCAGACTCTTTGTCGTTTTCGAAAGTATGGAAACAAACAAAGTAATAAGATTTGAATAATTCGACCTTTTCTCTTGTTTCCTGCATTCTAATATCTTCAGCTGTCAAAGGATGGATACCAAATGCTTTAGCAATGCATCTCATTTCATCATCAGTTGGACATGAACAATCAAGCCACCACGTTGGTTGGCCGCCCTTGAATAAATCATAGAAACTTTGGCCCTTGGAAACTAAAGAAGGAATATCTGTAGAATGGACAGTTTCTTCTGAGCTTGAATTAAAAAACGAAAACCGATCAGGAGCCACATATGGTACACCATTATAAGGCATAATACCGCTGACGGTTTGTAATTCAATATCAGACCTAGTAGCAGATGGTAATTGAGTTCCTTCAAATTTCATCGGTTTTTCATCAAAAAATTCACCTTCAATCTTATTATTACCAAATGAAACGCCTACTGCTTCCGCCTTTTTGTTATCAGGTAAAACCTGGGATTGTTCAAACAAAGGATTTTCATTGGAACTGGATGAGTTTAGTTGTTGTTGTGCCGAGGGTCTTGGTGTGTATTTCAAAGCAGCTGATGACATAGAAACAGATGTTGATGTTGAAGTTGAGCCTAATCCATTAGGATTGAAGTTTCCAGTCACTGGTGCAGTTGCCATTGTGGTCAAATAATTAGCATTTCTCTCAGATTGTGATTGGGCAAACTCTTCTAATTCATCGAAATCAATACCATTGATACGAGTGTGTAATTGAGGTGATAATGGGAACCAGACATCCTCCTCGGTTTCTTGACTTTCACCAGAGGCTTGAGAGTTATCGCTATCAAACGATTCTCTTCTTCTAGAAGTTGGCATAGCACCCTCCCCGGTTGGTTTGTTAATTTTTTCAGTATTTCTATTGTCCATTGATTTGTGGGATAAGGATCTTGCCAATAATGGAATAGGATTTGCTGAACTTGACGAAGCAATCGAATCTGTTCTTGTTTTATTTTTGCTCACTTTTGAGTGCATCTTTTCAGAAATTGAATGTGTTCTAGATTGACGGCGTGGTCGTGATAATGGGGAAATGGTTGCGCCAGGCTTCACAGCAGTTCCATCTGCTCTAGAAGAGAATGGATCTGAACTTTCAGCACTGCTAAGCTTCTGCCTGCTTGACGCACGTAGTCTGTCGGTCTTTTTGTTAGAAGGTGGTGTGTTCCCGTTCTTGTTTGTAATTGCAGGTGTTGGTAATGTACTGAAACTTTCACGACGATGAGATGGTACCAAGGATGGCGAATTCTTAAGTTGATTGATTGTTTCACTTCTCATGGCATCAGTCGTATCCATTTCCCTTTGTTGATCCTCAGAAATAAATCTTATATTGGGATCTACTTCGTCACTATCAATAATGACATCAGAGTTATTGGCATTTTGCATATTAACCTCAATATTATTGTTTTCGATCTGAGATGCGATAATATCATTGTGTTGTCTGTGGTCATATAACTCATTGTGCTCCTCAGTGTTCATGGAATCGAGGGAATCGACTAACGATTCGTTATTGGTTGAATCTGAGTGGGAAGATGAGGAAGAAGAGGACCCTGAATGAATGGATGACATTTTTCTTCAAAGTTGTTTTATTGTTGTTGTTTATGTTTTTTTAATAAAAAATTTAGTGGGATTGTTTCCTTAAATGTTGATAGTATATATATATTATTACTATTGTGTTATGCAAAAGTTTGGATGGTTAAAACTCCTTTTTGATTTCCTTTACTAATTTGCAAAAGAAAGTATATATATTATCTGACCATTAGTAGATTTACAAATGCAATATTGAAAATATTTATGAATATGTGATTGTTTGTTTTGAAGTGACAGTGATTTGATTTCAAAATAATATCTTATAGGTATAAAAAAATGATTATAATTCAAATGGTCACTTTAATAAAAAAAAAATCTAACTGTTGGATGGGATTGATTCTTGAACTAGCATCAAATACAAGTATTTAACAGATTAGTAGTTCTGTATATGGTTGTCTGTTCAATATAAAAACAGATAAATTACCAAACTTTAAAAGAATTTAAAAAAAGAGGGATCACTAGCTGTAAAGACAGGATATTAGTTTTTTGCTTTCTTGCTTTTGTTTATTTATATAGTTGTTTCCACTAACCAAGAAATCAAAATTTACAAAGAAAAAGGTATTCTCAAAGAAACCGACTGTTATTAAATATGAAAATTTAGAAAGGTAATTCAAACTAACGGATAAGAATGTCTTCATAGCCTTTAAGTTGGCTGTTTAATCTTTCTGGTACCAAAGATGAGCAAAAGAAAGAAAGAAAATTTTTTTCGCTCCTCACGGCGAAACACAATAGCAACTTTTTTCTTTAGTAAAGCAGTATAATAAATTGAATAAATTTACCATGCATGGCGAAGGGATGGGTTTAGTACTTGATTCTTAGACAACCTTTAGTCCTCCTGTCTTCGATCTTTTAATTTATTGAGATTACGCTATCATTCAAGAACCTACACAGCGTCGTGGGAACAACAATGCCCTGTGATTATTTAAGTTCTTTCTCTCTCATTTTGTGTACAGTTTTTTTTTTTTCAGTGGCTGGGTTTCATACTCTTAATGCATATTATTTCCCTCTGTAAAAGTATTGTAGGAGTAAGTAGATCCTTTGATAATTTATGTTCATTCTTAAATTACCCATTCATGTATTGTTTTATTTTAACAAACTGTGAACTTCAGGATTATGGGTGAGGGTTTCTGTAAATAGATAAAAATAGTACAAAAAAAGGTAATGGGAACTACAATAATAATAATAATAATAATAATAATAGTAGTAGTGGTTTAAAATTATTGTGCTAAACCAATCATTTCATATTTTGTTTTTGTCTTTCATTCCTTTGACAAATAAATTCCGCAAATTATTTTTTGTAATAGTATGATGTAATTCTTGATGGATTAATTGTATTAGGAAAAAACATCTGAACTTTCAGTCATCAACAAAGGGTATAATGATGTCTCGTACCTTAGCCCTCAGGAACCTGGTCTCGAAAAAATAGCTTGTATTTTATTGATAGCGATATTTTTTTAAGGAGCAAACATAAGCAACAATAAACTATGTTTTCCGATTGCTTATTGGATTACAATAGTAGTTATCCGTGGTAGGTGGATATATATCTTCGTAAGAAAAGTTAGAGCTATTAGGATCGACAGCAGAGGAAGAACTACAAGGTGGAGCACTTTCAGTTTGATATGAATGTCTTAACAATTGATCTCTAATTAACGACTCATTTCGGAGTTCTAATTCAGCTTTCATACTTCTATGACATTTACCTAATTCTTGTCTAAATACTTGTAACAGTCTAGCTTGCTCAGCTCTTGTTGTTATCATGTGAACTAGATACGATTCTTGGTCGGCGGTTATCTGGCTAGCTATCATTGGGGGTTATTAAAAAAGGTACCACTTGTTTCTGCCCTTTTGTTACAAAATGAATAAAAGTCTCTTTAAAAGCTACACTCTTAATTCTCAATAATGAGAAGAATAACTCTTAAAGAATGGTCGCAATTAAAGGAGCTAAATATAGTCATTCTAAAAATATTTATCTCTTATTAACCCCATTTTTAAGTTACCGAGAAAGGCTCATCGCGTGGCTATCAAAAGCTCAACAAACCCAAACCCAAACCCAAATATTAGAATAGCATACCTGTTTATTTGATGATTATATTTTTAAAATAGTATATAGAAATGTGCCACTAAAGCAAATAGCCAACGTATGGCTCCCTTCAAAGGTAACCTGAGATTACAGGAACTACTTTTCTTTATTTCTTTACCCTTAGGTTCGCTGTCAGTAACTCCAGAATATAACGGGTTGACAATTTTGACACTATTCGAATTGTCCCTAAGAGCCCCATCTGTACCATAAACCTTGTATTTTGATTCAAAATCTTTATTTTCTAGTTCACAATAGCCACCTGAAGCTTCCACACCTTTTTCAATTAAAGATTTAGCCAAATTTTTAGGTAAATCTGTGTTTGTCCCTAAATTAGAATATTTATCTTTACAAACTGGTGGAGTAATTGAATCTTCTTGGAAATTTTGTGCCTTCAGTGAATCCTCAATGGCTTTATATCTTTTCTTTAATATTTCAAAATCTTGTAGAATTTTTGCATGACCATTGGAATCAATCTTGATTAATCCATAATTGTTTGATTCCTGAGTAAACTCATAGACAAGACCACCACTGAACACTTGAGCCATTATTGGTGTATATAGAACTTCAGCTTCAAGAAATTGTCTTGGTAGTACTTTATTGCAACCATATTCAGAAAAGAATACTGGTTTAGAATAATTTTGATATGCTTTAATTAATTCATCATAGCCAGAGGTCTCCAAAGTTTGTTGGCCACACCATTGGTATGAATTAACACCATAAAAATCCACACTTTTTATTGTTTTATCCTGTGGTAATTCACATTCTAAATACTTGGATAGAGAGACTCTATAACGAAGATCATCTGCGGCTGAATAACCAACAGGGATATATCTCTCACAATTTTTTGAAATATAATTCTTAATATCGGTAACCAATTGTTTAACATATACTGGAGAAACTTCTGAACTTTTCTTATCATTGATAATTTCATTTCCTGCGAAGAATCCTAAAGTATTATTATATTGTGAAAATTCTTGAACCACTTTAAATACATGTTCTAAATAAATTGGGTTATAGGTTGTCCACGGTTCATATCGATTGATGTGTTGATTCGGCAAAGGTGAATTTACATCCAACATTAAATATATTCCTGCCATCGCTAACATTGTCATACATTTAGAGTGATCCAAATCTGGATTGATTGAATATATTCTAATTGTATTTATTCCTAATTCCTGGAATAACATGATATCACGAGCACATACTTGTGGATTCGAGAGCGGATCGCTTGAACCAATAAAACCAGATGATCCTTCCGGTTGGTAATCAACACCTTTTATGAAGAAAGGTTCTTCTGTCTCAGAATCATAAAAATGGGTTCCCATAATCTTAATTGGATGAACAAACGCAGTTGCAAATTTTAATATATTAAACAATAACAGACATTGTAATAAAAACATTTTCCTTCCTGGTGATGTACTATTTCGTGTCAGAATGTTGGAGGTGTATAGAAGTAGTGGTCATTCCTCCGTTGCTGTTTTTAAATAATCCTTTTTCAAATATTTTTTTATGTCTCATTCTATTATTATTATTATTATTTTGTGTCGTTGTTCCCATAGAGCCAAATTAAAAATATAAAAAAATGAAAAGTAAACAAAGATATGTCATCGATTCTGAAGTATTAAAAATCGGCAATTCGAATATCCACATTTCGTTGTATATATATATATATATATATATATATATGTATGTATATACATCTAATTTAATTTTATTTTAGTATTTATTTCCCAGTTACGTATTCTTATGATTATAGAGCAAAATAATGGTTATCATCGAATGTTGGATAAATAGTACCTTGATCTGTCAATGTAGTACAAGATTGTCTAGCAATGGCCTCGTCTATATTTAAAGTTTGGGCGATTAATTGGATAGGTACGGCAAATTGATTTGCATCTTTACCTACACATTGTTCCTTAATAAAGTTAAGAACATTTTCTCTGACATCGCCTCCATTATTATTCGATCCTGAATTTTCCGTGACAAACAACGATTGTCCACTTGTTGCACTACCGTTACCTCCGACACTTTGAGAATCGCCTGTGGTGGATGGATCAGGAACTTTACCTGTAGCTACCGCATGCCATTTAATAGCATCCAAATGATGGGATAACACATCATTAAAGGATTCTATATTCTTAATAACAGCATATTGAATATTTTTCTTACCACCAAATTCTTTCAAAGCACCATATACTTTCACATAGGTACCAATTTGATACTGTTGGGCGATTTGTGAACTTTCTGTTTGTTCACTATCCTCCTGACTAGTAGTCATATCGTTTGCATCATCACTCCATTTTCTTACTTCAATTTGTCCAGTACCATCCTCAATGGTGACAAAAATATTAGATGTATGATCAGTGATGTTTCTTATAACACCAACAAAACTGACATGATGTAATTCCTGACCATGAGACACAAACGGGCCGTCCTGGATTTCTTGAGTAGAGTTTAAAATTTGTTTTATGGTCACTGGTGTAAGCGTAGTAGAACGGTTCCCTGAACCTGAATCAGTTGTGGTAGGTCTAGATTCTGTACTTTCGAAACCACCTCCTGTAACGGAAGAATATTCTGTGTATGGTTGATATGCTATTAAAATAAAACATAATGTTAGTAAAAACTAAGATAGTTTATAAGAGTCGTGTAAATACTTCGAAACTCTCAACGCCACCCAAAAAATTACGAACTGCTGTGCAAGGAGTTCCAGATCATTTACACTCTCATCTCAAATGATAAAAAAAAAGAAAAACATACTGGCCATTGTCCTCTTATTAAAATAAAAAATCTAGTCGTTTCTCGTTGATTAAATCTCGTTAAGTACTCTATTAGTCTTTACAATTCCAAAAGTTGTTGTTAACTTTCAACTTAATTTTATCATCTACTTCTTTATTTGTATATTTCTTCTCTTTGAATGGAAAACGCGTCAACTGACCACTTTGAAAAATTTCGTGTTTTCTACCACGTGACCTAAAATTACTCAAAAATTTCTGAAAAATTTTCGAAATGAACTTTTGATGCTCATCGCTGGAAATTGCCACACTGACAGAGGGAGACTTGGTTGAGTGGTAAGGCTGTTTATAAATGTGACGAACCTTGGAGATGCAAAAGGTAGTATTGAGGCCACATTTAGTTAACCATTAACTTTGAGCTAAATAATTCGCAGCATTAATCATGGAATTACTATTACATGCACACGTTTTAGTATCATCTAATTCCGATGTCTTAAAGGATGTCGAATCCTCCAATGCCCAATATGCAACTCATTTGTTGAATGGTAACAGTGAGCTGGTTATACAGAGTATATTAAACCAATTGAACCAACGTATCGATTTGTCTAATGTCTCCAATGCAGATGAGATGGTCTCTCTAACTAGAAGTTTCCTGATGGAATATTTCAAAGAAAACACTACATTATCACTATATTTTGCAATTGCTTTGCTTCAATGTTTTATTCAGAATAATTACACTGGTCCATTTATAGATGTAGATATATTTAGATTATTATACTCAACACAACAAGAAGAGATTTCAATTTATCAAAAATATTTAATACAATCATTGACTATCCTAGGTCAACCAGCATATGAATTATTGTCAAATCCAGAATGTTTAGTCCTAGCTTTACTTTTATTGGAAATTTTGACAGATTCACAAACTCTTTTCAATGATCAGAACAATACTGATGACTTGATCCTTCCAGAGATTGTCCCAGGCTGTGATGGTTTGTTAGCAATTGCAAACTGGTGGAGAGCAAGAGCATTATTGGCTCATTTATCTGTCATACCTGAACCAACGGGTAATCAACCATCTGTAGCAGCGGCAATAATGTCTACAATTGATATTGCTCATTCCATTGTTAATGCATTACCTGTCGAGGTTGGAGAAGACTTCAAGAAGAAAATATATACAATTTATTATTTAGAGAACATTAAGACATCTCTGGCAATTAATACTGAACATCTATGCTTGCCATCACTGACAAAAGTTAAAAAATTAACAAATTTTGAATTTGTTCTGACTGGTGCTCGTGCAAAGAGAACTAAATTCCAAGAGACAGGTCATTCGGGTTTGATTATCTTAGCACACTCATCGACACAAGATGAAAGTATTGATGATAGTGACCCTAATAACCCTGAAAACTTTACATTAGAGTCTGATCTATTATTAGAAAAACCAATATTTGATTCGATTGGTTCTGAACCATTAGATGAACAAATTATTAAACGCCAAAAGATCGACCCTGAATCAGAAGAAAATAATGGAATTGATGAAGATAGAATTCTTCCAATGGCTATCCGTCAAGAATATATACCGAAATCTTTACAAGATTTGAACCCTAATGAACAGCCAACTTTAAGCAATTTAGACGTTATCCAATTATTACTTCGTGTATATGTAATTCGTCAAACTTCTCCAGCTAGAGACCCACTGGTAGAGGAAGAATTATCTGCTATCGTCTCAAGAATCATATATCAAAAGGGACAAGCTAATTGGACACTATTCTCAAGATCACTTTGGGAGAGATCTATTCTTGAAACCAACAAAGCAAAGACCGTCGAAAGAGGTCTTCTTCAAATGCAATCTCTTGTAGAGGAACTAGGACTGATGATCCAAACAAGAATGATTCCACAGAGCCAAGACGAGGTCAACAACTGTAGCGCACCAAGATTAAAATACATTTATCAGTTACCATTCATGCCACGTTGGGAACTAGATGCAAGATTAGCTGAGAAATATATGTCCTTGGGTGTTTTAAGATCTGCCGTTGAAATTTATGATAGATTACATATGTGGTGTGAAGCTGCATTATGTTATGCTGCTGTAGGTGATGAAAAGCAAGCAGAAGAAATTTTGACAAAGAGACTGACAGATGCTCCTGATGATGCTCGTGCTTACTCAATTTTGGGTGATATTAGACAGGATCCTTCCTTGTGGGAGAAAAGTTGGTCCATTGGTAAATACGTTAATGCAAAGAACTCGTTGGCTAGATATTATTATCGTCCACCTAAGGAATCGGGTGTTGCTCAGGATTTTGATGTCGTATTGGGACATCTAAATGATTCATTAAGACAATACCCATTAAGTTTCGATACGTGGTACTTCTATGGTTGTGTTGCTTTGGAGTGTGGAAAATTAAACGTAGCATCAGAGGCGTTTTCAAGATGTGTTTCATTGGATGATACACACTCCATGGCATGGTCCAACTTGAGTGCATCATACATACAACAAGATAAATTGAAAGAAGCATACAGTTGTTTGAAGAGAGCTGTTGGATTCGATTCTCAAAAGAATTGGCGTATATGGGAGAATTTCATGATTGTATCATTCCGTTTAAATGAATGGAATGATGTATTGACAGCTTGTAAACAACTAGTGAGTATTAAGAGAGATAAACAAGGTGAAGGATCTGTTGATATGCCAGTCGTTGAGAAATTAGCTGAATTACTTATCAGTACAGATTATTCAGAAGATAAACAAGATTATTTCCAAAGAAATTCTATTGAATTCATTTGCGTCACATTACCATCTTTGATCACCACCAATGATAGACTATGGAAGATTGTCGCAAAAGTAGAGCTTTGGAGAAAGAGACCATGGGCTTCCCTTGATTGTCATGAAAAGGCTTATAGAGTAACATTACATAATCCAGCTGTGGATACAGAAGAGATCGCCTGGAATAACACTATAGATGCATGTGAAGACTTAGTAGCAGCATATGAATCTCTTGGTGAACGTGAAGGTAAATATGGTGCAGGAAGTGTTGTGTGTAAAGATTGGAAGTATAAAGCTCGTTCTACCATTAAGGCATTGATAAGTAAAGGTAAAGGTAGATGGGATGGTACAGATGGTTGGGAGAGATTAATGGAAATTAGATCTCAATTATAAAAGAACAAAGAAAATTAAAGAATCACTAATCTCTGTTTTGTTTTGTCTTTGTTATAAAAAGGATATCAATATATTGAAATGTATATATATATACATATACTTTTTCTATATAATAAATTGGACATGCAGAATAAATTATTATTAACTGGGGAGGGAGGAAATGATCTTACTCGTATTAGGTACAGAAAATCTACCTCCCGCACCTGGCGAGTTGCCATTTCTGGTTATCCAGTGGACAAGCATCTCTGGTCTTGATCCACTTGTTAATGCAATGTAAATGGAACGCATGATTACATACACCCCATGCGGCAACACATTCGTTGTCCGTATCAGTCATTGCTTTAGGCTGGCATTCAATACAAGGCTCCATTATATGATTTCTGCAAATAGCACAATTATCCACAGCAATATCCCAGGACCAGAATGCTACAGCTGTCCATTTTTTAATTTCAAATCTCTTCTTATTTGTAACGGTTCCCTCTTGGTCAACCTCCATATTATCCACACTATTACTCATGTTTATAACGCCGATTCACAAAGTTTCTGTGTATTACCTCTTTGTATATATATAGCTATCTATCGAAAACAAACGTACACTCACTACTTGTCTACCAGTTAGCTGCAACTATGTCTTATTGGGGGTTTCCTCTTCCCTTGGATTTGAAAATGATTTCTAATAAATGATTATTACAAATCCCATCAAGTAGAAGAATTCCTTTAAAGGTCATTTTCTGCGGTAAAAGGTGTAAAACATCGCGTCGCACGGCACACGCCATACTGAAAAGAAAACGAACAATTTATATTTCATTGAAACTAAAATAACTACAACATTCATCATATCGAAAAGGATGGAAGATAGAGAAGAGATTAACCTTTTCTGTTATCAATTCATTATCTGTTCTGTTGTTCTAAGCAAATACATTGCAACTACCTGTACAAAATAGAATAAAAAATGTCCCGTGTTGAAAGTAACGATATTAGCTCGTTATATCCACCACCTCCACCTTACATGAAGTTCTTCACTAATGAGAATTTAGAGAAACTGGCTGGATATAAACAAGAGAATGAATCAAAGGAAACTAAAAAACCATCCGAAGAAATAGACGGTACTGCTGAGGAAACTATTTCTAGCGAATTGGATTTTTTGACCCCACCACCAATGCCATCTACTCATCAGTATAGAGCATTTGGTAGTGTATGGCAAGTGAAAGATGAATTACCTGACTTAGAAACCCTAGGTATAACGCGTCTTTATAAAAAATCTGATACCGATACCAATGGCGATGTTCCAACAAGTTACCAATATAAGACACAGGAGTTACGGAAGCTATTGAAATCACTTTTATTGAATTATTTGGAATTGGTAGGTGTTTTAAGTGTAAACCCAGAATTATACGAACCAAAGATGGAAAATATTCGTACAATCTTAACTAATATCCATCACCTTTTGAACGAGTATAGACCACATCAATCTCGTGAATCCTTAATTATGTTACTAGAGGAACAATTAGAACATAAAAAGACTGAGATTCAGCAAATCCACGAAGTTTGTCGCCAAGTGCAAAAACGTCTAGACTCCATCCAACAAAGCATATAACATATTACGCTTCGGGTAGAAAGGTAAAGTAAAAAGAAACGGAGTACAGTTTGTATTGACTAATATTTCAAAACAGAGATGACTGTATAATTTCCTTTCTTCTCCCGTTCTCCTCCTTCGTCTTATTGAAATGTAAAAATATGCCATCAGCATAAATATCATTTTTTGATTGTGACACATATAAGAAAACGCTGAATAGGGTAAAAGGTAAAAGGTAATAAGATAATCTTGAAAGAGACAGATCTAATATTGAAGTTGTGTGCTACAGTCTTTTCTAGTATTATTCGTTAAAAAAATGTAGACGTAATGAGGTGTTCAACTTTCTTACCTATTTTATCAATTGACGTTTTGAGACATATGTCAAATTTTAAAAAATATATAAAGGACAGTAACATTGTTTCAAGGAAAAATAATCAAATAAGCAAAGGTAACACAAACACAATCTAGTATATCCAAATATCATAACAATAAATCAATAAACTTTCTGCATTATTCCGCTTTTTGATGACTTTTGACAATTTATCAATCGTATCCGAACCTAAATTATTCATTTCTGTGAGGGATAGATTAAATTCGTTTACAGAATCAGTATTCTCATGGCCGATTGAGTCAACTTCTCATCTTTCATCAAGCGGAAGATATCACAGCTCGTTATATCAAGATGAACTAGAGTCAACAGTGACTAGATTCACAAATCATAATTCTATGAGACTGGTCCCTAAGTATATCATCATCCTCATTGGTCTACCGGCATCTGGGAAATCTACAGTTTCAAAACATCTAGTTAAATACCTACGTGATACAAGGGCTACAACCAATATCCGCTGTAAAACCTTCAATGCTGGTGATGTGAGGAGAAAACAGAAAACTATGGAGTTAACCGATGATCCAACAAAAGATATTTTCGATCCAAAGAATAGTGATAAGAAAGAGGAATATGCACGCACTGCATTTAATGAGGCTTTAGCTGATTTAGATAATGATATTTGTGATGTTGGAATATTTGATGCTACAAATTCAACTAAACAAAGAAGAAAATATTTATTCAGTGAAATTAAAAATTTCAACCGCAAAGTAAAGTCAAAAATTTCCATATCACCTATAATTCTTCACGTAACGTGTTCGGATAAGAAATTTATCAGATACAATATTCATCAAAAGTCATCTAATGCAGATTATTTCGACAAACAATATGATCTCTCTGTGAAAGATTTTGCAAAGAGATTAAAGCAATACTATACCCAATTTTCCCCGTATACGATGGATGAATTTAACCATATATTATCACCTTCATTGCATGACAGTCATCATGGTACATTTTATTTCCACGTAGCTAATGCAGGTTTGACCTCTACTACAAACATTGTCGAATACTCAAACTTTGCTTCACTCGAAACAAGAAATTTGATCAATACATTACATCATTTTACATCAGATTATGTTGCAATGTTTGGGTCACAATATATCTCTAAAGTGAAGAATTTCTTCACATTTTCCGAAATAGTTAACTCAAACAAACTTAATATTAGAAAATCGTTTAAGCAATTCTCAAGATTGAAACTATTAAATCGTGTTATCAATGATAATTATTTTAAGAAACTCAAAAATTTTCATTTAATTAATAACATAACACAGAGGGATCAGGAACCTTTCAGGTTTCAGCTCCAATTCTACGACAACCAGGTATCTCAATAAGGAGTCCTATGACAACAATTTTTTCTCTTTCTCTTCTTTAATGTGCATCATATTGCATATTTAAAATTATATACTTTATTTAATAAAATTAGTAAATTTTACAAAAAAAAATAGAAATAGTATTTTCAAACATTCAATTAAGTCCCGGTAGTGATGAATTCAAGCCTGGTAGGCTGCCAGATGCTGGTGGTTGTTTCTTCTCGGGTGATCCCGTAATTCGTCTATTGTTGTTGTTGCTATTATTGTCATTACGGTAATTGTTATTAGGGACTCTGTTGTATGAAGATGTAGATGACGTACCAGAGTAACCACTTGGAGCTGGAGTGTTACCATCCAATGTCGGAGGTGCTGCACCAAACTCAGACTTCTCTCTTACTGCGTTGATATTATTATTAATGCCAAAATACCATCCGTTAATCTTTTGATCGTTATAAGAAGGATCGTCAAATGCATTTGGATCATGTGGTCTCGCTCTTGTCCAGAATCTGATAGTTCTGTCCTTTGAAGCACTTGCCAAAATATTACCCATAGGATTGTATGCCATAGACGTAATACATTTATCATGTGCGAAGGGAATGGTATGAATTGGTTCTTCTGTATCCTGTAACAAATCAAAATGCTTGATAGAACCGTCATAGCTACCTACTGTGACCATGGACTCATTTATAGGGGACCATAAAAGATCCATATAATCAATCTCATCTCTTACAACCATTAATTCTTTCAAGCCATACCTTATATCAAAAATACGCAATGATTTATCCTTTGATATTGCACCTAATAAATTACCTTTCGTTGGTTGAAATCTTGTCCTTAAGACAGTGTGTTTGAAATTAAGTATCGTGGATATACAGTTACCAGCTCTAGGATCCCATAATTTAACTAGATTATCCTTGGATGCTGAAGCGATTAGGCCCATTGTTGGATGCCAATCACAACTCTTGACGTCCCAGTGGTGGCCCGACAACACTCTTTCCTCTTTACCATTACTAAAATTCCATATTTTTAAAATGTTGTCATCCGAACAACTAACAAATTTTGAATCATTATTACTGAATGCAATATCTCTTATACTCTCAGTATGTGCAGAATCCAGTTCTTTGACCATATTGAAGTTAGGTTGCCATATCTTAATAATCCCATCTGCATCACCACTGACCATCCAATCCCCAGCGTGAGAGTACTTCATCGTTGTTACTGCAGAATCGTGAGCTTGCATCAAACTCTCAAAATTAAATGAAAAACCATTCCACAGTGAAAGTTCACCATTATATGTAGCTACGATCAGTCGTCTTCCTTCGGGGGTCCATTGAATAGCCGGTATTACATGTTTAACTTTATTAGAAGAAAGATGTGTAAATTTACCTATTACATTCACAGCCCTATCATTATTATTTACATACGAACTTGGAGGCATTATGTTAGCTGTGAACGATGTCTCTGGCTCGATATCTGGTAATTGAAGTCCATGTTTCTTGTAATAATAGAGTCTATTAAAGGGAGACGTAACCTCCACTGTACGTCTATGTGTAACGTACTTCTTCTGAGTGTGTGAAGTACTGTCAATTGTACTATTCTGATCCATCGTGGATATCCTGTAACGTGGTATACTTTGATGGTTTAATGCTGTTTGTATCCCTTTTCTCTTTTTGTTGTCCACTTGAAGCTTTTAAAACTATGTATAGTTATTCGTTATTATAATTTTTCAAATCTACTTTTAATTAAGAGAAAGCTTCGAGAGAGAAAAGAAGGCTAGGTAAGTGAAAACTGAGAAATAGATGAAACAGAGTGGTCATGTAGAAGGTTGTATCATTTATAATAGTAGTAGAATATGTATGTGTATGTATACTTATATGAGTGAGTGTAATGTTGAATTTATATGGTAGTGCTTTTTGTCATTGTAGTAGCTAGTCTATTAAAGGGCATCATCATGTCCCTTGATATACTTCGGATAAAGCATCCAGATAACGGAGAATATAGCTACCAAAAGCCAGCAAATTGTGGGTAGCCATTCGATTCCAATCCAGTGAGTTATTATACCTGCAGAATACGGTAAGATGGCACCACCACAGCCACCGAAAGCAACCGCAATCCCAACACCACTGATTTGCAACTTGTTTGGTAATACTTGCACTGCAACAATACTAGCCGATGGGAATAATGGACCAATAAAAAACCCACAACAGAACATTACTAGAGATAGTGTTATCAAATATGACATGGATTCACTATTAATCCAACCGACTAACACGTATAAAGTGTAGAAGAAGACAGTCATGCCACAGTAGACTCGGCATGCACGGTATTCATTAGAAAATGCTCTCTTTGTAACGAAGCCTAAGACAAGACGACCTGCAGTGAGACCGATCCAGAACGTTGATGCGATGTAGGACATCTTAATTTGGTCAGTAGATTTTGTTTCCAGGAGGTATGTATAGAACCATGCACCCGTTGTGATCTCAGCCCCTAAGTATGCAAACAGAAATAAAGCATATAATAAGATTGGTGGCATAGATAATAACGACAAGAACGATTCCTTTTGAGGTGGTTGTTCTGATGTAGTAGCGTCTGGTGTTAACTCAGGATTATCATTCTCATCTTGTTCACATATGTAATGGTATTTGGCAGCTGTCTCAAACCTAAAACTTGGTACAATAATACATGCACCAATAACAGACATAAGGAAAGGAATCACAAAATACATTGACCAGTGACCCCATTTAACGAAATGAGCCACTAAAGGAGGAGTTAACATGGCGGCACAGCCATATACAGCATGCATTATACCCATCAATTCATTCTTATGAACGAGCATGTTCCCAACCAAAACATTACAAGAGGCATCAAGAATCCCAATACCTAATCCTAGTGGGAAGCAACAGAACATAAATATGGGAAGCTTCGATGGTTTTGACATTAGAATTGAAAAGAATACAATGCATAACGCAGCAGCTACAAACATCCCACCTCTCATCCCCCAGCTGTTATGCACCCTTTCGTTCAGAAAAGAAGCACATATATAACCAGATAGTTGAATCAAAAAGATATTAGATACTTGAACCTTTGTAGCATTGTAGTATTCCATTAACGTTGGTAGTAAAGTACCGACTGACTGATCGTTAAATCCAAACACTGCAAACATGATAAAAGAAGCAAGGACTTGGTATTTAACCATGGGTACTTTTCGATAATCTAATGGATATAATTTCAAAATATTTCCCTTCCATTCGACGTCTCTGATCAGATCTCTTGATAACGGTGGATCTCGTAAGTCCCCATCTTCCATTATTTCGAAGCTTTCTTCTGGAGCTGTCGGTGGATCTACGAGAGGATCAACATCTGCAAAACTATTCCATTCATCAGTTATTTCATTGATCTCATCAGTCCCCTTAGGGTTTGCTTTGCTGTCCCTATCGGTTTCCATTTCTTATTGTAGATGTAGTTGTAGTTATGGTAAGTTAGTTCGATCTTATATATTGGACAACCAGCCTCAGAACAAATGAACTTAACACAAAAAACAGTAATCGGCTTACCAATTCTCAATTTGTATAAATAACTTCATCAGAAAGTGTTGCAAAGTTCCTCGACCCCCTCTTAGTAGTGAGGTATTATGTGGTTCTCTTAATTAGGTATGCGAGGGATGAGATGTAAAGTCTCGGTGCGTTATTTCCATCTCTCGTCATTACAAGACAATGACAGTCAAATGAAGATTAACTTTTGCCTTCAAATATGTAACCCATTTGAGAAGAATTAAGGTAATAATAGTATCTAAAAATTGCTAGAATACTTAAGAAGGTGATAATAACAATCAATGAGCAATATCAACAACCCACCTCGAAAGGATCGTTTTGTTTATTCGCCTACAGGATCCATTCCTAAAAGAGAGAAAACAATGTATATGGGTGGCTCCCTTGGGAGACCTGATTTGAAGCAAACTTCCTCAACTTGCAGAGTTAATTTACCATCGGCATCAGGGTCATCTTACAAGATATTTCATCACCATAGTCATTCAAACCAGATGTTTACCAATGATAGTTCAGGAACAGGAGCCAGGCCTTCTTTGAACCCTAGACACACTTTCAATGGAACGTACACCGGTCTGGGAGGCATTTCATCTGATGACAATTCGAGTTTAGGGCATAGAGCTAGGAGAAGTGGTAGTAGTCCGTCGCATAAGAATAAACAGTCAACCGGACTGGTTTTTAGCAGCATTGCAGATAGAGAGTTGGCTAGTATTGATAAGATCAATGATCCGCTGGCGGATTCATTGGTATGTGCAGGGAAGAGTCATGTTGGGATATACAGGTTTAATAGAGAAGATAGGTCCATAAGATTAGTTCAAGATGTAACCAAGACAGATTTATCTTATTCAAGATTACAATCGTCTTCGATGTTTGCATCTAGAAGAAACAGACAGTCGAAGTTCAGTACGATATCAGACGTCAAGAGTGGTTTCCAAAATTTTAATAATTACATTGCAGTCTGTGCAAACTCTACCTCGATTTCGATATTTGATATCAACAAACCACCGAGTGAGACTAGTAATCCCTTGATTATGTCACTTAATGAGCACAAAAGATCCGTAAATAGTTTTGATTTTAACATGGTTCAGCCTCATCTACTTATCAGTGGTGGACAAGATGGTTGTGCCAAGATATGGGATCTTAGAGCCAACAATATGAAAAATAATGGGAGATGTGAGGTGAATATTAACACAGCTTATGATTCTATAAGAGATATTAAATGGATGCCGAGTTATTCCTTCGTATCTCCGATTTCTAACGAAGGAACGCCATCATCGATGGGTAGCTCAACTAGTTCGACACCGAGGTCCAATTCAGGTTTCAAATTTTCATCTATCCATGATTCTGGGGTACTACTCAAATTTGATTTAAGACAACCGCAACAATTTGAAAAAAAAATCAATGCACATACAGGCCCTGGTTTATGTTTAAATTGGCACCCTAATTTAGATTATGTAGTCACCGGTGGTAGAGATGGTAAATGTTGCCTTTGGTATATTGGTGATAGAGATATACATGCAAATAACCAGAATAGTGTGGTCAATGGATATATCCCATCGAATCCGTCTGTATTTCCGGAAACAACAATTAATTTTGGTTCCCCAATAACTAAGTTGAAATTTTGCCCTGCTTATAATAGTGAACCACATAATTCCTTACTGGCAATATCATCAATGGGAGACGAAGCTCAAGTCGGAATATACTCATTGGCTAGGAAATATATTCCAAAATATTTACTAGAGACATCAGCAGCATCGATGGGTCTGGTATGGTGGGATTCTGAGAATATTTTCACAATTGATAAGAGAAATAGAATTAATGGGTGGGACTTAACTCATGAACCAACTGTATTAGAAAATTTACCAAAAACAGTGACCACTTGGAGAGATATAGAGGGCAACGGTCTTCTATTTGTCAACCAAGATGAAGGTACGTACGATATTACGGATCCATATTTTGTTAGAGAAAACATGCATGACCATACAGCTAACAACAGTAATGTCATGCTATCAAATGCCAGTATTAACCAACCAGAGATGGGTAATAAAAGGATACACTCTCCTCCAACTCCCAATCCAAATGAGAGGCCTTCTATGTTCAAAATGAATTCTGCATTCAATAATAAAAGTTTTGTGCCTTCCCCAATTTCATCAACCCCATTATCAACAACTTCATCTATCCATTCAGGAACTATACCCATTGGTACTCATGATAACCCTATAACATCCATAGAGTCACCCCTAGTGTTTACAGTTGATTTGCCTAAAATAATTGGTAGTATGAGAATAGAGCAGATTTCAAAATTTCAGAGTTTAAGGAACAAGAAAAAAATCGATAAGGAGAGTTTAACTAAACTACAAGAGTCCCCCATTGAGGTGTTTAAATACCTTGCAAGAGAATTAGAATTCTCTATTAAGCATGATGGATGGGCAGATCAGTTAGGTCGTAAGAATAGTGTTAGCCATCAAAGTGGGAGTGAAAGTCTACAGGAAGATAATGAGGATACAGGAAAGAATTTAATGAAGAAATTTGGTCTTGCAGAGAATGGAACATGGACCAATTTAATCAACAAGAAAAATGATCAGCAAGAAAGAAAAATCTCAGAAGCTGGATTGGGAAACATTTCAAATCCTGGGACTAAATCAACCTATCAAGATACCTCCAGTAATGATGGAAGTAGTAAGTACAGTGGTGTTCATCTCGATGGTACATCACGCACAGATTCAAACTCCATTAAACATAGTAATCAGAATAGTGATAACCACGATACAACTTCGAGTATAAATCAACCTTTGGAACCAAGGAATGAAAGAATCATGAAACTACATGAAAGAATGAGTATGTTCATAGATTTTCTTTCCGTTGCAAGTCATAATGCATCGGTTTATGCAGATATTAATGACGCATTAAATTTTAAAGTCTGGGTTCTAATTAGAGATACCATCATGTGGGATTTAAAGAAGATGGATTCATTACTGCCAAAATCTAATGATCCCCTCAGTCGAACAAAAAATCATGATACAGAGTCCGTAAATTCTGCGGTAGTGGAAGATACTGTAATTCCTTTAACGAATCTCCGTAAACAATCTATGAGTTCAGAATATAGTCGTTTTAATGAAAGTATACGCACATCATCACTAGTGGAAGAACACCCACAAATATTTAGATCACCATCTGATGACTCCGGGGTAGATCCAACCGACAGAGAGGCTATTGTGAATTTACGAAACCAATTACGTAGAACAAAAGAAGAACCTGCCCATAAATTTGCAACAGCGGAGACCTTAAGGAATATAGAAGGTGAAGTTATGAGTGCATCACCCGGGGAGCAACGAGCCCTTTCTAACGAAAGTGCTTTTGACCCGGATGATGAAGAAGAAGAAGAAAAGGATGAAGAAGTCAAACCAAAGGACGGATCACCTGAGGGTATCCCAATTCTGAACAATAGACGTCAGAGGTTGTCCTTCATTGACACATTTCTGTCGGATGCACATTCTCCTCTGGGTCATTCCGATGAAGAACATATTAGAAGTAGTAGTTTCACCAAAGGAAGAACAACTGGTGGCCCTTACTCTGAATCCTTTGATCATCATAGTGTTAGAAGTAAAGTGTCATCTCTGGATAGCATCCCTAGTACGTATCAATCGCGTGCACCATTTTTAAAGAGATTATCAGACACGAAGAAACTGGTCCCGACGATAAAAGAAACATTCTCATATGAGGATGTCCTTAAAAGTGTAGATAACCTGGATGTGTTGGCAAAGACTGGTATTAAAAATGATGGTAATGAGCAAGCTAGGAAAATTGTAACAAAACCATCTCCACCACCATGGGACACTAGAACCATATTACGTCAAGTGTACCAACAAGCTGCCGAAGGCGGGAATATCTTGTTGGCGGTAAACATTTTACTGTTGTTCCAGGATGTGTACCAACTTACGTCATTACATGTCGTAAAGAGTAGTGTTTCGGAATTTATAACATTATTACATCGATACGAACTGTTCGAGATCTCGACTGCATTACTTAAGTATTGTGGTTGGGATGATATCATGGGCCCCGAAAGTGAACAATCTGATATCCGTTTATTCTGTGACCGTTGTGGTGAATTAATAGTGAATGAACCTTCAAAGGAAAAATATACCCGCAGCTTACGTCAACACCATTCACACGACCAAAATAAAGCAGACCTTCAGTTCGGATTCTGGTACTGTGACAATTGCAAGAAACCTAATACATTATGTGTCCTATGCGAGCGTCCCATCAAGAAATTGGCCATTGGTCTACTGGAATGTGGACACGAGGGCCATTTTGATTGCTTCCGTGAATGGTTCCTCAAAGAAGGTATGACCACTTGTCCATCAGGTTGTACAGCAACGTTGAACATCTGAATTAGCGATATTCCTTGCTTTATATCAGAGTTTGCTCAAAACTCGGTATAGGTCACGTGCACACCTGCCGTTCAAAACGATACCGTTCCGCCATCACCAAAAAATCGAAAAAAAAAATTTTCAGCACCGCCGCGAAATTTTTTGGCAACAAAATTGATGAACTCAAAGGGCAAAAGTTGAATGGGCAGAGAGAGAATGATTGAGAGCTTGGAAGTGAGAGAGAGAGAGAGAGAGATTGATGCCCAGTTTGCAATTTTGCGAAGCTTGGGTATTGTGTGTGTTTGCTACTGTCTTTGACTTGTTAGATTTATATAACATCTGTGATTCGTGAAAGATAGATATAGCTTAAGAGATTTTTAGATATTCTTATTGGGAAGGTTAAAATATAAGTATAAAGTCGAAACTTGAAGATCACAAAAATGTCTGTTGAAGAAGTCTCTCAAAAGCTAGAAAACGTTACTGTTAGCGATGATGCTCCAAAGACCGTGCTATCTGACAACAAGGAATTTGAAGTCAAGCACCCATTGAACACCAAGTGGACTTTATGGTACACCAAGCCAGCTGTTGACAAGTCTGAATCTTGGTCAGACCTTTTACGTCCAGTTACTACTTTCGAAACTGTCGAAGAGTTCTGGGCTATCATTCAAAACATTCCAGAACCACATGAATTACCTCTAAAGTCTGATTACCATGTCTTTAGAAACGATATCAGACCAGAATGGGAAGATCAAGCTAACTCTAAAGGTGGTAAATGGTCCTTCCAATTGAAGGGTCGCGGTTCTGATATCGATGAATTATGGTTGAGAACTTTACTAGCTGTCATTGGTGAAACCATTGATGAAGATGATTCCCAAATTAACGGTGTTGTCTTAAGTATTAGAAAAGGTGGTAACAAATTTGCTCTATGGACTAAGTCTGAAGATAAAGAACCATTAACCAAGATTGGTGCCAAGTTTAAGACCGTTTTAAAGTTGACTGAAGATGGTCTACTAGAATTCTACCCTCATTCTGCTGCCAATGACAGACATGCTCAACCATCTATCACTTTGTAATGATAATGAAAAAGGGAGAATTTTTACAAATTAAGAAAAAATTATATTAATATTAATAATACTAAAATTACATTTACTACTACAAACTACCCATTATACGTCATAATTTAACGTATTATTTTTGGTTTTGTCTTTATTTTTACTTTTTCAATAACAATAGGAGAGAAATTTATGTTATTTTTAAATTTATGGTAAGCTCCTAATGGAATATACTTACTAATTCATTTGAATATTTTTCCTACCTCCTTATGCTTTGGAATGTATATCATTACATATATCAAATAATAATAAATAAATAAATCAACAAGAAGAAAAAAACAATAAAAAATTATTCTAATAGTTCTATATTAAAGTATGTCTATATATAAACGTTATTAATTAGGGAAATTTCTTGCTCTATAAAAATTACGCATAAACTTCAGCAACAGATTTTTCAAAGATATCTAGACCCTTTTGAATGTTTTCATGAGAGATAGTTAATGGTGGAACAAATCTGGCGGTAGTCTTACCTGCAGTGATTAACAGTAGACCATTTTCTCTACATTTTTGAATAACCTTAGCTGGTGGCTCAGAAAATTCGGCACCAATCATTAAACCTAAACCTCTAACATCCTTAATTTTCGATGGGTATTTAGCTTGAATTTTTTGAAGACGGTCCATAAAGATCTTAGATTTTTCATTAACTTGTGCAAGGAATTGTTCATTACCGATAGTATCCATGACATACTTACCAACAGCACAACCTAATGGGTTACCACCGTAAGTAGTACCATGATCACCAACTTCTAAGACATTGTTAACGTTTTCGTTAACGATAGTTGCAGCAATTGGGAAACCATTACCTAGAGCCTTTGCTGCTGTGAAAATATCTGGGTGAGCCTCCTTTGGTAGATAAGAATGAGCCCAAAGTTTACCGGAACGACCTAGACCACATTGAATTTCATCATAAATGACAACAATATCATTAGCTTTACAAACTTGATTGATACCAATCAATTTTTCAGCAGGGACTGGGAAAACACCACCTTCACCTTGAACAGGTTCAATAATTAAACCAGCAATTTGATCCTTGTTTGAATGTAAGAAACTTTGTAACTTAGTTAATTCATCATTAATGTTTAAGAAAGATACATTTGGAATCAAATCACCGAATGGAGTTCTGTATTTAGCATTCCATGTAACAGATAATGCACCCATAGTTCTACCATGGAATGAGTTTTGGAATGCAACAAGTCCTTGTTTCTTAGCACCATGTTTCTTAATACCATGTTTTTTAGCAAATTTTAAAGCAGCTTCATTAGCTTCTGTACCTGAATTACATAAAAAAACTCTAGAGGCATCAAATTGGCCTTGAAGTTGTTTTGTCTTATCAACAATTTTTTCACTTAATTCTAAACATTCAGCAGAATAATATAAATTAGAGGAATGAACCAGTTTTCTAGCTTGTTCACTTAATATATCAGCAATTTTTTCATTAGAATGACCCAATGCAGTCACAGCAATACCAGCAGTGAAATCAATAAATTGTTTACCATTAACATCATCGTAAAGTATATCATTGTGACCTCTAGTGACACATAGATCCTGTGGTCTATTATAAGTAGTCACTTGAAATTTCACATCTTCAAAGATTTCTTGACCTACTCTCTTGGTCATAGAACTTGAAAAACATCTCTTTAATATATTGTTACGTAGCATCTTGTATTATGTTATATTATTAATCCAATTAGTATTGTCCGATGAGTCTTAATACTTTATTAAGATCCCTTGATTATTTAATGGTAGTAATCTAATCAGGATTTTCAATAGTATCATCAATTGGGAAAGGGAAAACAGATCGCAGACACTTGCACTTAACAGCGACACTTCTCAAACGCTTTATATACCGCTAAAAGAAAGAAACAGCGTCTGATTGCAAATTTGTAAAACGCAAACTAGTACGCGCAAATTTATGCGCAAAAAATTTTTTTTCTGTTTTTTTCACTTCACACAAAATTTGCGTTGTGTGCGTTTGCTTTGTGTTTTTCAGTTTATCTGAAGTGTGACCGTTAAGTGAGTCACTTAGCGAGCAACTGGGTGAGGCACCCAAAAATGAATATTCAAAATAGCTCATTTTGGGTGCCGCATGTCGTTACAAGTGATGGATCTGTGATACCCAACGTACATTGTGATATTACTGGACAACCTAAGGGTCTTTGAGTGACATAAAACATTGAATATAAATAAATATATGAGTGAGAGTCACTGGGGTGAATTCGTTATTTAATAAGAAAAGTATTTATAATGTTCATGATAATATTAATGGTATATTTGGTTTACAATTAAAGTCTTGTGTAATATTTAAATAATAATAATAATAATAATTTTAATGGTACCAAATGTTTATGTGGATGAAGTATATAAGTCGTTGTTTCGTGTTCAAGTACGTCTGTTCCATGATAAAGCATTAGGATCAGCGATTTTTCTCCCTGTCATTAACCATGTACCTAGTAACACTAGAGCCATGGCAAAACAGATACATCCACCAATTAAGTATATTTCGCCTAAGAATTCATTCTTACCACCTATAGTGGAACCATGTGTTATAAATACAGCTTTTTTACCATTGTAATTATTGACAGGCCAGTGTAAACCAATGTCAATTTGATAAGTACCTGCAGGTAAAGTATCATTTTGATTACGACGGATCAATTTAGTAGATTTATCAAATGCACCTGGTCTCATCCAATTTTGAAATTCTTCCCAAGTATGTACATTTGGAACATTAGTCTCATTATATCCATCGGGATAACTTTTTTCCCAATATGGAGGTGGAGCAATTTCCGTATAGTTATATTTCGTCTTCTTGAATCTTATTCCATCGGATTTCCAATTAATTCCTTCATTTGTTAATGGATAATTCTTTGAAGAATCATCTACATTAGTCAATTCGAAAGGGAAAGTATCATTAAACATTGCATTTGCAATTAAACCACATGGATAATATAATTTACCTTCAGAGTTACGTGCCAATGGTTTACAATTTATACCTGATCTCTCGTGGACAACATCATATGATGCAGCTTCACCATTTAATTGTTCCTCACTGAAGGATAATACATAACGTCTATGATTAGCAGCAAACTTCTCTATCATGTAATTAACATACACTGTATGTGCCATATCTGTCGGAATAGTAAATCTTAGTTGACATGTACCACGTTCTTCAAAATCGTCAGTAGTATCATCGACAAATCTCCATTGTGGTGCTACATTAAATGTCTTATTCTTATGGAAAAAATATTCATAATGTGATGAATTCATATTTGTGAATGAATCAGTACCAGCCTGCGTCCTACAATCCTGGTAATACATCTTGATTTGATCCACTTTGGCAGATTCTGCAAGGAGACATCCACCAACAATCACGAACACTGCAGCTACTAGCACATATACCGGCAATACAGTTCTCGGCGTCAACACTGGATTGATAGCTGTCAGTCTTTGTTGTGTGAATTTATCTTCACGAGGTCTTCTATTGCTCACTTTCTTAGGTAGTGGCTCATATTCTTCAAACTCTGAGGCATCAACATCTTCTTCTTCTGCGGGAATTTGGTTTGCATTTGATTCTTTATTTCTGTGGAACACGTCCACTTGACCCAATTTCAAATTAACCATATTTGTTCCTGTCTCTTATTTGGTTTTCAGACTATCACCTAGTAAATCACATAAAATATCAGTTAACCCTTACCAGAAGTTTCCCCTTTTCTACTAAGATCTAATATAGAACTATCACGTAAAACCTTTCCAAATCTGTTTAATTCTTCTCGCTATTTTCTGTTTCTTTTGAAAAAAAAAATTGGAATCGGCGAGTTGCGGCAGGCATCGCGAATCATGATTTATTATGTAACGAAAGACAGCTAGATATATACAAATATACAGAAAAATAAATCAAGGAATTGGTTGGAAGTTGATCAGCATGGAGTCGTTAGAGATGGCTCCGAACCCATAACATGTGGCTGCACCTCCTAAAACTATTAGCTGTTTATCATTAAGACGTTGTAGTTCGAACCCTACAAAACAAAGTTTACCATGTTCCTCCCATATCGCTGGAGGTATAACCAACGAATTAACCTTGCGCATTTTGAGATCCACGGCGACAATCGTAGTTTCACTGCCGAACAAAATATTCTGTGAGGTGCCTCCCACTACAACAATCTTGTTTGAGTTAATATAGGAACATTTAGCACCATACCTTGATAGTAAAGGATGTGAAATAATCTTCCATAGTGTAATCTTGTTTGTTTCAAGAGTAAATGAGTATAATGTATCTGAGACGACATTAGAATCTGTATTAAGACCTCCTACAAGACATCCTAAGTTAATATCCTCATTGTAAGACATACATGCAGAAACCAAGTTTAATTGAGAGAAATCACTATCTTCAGAGATTGACACACTCTCATATGTATCATTATTACTATCGTAAATCATGAAAGGTTCACCCGTGGTGACACCTCCAAATATAAGTAATTTTCCTTGGCCTATCGATACGGTACAATGTCTAAATCTTGTCTCTGGGAGTGTTTGTCTCTGAGTCCATTTGTTCTGCTTAGAGTCGTACAACCATACATCTTTGTATGGTCTATGTGGTGCATTACGGCCACCAATTATGACAGCAGAGTTGCTTCCTGTCGCAGTGAAGGTATGGCATGTTCTCACAGGTGGTATAGGAATTGGTTTATCCAGAACAATGCATTTCATAATTCCTTCGGTCAATAATAATGTTTCATTGACTCTGTTAGGATTGCAACCACCATGGTACACCATATTACCTTCCATATTGATATAGCCAGCTCCAAATGATCTTTTTATATCCAGGCCCAATGGTTCAAATGTAACGGATAATTCTTTATCTTCATCTATAGCCTCAATTGGGGTGATTTCAAATTTATACTCAGAAGTAAATATAAAATTGGGATCATTTGTAGCGTGACATAACATATAATGATGACAAAAGAGATAAAATTCTTCAAGCTCATCAAACGGTTGAATCGCTTCAATGGTTTTCCTGGTCTCCTTTGGTATGGAATTCCACAAATGTAACATATCGCCTATATTGATATTTCTAAAACCATACTTTTCAAATCTTGTTCTTTGTGAATCGATTGTATTATATGTAGTCACAGATTGTAATGGTGAATCGTTTTTCTTGAAATGTTTCAGCATTTGTCTAGAGAATGGTTCAAAGGGTCCTTGTTCAACTAATTGTTCTAACATGACAAAATGAGCGTTTGGTAAAAGGGAAGAAACTCTGATTATCTCATCAGATAGATCTGCTTTCATATATGCAAGTGAGACCTCTGCAATGAATACCTTTACAATATTTGGATCGCCTAATTGTGGGAGATCCACTGAGTTAAGCATCAGTTTCTCGTAATCAGTGGTACAGTTTAAGTCACATGGCCTTGTATAGTATCTGTCGCAATTTACAGTGTCCGTTTCACTTATCAAGTCGGTTGATAAACCTACTATCTTTGATAATGTTGAGGTCTGCTTAATAATTTGTATTTTATTTTTCAAAAGATCAGAATAATCGATATCCAAGAAGGAAAATCTTTCAATGAAAGGTAAACTGTCTTTATTTTGTTTATCTAATAATTCAAAGGCCAATGGATCAAACCCACAACCTAAATTAATAACTAGTATCTGTTTATCTGTGGCATTACGAATGGATTCCAATTTAGATCGTATAGCGTGTAATCTTAGCCAATAACCTCGGTTGATACAAGGAGATCTATTTACTAATTTTGGTACAAAATATTTAAAATATTCACAGCTCTCATTATCATTATCAATGCTCTTATTGATTCCCAATTTCGACAAATATATTGCCTCTACAGATCTCTTTGAGGCTATCGATGAGTTATTGGTGCCTTGCACGGCCAGATCAGCATATTTCAATTTACGTTCTTTTTTCGACTGTTGTCCCTTCAATGAAGAAAGAGTAGGATTCTCTAATGGGTCCATTGTGTATTGCTGCTATCAATTCTTATAGCTCTCCTTTGTATGTGATTGGGTCCTGTATGTGAGCTCATCGATTCTTTTCTTAAACACTGAAAAAGAAATGAATTCAGTAAAAAAATTTAATTTTTTTTTGGCTTTAAAAGCACTATATAAGCGTATAATGTATCGTATTAGAATAATGTTAGGATATGTTACAAAAAGTGATGATAATGAACTACATACGTATATATAATAGGAATAGAGAGTATATGTGTATATGTGTGCAATTGATAGTTAATGCTAGTATGGTTACTGATTTGCTCCATAATATGTTTTTTCTTATTCCTCAACAGTATTCGTTACTTGTGCGAAATGATTCTTTATAATTTCTTGGAATTTCTCTTGTGATTGACCTTGACAATCAGAGATAGATCTATAACAAGCTATGGTTTCCTTGACTTCATCTGTCTTGATCCATATTTTCCCATTTACACCAATGGCAATTTCGAATTTACAATGTTGAGCTAAATTCCGAAGCAATGGGAATTCATTATTAAAAAGCAAAGAACGTGCAAATCCAAGTGTCACATCTATCACCATACCATTTTCTAATAAACCGAATCCTGCGTCTGACCCATTTGTAGAATCCACACATTCAATTTCTGCTTCAAGTTCTTTTTCTGCAGTACACACACGAGCATATACAAGATCTCCTATCACTAAAGTGGGTCTATTCTTCTTAGAGGCATTGGGAAATGCCATATACGATAATGAAACAGGTGTAGAAAAACTTGATAAAGATACTCTATAACTGTCAGCAAACGCACCTGTGATAACACCTACCACAAGATCGCCCACTGCAGGGGTATACCTCTTAGAGTCATAATCAACATAGATGGTTTGACCCTTTTTCGAATCAGATATGTTTAAAAGACCAGCATTCACGGGAATAATCCTTTGACTGACAGGGTCGTTGTACATGCCGGGACCAAGGACAACAGGTCTCTCCGGATCAACGCTTATTTCATCACCAGGTATCACAAGTGTTGACATTTAATTGTATTGTGTGTATGAGTAACAATGGTAATACTCCCCTTTCCCACTATAACTTAAGTTGTTTAAGTTTCTCTTTACCTAATAGGTTAGATGATAGCTGATGCTTCTTATGTGAGAGAGACTTTTCTGTGCTGGAAAATTTAATTTTTTTATTATTTTTTTTCCAGAATTTTGTATGAGGAAAGCCGCTTCTTGTGCCGGTTGTGAGACTCGGGGATTACAAGGCATCAGCTAATGAATATATTAGTCTTAACAAATTTTAATGGATGTGTAAGTAAAACCGGTAGTGCCACTAAAGGGACTCTCAAAGGACGGCTGTTTTAAAGTGTTCCTCAGTGTTCTTGGGGTGGATATTTAGTTAAGAAATTTTGTACTTGACGATGTATACTGACACTATCGGGTAAGGTTTTTTTTACGAGCTATTCTATCGTAACAGACATTGTTTGAAGAACTTTGGCTACCAGAATACAGTTTGTTAATTAAATATAAAAAGTTTCGTTGTTTAGTAACATAGTTAGTTTTACATTAGATGTAAAAAGAGAACTGATCATAACAAATGTTTGTTTTTAAAATAGATAGAAAGATAGGATTTTTACATCATTTTAGAAACACAATTACATAAACAGTAGAATAATTGCTTTGATTTACAGCCATGGATTATCAGTGGGTTGTAAAATAGTCTTAATTTTCTCATAAATAGAGTAATTTGTAATGGATCGTGATATCACTTTTATATTTTGTTTACTGGAGCAGTACTATTTTAACAAACGTTATTTCTTCTAAAGTTATATATTTTAAAAAAAACATAAATTTTTTCAAGACACTAAATATTGCATCCTCTAAAACACCTTTAAATTAATATATAAACAATACACACAATACACCTTCACAGCATGACAAGGAATAACAGTTCTCATATACACCCAAGTCATTATTTACTCGTACAATCCTCATTTCGTTTGACTGCAATTCGAGGCAAGAACCATCAGATCTCGATATATAAAAAAGAAAAATAAACCAAAAAACATCGACTAAATCTCTTTTGGAAACAACACTCAAAACAATCAACAATGAACGCGTCAATAGATAAATTTATTAAATTCACAAATATTACTGATGTCAGGGAGAAACTACTTCGTTGGACTCAATTCCTAATTGTCCTTCTCATTGCGTGGTTCCCACGGATAAAGGTACTACCACAACTCAAATTACAAATATTGATTATAAGGAAAGTATTAAGATGTTTTAAACCTTTACATCATGCAAACGTTGCTCAAAAAAATTATAAAACGAATAGTAATGCATTACTCATATTGAAAAACATTTTTTTTATGTTATATTTGGGCCTTGACCAGATAGTGTTGTTACGTATGGTTAACATGCTACCTACTAATCCCTTAACATTACAATTGGCACCTAAATTTGCGAACTTATTTTGGTTAACTGCATTAAGTATTGATATCAGAATAAACTTGAATAACATGAAAGTTATGGATGATGATTTAATACAGAACAAATCGAAAGAAAACAGGAACCTACAAAGAATTCAAACCTCCCAGAAACAATATAACGCCCTTAGAAAAATAGTATGGGATATAATGGATTCGTATATTGTTTCTACTTACCTTAACTATATGAAACCTTATAATACTCTTGTTGGTATTTTTGGAATGACCACATCTATGCTTGCGTTACAGGATATTTGGCAGAAGTGTTAATGTAATAAAGTAATACTAACATTAAAAAAAAAGATAAGTAACAAATCATGGTTACTCGCAATGCACTCAGTACAAATAAATATCTATCTATATCTATACATATATATCATACCTTAAGGCAATTGGGTATTACCAATAAATTACGTGGTCATTCTGAATATGTAGCTTTCTGTCAAACAATATTTATGAATTTGTTAGCCATTATGATTAGGTTCATAAGGCAGCTAGGGCAATAGAAGCAGCCATCAATTGTGAAACTTCCTTGGATTTACCATCTGCCTCAGCAAGTATAGTATCAGGATTGCTCTTTAATCTACAAACTGTATGAAACTTACCTGGTCCTAAGAATCTTGTAAAGAAGGTTGGAACATCATCACCTTGTTTTGAGTAGAATGTATTCAATTTGATTTTAGCATCCTTGTCAAGAGAATTGGATGAAGTTGGTGCAGCGATCTTTTTAACAGGTGTGGCAGCAGGAGTAATAGGAGCCTTGGTAGCCACTGTAGCCTGAGAGTTTCCAACATCTGCGACCGGCTTCTTGACTTCTTTCCTTTCCAGGATCAATGCTGAAGGTCTAGAAGAAGTCCCAACTTCAAACCTTGTGCTTAAAGGTCTTGCTAAAGGTGTAGTATCATTTTCCCAAGGACGGGGCATTGATTGTTTACGTGGTGTTATATCCTTTTGTACACTTAAAACACTAGAACGTCTGATATTGATGATACTCTTTCTACGTACAGTCTCTCTTTCTTCATCACTATCATCATCAAATGATGGAGGTCCGTTTATTGTTAAATCACTCTCAACTCTTGATGCATTTTCCAGTAAGACTTCTTTGGCACGTTCTTCAAGTTTCAAGGTATAGTTATCCTTTTCACGTAGGCCCTTGATACCCATCATTCTCCTAGCTCTTTGACCGTCTCCTGATACAGATGATTGCCTGCTGCCCTGCCTACTATTGTTAGCACTGCCGTTATTACTATTACTGTTTTTATTACCTCTGGAACCTTGTGGATCTTTAGCTGGATCCAATGAACCTGGAACACGTCTTTGTTGGACATTTTGTTGTTTGTTTGATTTACCATTTGCTGTTACAGGAGGCTTGATAGAGTTTCTACGTTGTTGAACAATTTCAGAGACGGGTGGTTTGATGGAATTTCTTCGTTGTTGAACGATTTCTGAAACTTGTTCCGTTTTCTTTAATGGTGGAGGTAAATCTGGCATCTTTAGTGGTAATGGTGGTAAACCATTAGTATTAGTTGGATCCAATTTCTTTTGTTGTTGTGATCCATTAGAAACAGAAGTTGTTGGTTTATTATTTGGAATATTCTTATGTATGGAATATTGATCTAGGATCTTTCTAGCTAACGCATCTCTAGAGGCATTTTGTTCAGCGTTGCTAACTGATTCTCCAGAACCGGTACCCAATAAGATATCTTTCAATTTAATTTCTATGGTAATTTTTTTATTCTTGCCATTAGAATTAGTTCGATTAAAAGTTGGATTAACTTTTAATTTATTTCCTTCTAAAAGTTTCATAACTTGATACTTCGGATTCTTACGATACAAACCATTAATCATTTCCGTACTATATAGTTTTGCATTTTCTTGAATTAATGATTGTATATACATTTTAATTTCTTCTAAATGGAAACCATATGCTCTATCAACAATTAATGCACCAATATAAGCGTTAAAGGATGTAAATTTAGGATCAACACTAGTACCATTAGATAAGAAATTGTCGAAGCAATCACTCTCTAAGAGCCTGTTACATAACGAATCTAATGCTGGGGCATCTGCAAATGGGAATCGTTCATATAGGACTAATGAAATTAAAGAAACTAACCAGTTTTTCCCCAGCGCACTCAATTTAGTATCATCAGTGACTACAGAGGAATCAGTTTCCAGGTTAAACAGGATAGGTCTTCCAGAAGTATATTCTTCCAAATCCGTTTGATTGGGGTCAAAGCTATAATATTCAATCACTTTAGCAATATCCATTGTGGATTGGGCATTTTTCAAATATGTAGCAATAGAAGTAGCAGGAGAAGCAATGATCCCTTGTAACATATCATCACTAGAAGGTGCTTCTTGCATAGTAGTTAGATCTGCGTTGGAGAGGCCATCAGTATAGATGGCATTCATGGCATCACGCAATTGGATGCAAGCATTATGCACACGGTAGAATCTTCTCAGAGAGTCGTAGTCAGGCATTACGATATTCGACAACAGTATTTATGGGTTACAGTCAGGGAAAACAGTACCAAAACTGAATAAATGTTATATACAAGTGAATACATACAACTTCTGTCCAATAAACCAGTTTAAAAATCGAATTATTGGCTCGACAATTGCCAAGAGCTACTTCAAAGTCTTTCTCTCTTCAATTTTTGATGAAGTGAAATTTTCTACGCGAAAAAGCGATGCCCGTTTTGTTTTGGTGAGTTGGAACGATGAGGTGATAAGGAACCAAGTTAACGATTTTATGCTGATTGAATGAAACACAGGTATACTGATAGGGTGTTAAGAAAGATTTCCTTTAAATGCATGAGATATGGGTTTTTGCTTCTGGTGGGGGGGGTCAACTGTTGTTACGGTTCCCCGGTGATCCAGCTGAGAATGTGCGTGTGTGGTATACATGGGCAATGATACTGCTAAATATATTCAGTTCACATACATAGATGAAATTTTTTTTAGCTACTCAATGGAACCTACAGATGTGATTTATTGCGTTCTAATTTACTATATAAGACGATTTATTTTAATCTAACTTGTTCTTGAACATAGCGTTTTGTGTACCACTCACTGTGATCTTGTTAGATACCTGAGAAAGACCAACCTCGAAATAACAAACTTAATTGCGGTATATGCAACAAATCAAAGAAATGGTAAGTAGTCGAACGTGACAGCAGTTTTTGGATTGTTAATAGAAATAGCAAAAAACAAAAGGGTGACACAACGCTGTGATGTTCCACCATGCAATGTGAATAATTTTTTTTTCTTCCGATTTTTTATGGCGTGACAATTTCAATGATCTGCGGACACCAAAATATCGAAATCTCTATTCTTGAAGCCATCGAACAACAATCGTAAAGAGATGGGAAGGTTTACCTTTAAGGTTACAACTGGATAGAAGTTCGGTATTATACAACCTAGCGTCTCATCATACTAACCAGGTTTTGACATCTATTAGCTAGTTCTGTTGCCACCCTTCTGAACTTTTCTGAAAGCTCATTTTTTTTTTCACAAAGTATTCTATTTTTAGTTCCTAATTCCTTATAAGGCATACCAAGGGCATTCTCGAAATAAAATGACTGTTGAACCAATAAAACTACTATTATGGTGGTGCTTATTATTTGTACCATTTACCATCGCATTTTCTTTCTTAGAGGGTAAAGTTCTTGAAGGTAAAAATTATGGAATTAAGGAATTTCCATCAATGTTGGTTGGTCTTAATGATTTTAAAGATTACTATGTTAATGTCTCGGTAGGAACCCCGGGTCAAATTCAACAATTAATATTAAATACCGCAAGTCCCTATAGTTGGGTGCTCTCTGGTTCAAAGAATACTCAATGTCATAACCATTCATTATGTAATTCAGGTTCTTTTTATTTACAAGAACGATCTTCTACGGCTACAAATTATAATTCTGATCATTCTTACACATTAGGGTTTATAGACGGTATTGCAATAAATGGTACTGCTACAAATGATGCCATTGTTTTCCCAAATATATCCGTAGTAAGCAGTGGAACAGATTCAACCACTAAAAATTCAAATAGAATCTATGAGAAGACGTTATTTAACTCAACTGAAAATATTATATATACAAGTGATAAATTAGCTTTATCAAACCTATCATTTATTAATGTGAACCAAACGAAAAATTTACAATCCGGTGTCCTGGGTCTTGGTGGACGAATAACTTTCCCAAATTCTCCTATAGACCAATGTAATTTCGATTCTTCTTTTTATTTTATCAATGATATGGTCGCTGCAAATATAATCGAATCAGCAAGTTATTCTTTATGGCTAAATAGTGGTCGTGCCACAGAGGAAGATACCAACGGAGGGGATGGTGTATCGCCGTTATCTGCTTCCCCATTACCAAGTTCGTTAACTGATGGGTTTGGAAGACTTCTATTTGGTGCTGTGGATCCATCATTATATACAGGTCAAATGTATCAATTTAATATGATCCCCTTTATGGACCCTAAGACAGGTGTTGCAAGTACAGGTTACCCGATTGTACCTATGGGCCCAATATATATGGTGTCTAAAGGGGGAGACCGTTTAAATATGACCTCCGAACAACATTTTGAGCCTGTATTGTTAGATTCCAGTTTTATTGGTAATTACTTACCTGCAAGTACGATTATTCAGATTGCAATTCAAATTGGTGCTACTTATGTAGAATCCTTAGATAGATGGCTTGTACCATGTTATGTACAATCGTACGGTGCAAAGATTGAATTTACATTTGATAACTTAAAGATTCAAGTACCATTAGGTGATCTATTATCGAACTCTACAATGCATTACCCCGATAAACAAGCGGCATGTTTTTTAAGATTATACGCTAACAGTTACATTGGGTTTAATATCCTTGGACAATCATTTTTAAGAAGTACTTACTTGGCGGTAGATTTGGACGGTAATACTGTCGGTTTGGCGCAGGCTTTCTCAAATAAACTACAACTCAAACCACAACCACAAGTTGGTCAGCAACAACAAGCTGTTAGTTCTTCTGTCTCCGCTTCGTCAACACCAATATTAGCTGCAATAAAATCCGGCTATATCCCATATGCGTATCACAAGATCTATAACTCAACGAGTTTAGCATTATATCCGTCCAGTGTTTCAATGTTCATGTCAAACATACCTGGTCAATATTCCGCTTCCGTTTTCTCAAATGGTATTATTACACGACCTATGCGATCTTTTTACGATACCTCCAGATCGACAACTACCAAGAGTTCGACTATATTTTCTAGTTCCTTATCACTAGCATTGCCAAGCGGTAATATCACTACTACGATGTATGCTGCGGGTTTACGTCAAAATCAAGTTCCCACCGTTTATCAGGGAACGAACCAACAACTATACATTCTTTTGGGAATATTGGTTGCATTTATTGCATTCAATACAGTACTATAATGGATCATTTTGTGATGTCCATAAGTAATGAATAGTTCAATCCATTCACTAAATTCATGTGATTCATATTGATTGTCACGTGCCCGGAAAACTCCCTTCCGAGATTACAACAAAAAAAAAAAACTCCGTGGAAATTTATTTTTATTGAATTTGCGCTGTATTAAATAATCCAAAGAAATAACCGCACAAAATGTGACATCAATAGGGCAATAAAATTGTGAACTTCGTAGGTCTCGAGAGGGGTTTTTTCACAGTTTTTTCTTCCTTTTAGTGACACAGAGAGGTGACACTGTTAATTTATTTTTATTTTTGTATTTTTTTTGGAAAACTCCAGTTCTTGTTATGCGTCCAATTGACAGCTGACAGACCAAGAAGTGCTTAATACGGCAGCTCTGAATGTTAATTTATGCAGCTATTCTTGCCCTAATCCGTTTCCAGATATTGTACATTGCAATCTCTTAGACAATATCCTGATTTCTAGTTTACACTAAATGGCATAAACACATACAGGAACCTGCAACTTTTGTCTCCTTTGTTGATGAACCGCTCCTGATACCACCAACTTTTACTTTAGCCGAGTCTTCTTCAGAATAGTTTTAACTTTCTATATGCTCTCTGTCCTTGCAATTTTTTGAGTAATTATTGCGAATTTTCTTGGCTCTTTGTCTCTTCAATTTTAGAAGACTACATTTTGTCCTAGTCCATCAGTGAGCGTACTATGATTTTCCTTTCATTGTTTATATTCTTCTTCTTTTTGGATAAAATAATCCTAATCCGGTGCTTATTTACCAGACTGGACCCAGCTTCAGATTTTGTGTTGCACCAGCTATCAATATTTTGGTAACTATTTTCCCGATTAGGTATCACCGTTTATTATGCCACATTAATTGCAATACCTATTTAGGATATTTATCCTTTTCCTCTTGTATTATAATGAGAAACGATATATAGAGATCTGAAACATCCAAGCAACCTAACCGTTAATAGCGTCCAGTTAAAGTTTATCTATTGATTAATAATGGAGTTTGTTGGAAATAGGAGAAAGAACTATCGATTTTCCTATGCATTCTTCACATATATATATATATACAGACAAGTAACCAGTTACTTTGATTTGTTATACTATATATATATTTTTTTCCAATTATTACCAATCAGAAGTTAAGAAGTGGCAATCACAAACAATGATGTTATTTAGTTTGCAAGTCGTAATAAGTATTCTTTCATTTTTTAAATTTGTACTGGGTGGTGGTGTCGACCTTAGCCCAGATTCTACCCATTCATGTAGAGTCCCAGAAGGTTCTACTTTCATTGATGGCTTTCGTGCAAGATTTTATCCATACTTACACCCCCAATATACATACGAATACGATAACCATGACTACTTATTGAACTTATATTCTACTTTAAATCAACCATTAACTACAATTTACGGTATTAATGACGTTAACTATGTTTATACTGGTCCTAACGCCTACAACGGTCCACAATGGGGATTACTTCATGGCTTTAACGTGACATTGACAAATTTCACCATTGAATATGTCGGTTATTTTATTCCTCAAAAGACCGGTAGCTATACATTTTCCTTTGACAATACCGATGACTCTGCTTTATTATTTTTTGCTAATCCATCTGCATTCAGATGTTGTAACGCTGATGCTGATATAACCATCGACCAAGAAGATGTTTCAATCGATGCCATTGATCAATGGGCAACTGGTGCTCCATCAACGGTTACTCACGTGCTGGAAGAAGGGATTGCCTACCCAATGAGAATTGTATACTATAACCAAGGTGGTATTGGTAAATTGCATATGACTTGGAAGGATCCAGATGGTGTCACACATGAGACCTTTGACGATTATGTCACATTCTTCACCGATTTGGAAACTGAATGTGCCCACGAAATTGTCACCCAAACTACTTCTTTTGAACCGGGTACAGCAACTGAGACAACAACCTACACAACTCTGGTCTCGACCTTTACGGGTGAAGATGATGTTGTCACTACTGAAACAATCTATGTTGTCCAAACCCCTGACACTAGAACCCATACAGCTACAGCTACAACTATCTATACTGAGGGAACTGATTCCATAACCGCTACTTATTCTACAGGTACTGGTATCTATACTGGAACGGATGGTATTGTTACCACCGAGACTACCTACTACGTTGAGAAACCAGGTCCAGAGACAACTATAACTACAGCACTTACTAAGACTATTTACAGTAGTGATGCTATACCAACAACTGAGACGGAGGTTGTTACATACACAACTACAGATGATGATGGAGACGAGGAAATAGTTATCGAAACTGATATCCAAGAAATTATGGTTCCAACTATCGGTATCACATTTGATTTGCTGAAAACTACAACCCAATACCTAAGCATTTATACCCCAACGATTGCCACACATGTAACAACGTACACCTCCACTGACGATGAAGGTGATGAGGAAGAAGTTGTTGAAACAGATGTTGAGGTTGAATTACCAAGTGTGGATAAAACAACTACAATTGTGAAGACTACAACCGAGTTTGGTAGTGTTACGGTTCCAACCACAGTTACACATGTTACTACTTACTTTACTACTGATGACGAGGGAGATGAGGAAGAAGTTGTTGAAACTGACATAGAAGTTGAATTACCAAGTATAGCTGAAACTATCACAACTGCCTCCACAGTTTTAACCGAAGGTCAAGTTACAGAAACAATCACAATTGCTACAATTATCACAACCTATTACACAACAGACGCTGAAGGTGAGGAAGAAGAGGTGGTCGAAACCGATTACATTGTTGAGATTCCTGATGTCTATGAGACTTTAAAAACTGCAACCACAAAATATATTAACTACTCAGGTTCAGTCAGCACTACCTTAACACATATTACCACATGCTTTACCACAGATGCTAATGGTAACGAGGAAGAAGTTATAGAAACTGAAATAATTGTGGAAATTCCAGAACAGAGTGAGTCGGTCATCGATGCTGAGGATTCTAAACTTTTAACCACATCAGAAGAGATAGAAATCGTTTCTTCAACAACCATTTTTAGTTACTATACTGGGTCTGTTACTTCAACGTACTCGACTCAAGTAAGAACATATACAACCACCGGTACTAATGGAAAGGAAGAAATTGTTGAAACAGATTATTATGTGGAGATCCCAAAAACAGCGTCTGTGCTGGCAACAACTGAAGAAAGAGGTACATCAGTAATAGAAGAAAATACTACAGCAGCTGATGTAACAATCCAATTTTCTACCTCAACATCGTCAGTCATTCCTAAACAGTTTATTCAGCCAACTGCCTCTAGTTCAAATGATCTTTCCGAATATACGGGTTCCGGATCCTCGCCATCTTGTAATATTTTAAGCTATTGCATTGGGTTGCTAACTGCCATTTTGTATCTTATGTAAGTTAGAATAACGAATAATCATCTTTTATCTTAGCTATTTTTGGGTTCGTGTAATTTTATTTAGTTTTTAGAGCACCCTAATGGAAAGACTTTACAACATGCTAATATAATACTGAAGTAGAATATTTCCAGAAGTACGTATAACTTTTATAATTAATTACAAAGAGCCTATTGATTGTTAAGATTACCAACGTCGAACTGTAGTCAAGGTGGACTAGTCTATTTCGGTAAATAATACGCTAGGCTGAAAAACAACAACATGCTGCCCAACATACGTCACACCCAAGATATAATAAATAACATAATCTTCAAACACAACAAATGGTAGCCACTCTTTTCTATAGACTGAGTGAGCCGAGTGGAACTGTTTAGGCTCAACAGTATTATTATTATTGGGCCGTTTTGAGTTTGGAGATTCAAACTCCATCATGAGGCAACATTAGTTTCCCAATATTAAACCAAGTGTGCGTTACGTAACGTCCGAACTTCTTATAAAACTATGCGGTTTTGAGGTCCATTTGATTAGTAATTGATAATTATACAGTATTTAAGTATGGTCTTTATTAGAACATTTGCTACTTATTGATATACTTGATAACCGGATGTAAAAGAATATTTTGTTTAATATGATTTGAAATAAAGATTGTTAAAATAGTTCAATGATGGTACCGAAAATAGCTAATAGTGATACAACACCCTTGAAAACCAAATTGTTAGCGCTATTTTCGTTAACGAAAACATCGTAGGCAGAAGTGGATGGAATTCCAGTTGTAACCTGTAAGATAGCTGCAGAAGACGATGTACTCTTGACACTATTACCTGAAGCATTCTCGGAAGAACCATTAGAAGAACCGTTAGAGGAACCATTAGAAGAACCATTGGAAGAGTTGTTGGAATAGTCGTTAGAACTTTCGTTAGTACTTGTTGCAGTAGCAGATGCTTGAGTTTCCTCACATTCTTCACAAACTTGAGTGGTTGTTGTCATCGACGTCAATGTTGTAGTAGTATGATGACCATTGGCTTGGGCTTCATCACATTCCTCACATTCAGCAGTAACAGTAGCTTGGGATTGAGCTTCTTCGCATTCTTCGCATTCAATGGTGGTTGTGGCAACAGCTTCTTCACATTCTTCACAGATAACAGTAGTAGTAGCCTTTGCTTCCTCACATTCATGACATGTAACAGTGGTAGAAGTTTCAGTATGGATTGTACTAAAGTTTTTACCAGAGGCAGATCCTGTAGCAGAGGATGTGCTTGCAATTGATGATGTACCATTGATGGAAGCAGATGAACTTGGAACGGAAACAGTGTCACTGTTGGAGATTGTACCATTCCAACAATATCTTTCGAAACATTGGGCACATTCGCTTGGCCATTCTAGACCCAGTTTTTCTTGCTTACGTCTCATGACAGCACAACCCATACAACCTAAAAAGTCAGGATCGTCAGTGAAGTTGTTTCTAGTAGCAATTTCAAAACCGTTTTGAATCATACCTAAACGTTGTTCTCTAGTATAAGTTAACACCGAGGTACTAACATTAGTGTCGTAAGAGTAAGCCCTGTTAGGTAAATACACAACTAAAGGTGGAACGTAAGCTAAATCAGTCAAGTTGGAAGAATCACAACCAAAGAAGGTTGGGTTCTTGTTAATACCTAAGTTAATAATAGTTTCTGTATCTGGAACATATGGGAAAGCATCAGTTTTACCAATTTCCATAAATTGACGTTCATATGTAGCAACCAATGCAGAACCAAATGGCCACACATCATCGGTATCAGCAGTTGTGTCAGTAGCAATAACCAAATCAAGATCACGTTCCTTTCTCATTAATGGTGTGAATGGAATAACTTGACCGTCGATACCACCGTCAACTAGGTATAATTGATCATTGTCGACAATGGAGCTATCACTTTCGTAGTTTGTAGTACCCTTGAATGGATTTGGAGCTGCAATATTCACATCAATGTGACCAGAGGTAGTGACATTTGGTAAGAATTTAGTTTTGAAACTTTGAATCAATGAGGAGTAAATACCACCGGAGTTGTAAAGGGTATTAATAACGTTGGTAGAGGCAGAAGTCAGGAAGTTTACATTGTCGAAACCTGCAACACATTCACCTGCGTTAACCGGAGAACCATTGTCAACCTCAGTACCTATATACTTCATGTTAGAGAACGAGTTAATAGTTGGTTCCCATGAACCGAATTCGAAAGCTGACATTTCAATAGTAGTAGAACTCAAATCGACAGAGGTTTCACCAGACTTCTCCACCTTAGCAATTTCAATCAACATTGGCATTTCACCATTCTTGAAGGCATCGACCTCTTGGATATCTGACCATTGATAACTGTAACCACCTCTTGGTAAAGATGGGAGGAAATAGTAACCGAAAGCCAAACCCCAGGCATCAGCCAAGGAGACATCAAATCCAGCTTCATTCTTTAACTTGATGGATTCTGTAATGTTGTCGAAAACGGCAGAGGTATAAGCAGTGTCTGACCCACCTGGGTTTGTTGGTGAGTTTGAAAGATCCCAAATAGAATGATCACCATCCTTCATTTGGTCAATAATGTCTTGGACAGACGTCCAGTTATTGTAAGTAACTGTTGTGGTAAAAAACGAACCACCAGAGGAACCAGCCATATAACTGATACCCTGCAATAAACCACCTAAACCATTTTCAGTAGCACCAACAGTTCTTTCATCCATTGCTGCAACGACACCCGCATCAACAATCATTGCACGATACCCACCACCACATGAGGCAAAACCAACTCTTGGTGTAGTAGAATCGAAGATAGATTCAACAATCGAGTTGTCAGAAAATGTAGCAGTAGCACGATCCAAGAATTTCTTCAAGGCGTCCTTGGTGACAGTTTCTCTCTTTGCTAACCATTCCGTTTCTTCAGTAGCCAAACCATCAGCCTTTCTGATTAGATTTATATCACTATCACAAGAAACTTTACCTGGAGTATAACTGTTTGTTGGAGACCACGCATTGGTTGTTTTTAAGTAGGATAGCAGTGATACTGCTGCCAAAAAGTCTGCTAATTGCATTTTTTTCCAATTGTAATTGCCAAACTTTTTTGTGATCTTTAAAACACCAAAATCTAAGAAAAATAAACATCTGAGATCAGAAAGAAAAAGAAATACTTTGGATTTTGCGCTGCTTTCCCTTGCAATTATATATGTTTACTTTGTTTACTTTCTTTTTAACCCATTTTGTTTTTGCATACCAAAAATTCTGAAACACCACCTCCTTCTTATGTAAACATCGACAAATCGAAGAAACTTGGAGTCATCTTGAACGTGGATGGTAACCGTACAATTTTTCTTGGCTCTTTTCAACTACGAATCCTCTATGAAATATATCTATTAGGTACTTAAAAAACATATACACGTCGATCAGATCTGGAAAAGAGCCACCTGGAGTCATCGTAAAATTTATTTTCAAAATATTTAAATTTCGTGTCTTGTCACAAAAATCCCGTAGTCCCGTGATAGAACAGATTTCAAAGGTAAAGTCGATCACACAATTCTTCTATAGTTTTCATACAAGCACGATTAACTTGAACCCGTGTTCTCGTCACATTTCGGTTGTTCAACAATTGAATGAAAGCTGTATAGGAAGATCATTAATGACAGTAGCTTTTTCAGTAAAGAACTTAAACCATTGCGCCGAACAAACGCAACATTGGCTTCAAATAAGACCATATTTGAAACGGTGGATGATAAGCAAACAACATCAATTGAAGGTAATGGGAATTATTCCGAAATATATCTCAAGAAATTTTTCGTAAGAAACAGACTAGTCCTGGGTGGAAGAATTTTTCGGAGAAATAATACAATGTTTTGGATTTTATTTTGTTTCATATCAAAATGGCAACTTGTTCCATTTTTCCTAAATCGAAATGATAATATAAGTATTTATTCTTAATGAATTATATATTTTTAATAAAATCACGATATCTAATATCGGACAATTATACACGGAAGAATCTCATCCCAATTTTCACAATGTAAGATCTAGCCTTTCCCTATAAACACAGTCCAATCTATATATGATAGCATTATCAATATCCCAGACACCATATCGAGAAAATGGGTCGTTTTGTAACATCTCTACAACGTCCTGCTTAGTGTCTGCTCTAATTTGAAGATGGGAACCAACAGCCTTTGGCGGGTTACTTTCGTCATTAATTTGACCACCAGAGAGTAAGATTCCTGCCTTGATTATTGGTTTGATACCTGTCACATGTAGTGACCCATACTTCTTTCTCTCAGCGCCAGGTTTATCCATAACAACTACGCACCACTCAGTCATTGTAGTACAATATTCTATTTAGATTTTTTTTTATTTGTTTGTAGTCGTGGACAATAAATTGTAACACTACCATATGTACCGGAATTTGTCCTAAACTTACTAAAGATCTACTTTATATATCATTTAACTGTAAAACTAAACATAAGTACTTGCCACTCTTAAAGCCGATTTATTTAATTAATATTAGTCAGCTTATGGCCTGGTGATATATATATATCTTAATCTTCTTGGTTTAATTATTGTTGCCATTGGTCAATGCTATCAGGCGATGGCCATCGCGTGTGATGAAACCATTCCACGGTGGGTTTTTGTTTGAATGTCCGTACCGGGCCGAACCGGACCGCGGAATATTACAAATATCTCGTGTTTCAGTGTATTTGGTAAACATTTATCTGCACTACTTTCAACTAAAGAAGAGTTTTTTTCTATTATTGCACAACTTTATTAATTGTGACGGCTATCAATATTTACTTTGATTACTATATAGTATGTTTTCTACGATGTCTGACCCTGTAGATGATATTCAGAGAGTAGGTCGTTGACTTTGTTGTAAACTGAGGACAATATCCCTCCACCTGGCGCATATCTGCATAAAATAGGTGTAATGCCTCTATATAAGGTAAAAATTCCATCGGCCTTGTACATATGTATGATTGAAAATATAGCAGACCCATAAAATCCACTTCTCCTGGTTACATACGATCCATTAACTGACTGAATCTGCGATTTCACAACATCAAATGGTACACTCAGGAAACAACTTAACGAACCGCCCAAAGCACCAGCAATAAAATTATAACTTGTCTGTAGCCGTTTATTTTCTGTATGTGGCAAAACTGATTTGACGAAATGCATCAAACCAAAATATCCACTGTTCCAAACTGAACTCCTCCACATTGTGGCTTCAAGACCTGTATACATTGCGAAAATACCATCTTTCCTAATAATTGATTTCAAACAGTCAGCAGGTGTTTTATAGACAGATGATACTTGCTGCATTCTAATCTTTACCAATTCGAAAGGTACAATTATAATTGCCTCAGTAGATCCTGCCATTGCACCTGCTATGATAGTAGTTGATTGTGTTAAAGTATTCTGACCAAAGATTCGTTGAAGAAAAGTTTGATATTTAGAATTACATGAGAATTTTGTAGCTCGTTTGGGAACTTCCATCAGAACTGGTGAAGTTATTCCTCTAAAAATATGACGAAGCCCTTCTTTACGAAGAACTTTAGTGATGTAAGATACTAACCCAAGTTGTCTATTTGTCGTAACAGATTGTAATTGGAACCTTGTCTTGATGACATCCAATGGGTACATGGCGACAGTCTCAGAGACCCCTGCGATCGAACCAGCGAGGAATGCATAACGGAACGGCAATTGTTGTTTCTGACCTTTAGTGGACATTTCGTTTTGGTATGTCAACCTGGGATATCAAATGAGATTGGACATTAGTGATTTTGATTTCATGTCATTATACATTGGTACACTTTGCTTATATAATAATTATTTGGTATCTAAATTCATGAATAAAATATTTTTTTTTCTAATATACTTCTCTTATTCAAGAAATGAGATAGTATCATGCACTTTTTTTTAGAAGCTTGTTTGGGCTAGTTCTTGGATCCTTCAAGAATCATGTATTTATGATTCCAAAAATTGAAAATGAATTTTCTACAACGCAAGATATATTTACCTTACCGAAATATGAAATTACAAACAGACAAAATATGAACATATGAAATTGTAAGACCTAAATAAGCTACATACTTTTAACTATATCTTCAGCATGAAGTGCCTAATAAAATAATCATGAAATCTTAGGTCATCTTCAGCAAGCTCAGGATGGAACGAAGTGGCTAAGACGTTATCATTTTGCTTTACAGCAACAATCAATCCGTTCTGAGGACTATTTGGCTTATTCAAACGATATAACACCTTCACAGTGTCATCATCTAGAATCTGTTCAATGACAGGAGCTCGAATGAATGTGGCTTGGAAGTCATTGCACCCATCGATAAAACTTGAAAAATCACATTCTTGGGTAAAAGATTGAGCTTGTCTCCCGAAAGCATTTCTCTTGACTTTAACATGTAACAGTTGTAATGTTTTGACTAAGTGGTTTTCATTCATCAAAATATCTGATATAAAGATCAATCCAGCACAAGTACCCCAAACACATTTTTGTGGGTTATGAGTAAACTCATATAGATCCTCATAAAATCCTGTTCTTTGAGCAATCAATGACATCGCAGTGGATTCACCTCCAGGAATTACCAACCCATCACATTTCCATAATTCTTCTTTGTTTCGTACCGTAATTATTTTAATGGTTATACCATTATAAAACTGTGAACCGTACTTAGTAATACATCGCTTCAAATGGTGAACATGTTCTATAAATGCACCTTGCAGAGCCAACACACCAATACACTTGTGAGTCATTTAGATATATGTATCTATGTATTTTTCTGACTATGTATCTACTGTAAACTCACAACAATATGTAAACTTGCAAATATCTTCGGGCTCCATTCATTATGCTTTGAATACATTCATATTTATACTTATTTTCTTAAATGAGAAACAAAAATATGGCTCTACGCATTTACTGGAATAACCCCAGTCGAAAAGAAAACTAAAAACCACACTAAGAGAGAGCTTAACTTAGAACCTCCTAATTACCTCTAAGACGATACTCCAAACAGATAGATACCTGAATAAATCTTGTATGTTTTCTATTGTTTTTGCCATCATTAAATTGTATGTATGCAATGAAGCTGAGCTAATAATTTTTCGGTTGAAACTTTTCTGCCCCCAGAAACCATCGCAGGAATATCTATAGTTTTTCCCCTAATACCGCGATGCCCGTTTGGCTTAAAATTGCGTAATCTTTACTGGGCTGGCACCGATTTCTATTTGTGGTGGTGACACATACCTACAGTTGCACTGTTCGTTACTCATAGGTAGTTTAAACTTCAACAAAAATAGGAGTCAGTTTTTCTTTATTTAGATAACTCAGAGGGAGATAAGGTTGAACTGGGTTGTGAATTTAAATCAAATTTTTCTCTGGAACCAGATCCTGATTGGCATTTAATTTTGAAGTATATATATGAAGTTATTTGCATTTTATTTTCTTTCCTCCTTTTCTTGTTTTGCTCATCTTTATTTTTGTATTCTATATTTAGTTACTGTTTTACCTGAGTGAGAGTCAGAACAAAAAGTTCAAATCATTTCAAATATACACAACCGTTTACCCAAAAACCTTTTATATAATAATATGTCCGAATTCAAAGTGAAGGCTGGTTTAGCGCAGATGTTGAAAGGTGGTGTCATCATGGACGTTGTCACGGCTGAACAAGCCATTATTGCTGAAAAGGCTGGTGCTTGTGCTGTTATGGCCTTAGAGAGAATTCCTGCAGATATGAGAAAATCTGGTCAGGTGTGTCGTATGTCTGATCCAAAAATGATTAAAGATATTATGGATGCTGTTTCTATCCCTGTAATGGCTAAAGTACGTATTGGACATTTTGTCGAAGCACAGATTCTTGAAGAATTAGAGGTTGATTATATTGATGAAAGTGAAGTTTTGACGCCTGCTGATTGGACTAAGCATATTCGTAAAAACGAATTTCAAGTTCCATTTGTTTGCGGTGCAAAGGATCTTGGTGAAGCTTTGAGAAGAATCAATGAAGGAGCTGCTATGATTCGTACTAAAGGAGAAGCAGGGACTGGTGATATTTCTGAAGCCGTCAAGCACATCTCTAAGATTAGAGGTCAACTTGAAGAATTTAAACCTCTTCTAAAGGATGACGCTGGTTTAAAGTTAAAGGCAGAAGAAATGAGAATTCCAGTCGATTTACTAAAGAATACTTTAGAAAATGGTAAATTACCAGTGGTTAATTTTGCAGCCGGTGGTGTTGCAACACCTGCTGATGCAGCTTTATTAATGCAATTGGGTTGTGAAGGTATATTTGTGGGTTCCGGTATCTTCAAGTCATCCAATCCTGAAAAACTAGCTCGTGCAGTTGTAGAAGCTACAACCCATTTCAATGACCCAGCAAAGTTGTTAGAAGCTTCCACCAATTTAGGTGATCTAATGAGTGGTATATCAATCGAATCTATAAAGGGTTCTAGATTAGCTGAAATTGGTGCTTGAATATGAAGTCATGTACATCAATATGCGCCCTTTAGTTTTATATAGACTGTTAATGTTGTCATTTCTTGAAAGAAAAATCTAAATCTGAAGATAAATAGACCAGAAACCTATTTTCTGTGTAGTTATTAGAATAAAAAATAATTTGGTTTATCCGCCCTATTTAAAGCTTTCATAATCAATACTAAAGTTAAAAAAGTTGAAGAATCTTCAAAAAAAATATCGTAATCAAAATCCTTATATGGTGAAAATGAAATAATGTTTGTGACAAGCATTTGCATTTCAAGCTGTATTATCATACAATTTATTCTTCGTAGTTCTCTTTCAAACCTGGAATTTAATATACATAAGATTTTGGGTATGGATACCTTTTACTTGGATAATTCCTGCTCTTTATATATGCTTGGTATCTGTCTATTTCCTTGTTCACATTAGGATGATTTCATCTCAGACGAAGTCGTACAAGTCTATTTTATTATCTTTGATTTCTGACTTTCGTCGTATCATTTATTATTTCTTTGCTCTTAATAAGCTTATGCTATTGCACTATAGAAAATTAGAATTCAGCAGTTTGAACTCATTTCCCATATTTGTTTTTAGTAAAGTGTAATATTAGTTCATATGATTAGCTTTAACCTATCATGACAAAAACAAATGAATATTGTCTAACACCAAGTAAAATAAATTAAAGAGAGATAATCAACAATATGAAACGTTAATATTTTTAATTAAAAAATGAATTTGTTTATAATACATGAATTATTAATTTGTATAACTATATACTTTATAGAGTAATATGACGAACATTAATGGTAAAAATCTAAAACATCAGAACTAGGCTGACTTTTGATTCAAAGAAATTATTATGGAAAAAAATGCTTAAAAATTGAATTTGTTTGGGGTATAAAGAATTATTATTCCAATTACAATAGGAGCATAACAGCAGCACCTACAACAGCAGCAACACCAGCGGATTGCTTGATGGCACCGTTAGCAGTTTGAACAGCAACAGTGTTAGTGGCAGAGGAAGAAGTTTGAACTTGAACCTTGACAGTGGTAGTACTGGCAGCAGCCTTAGAAGCTTGACAACCTTCATCACAAGAAGTAACAGTAGCAGTGGTAACTTGAGTGTTGGTAACAGTAGCAGCGGCAGCAGAAGACTTAGAAGCGTGACAAGCTTCATCACATGAGGTAACAGTAGCTGTTGTTAGTGAGCTGATAGTGGTAGTAGCTTCGGCAGCCTTTCTAGATTGACAAGCTTCATCACAAACAGTGACAGTCTTAGTAGAGTTAGCGTAAGCAGTAGCGGTAGCTTCATCACTTTCTGGACAGTAAGTAGTGGTTAGACTACTGATATCAGTAACGGTGTTAGTGGTAGTTTCTTGAGAAGTGATGTTACTTTGAACAGAAGAGGTGGCAGCAGAAGAAACAGTAGAAGTAATGTTGCTTTGAGCGACGGCAGAAGAGGCAACAGAGGTAGCAGCTTCAGAGGAGGCAGCAGCAGAAGTGGCGGCAGCAGAGGTGGCAGCAGCAGAAGTGGCGGCAGCAGAGGTGGCAGCAGAAGAGGCAGCTTCAGAGGAGGCAGCAGCAGAAGTGGCGGCAGCGGAAGTAGCAGCTTCAGAAGTAGCAGCTTCAGAAGTAGCAGCTTCAGAAGAGACAGCTTCAGAAGTGGCGGCAGCAGAGGTGGCAGCAGCAGAGGAGGAAGTAGCAACAGAAGTACTTTGAACTTCAGTAGCTTCAACACTAGCAATAGCAACAGCGATTTCTGAAGATAGGTAAGAAGAATACCATGGGACAGAGGTAGCCATAGCTAACAAAGCATCAATGTCGACACCAGTGAACATAGTGGTGTAAGATTCATCAGTAGCGGTATGGACAGCCATGTAGATGTCAATAATACCATCTGGGATAGCACTACCAGAGGATAAGAACCAGGTAGTGTAGGCAGAGAAATTGTCGTTGACATCATTTAGAAGAACAACCAATTCAGCAGTTTGTTCGGCAGTTGGAGTGGAAGCGGAGGCTAGAGCAGCGGCACTCAATAGAGCTAGAGCAGAAGTGTATTGCATTTTGTATAAGCGAGTGGATAATATTCTTACTGGTTTTTTTAAGCTAAGGAATAATAAAAACAAAAAATATTGATAAGGTATGAAAAGAAAAATCTTAGCAAAGAGCAAAAAATAGTCTCTTTATATACCTTTCATGTATAATTCCTTAGTTTAATTAATGATAGTATGTATGTATGAAAATAGATAAGAGATGATTTTTCTTTTAAGTTCATTAGGCACATTGTCTCTTGCTACCGGCAGTTTTAATGGAGGTGGCGTCGTTTAGGAAATCTACTTGCGAATAACTTTATTGTATTCAAAATTGTAAATAGTCAACAGTCCTTACATATTTGCTTTTGGTTTACCTCTATAATAGGAATGCAAAAAAAAAACTTTATGTTCCACGGCAGAATTCGAGTTACCTTTAGTAAAAATAACAACCTCTTTTAGGGAATAAACAAATAGAGAACCTTTTATTGCTTATAACCACAATTTCAATTCTGGGATGTTTACTGAATAATCTAAGTAGATCGTTTAAATGTTTCGACATTCTGAAAATTTTCTTTTTTTGTTGTTTCTTTTTAGTGCCTATTTTGCCCCTCCATCTTTTTTTTGCGAGTTGCGCGCCCGTTCTTCGGGAGATGCCAGAAATTGCACAGAAGAAATCATAGGACTGCAGATCGAGAGTCCACTAAACAAATGACCATTCTGGGACGTTGATAGGCAACCCTCGTAGGCGACAACTGTTTAATTGGTCGTATATGGGTGTGTTGATTCCATATTGAGTGCAGATGTATGGGTACACCGTGGTGTCACGTACAGGAATCCTTCCGGAGCTCTAATTTCCAACGTTGTCTTCTGCTGGTCAAAGATAAAAAAAATTTCTCTACAGTTTATTGAAGGAACCCACCCAATGATTTTCCTTCTCTCTTATGAAAACGAGGTAGAAATGGTACTTTAAGATGTAAAATTCAAGATCGCGTTACCTCTCACTTTCTTCCTCTTTAACTCTTCCGCAGGCAATTTCCCCTGAGAATACGATCTCTTATATCTTCCCATTTTATTTAGCAGAAAAAATTAGTAAACATTTTATTTATAGATATAACATCTTCTGGTTATGCTACCCTCCTTTAGAAATAACATTTTAAAAAATAAAAAATTAAAAATTGGAAACATTAGTTATCATAAACCAAAACGAGTTAGTGTACCTGGAAGAAGAAAAGAGAGGGAATTAATTCACAATCCAGTAGAAATAAAAATTTCCTTCGTATATTTTCTGTTTCTGTTTCTTCTTCTTCTTCTTCTTCTATATTTTGTTGTTGAGAGACAGAGCAAAAGTGTTTAGAGGTCCACGCTATCTACTGCTTCAATTTTCTTATTCTGTGTTCCTAAATATTTTTTTCAAAATACAAAGTAAAAACCGATTTCTCAAGTGATTACATGGAAAACATCAAATATGAACAGGCACTTAATTTAGTATGGATGAAACTTGTTAATAAACTAGACCTTTTTTTTAGGCCTCACACAAGAATATTATATTTAGAACATTCCATCTATTTTCTTCAAATCTTTTGTTCTTTTCAGCAGTACATAAAAAGTTAAACGAGAGTTGAGAATTTTGCAAAAGTAAAAAACACTTGAGCAATACTTTTCATTGGCTTTTGTGAAAATGGTATTACTGTTTAATAAAATGAAGTATTGAATAAACTATCAGATATACCAGCTTGTATGAAAAGCTTCTACTACGTTATTGTGAACTCCACCCCACAAAGATGCACATTTAAAAGAATAAATGTTACCTTTGTTTAATCGGATACTTAACAAGAGTTACATCAATAAACAAATCTTGGTTTTGATGTTCGAATATTATTTACTAAGGAAAAAATATATCATATGAAGATTGAAATACAAGAAATAATCAAAAAGCTTAAATGACGTATATCTTAGTCGGTTATACACAGGTATTCTATTCACCATTGGAGTAAATATTTTACATACATACATACATACACCCATCCATACAGATATGTTTAAACATAGAATTCACCTTCAGCTACCCTGACAAATAACATACACCAATTATTAGGCAAAGAATAAATATCAATCCTTGGCAAGGAAATGTTATGGCTGTTCCGGATATTGTTCTTTAGTCAATTTGGCTAATTGTTCATATTTTTCGCCATTCATCTCGTTCTCATAACCTTCGAGAACACCTTTTACGTTTTCTTTAGACATATCCTGTTGTAATTTGAATTTCCCTTGAAAATGGTTAATATTTATTTTTATACCAACCACTTCATCTAAACGTTTGTCTATATATTTGGTAGGAGCATCAGATACTTTCCATTTTTCTGCAATCGTTTCACCTTCAGATCTCCTTTCTTCCTGTTGATTTGTCAATTTCGTAATCATGTCCACTAGCCAACTTTTGTCTGAGATAATTGTTGCTTCACCATAAACATGGACAGTGGCATAATCCCAAGTTGGCACAAACTTATGAGTTTTCGACTTAAGGGGATACCAACTTGGAGTAATATAGGAATCTGGACCTTGGAATACAATTAAACAACGTGGATTTTTTTTCAACATCTCTACATGCTGGTTATTTTTAGCCATATGTGCAATTAAAGTATAACTTCCATTATCACATTCTTCAATAAAAAAAGGAATATGACTACAACACATTTCATTGTCAATCGAGTCATCAGAAGGTGGGTTCCCCCCAGAAAAATAACTTAACAGAGCAGATGTTGGTGGGTTATAATTAAATAATGAACCTAACGGGTACTCTTTTATCAATTGAACAAGTTTAGAAGTGCTAGTAACCTCCATACTCTTTGGAATATACATCTTAATATATTACTTTTTAATTTATCCCGAAGATCAATATAATGCTGCTTACTGGATTATAGGATTAGGATTATTAATAACTGTACTATGGCCGCTTTTATCTATTTTTGTCTATTTTAGTTTCGTTTTGAATATTCTTTAAATATTAAATTCGGTTGCTCCGATGATTCAACCGAGACATTTTACAAAGCTCCGAACTGCTTGAGTCATATTTCAAATTTCAGTAATATTCACTGAAAATGATAGTCGACAGGAATAACTGCGCTCACAATATAAAAAAGATTTAGATAATATTCAGCCTCCATTGCTTCGAACAGTAACAATCAAATCTTTGATAGACTGAAAATTAATGAAGGTACAACTTTCTTTGGCATGATTGAGGAACAGATATCAGTCAATTGTAAAATATGTGACTCATTTACATTGTAACTCCCAGAATATATCAACTGTGGTAAAACAGAAAATATTAAATCGTTTCAATACTATACAACCGTACTTGTTAGGAAATTCAAATTATTATTTACAGAATGGGTGCATATACACAGGTATTTTGGATGCTGTAAATGCATATGAAATAAATGAAGAACTTTAAATTATATCAAAATACAGCCTTTATTAGGAGAAGAATCATTATATCTACGATAGAACAGATGCAGGAACAAAAGTCTCATATTATTAGTATAACCCGTATACTTTTTTTGATTCTCGAGTAAAATTCTGAAACACCTCTTGTAATAATATATATATAATTCGTCGAAGTGTTTGAACACATTTGAAACACCAAAAGTTATGAATTTCGAATGTTCTAATGTTGTCCTAGTATTTGTATTTAATATATTAGGTACAGAACTACTTGCTTGATAACATTATAGCAGTGTCGATAATATACTAACACCCATAAATAATCACTATAAAATTGCGCACAGTCTATGATTTCAATGAATAGGTAGACCATAGCATACTTAAAGCTAATTGAGTCATACCTAGATAATAAAATGTATAAATAGTGAGTAGATTTGATCAAATAATAAAAGGGTGTCCAATAAATGACATAAAAGATTAGAACATATCATGATGAATAAACCAGATACAATAATAAATGACTCGGTAAGTGAATTACAGGATTCTTTAAGTTCTGAAAAACAGAAGAAGAGATATTTCCTAGTACTAGAGTCTTCAGAGGTATTGCGACAGCAGTCACCCGATTTCTTTGTAAGTTCTCTGTTCTTTGGTATTAATTTCTCATATGGTGTCTTCCAAGATCGTTATACAGATCCTCTTAGTGGTCCCTTACAGCTTTGTAGTAACTCAAAAGTGGCACTCACCGGATCTACTGGTACAGCGTCGACTTATATTTTTGGAATTCTGAACAATAAATTACGAGCATTTTTCCAAAAACTATGGAAAGGAATGACCTTTGGCTGTACTTTTATGTCTATTGAACTAACTTTGCTAAAGGCTTTGCAATGAAATCTACCAATTTATCTTGTCACAAAGTATCCTCTATGAGATTGGATTGAGTTTCTTATATATGACACCAGTAGTTTGTGCTCCATTGTTTTTCAAAAAGTACAAACTATTCATGATTGGGTTTTATTCTCAGGTGTAGGTATAGGAGCATTTGTTATGTTTATTGTAACTAGAAAATTACTTAGCGTAGTCTGTTGGAGGTGGAGTTTAAGGGATCCTGGGTTTCCTCAACATTTTTATCTCATTGATAGTTGCTGCATTAGTGGGAGTTCCATCTGACTTAATGTATTCTAAAAATAATAAGATTATCAATTTTTCAGATTTAAAATCTACAAACGTCATTTCTCAATTAGGTGCATAATTGTTTCAATCAGTAGGATATATTATACCATTGATTTATATGTCCAACAATGCAAAATACTTTATCATACTCAAATACTTAAGGTGCATTGTTCATTGGCATGAACAATCTGGCGACCGCCGTATTCAAAACAATTATTGGATTTGGTGCGGATAAGACAGGGTGACTAAATATGATCATTATTTTTAATCTTCTAAGTTTTTTGAGTATACTAACCCTTTGAATAATTGGAACAAGAAATCTATTTATCTCATTTGTAGTATTATATAGTGTTTTCTCTGGTACCACCATATGTTTACCACAAACTGCCTTAATCGATATATTTGGGGTCTCTCAATACCAAGCATCCACTAGATTAATGTATTTCTGTAGAGGTATTGGTAGTATGCTAGGTACCCCTATTGCCGGTCTACTTACCAGTAATAATGGCGCTATCACAAGGGAATACCAAATTGCAATAATTTACAATGGTATACTATTATCCGTCAGTACAATATTGCTAGGTATGCTACGATATGCGTATACGACAGAGAAAGGTGTGATCAAATGGTTTATATAATAGGGGCTAACAACTATTAACGTTTCTTTAAACTCGTTGGACAATTATCAGCTTCATATTTTTTCAAATATACTCAGAGTCACAGTATAGTTTTGAAACTTTAATGATACTGGTTATTGCTAGAAGATATGGTGATAATTTTTGGTAAGATGTTTAGTTTTTTAAGGAATCTATATTTGTTCCTCCCCGATTCTTTGGCTTTTGACCAACACATGGTAGTGCTTATAACTCACTTTTTGTTTGCCACGTTTATATCTAAGAAGCATTTATACCATGGAAGCTAAATTTTCTAGTTGGTCGTAGGTCTCCTCTCCCTCTTCTGGAAACTTTTTCTCACTTTTTAATAATTCTTTTTTTTGTCTCGTTCTAAAGCTCATTATATAATTGTTTTTAATAGTGTTTTCTATATCTCGACAACTACAATTGCTTGAGATGGCAAATTGGAACTGTAAAAGTTATAACTAAATATATAAATATTGAGGAAATTAACGCATTAGATTTAAATAGTTATAAAGGTTATCAAAAAATTATTATAAGACATATTAAATGTGCCTGTATTATCGAAGATCAAAAATACAGGCACATTTAATGTACAAAACTTCCATAGCGATTATCTGCTTCTTTTACTACCATGCCTGTCAGCAACCCCTGAGAATCCTCTGAGTACTTCTACCCTTGAATTCAAGCAAGCTCTAACCAAATAGGTTCCTGAATATGTTTTTCTAAGAACATTGATATGGGAGATATTTTTTTGAATTAAAGACAAGCTAAATTATTCTGCTCCCGGGCTACATTATCCTACTGACAGGCATATACCGCTTTGGGTACCAACTGTATTTTTTTCTCTCTAATTTGCATCAAATGACAACTAAAAAAAACTAAACCATTTTCTGCAGTCAATGGACTGATTTTTATTTATAGGATATTTTCTGTTACTTTAACGTTACTGTAACCAGGACTGCATTTTGTGTTGCACGTACTGCTTTTAAGTAAATACATATATTGGTTGTAATGATACATATTTACAGTGAGAAAACAACTGTCGATCTCTTTAATTACCTGAATAGCTGGCACTCCATACTTAGGTTTGTTACAATAATTGCTCTACGGTATATTTGCTGTAGAAAAGTTTTTTCTGACAAATAATTCGCAGATTTTATACTCATAAGATATAAAGAAGGACAAATAGGCCAAATTTTATGAATGAAGTCCTAATATTACTTGCTACCTTATCGTTTTGAGAGTGGGAGCCTTCCATTATTTCGAAAATACCAAAGTGGTTCACTCATGTAGCTTTGTTTAAGCAGCCGTTCTGTCAGTTCCTGCGTTTTAAAAGGCAGGAACTGACACGAATTGAATTTAGAGACCAGCATTTGCGTTGCCTTCCCATTTTTCTGGAGCAGCCACTTTAACTAAAACATTTGTCTGTGCGCCCTGCTCGCTGCGGACTTGCATTTTTTCTGTTTCGGAAGAAGAGTCTTCTCGGAATTATTCTTTATATTATTCCGTCACTCGAGATGTATAATTTATTGGATATATAAGTGACTTGGTATAGTACTTTTCAATCAAGGAAAGGATTCGTCATATTAACGTTTACTTGAACGTTCGCATTACTGTTTTTTATGAAGCAATAACTATGGAAATCGTCCAGAATTGCAGAAACAATGACGGGCGGGGTTTCATATAAACTTATTTTAACTTTGGGTACCGTGGGTTCCCTTCGCACTATATTATATGGATTGGCCATTATTTTGAGCATAGTTACTTTGTTTTTTTATTTTACAAATAGTGTCTCACATCAAATAATGTTGCGATCCTCTATTTCAACTGCAATTGTGATTGTTTGTGCCTTTCTTTCAAACATACTATACTCAAGCGTACTTTCACTGTGTTTGTCGTCTGATAAAACTGTTTAGGCTGCCTAAGATACTTCACGTTTTTATCGAATTTTTTTTTAACTTACTGATCTGCAAACGATCGGTATTCAAATGGGTTATTACCAATGTGTTAGAAACAATGATTTAAAATAATGGGACATCCATATAATTTGATAGTTTACAGAGTATAATATAAATTATGGTTGGTTCTATAGTTCATATATAATCGGAACAATCATTAGATTCATTGAAACAGTTGTGTTGTGCTTAGATAATGCATTGGTTCGGAAGTCTTCCTTTGAATGATGCTCCTATACTGTCTTTTTAACTGGATCACAAAAAAATTTAATATTATTCAATGCTTCTTAAAGGAGAACCGTTCATTACAACAATGGATGGGTTCTGGAAAATAAGAGTAAATAAACATTAAAATTTAATATTTTTATTTTGTTTGAGATTTTGTTTTCCTTTTATGTATTTTAAGGTACATGCAGAACAATAATCAATCTGTTACGTGACAGAATAATTCATTAATCGTTATTTGTTTTTGAGTTATCACTAATACATATCTACTGTCTGACATGATGACCTAATTATCATTTTCATAGAATTCATCCAACTGAATAATCGTGGTACTTTTACGTTAAGTACTACAAAAAGTCAACTCATCATTCAATATATCACCTAACTGTATTTTAGATATGTGCTGTTTATATAAGTAAATAGTTGTCAATTATAAAGTATGAACTTTTCAGAAAAGTACACTGAATTTTCTTTTCTCAACCAATTCTTATTTATGTAATACTATCGCACCATTCAAAGTTGCACCACTACTACAGGGAATACATGAAAGATATATAGTACATCTATATGGTGACAGCATTAAAAAAATGTTTGTTGATCAAGACAGAACCATTGTTGTCAGATGATGTACCATGATTATCATCCTTAGTTGATATATCTACATACGATACGGAACCTGAAGTATTCGTACAAATAAAAATTCAGAAAAGATTCAAGTGGAACATAGCAGTTTTAATTACCTGACTGAAAATATTTGGGGATATTTTATTTTGAAAATGAAAATAAGTTGAAAATACTTTTTAAAAGGTATTCAAGGTTAGCCCAAAATATGGCGATATTTAAAACAACTCTCTTTTCCTTAGTACAACATTATAACGATATGCACCATTTGAGACATCAAAAACGAAAAATGTTCAAGTTGATCACTTGTATAGCACACTAAGAGTAAAACATAGGTGGTGAACCCCATTTATCTGAAAATTTCTCTTTCATTATTCAATGACGTTGATTTTCACTTGTAAGCATTACTCCCCTGACAGGGTTTCTCTTTACATTTAGGGAAAGTAATTTCTTCCTAAAATTACAAAAAAAAAGCAGTATTGGCAATTGTCTGCCATTAGAAAGAGGATTATTTGCTCAATGAGACACTCCACTTATGAAATAAAATCTGATGAAGTTAAAACATTTTCTATTCTAATACTGTGAAGATTTTGTTAGTTAGCAGAAGAATTGTAAATTGGTTTTTGGTTAGCAATTTATTGGGTGTTTAGGACATACACTATTGTTTCTTAACTTATTTTGAATAATATATATGATATAAATATTAGAGGGGTTATGAAACTATTGTCCTCAGTTATATTTGAAAATAGTGCCTTTCTATACCTTTGTTTCTGATGGAAGCAGGAGACCATTTTGGGTTCTCCAGCATTCCCTTTCCATACCTACAGGATTTTCATATGTCACCGATCCCTTACAATGCCTTCCAAGCTTTAGCATATTGATTTTCAGTATAATATTTGTGGTTTTTACGCTCTGCTTAACACTTTGTGATTTAGATTAAAGCCCAGTACCACATACAAGACAATTATGGTGTAATGCTTATCTCTGTAAAGATTTATGTCGTTGAAGTCAATTTTAAGCTTATCATAGCTAATCTCTCTGGGTTCTGAGAAAAGTCATTTTGATTTCTATTATTTCCATTTCTCTTAAAATTTCTAGCTTGTGTTCTAATCACAATGCGAAGGAACCTATCGTTAGTCATTAAGAACATTTTTTCTATATCTAAAGTTACTTTTATGCATCTATTTATAATTTTTGTTTGTCTTCAAGTAGGAAAGGCTGAAAAGAAGTTATACCGAAATCTAAACGAAAAAATGAAAAAAAAAATACTGAAAAGAGGCTTCAATACCAGGAGGCAGAAGCACGATGAATTCATTCACAATTCTGTAGATCAGAAGTAATTATATTTATATATATGTAAATAAAGACACAAAAGTTTGGTTTTCAAAAAGATCCTACGGTGCTAGCGGTTCCATCGATGAACGTAGAATCAGAAAATAAAGAGTGTGATACTTATGAACTCAACTCAACAAATTCTCATCCTTCAATTTCAATTGATAAATATGAATCTTCTCTAGAATCCAAAGAATTGTTAGGTCCTGATGCAGTACTCCATACAGGTGAATATAAAGTTAATAAGAATATTCCTGAGACATACTTGAATAGTGAGGACACAGAGAGAGTTACGGATTCAGATATATATCCTCAGAAACGGTTATTATCTTTGTTTTTCAGTAAAAAAGTGGATCCAATTCCTCAGAATGATGATGAAAGGAAACTATTCCCACTCTTTAATACCAATATCATCTCAAGAATATTTGTTTGGTGGGTCACTCCATTACTACGCGTGGGTTATAAGAGAACTCTCCAACCTAACGATATGTATAAGATGGATCAACGGATGGCCATATCTACTATACATGATACTTTTATAAAACATTACAGATATTATCAAGAGAGAGCTCAAACAAGTTATAGGAAAGAACATCCAAATGCCTCCGACATTGAAATTAAGAAAAATGCAAAACTTCCAAAATTGATCTTGGTTAAAGTATTATTTTTCACATTTAAAAAACAATACCTAACATCGTGTCTGTTGGCCTTGTTAGCAAATTGTGCTCTGGGGTTTAACCCAATGCTAACTAAGCGCTTAATTGCATTTGTTGAGGAAAAAGCTATGAACCATCATTTAAAGGTTAATAAAGGTATCGGATATGCCTTTGGTACTACTTTAATACTATTATTCAATGGTTTTACATATAACCATTTCTTTCAGTACGGTATGTTGACCGGTTCACAAGCGAAGTCAGTTCTGACGAGAACTGTACTTGCCAAGATGTTCAGGATGTCTAATTATTCAAAACATAAATATCCAAGTGGTAAAGTAATTACATTTATAACCAATGATTTGGCCAGAATCGAGTTTGCGTTAATGTTTCAACCGTTCATTAGCGGATTTCCTGCAATTATTGCCATTGCAACTGTCCTTTTGATTGTCAATTTAGGCGCGATTGCATTAGTTGGTCTTGGTTTATTCTTCGTTGCACTATGTTGTACTTTCTTCTTATTCAAAAAGATGTTTGATTTTAGAATTGCTGCAAATGTCTTCACAGATGAAAGAGTTAGTAAAATGAGAGAAATATTAAGTAATATGAAAATGGTCAAATACTATGCTTGGGAGGATGCCTATGAGTCAAATATTCGTGATATCAGATCTCAGGAAATCAAAGCCCTTCGAAAGATGCAATACACTCTCAATTTTATCATGGCACTAGCATTTGCTATTCCTAATATTTCTTCGTTGGTCACTTTTCTTTGTATGTACAAAGTAAACAATATGGGAAGAACACCTAGTAACCTGTTTTCTTCTCTATCATTATTTCAGGTTTTAAGTCTCCAGATGTTTTTTTTCCCCATAGTTATCGGTACTTCTATTGATTTAATTATTAGTTTAACTCGTGTACAGGCATTACTTGAAAGTGAAGAAGAGAATGAGCCACGTCTAAACATCGGCAACATATCAACTCATGTGGAGTCCGATATTGCTATAAAAGTGGATCATGCCTCTTTTGAGTGGGAAGACTTTGAATTACTGGACGCATTAGAGAAAGAGAAAGAGGAATTAAATCACCAACACAAGAAAAGTAAAAATAAAGATAAAACTATATCTATAAAAGTCGAGTCAACACAACTACCCCCTATTGAACAAAAAGATAAAGAAAATTCTATTAAGAATTTTAAGAATTTAAATTTCGAAATTAAGAAAGGTGAGTTTGTTATGATCACTGGTCCGATAGGTTGTGGTAAAACGTCTTTATTAAATGCTCTTAATGGTACTATGAATAAAATAAAGGGTGAGGTTTACGTCAATGGAAGTATGTTAATGGGCGGCTATCCATGGATTCAAAATGCAACAGTTAGGGATAATATTTTATTTGGTTGTCCTTTTAACAAATCAAAATACGATAAAATTGTAAAAGTGTGTTGTCTAGAAGATGACATGAAAATTTTACCAGCTGGAGATAAAACCGAAATTGGTGAACGTGGTATTAACTTGTCAGGTGGTCAGAAAGCTCGAATTAATCTTGCTAGAGCAGTTTATAGAAATGAAGATATTTTTTTATTTGATGACGTGCTAAGTGCAGTCGATGCTCGTGTTGGTAAGACTATTATGGATGACTGTTTATGTGGATTATTATCAAATAAGACAAGGTTGTTAGCAACACATCAATTATCTTTACTAGAACGTGCTGATAAAGTAATCGTTCTGGACTCAAAAGGATCTTTTGAAATTGGCTATGTTGACAGAATGAAAAAGGAAAATGAAACTCTAATTAATCTTCTAAAATTTGCTTCTAAAAATAATGAAACTGAAAAAACTAATATTGAGTCGAATGATATTGCTCAAGAAGAATTACATGACCCCAAAAATTTTAAGGGTAATGATACAAATAACATTTTTGATGATGGTAACTTAATAATCAAGGAGGAGAGAGCTGTAAACAGCATTAAATTTGGCGTTTATAGAGAGTACATCAATTCAGGTATTGGTAAGGCCGGTGGTTCAATGATATTACTTTTAGTTTTTTTAATAGCATCTACCACATTTTTCGGTATATTTTCATCTGTTTGGCTGTCGTATTGGACAGAAGATAAGTTTAAAGATAGGTCAACAAGTTTTTATATGGGGATGTATTCTTTTTTTGTGTTTGGAAATTTCATTTTTATGGCTATCCTCTTTACATTAATATGCCACATCGGTGTCATGGCTTCCATGAAACTAAATTTAAAAGCTGTTGGAAGAATACTGCACACTCCAATGAGCTACCTGGATACCACCCCTATGGGCCGTATTCTAAACCGTTTCACTAAGGACACTGACGCACTTGACCATGAAATTACTGATAATCTTCGTTTATTTATGTACCAAACAGGTGAAGTAATTGGTATTTGTGTTATGTGCATTGTTTACCTACCTTGGTTTGCTATTGCTATCCCATTTATTTTATGTGCACTCATAGTTATTACAGACCATTATCAAAGTTCTGGTAGAGAAATTAGAAGATTAGAGGCTATTCAGAGGTCATATGTGTACAATAATATCAACGAAGTACTTGGCGGTATGGAAACTATAAGGAATTACAGAGCAGAGGATAGGTTTCAAGCAAAATCTGACTACTTGATAGACAAAATGAATGAAGCAAGTTACTTATATATTGCTCTTCAAATTTGGGTTGCTATATTTTTAGATATCGTTGCTTCATCATTTGCGTTAATCATTACTCTCCTTTGTGTTACAAGAGCATTTCCAATTAGCGCTGGTTCAGTTGGTGTTCTGTTGTCATATGTTTTACAACTACCAAGTATGTTTAACAACGTCCTAAGAACATTTACTCAATGCGAAAATGATATGAACAGTGCTGAGAGATTAGTTGAATATGCAACCAAACTGCCACTGGAGCCTGACTACAAAAGAACAGATTATGCTCCAAATGAATCTTGGCCACAACGTGGTACTATTGAATTTTCCAATGTATTCTTTGCATATCGTAATGGATTACCACCAGTATTGAAAAATGTCAATCTACATATCGCAGATGGTGAAAAAATTGGTATATGTGGTAGAACTGGTGCAGGTAAATCTACAATTATGAGTGCACTTTATCGATTAAATGAACTCAATAAAGGTACTATTAAAATAGATGGATTAGACATTTCGAAACTGGGTTTGTATGATCTTCGTAGAAAATTAACAATTATCCCACAAGACCCAGTATTATTTAAAGGCACTATAAGAAAAAATTTAGATCCATTTGGTGAATATGAAGATAAATTGCTCTGGGATGCTTTGGAGAAGAGTGGGGCCATTGAGCAAGAAGAATTATCTAATGCAAAACTTGAAATTACAAGTGATAAGGATACTCACGTGGACATGCATCGATTCCATTTAGACCAAAGTGTTGAGGAAGAAGGGACCAATTTTTCCCTTGGTGAAAGACAAGTTTTGGCTTTAAGTAGAGCTTTAGTTCGCCATTCAAAGATTCTTATCCTTGATGAAGCCACTTCTTCTGTTGATTACAAGACGGATGACAATATTCAGAAACGTATTGTTGATGCTTTCAGCGATTGTACCATTCTTTGTATAGCACATAGAATTAAGACAATTTTAGATTATGACAGAATTATTGTCATGGATCAAGGTGAAATTGTTGAAAACAATTCTCCTTATACGTTATTTTCTGACAAGTCAAGCATATTCAGAGATATGTGTTTACGTTCTGGGATTACCAATTCTGATTTCAAACATTAAAAATTGCATCAATTTATCTTTATAAACTTTTAGTCATTATTTATTTATCAATTAGTTATTTTATTTAGTGGAGAAGAAGGTATTTGGATCTTCAGTCCAAAGAGAAAATGTGTAATTAAATTCAAATTGGATATACCCCTTACTTCGGTTTTATCGTGAGATTAGACAAAAATGCTACAACCGTTCTAACTGCAAAGTATGTGATAGCAAAAGAACCTTATGATTACTATTTCCATTTTTTCATTACTTTATTTGGGCCTTCAATAGTAGGCAATTCTGAGAGTCTATCATCCCCGTGATAAAGAAACAAGCTGAGAAGTTTATAAAAGAACCGATAAAATGTCTGTTGCCGAAGTGATAACAATTTAAGTTTTCTCATTTTAGATAATCCATTCCTATTAATGCTGGTCAAGAAGATCCACTTTGCAATATTAGGTAAGATCTTGGCCAAAAGTACTGTGCTCCATTGTGTGAGAGAGAAAACTCTTTCTGCGTAACATTGTGACGTACAAACCGCAATTACAAATCCTCCTCTTTGCAAATCCTCCCCCTAAAACGGTCACGCGGGAGAACATTGGAAACCACACGTTGAATTTGTACGGCGCATTCCGTGTGCACTGCTCGTGCCTCTCCCGAGAAAGCCAGCGGCCAAACGGCCAAGCTGAGCGCAGAAAATGATATTTTGGGGATCTGCGGCCTCCACGGCAATGAGAGCAGGCCCTCTGCTCTTTGCTGAAACCACTATGGGAAGTATGCTCCGCATATCACTACGGAAATAACTGCAATCTGGTGTGGACTCCCCTTGTTCTTTATGAGGTAAGAGATTCGCACTCAAGTTCCTTCTTGTCTATTCCTGGATTTGTACTCCAACCTCTGAGAGAGAGCTCGTCTACTCTGCGTTTTTTTTTATTTTAGAAAGAGGTGTGTGGAAATCTTGCTGAATCATCGTGGAAGTCAACCCCCTCAGTAGTTGGTCATATTTCTTTTGTGGGAGGGCCCCAAGACAAACCAGCAAATTGTTCTCTCAAAGTTCCACTGTAGAGAACCGTACCTTTAAAGAAATGTATAGGCATATTCATTTTCTACTTCTTCTGTTCCGGGGATGCCGTAACGAGGATGGTGGTTGGGAATCGCATTATATCGCTATTTTCTATTTTGTACACGCTTTCTTGTTTTCCTCACCGAAAATCCCTTTGAAAGTGCAAATCTTATTACTTTTATAGGGATGTACTCATGCAATGTTGGTCCTTCCATGGAAAAATAGCTCTCCCAAAAATGAGATTGCTAAATTTCGAGAGCAAACAAACAAACAAAGGTTAGTAAATCACTAACTCCTTTAGATAAGCTTTGGGATTTTATGAGGAGATATAAAATCTAGGCATACGGATCTAAAATATATAACCGAATATTTAAGGATCTTATATAGTAATCACTAAGAAAACTGGGAACAAATCCAACTATATCTGTAAATTATTGATAATTAGTCGGCGATTGAATATGCAACATTCGTAAAAAAATGAGCATTTAGCCTATTCTTCACATACACATACATATATAAATAGAGATAGATAAAAAATTTATAAAATAAATAAATAAATACATTTTCATTTTAAATTGTTAACTTGCTTTATTTAATAGTACTACTTTAATACATTCCTCATCCACGAAATTTCTTAATATACATAATTGAAACCAAACAAATTTAAAATGAATTGTTTAATTCTCACAATAATAACAGCTTTGTTATTTACAACCGCTAACTCCCAGGAGCAGACTTTTCCAAGTTGTGCTATAGCACAATTTGGTTTTGATGAAGCACTAGGATCTTCAGGACAAAGCCAAATCCAATTTGGTATATGTAAACTGGATAACGGGACCTCTCTCCGTGAGACGAAATGGGAATATCTAACCGGAGTAAGTATATCCGGGGATAAGGGCATTGTCAGTACCTCACAACTTAATTTCGATATTTTGACAGGGGGTGATCCAAACACTGTAGTAAATGGGGAAGTTTATGGTAAAAAGATGACAACTTCAAACTTCACTTTCGGTGCGAGTGCTTACTTGATTGTCCCCAAAACTGGATACTACACTTTTAATATCGCTGCCACAGAAGGTGCATTAATGAATTTGATGAACCCAACTAATACATGGTGTTGTGACAACCTTGAATGGCCAGTAGGAAATATATATTTCTACGTTGCGGACCTTCAATCAGAACCGGAAAATAATAAACCGGAGGACTCTGTTTATCTTTTAGCAGGTTTCCGTTACAATTTTCTTGTGATGTACCTGAATACCAATGGTGCAGACGCTTCGCTAGAACTAACAATGACAGATCCAGATGGAAACACATATACAGATATTGACCAGTTCCTACACAGGGTTACAAGTATTGATGCTGATTATTGTTCTTATATCAATGTCAGTTCGACCACCACAGTCGAATGGGATAGTTCATACACAGAAACATCGATACAATATGCAACTTCTACAAACAGCGCTGGCTCGAAGGTTATTGAATCATTGTACATTGTTCAAACTCCAGCATTTACCTCGGCCAGTTCTTCATCTACTTCAGAGGTTGAAAGCTCTTCAACCATCGAAACCTCGTCAACCATCGAAAGCTCGTCAACCATCGAAAGCTCGTCAACCATCGAAAGCTCGTCAACCATCGAAACCTCGTCAACCATCGAAACCTCGTCAACCATCGAAAGTTCTTCGACCATTACTTCTGAACCAGTATCCTCTACGGTTGTTTCATCTGAGACTGAATCATCTAGTATTGGTAGCTCTGAAGTTATTACTTCAAGTGCAAATATCTCGGAACAAGAATCCTCAGGCACCATCACTTCTAGTCCATCGTCGTCTTCTACGGACGATTCCTCAGTTACAAGCCCAACTTCTAATTTCAGTTCAGAATCACCTGTAGTGTCTTCAAGTAATAGCGAATACTATACTTATTCGTCTACGTTGGAGTCTGAGTCTGAGTCTGATACCACAACATTACCTGGAACAGATATCTCCAGTGACTTCTCAACTTCAACATCTGTCAGCGAATCATCTACTCAGGCATTTTCTTCAACTGGACCAAGTTCTACTGATGATTCTGTGTCGAAGGATATTTCTTCGTCACCAAAAGCCTCTGAAACAATAGATATTTCAAGCGTCTACCCGGAAGCTACCTCCAGCAGTTACTTTTCTACAAAAAAGGAAGATGCCCTACACTCAGCCGAAGATATCACAGAGACCACTGTTATCGAAACCACTTTAACTACTTTAAGTTCCACACCTACCTTGGTTCCAGGAGAATCAACAGCATCTTTGAAATATTTTACATCTACCTACATAGCAGATTCAACCACTACAATTATCGTTACAAGTGGTCCAGATAACACTTACGATACAGCCGAGACACCTTCAATCGATGAAACAACTCAGGTTACAGAAAAATGTGGTGAAAATTGTTCCACATCTACCACAGATTCATCAAATAGTGAAGGAGTTGACACCGCTACATCTATAAGTTCAAGCACCCAAATTGCAGGTACTACTAGTTCCATTAAACCAACAGTGGCAGTTGTTTCAAGTGCACAATCATCAGATTTAGCCACAAACCATAGCATATTGGAAAACCTAAATGCAGGTTCCAACATAAAAACCAACATATTCACATTCTTAATCTCTTTTACACTTTCACTACTGTTGTGATATCAAACTAAATAATAATACTAATATATATATGCATTATATTTTATGAATTGTATAATTTTACATAAAAACCTCTAAGAGACTTTCACATTAACATGTTCTGACTATTCTTGCAATGGTATTTTCTATACATATAAAAACATCTTAGAGAAACCATTAAAATGATGATATTAACAATGCCAAGTTTTACAGACTGTAATCCAATTTGATTCCACCTGAGCATCACGCTTAACGAAGTAAAAACTTCGATATTGGAAGTTCTTTCAATTAAACTCTCTTAGACTCTTTTTAGTGCTCATTTTGTTTTGTTTGGAAACATTTTAATCCATATTGACTAAATAATTAAACACACACACACACAGAAATAAATTAAAAGTAGGACGAGGAACATAATTCGGTTACATTTTTTATATATTTCTTTATCCATCTGCTTCTAATCCTTGAACGTTGGTTCGTCTCACTAATAAAACCATTTTTTTAATAATTTAGTGAGAAAACGCACACTACTGGAATATCAGACTCAATCCGGAGTGTAAAAAACCAGGCAATTTAATAGTACTTTATAACTATCAGACCCCATCCATAATATATCATGGCCTTGTTTCGTTGTTAGGCGTGATCACACTCTTATTCTATGTGAACGAAGATTTTTTTGTCAGGAAGACCGTGCATACCGGCTTCTATGCACTTACAAACATAGTGGCTTGGCCTGCCAATAACGGGGTTAATTCCCATAAGTGTGTGTGATGCTCTTTATTATTAGCAATTAGTATCAACTATGGAAATTCACAATCTAAGTTTGGTTGACTATTTAATTTAAATACCGCTGGGGTATATTTGTATATTGAGCGGCCTTAAGAGCGAGACCCTGTATGAATCTAATTACGCTCTATTGTTCGGAGAAAGTGCATCGGCATTATAATGCTTTTACAAGCGGCGAAGATCCGTAATAAGTACGCGGAGAACAACCCCGACCGTGGTTACGTAATTGGCCCCTCTTTCTGGAAAAAACGTTCATCATTTTTGGATAGACGTCTGGGGACTTATAAGTGGAGAAGAACAAAGTATCATTATTGTATCTCGAGAAGAGTTCATTTTATTTTATTTATTTTGGAGTGGCGTGGTGGTTGTAACAGGAATACCCATATAAAAGGGAAACAAAAACTAATCAAAATATGACAGCTCTATTACTTGTTCTCAAATTTTTTTCTCGAAGAACTTTTGAACATATACAAAATAATAAATTTGAACGAAACAAACATTGTTGATAATGGGAGAATTAAGTGATTGGAGTGTTATAGTTTATGACAAGCCTGGTGTTGATAGAACGGAAGCATATGATAAGCATGTTAAAGCTCTACCTGCAATTATTGACCTAGGTCTGGTTGTTTTCGGGGGCCAGATTAATGATGATAGCCACCCAAGGAAACCAATTGGCTCAAGTTTAACTGTAAGAGCTGAGACTAGAGAGGATGCTATCGGGCTATTAAAACAAGATGTCTTTTATAAGGAAGGGGTTTGGGATGTCGATAACGCCATAATCCATCATTTCAATTGTGTATTTATTGAAGGACAACCATTAAGAGGTTGATGTGCTGTTCAATGCAGCGTTATCTATAATTATGCATATACATGTACTTTTATCATAACTATACAATGTTATTTATTTACAAATGAACTTTCTGATTTTTATTAATTCACAAAAATAGTTTCTAGATTCATTTATAAACTCCTATAATTTAACGATAGGTGTTTATTTTGTATTACAAACAGTAGGGATATAGTAAAGAAATACTGGACATTTGGCAATTGTTTAACTTCCGTTCCGTGTTAACTGCGCAAAATTTGGCGGGCGTTCCGTTTGTGTCTCCGATGAGCAAAAATTAGTACTAGAGAAAAACCAATACTTAAATAAAGCTTTTCAGTGAAATTGTTGTTTAAACTACCACAGCTACCATACACTACATCGCAAGTAAAGTACGTTACAAACCGACTCCCTATGAATACCGGACTCAAATTTAGCTTGGGCCCCCCAACCCGAATCAATCACTACAGTACTTTGAAAACTGTTTATTGATCCGCACTTCATCACACTGTAATCGGACAAGTACTTACGTAAAATTCTATATTACAAATTAGTACTTACTCTGACTGATTGATTTTTATTGTTATATTTTACTGCAACTGTTATTTAATCCTTTAGATCCACTTAGGTTTCCTAACCCGTGTTTCTTACTAATTTGCTCTTTACTTTGTCTATGAGTTGAGGTAGTAACGTTTAAGAATGAACGAGTATAACTAGGTAGAATATAACGTCTTCCTAATCATATATAAACTGGTACCTTCATCCATTTTGTTGTAATTTGTGATTGTTCAAATTTACGTTCTTATACCCCCTATAAAAGACCATTCAATCCCTTGAATACATCTATAACAACAAACAAACAAACAAAAACAAATAAAATTTAATCATGTCCGCTTCCAATCATCAACAAGCTGAATCGGTT